AGCCGAAGCATTTGCTTTACTCGAAGCCGTCTACAAAGCGCTGCGGGATCGACACTCGACTTACGAAGATGCGCTCATCAGCAACGATATTGAATACTACCGATCGCTGCTGAATGTGCTGTTCCTGGCCCTTCAGTTCCACCTGGATAAGCCATCACGCACCAGCCCTGAAACCCTGAGCAAGCCCGCCAAGCTTTCGAATGACCTCACTCTCATTGTGGAGATCGTCAAGATGGTCGTGGCGCAAGGCTTCAAATCGCTCACCACCTACCTGCACGAGGAACCGGACAAGTGCATGCCCAAGGATTTCGCCATCATCGTTGCTATCCTCCAGAGCTGTCTCCAGGTCAAGAACTCCGAGCGTCTCTACGAGCATATCACATACCATATACAAGATAACGACGTCGCTCGACATGCCACAACATTGTTCTCTTGGGCCGACCAGCTTGCAGTGGCTGGTGACCCCATCTACGGCGATCTCAGTGTCTCAGTCCTTGTCAAATTGTCCACCTTGCCCATGTTAGCCGAGCACCTGGCCGTCGAAGCCGTTCTGATGAGATTGTCAACATGCCGCCTGTCCAACGGCCTCCGTCAACCCAAGGGATTCGGGCCCTTCGATGCTGTACCTCGATTGTATACAATTTGGACCGGTGGCTTCCTTCCACTGTGTCTGAACCTACTATACAACGTCATCCGCGCGGCACCAGAAGTGGCCGCATTCCTCAACCAATTCGAAGGACAGCTCAGTCGGGCATCTGAGTGCTTCTCAGTCGGCCACCCCAGCGCTAGCGCCGGAGTCTCCCAGCAGTGGATCAGTCTGAGCATGGCCTCTGAAGCGTATTCACTGGCTCTGATCTCTTTCATGCTAGACCGGTTCCGCGAAGCCGGGCCCAGCGCCGGCCTGGATGCGCAATCTATTAAGGAGCTCAAGTGGGACAAGGCACAGGTCAAGGAAGACATTGAAGAACTGCTCGGTCGCCGATCGACTCTGCGGGGACGCATTGTGGCTACGACTGAGAAGGAGGCCGAATGGTCGCGACAGAAGCCACTCGACGCGGCCTCTGGGACTGAGAATCGGTTGGAAGAGAAGGTTGTGGCAGAGCTGAATGCAGCGGTTGCTTGTTTGGGCGGCGAGGAGGAATCATGATACTCATGTCTTTTTACTGTATTCTGGGCGGATCATTAGGTGTAGGTAGTTGATTATGCAATTCGCAGGTCCAATTGAGATGTTCTGTCAATTTGTCTATTCCAACATTCATGGACATGTGTAGCACGGACTTTGTTCAGTTCAGTTTCCGACTCTGGGTAACGTATGACGTTGCTGAAGACTCTGAGGATATAAAGTCCGACACATGGGCAACACGGGTCGATGATACCTTCCGCAACCCATTCTTCCGAAGTCAATTCTTTCTTGTTTTGGGTCTCTTTTTCTCGTCCTTTCTGTTCACTGGAGAAAGGGGTCACTTTTCCCACCATCCACGTATGACCAATGCTCGGCACACTTCATCCGAGGCACTTCTTCTTCCCCGCAAATGCATAACCGATTTATGCGGGGGAAGCTCCGATCTATGAATCCACCTTCCAAGGCTGATTAAATGTGCATGGGCTATATGGTTATATGGCAAATAGCGGGGGTTCTCCCTTCCAAGGTTCTTTATATTCTCGAACCAGGACCGAATTCCTCGCAACATTGAACCTACCAGATAGAATCATGCCATATAAATCTCGCTGGACGATCGACGTCCCCAACACCCACCTCGCTACTTTGCTCCTCAAATCCCCTACGGCCGCTCTGTCCCAGACACAGCCATGTTTCCTAGAAGCAGCTCGCCCAGATACCCATTACTTCACGCCGCATGACTTCCGCCTCTGGAGCCAGCGGTTCGCAGTCGGTCTCCTCAAATCCGGCCTTCAGCCCGGTGACCGAGTCCTTCTATTTTCAGGGAATGACCTATTCTTCCCCGTCGTTTTAATGGGCATCACCATGGCGGGCGGCATCTTCACAGGAGCGAACCCAACATACGTGGCCCGCGAGCTAGCCTATCAGCTCCAAGACAGCGGCGCCACATATCTCATCTGCGCGAACATCAGTCTGAACACGGGCATTGAAGCCGCCAAGCTAGCAGGTCTTAGCCGGGACCGGGTGTTCATCTTCGACAATGCCATCTACGACGGCGCAGGCCAGGCGCGATCCGGATGTCCATACTGGGGGGATCTGGTCGCATCGCCAGAAGAAGGAGCCGGGTTCGCGTGGGAAGAACTCTCGACTCCAGAGCTGGCTGATCAGACTCTCGTGCTGAACTATTCTAGTGGCACGACGGGTAGACCGAAGGGCGTGGAAATCACGCATAAGAACTACGCCGCCAATATGCTTCAGTATACGCATCTCGGCACACTGAACCCCGACTATGAGGCGCGGAAGGCTCGTGCGCGCTGGCTGTGTTTCTTGCCGATGTATCATGCGATGGCGCAGAATATTTTCATTGCGGCGGCGCTGCATCGGGGGACGCCGGTTTATATCATGCCCAAGTTTGATTTTGTACAGATGCTGGAGTATACGCAGAAGTTCCGGATTACGGATTTAATTCTGGTTCCGCCGGTTGTAGTTATGCTGGCTAAGCATCCTATTGTCAAGAAATATGATCTGAGCAGCGTGGAGGCTGTTGGTAGTGGCGCTGCGCCGTTGGGCAGGGAAACTTGTAGTGAGGTGGAGAAGTTGTGGCCGGAGGGGAAGATCAATGTTAAGCAAGGGTGGGGGATGACCGAGTGAGTGTTCCCTTCTTTCCTATGGTAATAATGCAGAGCTAAGTGGTTTAGGGCAACTTGTTCTATATTGGGATGGGATCCGACGGAGAAGAGCTATTCGGCGTCCGTCGGAGAGCCTAATGCCAACTGCGAGGCGAAGATCATGGCTGAAGATGGTGTCACTGAGATCATGGAGCGAAACCAGCGCGGAGAGCTGTGGGTACGCGCGCAGAATATCATGAAGGGTTACTGGCGGAATCCCAAGGCCACTCAGGAGACTAAGATGGCCGATGGATGGCTTCGGACGGGTGATATTGCCTATGTGGACGACCAGGGCAAGTTCCATGTGGTCGATCGGATGAAGGTATGCCATTTGGAAAAACCCAGAGCGAATTGAACAAAAAGAAAAAGAAATAAAAGATACAAAAATCTAACTCGGCTGCAGGAGTTGATCAAAGTCAAGGGTAACCAAGTGGCCCCTGCTGAGCTTGAAGCACTACTCCTGGAACACCCCGCGATAGCAGATGTTGCGGTGATCGGCGCTATGGTGTGAGTTATGACCCTTTCCCTTCTCTTTCTTCCGATCGATCTGGAGGCGTTTCCTTAATAAAAAAAAAAGGATTTAGTTGGGACACATACTAATGAAGAATAGAAACAATGACGAGCGGCCGCGCGCCTACGTCGTCCTGAACCCGGGCCAATCTGCCACGGCAGAGGAGATTGTTGGATTCATGGACGGGAAGGTCTCCGCCACGAAGCGGATTACTGGCGGGGTTGTATTCCTCGACACGATCCCGAAGAACCCATCGGGAAAGATCTTGCGCAAGGCGCTGCGCGATCAGGCGGCGGCGGAGCTGAAGGGAGCCACGGCCAAGCTTTGAATCAAGTTTAGAGACGGGTCGTTAGTACCTAGGTACCTTATCATATCGTCCATTTTCGCCGATTCGAAGTAGGATATTGAGTTGTATGCAGGTGGCGATCCCTCGCGGGGATCCGTGGCCTCGGGAGACTAGTTCCAAAGCCCAAACCGGATATCACTAGACACTCACGTAGCCGAGCGGTGCATCGTGTAGTGTGATTCGCCGCGCGGACTGAGTTAGCGCGAGGCCCGCGACACTAGCCCGAGTCGGGGAGTACACGCCCAGCTGAAGTCATCGATCGGTGATCAGAACATCGGTGAAGAGTTGACTCGTTCCACATGGGACATCTCCGCAACTCTACCCGTGGTTTTGGGTCGATATCCCTGTCTTTTGAGTTGTCGGGCTTCTTGGGTCAGGACGAATAACTGGGGCCCAGATGCAGATCTCGGCTCTGTTTGGGTGGCGTCTGGAGGCTCCAGCTGAACATCGTGGCTGGTTCATGTGTAGCTGGAATCTTTGTTTTAGTTCTGTGGGGTCCCTCTTTACCCACTTCATTTCATTCCTGGTCAGGAAGGGTGAGGGGCAGGAAATGGGCGAGAGAGTGTAGGAGTGTGAGCGTGAATGTGTCAAAATGTGAAGGTGTGAGAGCCGGAGTACGTGGACAGTGGGAGCGCACAATAGCCACCCAGTAGTAAAACGCCTTGACCGATTTTTACTTTCCATTCCAGATTCATTGTTCGCGAGTTCTTGCATCTCAAATACAGTAGTACTTTAGTACTCGCTTTGTGAGCTATCACAGTATCAACTTTGAGGTCTTGTTACCGGGGCTTCGGGAATTCCACGAACTGCAGATGTGTCGCGAACTTCGGGTGCACGTATAGATCTCGAGCCCCGCCAGTCTGACGGACTTCCCGTCCATCATAGTCTATGTCCTTAATGCTAAGGCCCCCCCTCAATATCCCTATATTATGGCCGCGGGGCCCCTTCCGTGGCCCTAAAGTATTTGCTATTTCTCTCCTGTAGTGCCTTAGTGCCTCAGTCCTTTCAGTCCAGTCCGCTTCAACTGTCCTATTTCGCATACATACAACCTCTTCGAAGAAACATTCCCCATCCCGAGGCTTGAGTTCAGGCTCTACAACGTCCGTAGCACTGGAGGACACATGCAAGACGGTGGTCCTCCACCCGAACGCTATGATATCAGCGGGACAAGGATATACTCGATCTCCAGCCCTATCGCCATTTCTCTCGTGGACCCTATACAGTGGAATCAGCCTAGTCAGCCTGTGTCTATTTTTGGCCATCCATTACATCAGACGCCGCCACCAACAAGCACATCTCGAACATCTCGAACGCCTCGATCACCTCGAACCCAACCTGTGGTCCCCACCCTTCGACATGGAAAAAGCAATGATCAAATCCCACTCTTCACCCTCGGCCTGTGAGATCCTCACCCCACTATCACGGAACGGCACCTTTCCAAGCAGCGGAGTTGTCGCCGCGATAGCGCGACAGCAAATGCAGAACGCAGGCGCAAGTTCACCGGGGACCTCAAAGGCCGAGATCCCGGACCAGTGTGAACAAACCGAGGCTAGTGGATCGGTGCAGAGAAGCAACGAGTCTGTACAACAGGTGCATGAGGTGGACACCAGCGGGGCGCGGACCTGGAGGCGTCTGATTGTCGAGTATAGCTAGTTGCATGCTTTGATGCATGTTGTGCATGTCTTTGATTCTTTGTCCTGTTTGCTTAGCCCGGCGGCTTTTATCTGCTTTTTTTTTTGAAATGTTTCTGTGGCTTGTCTTTCGTTCCTTTAATTAGTTCAATATTCGTTATCGTTTATGGAGTGTTTTGGTTTTGGTCTTGTTTAGGTACTTTGTAGTGATCTTCAATTCGCCTCATTGGGCGCTGAGTCATCGATGACGGGCCCGGAGCGGTGGCATCTTCGTTTACTTTACTTCCGATCGCATCTACACTTCGCAACCGTGTCGCAACCATGGCTGTCGCTACTTTTCCCTCGGTGGGGGAGTCTCCCGATATTATGCTGCTGAATGTGGCTCGTCTGTTTACTCGCCTTGAACATAACCTCCTGTCTCCCGGGTCAGAACTCCGCACCTTGCGCGGGTCCGAGTTTCAGCGCATGCGAGTCACCAAGGTAAGATAGCTCTTCATCTTTCCCCGATATGAGTGATGGGGGGAATCCATCACTGATAAAGCTGCTCCATAGAATGTCGAATACGCGCGCACCCTCCTTTCCCAGCTTGAACGCTCTCTCCCGCAATTGAAACAACCGGATCGACGACACGAGGCGCAGGTCGAGATTGCGCGTGATAAACAGCTCTTGAAGCGAATTCAGGGTGTTCTAGATGAAGAGGATGCCCGTGCAGATAACGACGCCGAAGCCGAAGATGTCGAGGCAGACGACGAGTGGAAGGACTTGTTCTCCCAGCCCATCGAGCAAGTGGTTCCAGCACAGGCACAATCCGAGGTCCGAATAGACCAGAAACCGGACAAAGATATCAAAGAAACCACAATTCCTACAATTCCTACCACAAACGCATCACCGCCAGCCCCCGCAGCAACAACACCCCCCTCAACACTTCGTAACCGCCGCAACCAAGATACCGCCCAAGATACCGCAAAAGCAACAGGCCGCAACTCCTCGCCGAACAAACTCGAGTCCACCGAGCAGGCACTCACCACAGACCGTATGGAACAAGAAGACCTCACCAGCTCGCTGCTATCACTAGCCAGCCAACTGAAAGCATCATCGCATTCGTTCCAAGCCACACTAGAGAACGAGAAGTCCGTACTCGACCGCGCAGTAACGGGCATTGACAAGACGTCAACGACGATGGAGGCAGCGGGGCAGCGGATGGGAATGCTGCGTAAGATGAGCGAAGGCAAGGGCTGGTGGGGACGGATGATGCTGTACGGGTGGATCTTCGGACTGTGGCTCGTTGCCGTTTTGATCGTGTTTATTGGACCGAAGTTGCGGTTCTGATATTCTCTGCATTGTTTAGATACCCAGAATTCATATATACGCATACATACACATACTTCTGTTCTTGTGCTACAATGGATGCAATGGCAAGTCGTCGGAAACCCGAAGATTCAATTCCTGAATTCTGACTATAACCCAACGACCGACCTGGCATGACACATGAGAAGAGACATGATAATCCGTGTATCCTGTCCACAGTTCCCCGTGCCCATTGCCCAGATGGTCGCTCGAGGCTTCCAACGGACGCGAGACTAAGGAAACGATGGGGGTGACGGTATGGTTACATACAAGATCGACAAAAAGAGATAACGAGGGGGTTAGGGGGCAAAGCAAGAGATGATAGGATATCCAGCATTCAATCAAACAAAAAAAAAATAGAACAGAAAAAAAATGAAAAGGTGGAAGATAGGAAATGACAAAGAGAAGAATGGCCACGGCTGTGTATCGTGGCAAGAAAAGTTCCTGTTCTGCATCGTCGAGAGCAGAAAGAACCGGCTAGTGATCGTGTCCGGAGGCGCAATTAGAAGACACACAAGATGAAATGGTAGCAGAGAAAGGAAATGTTCAACGCCGGAATCTGGGAACGAGGCTTTTGATCACATCCCGGCGAGATCCGATTAAGAAGCCGAAAAAAAGAAAAAAACACATGCGATCTAGATTCAACTGTCGACACCCGGGGAATTCATTAGATCAAACCGCAGAGACGGAGGTTCTCTTGGATGATGATATCTGGATGGAGTCAGTTTTGAGTGGTATATTTGGGGAATCAGAAGGTGTCTTACCGTTCACGGCAGCCATGACGAAGCGGATCTGGGTAGTGTCGGTGGCACAGGTGAAGTGGGTGTAGATCTGCTTCTGCTCGGCCTGGTTCAAGGACACGAAACGGTTGAGGATGTAGTCGCAGGCAGCGGCGTAGTCGGCACCGCCCTCGTAGTCGGGGAAGTAGTTCTTCATCGGGCTGACGGGCAACTTCTCCTTGAAGCGATCGATCTTGTTGAGGAAGAGAATGATTGAGGTCTTGACGAACCACCTCGAGTTGCAGATGGAGTCGAACAAGGTCAGGGCTTCTTGCATACGGTTGACGGTCTCGTCCTCGAACAACAGCTGGTCGTATTCGGAGATGGCGACGAGGAACAGAATGGTGGTGACGTTCTCGAAGCAGTGAATCCACTTCTTACGCTCGGATCGTTGACCACCGACGTCAAACATCCGGTAGGTCAAATCGCCGATGATGAAGGTAGTCTCAGTGATACCGGTAGTCTTGACACGCGAACGGAGGACATCCTGGTCAGTGGGGAGGTAGTCGGGCTGGGCAATGCGGTCAACGGCATCGAAGTAGCTATAAATGAACGATTAGCACGGTCATCGAAATTCCGAATTTATGGCAGATGCGACTCACTATTTAGCCGAGTCGTTCAGCTGGTATTCACGCGAGCGCTTGAAGCACTCCTGAACACCAGTGTCGCGCCACAGAGCGCCAATAGCGTTGCCAACCTCTGGGGGAATGCTGTCACCCTCGATTTGGGCAGGCTGCATGAAGATGGTCTGAACGTGGTACTCGTTGCGCGCATCCTCCAGGGGCAACTCGAGGGACTCCATGGCCTCGAGGATGACCCGCATCGACTGAACGGTGTTGCTGTAGATGATCTCCTTGAAGGACTCCCGCTCGTCGCGCGAATAGCCGCCCTCGTGAATGAGCTTCATCTGTTTCAGGATCGTGGACTTCCCAGACTCTCCGGCACCTATAACCCTATTGTCAGCCGACCGTTCTGGGATTCGCGCTAATATCGGCTTGGGTTGAGTCTCATACCGAGAAGCAGCATCTTGATCTCGTTTCTTTGCAGCATCTTGTCGCGCTTGAGCTGGTTCTCAATCTCCTCGTTCCGCGCCTTCCCCTCCTTATCCTCAGTGCTCATTCCGCAACCCATGATGACGGTAGATGTGTAAAAACGAAGGTGATGCGGAGGTGCGAGCCGATCGACTCGTTAAGGTTCGGAATCAAATTACAGGGACTGCGTATAGAGCCAAGTGTCAGCAGACTTTTTTTTCTCGAGTGAAAGATGGTGACTGTGTACTGGGGGGGACTTTGCGGACAGGTAGTACAGGGCGCAGAGAGCCAACGTTTCAGGATGCGTGTCGACGCAAGGGTGAAACGGAACCACGAGAGCAGGGGAGTCAGATATGCACGTACCGAGAATATCCCTTTGAAAGAAAGTAAAGGAGTGAGGTAGCAAGTAGGATAAGAATGAACCCGAATTGGAGAGAAAAGAAGGGGAGGTTTAAGGTCGATGAAGGTAAGGGGGGGGAGGGGGGAAATTGGAAGTTTCAGCAGGGAAAGGGGATACACTGGTATTACCGAGCCACCACCGGAGCCGCCCTTTGTTCACGCCGGCGAAACTAAGACGTGACCATACGGTGACCACAGGTCAACTCTAGCATCGCGTTGGGTGATCTTATTGGTTTACGGATAGAGTGGAGAAACGGGGCCCATCGACTTCCCCTTTTTTTTTTTTTATCTTTTTTTTTACTTGAAATCGTGTTGTTTTTGTGTTTTGTGTTTCTATACTTTGGTCAGGCCCATTATTCAGTCGTCCCATATAGGTATAGCTGGTGTACTACCACTACCTACTTCCGTTGAGTCTGTCTACTATACCATTCCCCCTCTCTTTAATAGGGGTAGAGAAGGAAAACCGGCTCTGCAGATCACGGTGGATCCAAATGTTATTGTCCGTGAGAATTGTTCACTTCCGTCACCACTGTATGTACTCCATACTCCGTCACTATGATCATCCCCGAGACCATGCTATTCTGGGTCTCGACCCGCCAATGCTGACCGTTGTTTTACATGATGCCATGTTTCCTCACTTTCTGACATGCGGCATGTGGGATGCGATATTCTCAGCCTACTGTTTCGGCCTGGAACAGGCTGAACGAATATCACTGTCACACTCGGACTCAACCCGGTGCAGCTGTGGCGACACCGTTCGAAGCCTGATATCTTTGGTCTTTGAAGGCTCCACATGGAGTCTGAGCACTACTTGCCGATCTCTTTGGTTGCAACACATGGCGCCCTTATCCCCGTAGACGTAAATCACCCCTATCCGGGAGCCGAAGTGTTGTAAATGTAATGGGCTCAGATGGGGGCCCCAGTCCACCAACGCCGGTCGCAGTGGGCACATGGGGCGCCTCGCATGGGGCCCCTGAACTGATGGAATTTCTGGAATGTCTGGAATTTCTGCCTCCCACACGCTATCGTGCCATGACCCACAATCTAGTGCTTCTAGGCGAATTTTGCCGCGCGCCATCCCCTGCCCTGAGTTCCTGGGGAGACATGGGGAGACATGGGGAGACATGGAAATTTGGGGATTCTTTGGTTCCGATGCTTCGAGAACATAAAGCTAAGACCATTCATTACCAATGCTGTAAATAAAAGAAAAACTTGAAACGTGAAATTCTCTGTTACAAAGAAGTTCATCTCGCCAGTGCAGCCATAGCGTGATCCTTGGTCATCACGAGAGCTTCTTTGTGTAGAATATGACTGCAATGCAGTCTTCCATCCTGTCCTCAGCTCGCACGTATGAGTTTGACGCCGTGTCAGAACATTGTATTACCTCGTCTGCCGTGGAGACTGTTTTGGCATCTCGAAACTGTTGAAGATCGCCCTCGGACTTGACATGGTGGCGTATTTGACTGGAAATAGTCGAACAAATAGACAAGAATTAGAGGCGGTGCGTGCACATGTGGTCAGCTCAGTCTTCTAAAGCTCTTCTTCAGCCGCATGAAGTCGCCCAGCTCTATAGTCAACATTGTCAAAAGGCTATGACCGTAATTTCCACTAACTGAGAAAGCCGAAATACTTTCCCTCCAAATCCTATGGTCTAAGGGGGTTATTAATCAACAAAAAAAAAATCCCAGAAAGAGCGAGAAGGAAAAAAATTGGCTCCCACGTCTGACCAATGTCGCAAGGGACGATGGAAAGAGATTGAACATACTCCCCACGGTGATCTTGAATCCTGCTGAAGCGACTGATATCGAGAAGGCTAGTTCCTGAGCTTGATCATAAACCTACGAATCGCGATGGATGAGATTGCAATTATCTATCTAACATGCCATAGTCGCACACTCTTCTGTGTATCCGTGTACAATCCCGCGACCGACGACCCCACCCCAGTCAGATCATATTGCGGATAGGTCTGCCTTGCATACACACTAGCGACTCATGAAACTTGTGGATCCGAGTGTATACAAGCGTAGAAGATTGATTGACCGCGGACGCAGGGAAACTCGAGGGCTTTGACGTCAATAGACACGGGAGAGAGATACCCAAGTCCTAAAGAGGTTGTTAGCGTCCATGTTCGAAATGGTTTAGTGACGAGACCGCCATGTGGCTGGCGTTTATATAGTGGATCGAAAGGATCCCCGAATCCACCGGACTGGCAATAGCGCGAAAATAGCGCTCTGGTCCGCGGTTCACTGGTCACCGCTGGCGCCACGATACCTATCGGCGGAAATTAGACCATGGAAAGAGTTTGGCTATTGGGTCCCTGTCCTGTTTCTGTTGATTTCTACCGTATCCCAGTGTGGGAAAAGCTTGCCGGATAAAGTGAAGTTGGGCAGAAACCAACATGTGGACGAGAAGAAAATTGTAGATTACGACCCTTGGATGTTTGAAAAACCCCACGTCCACTGAACAGTTCAATCTGATAAGAATTAAGAAAGAATCGAAAATCGAAAACTTACTGTAAACAGAGATAGGTACAATACACGGATACAAGGAACCCTTCGACCCACGGAACGAGCGATCGGGGCAAATCGAATCGCAACAATCGAATCGTGATCTGATTTTTCGGATCCCTGGTCCCCACTCTATCTCTCCCTGTCCATCACCACATCTCCGAGCAACACACCATGTCGCACGAAATGTCCCATCTGGGCCCGAGGGGTATGCGTCGCAATTCAATTATCCCTACCTGAGCTAATGGATTAGCCTTCAACCACGACCAGAGCGGTGACGCCGAGCAGGAGTACGATCGCCTGCGCGACCTGGCGCGCCAGGAGGCCTCGAAGCGGGGACAATGTTTCGGCAGGGTATGAGTTGCACGCTTTTGGTCCACTTGTGGTAGAGCATGGCTGACTCGGCGTAGTCGAAAGATGCTTATTCAAGCGGTGATGGCGCGGCCGCGAAGCAGCTCTCCGAGGAGGGCAAGGCGCATGGTCGCAAGATGGAGGAGTATAACAAGCAGGCGTCCGAGTTCATTTTCCGCGAAAATAACGCCAGCGGACGCGTCGCGGAAGACACCATCGACCTGCATGGGCAGTTCGTCGAGGAGGCCGAGGAGATTCTGGAAGAGCGCATCCGCTACGCCAAGTCTCACGGCCAGAACCACTTGCATGTGTACGCCGAGCACTATCTACCACACATCCCTTTCGAAAGACCCAACTAACACACCAATTAGCATCGTCGGCAAGGGTAACCACTCCTCAGGCCATATCCAGAAGATCAAGCCGCGCGTTGAGCAGGTCTGCCGCGAACTGGGTCTCCAATACGCCACCGAGGACAACGCCGGTCGTATCTACATCAACCTGACCGGCGGCGAGGCTGTCATGCCTCCCTATCAACCTCATCAGCAGACCCAGCATGGCTCCCACCAGCAGTATCCCGGCCAGCAGCAGCAGACACACCAGCAACAGCAACCGCAGCAGGAAGACAACATCGAGCAGGCTGTCAATGCGCTGTTGCCCAAGATTATGCGCAAGCTCGAAAAGGCTTGCTGTGTGGTTATGTAAAGCGTTTTTATCTACGGTGTTTGGAGGGCATATACATATTGCAAATAGGGTAGTGGCCCGTACTGTTTTTTAATAGATAGGTACCTGATAAACCCATAATAAGCTAAGTACAAGGCAGAGTGTCAGCTACCTGAAGTCAAAGCTTTAAAGGTAGCGTGGTTGTCACGCACATTTGTGAGACACTCATGGTTTCGCCGCCGCTGCATGAAGTTGCTTTTACAGCCCGATCGAGACGATAATGTAAAGGGGCTTCCACACCTGATTCTTCAGTCATTTTCTGTGCATCTCTTTAAAGCTCTTTCTAGAGCTATTTTTGTTCCTTTTCTAAGATGTTCTTCTTCGTGACTTCAAATCCGTCTGAGGAAGTAACTTAGCCGCGGCCGCCTATGAGGAAACCTTATATTAAATTCCTGGCCCGGCTGGATCAAAGGTCAAGCTATATATAGCTCTAAGCGTGAACTATAAAGGCTCGAATGACATTCTTAGTATAATCGTTACTTCGTATGCACATCACCGGACATAGCCGTCTTGAGGACTTGAATGAACACAAGGGTATCTCAGAAATAAGCTGCTAACTCCGCTCCCCGTCACGGCAAATTCATACTTCTCTACTATTAGAATCCTCGTCCGATAGCGTGGTCTCAACAATTTTATGCAAGACTGCACGCACCATTGCCCCGTCCCCGGCACCGTTGATGCGGGGCGTAGCGTCAATCATCTCGATGAGATTCAAAGCTCGATCGCGGAGCTCGGCCACAGTTTGCTGCGTGTGCGCGAAGCTGCCCGTGCTCTCCATGTAATGCATGGCGTGGCGCTTGACCTCCTCATCCTGGGTCTTCTGCTTCAGGATGCTGAGAAGCTGATGATTGGAGGGATTGGCGCGAATGCTGTGAATGATTGGAAAGGAAAATTTACCCTCGGTCAAGTCTTCACACAGACCCTTATTTTTGGTGTATGTTGTGTTGGATAGGTTGAGGTAGTCGTCGCATATTTGGAAGATCAGACCCATCACGTTTACTAGGCTCACGCAGTCCTTTCCAGTTGCACTCTCGGCTTGCATTAGCTTTACCGCTAGGCGAAAGAGACCGCCGGTTTTGTTGCCGACCATTTCTAGATACTCGTCTTCGGTTGGACAGGTGAGGGTATCGCGCCAGAAAAGATCCATCCCTTGGCCGCGGTGGAGGTTCAGGAGTTCCTTCACGTAGATGTCGATAGCGGCGGGATTATTTAGTTGTTGAATCTCTTGGAGGGCGAGAAAGTAGACGTAATTAGCGGAGTTGATAGTCTGGGCTGTGCCGAAGATATTGTGCGCGACGGGGACTCCACGGCGGAGAACTGAGTTGTCTTCGACGTCGTCAATTCTACGTGAAGACAGAGGTGAGTGATAAGTCTTGCAGAAAGCGAAGATAGAAGAGCTTACAGTAGCGACGCCGTATGTAGCATGGTCACCACCTTGGAGATAATCGCCAGACTCTCCGGGGGAACCTGAAGCCAGGAATTGAACGCTTCGATCAGCTGGCGGCGCACGTCCTTGCCCGGATGTTGGTGCATGTAGTCATAAGGGCCGATGAGGATCTTCTCATTCTTCGAGGACCACGTTCCATCCTTGTATTTCGTGCCATCCACGCTGGACTTGTTCCGTCTGTGTTTGTGCTTCGCCTGCCCCGTGGAATCGTCCACGTGCGACGTCCTGTGTCGGTGGGCGGGCGGACTGCTCGGACCATTCGTAGCCCCCGTAGAGCTAGTTCTGGGCGGAACTGGGTTTGGTGGTTGAAATGAAGAATTCATGGTGCTGCGTAGAATACGGGTGAGGGGGAAGTTGGAGGGGCTGAGGGGTTGTTGATGCCGAGAGCAGATGACATCAAGACTAGGCGCCAACGCCAAGTGACAATTTTTTGGTGAGGTCCAACTCGTACCAGGCACGCGTATTACGAGTCGAGTCAACCTTTTATTTTCCCATGCCCCGCGTTCTCAGCATTCGGAGCTGAACCAGCTCGAGCTTGGCTCCTCCGATGACTAATCGAGCGTTATGAGGCCGAAAGGCCAAAATCAATCGATCACGAGGCGATGCAAGGTAAAGCGGGGTCAACGACAATAAAATGACATATCACATTTGAAACCCTATGTAGCATCAAGGGAGATATTATTAACGAGAAATAGAGTGATGGCATCCTGTAAGGTGATGAGTTTGCTACGGCAACAGACGCCGGGGACGCCGAATTTCAGCTCGCCTGGTGAAGACCAGAGGACTAGCGGCCAGGAGGACTTCCCCGGGGCGTAAACCGGCTTTTTAGTAAGTGTCAAAAAATAAGCATCTATTGACGCCATGGTTTGATCTGCGCCTAGAACACAAAACCGATCTGAAAACCGGAACTAGCGGTGGCTCCAGGGTCAAAAGTGCATGAAAAACAGCGGGGTCGTCCGGGGCAACCGTGGGCGTTTGCCTTTATTTACGTTGGGAGCGGCCCGACTGACCTCATCGGCTCTCACGGACCACTTTCGATCCCGATTTTGTGTGCGAATCCCTTGATATGTTCAGCAGCTGGCTGTTGTTCTGCCCTGGTCAACAGTTCCATTTATTCTTGCTTTCTTCTCTTTCTGATTTCCTCATTATAACTCTTTTTTTTTCCATACATCCTCATGGAGACTCTGTTGGCTCATTCCTTCGACTATCTTTCCTCATACGAACCCAGCAAAGTCCGCAAGGGCCTGCGTCAGGTCGAGGGCCTACTCGCACAAATCTGTCTCTCCAGGTCAAAACCCCCCACCGACCGACGGAAGTCCTATCTGGCCGTCGAAGCGCAGCCGGTGCCGAAGGAGCTATCCGAATTGCGCGATGATCCAGCATTTAGGGAATTTTTCAAATTGCAAGAAAGCTTCCAATGGAATGGTAAGTTTCATCGACCTGTTCAACTTCTTTATGTCGACCTTGAGAATCAATTCTGATCTTTCTGTGCAGTCGCGATGCGCTTAGTATCCTGCCTTGAGCACCTGCTCGGCCGCGGTAGCAATGGCACCAACGACATGCTCATCGTCTGCACCCTCGACCTAATCCAAGGCGCCTTGCTCTTGCACCCACCATCGCGCTCTCTCTTCGCGCGTGAAATTTACATGAACCTCCTCCTCGACCTCCTCGACCCGATCAACTGCCCGGCCATCCAATCAGCTACTTTGTTGACGCTTGTCACCGCGTTACTGGACTGCCCCGCAAACACCCGTACCTTTGAAGACCTCGACGGTTTGCTCACCATCACATCACTGTTCAAGCAGCGTGCCACTTCTCGCGAAGTCAAGCTAAAGCTGGTCGAGTTCTTGTATTTCTATCTCATGCCCGAAACACCCATCCTGGCGGGAGGCAGCCCACCGGGTCTGCAGCGCAGCCCCAGCAAGCTCTCCAACCGCCCCCAAAGTTCACATGCATCCGCGGCTGGCGGGGCCAAGATGATCCGCGATACGCGCACTACCGACGAGAAGCAGGCATTACTAGGTCGTTACCTGAATAACGTCGAGGACCTGGTAGAGGACCTCAAAGAAACCGCGCCGTTCGGAGCAACGGTGTATTGAATGAATTTATCTGAGGCGATGACTGGACTTCCGCCCACGACAGAATGTGTTTGACGACCGCATTGATGTGGTTGACTTTGATTCTTTTCTTTTTTTTCCAGCCAATTTTCTTTTTCTTTCTTCTCTTCGTTTCTTCAGCCTTATTTTTCGATTCCCACGAGCTTTGTTTTCCGTCCGGTACGGCGTGATTATGTGGTCTAGCCTGATGCTTTTTCCCTCCTGGTTTCTTGCTTCGATGTTTGACTCTCCTCTTTTCCTGCCTTTTTTCCATTTTAGTTCTTTTTTTTTTTTTTTTTTTTCAGGTGATTTTCTTTTCACATCGGTTTCCTTGCCTCTCCAATTCTGGAATTGTGTCGACCTCCCCATAGGCTTCGTGCCTCGTTTTCCTTGTGTGTCCTTGATGGCGACATGATAGTGTATGATTCTTCTCTGTTCCTATTTCACTCAAATATCACGAAATTGAATACTCAATCCATGCACCCTATCGTAGAGTTTAGACTTTAGACCACTTTGTAAACAGGTCAAGCCGAAGCCATTATATTTGTATGACTCGAGTTGACTCATCTCGAAGATGACTCAACGCGGACTTTAATCTCGATGCTAGACCGATAAGGTGGAGAAGATCGGACCATTGACCTACATGTATCCACACTTCCTCTCCCGATTCAGATTTCGAGACAAATCGTGGACTCCGAAACCATTCCAGTCCTATCCCCGACCCTTTCAACAACATGACAAAGACTATTCAAGAACAGCTAGCCGAGCAGCCTCATACTGGTGATCCTCAACTCGTTCAATATGTCGGGACGGTGGAGGCGTATGATAAATGGGCGGAGGTATGTTCAGGAGCGAACCCTCGAAACAACTTTTCAAGCAGTGTAAATACTCAGCTTACTGACACTATGAATAGGTCTACGACACAGATGGAAATTTCCTTCAACGCCTCGACACCTTTGAGATGCGGGCTCTGCTTCCTCATTTCCTGGACAGAGTGACCGCGCGCTTCCCGACTCAACCGCAATCATCTCCACTGAAGCTAGTCGATTTGGGATGTGGCACTGGTAGAAATACCATACAGCTACTTGAAGCGCTGTCCGCGCGTCGACAGAGCAGCGAGGCTACTTCGTTCCAGGAGGTCGTGGGTCTTGATGCCTCACCGGGGATGCTCGAGGTAGCGGGAAGCGCAATTCAGGCTGCTGTGAGGGAGAAGAATCTCGCAGATACTGAGGTGTTGTTGGGAGTCATTGATCTTCTGCAAGGTGCATCATCAAAGGCGCAGCTACCTCCGTCACTGCAGGCGTCGGGTGCTGCGGGTCTCATTTCTACTCTCGTGCTAGAACACATTCCCGCAAAGGGGTTTTTCGAAGCAGCGTCAGCAATGATGCTACCTGGCGCCTATCTACTGGTAACCAACATGCACGCTGATATGGGTGCGATCAGCCAGGCGGGGTTCACGGATCCGCAGACTGGGGTCAAGATCCGACCCACCAGCTATTGTCACTCCGTTCCCGAAGTGCTAGCGGCGGCCGAGAAGGCCGGGTTCCAGGTGGAGAATCTTCTTAGCGAGGAAGGAGAAAATGGGGTTTTGGAAAGAGAAGTTGATCAGCAGTTAGGCGAGGCGTTAGGTGCACGGGCGAAGAAGTGGGTTGGAATCAGGGTCTGGTTTGGGATTTGTTTCAGCAAAAAGTAGTAGGAAATCTCTGCCTGACAATCAGTGGAGAATATGATTTCTATCCCTAGGGCGGGTAATTATACATTTAGAAAAACTGCAGGAGTCTGTCCCGGTGTTGTACAAGATTGGGGTTTTCTCGGAGTAGTTGTGTCAGTCTGTTCTGCTTCCACCCCATGCTCTCGTCCAAAATAAGATGTGTGTAGGCGAAGACGCTGGCGTCGAAGAGACCGGGCTTGGATCTGCCGAAGAAGTGCTCGTCCTCTCCGAGCAAGGCGGACAGAGCCTCGAAGGCGCTCTTCGCGTCTCCTTCCAGATCAGCGGCATCGATGTATTTTGATGTCTTAAGAAGCTCGTCGCGAGCTGCTTGTTGAAGTTGGATGCCCAGGGCTAAGCGAACGATAGTATTTGTTGTGGCTGGAATCACGTAGAGTCGGCGTGCGACGGCCTCAAAGTTTTCGCTGTCGAGATACAACATGTACAACTGAAAGCATGTTAGCAAGGGTGTTCCGGTGATCGCTCAAGGTCTATACAGGGAGAACATACCCAAGCATTGCGTAACCGGTGATCCAGCAGCGAAGCGTAGACTTCGAAGCGGAGGTTTAATTGTTGCTCCTCTTCGCAGTGGACTTGTTCAATGGCCCACTTCTGGAGCTTATGCGAGGGGATGGGACCGGGTGCGCCTGCGGGGAGAGCGGGAAGGAGAAAAGGCAAGGCGCCGGTGGGCGATGCATGGTTGTTGGAGGGGGTAACCTCAAAGTCGATTCCGACGAATTTCAGGTAGGCCTGCGCGAGATCAGTATAACTGCTCCGTGGACATGCTGGACAGGTCTCCTACCTGCCACTTGAGACATTGTGGGTTGAATGAAGGGCGGCCGTGGCGCGCGCTCTTCGCGTCACTAAAGACATATAACTGGTTGTCTTGTCGCCGGGAGGGAGACCGCTGCGGGAGGTCGTTGGGGGGATACGTGGTCAACGGAAAGCGGTCAAAGAGACGTTTGATGGGAGCTGGAACTGTAAAGAAATCGTGTACAGCATTGGGACCAGCGGAGCTGGTGCTTTCCGGCTGAGGACCCTCACTGCCTTTGGGCGGCATCGCGACTTTATGCAGAAGGCTCGGAGCAACAAGGGCCTCGGCCACTAAACCGTGACGATTAATAGGGACGGATAAACCTACAAGGCCGAGACCCATCGCCCCCACTAAATGACACATGATCACGTGCATCCGGAGGTACTCAGGCTCCGATCGCCCGCTTATACTTGAACCACTCACTTCCAATGGGTCAATGGTTGCGTAACCGCGATTAGGTAAACCCTCCCCGCATCGTTTTTTCCTCTCATCTTTTCTATGTTGTACCTGGAACTCTCGGAATTCGTCCCCTTACTTCGCCCTCCTGTCGTCACCTCGCCGATGCTCACGGCTTATCCCACTAGGTCCGGTCGGTTTCGGTGAACCTTCTCAAACCCCAACTCTTAGTTCCGGTCGACCCCGCTTCCAATCTCGACCTTTCGGGTCACGAAAAGGACGACATCTCTACAGAGAATTATCCCCAGGAATATTGCAAGTAATCGGCTTTTCATTCGAATTACGGCCCCGCGCCACCTGCGCTGGCGGACGGCGTTTGCGACACTGAGTTCTCGGTCGTCATCATTCTCATTCGACGACCATTGCGGCTCTCGATCACATCACCCACATCTTCCGGCTGCGGTAATGCCTCTCGACGAAGAAGGTGCGAAGTGGTCTTGGTATGATTATCTATATAAACAGTCAGTTGCGCATGCGCTAACATTCTTTCTATAGCGAACCATGCATTCGCGGCCACCGATCTTCAAAATGTCAACACTTCGATAGACTGATGATGAAAGTACCCAAGGCTGGACGCCCCCTAGCCAAATGTCCCCATCCAAAGGGGACTTGCAGTTGCCAGAAGACATTCGCCTTCATGGTCCGAATCCCAAAAGGTGAGCAGCCCATAACGTTTCCTGCCGGACTCCACTAATGTATGCCCAGGCTCGACATGTTTATGCCGACCGCTATACAAAGTCCCTGCCAGTACAGATGATTCATCCCAGTCTACTCCAGCGCCTGTACCCTCGGCCTCATCATCTGCCTCGGCCAAAGTTCAGAAATCGGGAAGACGACAGAGCCATCTTCAAGCCGCACCAGGAAACCTTGCGAAGGCGCTGGAATCTGTGCCCGACAATCTCAAACTTGAGGATGGTGTGGCCAATAATGCGGCAACCGCTCCTCATCACTCCGAACAGAATGGCTCTCTCTCGGGTATAAACTCGTCCAACGGCTTCCCACCTGCACCCGTATCTGACGGAGATACCCCGAATGGATCTGGCTGTTGCTCCAAGAAACCCCAGGTCCCACCGGTGGCTTCTAACAGCGGAGGTTCTTGCTGTTCTGGAAAGTCTAATGCGCCATCAGCGTCCAATACTCTCTTCACTGGGAACGGGTACAAGACGAGCCCGCCTCCTGACTGGAACGACATGTCATTTATGAATTTCGCTACGCCCCAGATACCCGCTTGGCAAAATCCGATGCCCTCTACCCAGACCCAATTCATGCAATCTTTGGGGATGCATAGCGCTCAGTCCCAGCCACTCTACATGAACGGTTATGCTCCTCATGTTACTTCAGCACCATCGTACTCGAACACGATGAGTGGGCTTGGGACAACACAAACGGCCGTAGCTCAATTCGCTGCGAATCACCCCCAGAAGTCCGCCTACACCCATTCTCATACCCATCATGATGCGGAATCTTGTCATGACTGCAAATGCGGAGACGATTGTCAATGCCTAGGCTGCGCGGCCCATCCATTCAACAACACCACTCGCCAGCATGTCCAGGAGATGGGCGTCATGATGACCTTTGATGGTGATGAGCATACACCTGAAACCATCACCAACGCCTACCAGCCCTCTCCCTTCCATAGCACTACTCCATCGACTCCGATGAACTTTGGCTTCATGCAGCACAATCCCCCCATGGAAAACACTGGTCAGCAGAACAACTTTGACCCATACTCAGACCCCAACTCCACCATGTCTTCTGGATACTCCTCTCCTCTCCGCGCCAGCCACAACTTGAACCAGCAGTTGATGCATCCATCTGAATACTACACTTTGGAGTACCCGGTGGGAATTCCCTCAGCTTGTTCGGATGTGACTGGTAGCTGTCAATGTGGCAACGACTGCAGTTGCGTCGGTTGCCTTACACACAGCGGCCATAATGGCGTGCCTCTCGATGCACCTATTCCAGAACCCTCTATTGCTACCACGACAGAACAGCACTCTTCATCACATCGCCATACCCCGGTGACATCTGTCAGCCATAACTCGCATATCACTGTGCTGGACAATGTCTCTGTGCCGTGTCTGAGCCCACGCACACTTGAGACATCGATGATATGAGTCTAACACGATGACCAACTTCTCTTCTGCCCCCCCCCCCCCCCCCCTTTTCCCAACCTTTTTAGTTACACGATTTATGATGTACAATGATACCCTTAGATATCTCTGCTCTAGAAAGCCGGCTGCAATGCACGCTTGCTATGTGGAACGAATTCGTTCAAATCGCTTGTTTAATGTCCTTATTACTACACCCTCTGATTATCTTTTTTCAGACACATACAATCCCTTTGAAAGGCTTCATCTCATAGGGTTGATTTCCTTCCGCTTCTTCAAGCCCTGTGCCCCATCACATGATACTTGCGAGATAGTCACATAGTAAAGTACCGTAAATGAAATGTCCCTACTAAGAATACCTTTCATCAGAGCAAAGCAGCAAACGCATGAACTTGGTAAGTATGGTTGTGGGTCTAGAGTGGATTCTACCGCGGTTTCGGAAAGCAGCGCTGCTACATTACATAATCTTGTCGACTCTATTCCAACCTCTCCTTTTTTGCCTGCGGTAAACTTGTTATCGCCAGGAATTGAATACCGCTTCAACTGCTTCGCGAGCTCTCCAGTTGGGAAGGAAGCGCTTTGAAATTTCTGGCAAAGTGCTCCGAGCTCGAATTCGATGGGAATGGCCGCTCGTCCTTGACGGGTTATTTCCACACATGAGGCGGCGCACATCTCACGGCAATAGTGCTGGCGCGAAAGGTATTACCCTCTTTTCATAGAAACCTGCCTGTTTCTTTCTTTCTTTGGAGAAATCGAGTATCTCATCTGAAGCTACACGATTGATGCGCATGTACGACATGCCCGAACTCTTTTCAACGGGCGAGGCACCAATGTCTCAGGACATTCGAGCCCATTATGTCCGCACGCAGGAATATACGTCGACGCCAAAGTATCCTCCCGGGTCCGCGATCGGCTCTGCGATGGGGTATTTTGGCCACGAAAACTATGAAGAGGACAATGATACTGTCGTCGTTGACAATAAGATCTTCAACTCAGCCACACATCAGTTTTGCGAGGGCGACTTCATTTGCCCTAACTTCTTCAATCTTGCAAATCTAGACGGCTTTACGCGTCGCTTCAAATGTAACCAATGGTCTTACGAGATGCGCCGCCAAGCACAGCCGATCTTTCCATTTCTATCCTTAGGCCCTTCATCTTGCCTCAGAGACCGCGAGTTTCTTTGTTCTCAGGAATTCACTCTTTTTCTTGCTATCCGCAACAGCCAGTCTGCTCAAGCTCGTCTGGTGTCCGGAAACAAGGCTGCTGCAGAACTTGGCGTGCAAGCTGACACTATTGATGTCCTCGACAACCAAGAGCTGATATCCGCTTTCCCCCGCGCCATTCGTCGCATCAATGATCATCTCGCGGGTGTGGATACCGATGCCTCTGGAAAGACGATAGAGTCTCAGACTGGCCAACCACCTACCAAGAGAAAGGTCTTCGTCTTTTGCGAATCCGGCAACGAGCGATCTGCCGCGGTGGTCATCGCCTATATTATGGCGATGCTCAACATGGATTCAGGACAAGCCCTTCACTTGACTCAGCAGCACCGGTTTTGTGTCTCGATCGAGGATCCACTGAAGCGCATTCTCTTTGCGTTTGAGTCTATTCTCTCGGCGAAGCGTGACGTTGAGCGCGCTAGGCGCTTAAATACCCAGACTGGAGCGGCAACACTTGCTCCTCCACCAGTGCCCCCTGTTCTGCTCTCCAAAAAACGGAGTTTTGCGGACCGTTACGATGATGATATCGATATGGCCGATGGTGATATGGAAGTCGATAGAGATGGGGACTTCTTCTCTGAGCGTAAACCCATTGCTCCCTTCCAGGACCGCGTGGTTTAGAAACGAAAAGAAATTAGGGACGCATTATGGCTTGGCTTCCTGACTTCATCTGAGTCTAAATTACCCATTGACCCTTCGATCTTTGCTTCCAACATCCGTTTCCCGGAAATATCCTGTCAATGCTGCTAGTTGCTATATAGATATTGCTCTTTGATATTTAGCCTTCTACACACTTCAAGAAATTTCCCGTACGTTTGAGGAGTATCATGACATCTACGTAAAGCTGGAACAAGAATACACTATAAGTGTTTCTCTAGGGTCTCTGAACAAGATACCTTGAGGGAGTCAGATGATGTCAAATGAGAAGATTAAGTAAAAATGACTAGGCAGCGGCCGAGAAGGTCCGAGAGGACATTTTGTTTAGCTTTTGCAATATCTTCCTCATCAACTCTCACTTCAGCCAGTCCCCCACCGTCTCCCCTATCGACACTCTCTTCCAAGCTTCTTCATCCCAACCTCACACTTTTCCATATGGTTTTCTGATTCCTCATCCATGGGACTAGTTGCCATGGATGACACGGATGGGTACGACGCGAACATGGACCCGGCGTTCATGACAAGTGAGGATGAACTTGATGCTGGACAAGCCAAGCTCAAATCCTGGGAGAGTACCGATCAAATTGTAAGCTCAATACACTCCTCATCAACAAGCGCTATTGAAGAGAATCTTGCTGACAACAAGGTCATGGACATTTAGGCTCGTCCTGGCTCCCTTGTTTTCGGTGACCTGAAACCTTCTATCCAGATTGAAATCGTTCACAACTTACGAGAGCAGTTGGACGGTGCCATCGATGCTGCATATATGAAGCTGAAAATTACTCAGGAAGAGAATATCAATCTAATACTGTACAACGAACTGTACAACCACAGCCTTGAGGCAGAAAATATCACGGTTCTGCAGTACAGGAAGAGGCAGAGAGCAGCCTTGAAGAAGCTTGATCAAGGTGCAGCCAAACATCTTGTTCAGGAAGACTTGTCCAATATCTTCAAGACCACTTGTCGGCAGCTGTCCTACAAAAGGCTCAACCTCGGCGCAGAAGATATCATGCATGCCAAAGCATCAGATGTCCTGCTGTCATACATGTTTTTAGATCGCCTCGATCTTCCCCGAAGTCTCGCTGGAACCTGGTACAATGGCATTGAAACCCGCCTCGATGGTCACTACGGATATCCCACCCCTGAGTCTGAATCTTGGGACTGGGCTGAAAACTTGTCCAAGCGCCAAAGCGACCTGGGAAGATTTGGCGTAACGCTGCCTGCATCCTCACAGGAAGAGCCAAGATATCCGTTTGTGGTGAAGGGGTCTGGTACCAAGAGCCCAGTCAAACAGGTAGCCACGTTTACCGACAAAGGCAAAGGGATTGGGAGCACCTCCAATGCGGAGATCCCCTTCTGGCATATCCATGGCCCCCCTACGAATGTGACGGACTCCGAGGCTCGTTACCTGTGGAAACTGACTCAATTTGAAATCGAACTGCTTCAAAAGGAGAAGGCATTGTTTGAAGCTGAGGTGAAGGGGACCAAGAACCAAGCCGAAGACCCTCATTATGGTGACTGTGATAACCCCGAAGACCCTTGGCACTTCCGCTGTAGATGAGGACGACGATGTTCCTGCATGATCGATGATCTATTCTTCAACCATCTATGCCTTGTTTTATGCACATGCCACACCATACACGATTTTGATGATTGTCTTGAGATATAGCAACTCGCAACTCCATCTGGGCACCTCTTCCCTGCAAAATGAATGCCCCAAACAAGAATGTATTCTAATCAATTTTGATTCGAAAGAGGCCTGGATAAAGCGATTCTGGTTTGAAATATTTGGAATTTTAGTGACTCTCACAGATAGCATGGAATACCATTTCAATGTATAAGTGTGCATGTGAAGTAGAAGAGCAAGTTGCAAGTAGAAAGGCGTCTAATATAAAAGTGGCCCGTGCACCGACGCGAAAATCCGCGTCTTAAACACGTGCCGTGCATCCTATGCGTTCCATCCTGTGGACAGTCTACAGCAGAGTCAACTCGTTCGCCTTATGAGGCTCGGGAATATTGACCACAGAATAACTGTGCAGAATTGGTCGGTTTTTTTGCATAGCTAAACCTTGATTTGGTTCCAAGCCTCATCCCTGGGAATGACGTCTGCGCTATTCGGACCCTGATCGATCGCACCTTCTTCTGTCATTCATTTCGCAAACCCCACCAGGCACGATGTCTGCCATAAACTCACCGATCACCTCGACTGACTCACGGGCTGACACCCTGCAGCCGGAGTCAACCGTGCCGTCTTCGCCTATGACCGATCTCACTCTTCAAGACACCAGACTTCCTTTGGAAGAGACGAACGGCGAAGATGAAGAGAATAAAAACAACGGCGGGAATGAGCCGTCAGAGTCTGTTGATGATATCGAAGGAATGGATACAAAGTCAAAGGCCCTGATGCATTTGTTGAAGACCAGCTCGGTAAGTTGCAGCCAGTGTCTGAATGTTTGCTTGCAAGAATTCTCTAATTCTAGTCTTCCTGCAGGTGTTTGTCGCTATTATGTCCGAGAAAATGCAGAAGCAGCAGGAAGAGGCTCGTCAGCAAGCAGCCAAAAAGAATCAGCTTCCCGCAGAATCAAAGGCCAAGCCTAATGCCGCAGCCGCTACTCGTCGCCAGACTCGAACTCAGGCCGCACAAGACTCCACTGCCGAGGATAAGTCTACTGGCAATGAGTCTACAACCAGCAGGAGGAGAGGCCGACCGAGGAAGAGTGCTGGGAAGGGCAACACCATCTCGAGCTACTTTCAGAGGGCCGACGTCGACGTGACCGAAGACAAACCCACTGTGCAAGAGGCTTTGGAACAGGCCGCGGACGAGTTCGAGGCAAACCCGACCGTCCTCGGCGAACAAGAGCTTGTGGCAACTCAGCAGCCGACATTGGTGACAGGCGGTCGTATGCGAAAGTACCAGCTGGAGGGTCTTGAGTGGCTCAAAACACTTTGGATGAATGGCCTGTGTGGTATTCTTGCCGATGAGATGGGTCTTGGCAAAACGATCCAGTCCATTTCGATGATTGCTTTCTTGAAAGAAAATAACGTCTCGGGGCCATTCCTGATTGCGGCACCCCTCAGCACTCTGAGCAACTGGGTCAACGAGTTCAAGAGATGGACTCCAGATATTAATGCGGTTCTGTATCACGGATCCAAAGACGAGCGCGCAGCGATCCGCAACAAACATTTGAAACTACGTGACCAGATGAAGATGGATTTCCCCATCGTTTGTACATCTTATGACATCTGTATCAATGACCGAAAGTTTTTGGCTCAGTATCAGTGGCGATACATCATTGTGGTATGTGCTCTTATCGTTACTTTCAGCTCGTCTTATGCTAACCAAGTCTGTAGGACGAAGGACACCGCCTCAAGAATATGAATTGCCGTCTGATTAAAGAATTGATGTCCTACAACTCGGCCAACCGACTCTTGATCACCGGCACTCCGCTCCAGAACAATATTTCTGAGTTGTGGTCATTGCTGCATTTCCTCCTTCCGGATGTCTTCAACGATTTAAACAGTTTTGAGAATTGGTTCGATTTTTCCTCTGTTCTCGACGACAATGGACAGGCCGAGCTCATTGAACGACGGAAGCGAAACTTGGTCTCTACAATGCACTCAATTCTCAAGCCCTTCCTTCTTCGCCGCGTGAAGACAGATGTGGAGGACTCTCTGCCAAAGAAGCGAGAATACATTCTGTATGCTCCGATGACCCCGGAGCAGAAGGAGCTTTATCGAGAGATCATCAGTGGAACCGGCCGTCAGTATCTCGAAGGAAAGGCGTTGGAGCGTCTGACGGCCAAGAGTCAAAGTGCCTCACGCTCCTCGAGTCGGAAACGTCGCCGCGAAAGTGACGAGCCGGATTCTTCCAATAAGAGTCACAAGTCGAGTGAGACTTCTACTCCGACCAGAGAGACCAGTGCTCGTAGTAGCCCGGCCCGCCGGCGCCGAGGTGTGAAAACTTACAAGGAGGCCTCCGATCACGAGTTTGACGCCAAGCTGCGGAGACTTGAGCGCGGAATTGAAGATCAGGAGGAGACAACCGAGCCTAGCGAAAATGAGCTCGAGGAAATTGAGCGTGCCAAGAACCTAAAGCTTGCCAGTACGTTACGGCTTAACCTATCACTACGAACGCCATGTCGCTAACACATTTAAACAGAGAAGGAAATCAGCCAGAAGAAGATGCAAAACCCGGTCATGCAAGCCCGTCTAGCGTGCAACTCTCCCCACAACTTCTACTGGCCATGGACAGACGTATCATCTGCCGTGGATGAGTCTCTTGTATCAGCATCTGGCAAAATGCTTCTTCTCGACCGACTGATACCCTGCCTCCTCAAAAAGGGACACAAGATCCTCATCTTCTCCCAGTTTAAAACCCAGCTCGACATCCTCGAAGAATGGGCCACCGGTTTGCGTGGTTGGAACTGCTGTCGCATTGACGGAGCCATCGCCCAAGCTGATCGCCAGGAGCAGATCGAAGCCTTCAACAAGGACAAGCAGCACAAGATTTTCCTCCTCAGTACTCGTGCCGGTGGCCAGGGAATCAACCTCACCGCGGCAGATACCGTTATTCTGTTTGATTCCGATTGGAACCCGCAGCAGGATCTGCAGGCCCAAGACCGTGCTCATCGTATTGGTCAAACCAAGCCGGTTATCGTCTACCGATTGGCTACCAAGGGTACTGTTGAGCAGACTCTCTTGGAAAAAGCAGATTCCAAGCGCCGTCTCGAGCGTCTGGTTATCCAGAAAGGAAAGTTCCGTTCCCTACTGGACTCCAGTGCCACCGCTCAAGACATGGAGGAGCTGCGGAGGGCTCTTGGCGAAGACGAGTTCGAGCGCTTTGAAACCGGTGCCGACCCCGAGTCTATTTTGTCTGATCATGATCTTGATATCTTGACAGATCGCAGCGAAGAGGCTTATGTCCGTGCCGAGAAGGGTCTCGAGCAGAGCGGTCCTGCTTTCGTTGCCGTCGAGTCCAAGCGTGATGGTGGTGAATCCCTGATGGCCTGAGCTCTAATCTTTCTGTTTGCAAGCATATTTTATGGGAATGTCCGGCGTTGCTGCTGTATTAATATTTGTGATCTGGCGTTGACCACCGACCTTGGGGTGTTTAGATCATTTCATGGGAGATCTAGATGTTCTGGATGAATTTGCGTGCTCTCGGCTCTTTGGGCATCGAGCAGTTTAGATACCTGCATTACGTGGGTGTTAATTTGCTAGAACTGCATACTAGTCAATGCAAAAATAGGATTCCATTATGCGCCTGCGAGCTCCGTGCCAGGGACATGGCTGTACAAACGGACACAGGATAGATCCGACAATTAATCAACATCCGCGCTCACCGTCGAGCTCGCTCGTCTTCGATCTCCGAGCGCAAGTCCGCAAGAACACCCTTGCGCTGGGCTAGATGATTCTTCAAGCCCTCAACTTGATCGCCAACGGTCTTAACGTCCTCCCTCGCACGCTCCAGGTCCTGTCCATCCTTCGAGCGGCCCACACCCTCTCGCAATTCACGAAGCTCCCGCTCCTTATATTCCAACAACTGCAGCGTCTCCTTCTTAATGAGAACCCAATTAGGACGACCATCGTTGCGAGGACCATCACGCCGGTTCTCCGAAGCGTCTCTTGCAGAATGAAGCTTCGTCTCAATCTCCGCCAGCTCCCGACGCAGACGGACCTTTTCCCATTCTTCATCCTGGATTGTCTCGCCGAAATCGGTTCCCTTGGGCTGGTACGAGCCTTTGCCGCCAACCCCGAGGCGGCTAAGATATGTGTCGCCGAACTTGGCCTTGCGGCCCGTTCGTGTCTCTTGGTTTCCGTCCGCACCGTAGCGCTGTGCGGGAGCGTTATCAATTTGGTAGTCGATCTGGTTACTCTCGAATGAGGAACGCAGCGATGCGGGGATGGTGCGCGGAATGCGGAAGCCTTCATGGCGGTAATTGAGAATATGCAGGAATGCTAGGGTAGCATCTTTGTTGATGGCCTGGCCGGCGGAGGGGTTGACCAGGTTCCATGCGGAGCGGATGTCGGTGTCGGGGACGTCGAGGGATTCGTAGAGGGGTTGTAGGGATTGGACTGGAGCTTGAAGGTTAGCTGCTTGCTTCGGGATCACGGAAATTCGTTGGGCGAGGCGACTGACAGGTAATTTGGCCACGGTGGTCACGGCTAGAGCTGTAGATTTCTTCGTACTTGGACTTATCGGCGGGCTTCATATACCAATCAAAGCCGTCCTTCAGCCCGAGGGTATCGTCCTCATCTTCTATCCGCTCGAATTTCTCCGAACCACCGGTCAACGCGCGCGTCGCGTGAACGAGATGTGACTTTGACTCTGGAACCAGCCAGTCTGGCAAGACGGATGGGACGTCTTGTAGTTCCTGTGTTCCGCAACGTCAGGCCCTGATCTTGGATCGTTCCAATATTTGGAGGGGTATACATACGCCATTGACGAGATCGAATACTAGGCGCATGGCGACGCAGAACTCTTCGAAATCAAGCTCACCATCGCCATCAACATCCGCAATGTCCCAGACCTTCTCGAGTTGATCATCGCGGAGTCGACTATTGCGCAGCACGGAGGCGGCTTGGGAGCTGTTCAGGTACTGCTGGCCGTTTGCTAGCGAGGCGAAGATTTCCCAGTAGCGCTCGATCTCCCATTGCTCGATCTTTTTGGCGGACATGGTGGGATTGGGGGGTTGTGATGAAGGTGGAGAGGTTGGAGAGTTGGGGCGAGGTCAGATTTACCCGCTGTCCGCTTTCAGGGGACCTGAGGTCATCGTTGTTTACCCCAATTTGTATACTTCATATTATTACAAGGCCAGTCTATTTTTTTAAACACAAATATCTATTGAATATGGTTCTGCCAACATATGAGGCTATGGTACATCAACTGTTGGTTGAGTGAAGTTGTAGTAGGATACATTCTATCAGCTTTCTTCTCCAAGACCACGATATCTTATAAGTTCTTCTTTTCGTCTGAAGAATTCGCTTCCTTTTCTTTCTCTTTTTGAGCCTGGAGCTGCTCACTGATTTGAACGATGGCGCGCTCAGCCTCCAATGCCAGCTCAGGAGCATCCAGTATTGTGGCAAGCTTCTTGGCGTCGGACATCTTTAAGAGCACACGGTCCTCGCTCTGTTCAAACATATTGACCATTTCTGAAGCTGGGGTATCAATGGGGGCATTGTCAAGTGTGCGAGATGCCCTTTTGGCATATAGTTGCTCTAAAGCCGGCAGGGAAGTAGGCTTCAGAAGATCCTTCTCTACCAGAAACTCGAGGTGTCGCGAGCCATTCAAAGCTGGCAATTGATCATTAGCACCTCAAGCTAGTCCCATGAATGAATATTGACTAACCTCGCCAATGCGACCAGCCTCGATAGACCAGGTAGAAAAATGGAATGTTAGGGACACTGCAGAATGCTCGTCAGTAAATGAATCTGCAAAGGGCTCAACAATGCCGCAAGAGCATACATTGGGATTAGACCCAGAGGTGCTGTGATGGGCGCAAACCCGAAACTCCACAGCATCTTCTTTCGATGGAATTCTTGTCGGTCTGTAGCAATAGCGCGCAATATGGTCGGAATCTTCTCCAGTCGCACGGAATTTCCTGGGAAGAGCACCTCAATCTTCTTCTTGCCATGATCTTCATCGATCCGCTGCTGCGAAGCGAGCGACGGTATACTCTTGAGACCCCATTCTTCAAAGGGAATCCGCTGCTGGACTCGATTACCCCATGTCACCAGGTGCTTCTTCCAGCCCGATTCGGCTTCTTCCCAGCCCGCCCAGGTCTGAGCCGCCTTGCTTGTAGCTCGGTCGAGTAGTGATAGCTCTTTCGGGATGTCTTTTCGGAGAGGTCGGGCGTAGATTAACGCCCGTCGAGTCGAGATGGGGATCAGGAAGAGGCGCATCGCCGCGGGGTCAGGTTGGAACGTGTTTGAAAAGACTGACTATCGCAGAGGATACGAGATGAAATGTAAGATGCGCAGCATGGAGCCCGGAGCCCAAAGTACCGAGTGTTGTGGGGTTTATCGAAAGGGAGGCACAGGATGGAACACGGGCAGAGATGGTAAGCAGGGGGAGACGTCATTCCGCGCCTGGGCGAACCTCGTTTTGGGCCGGAGATAACCTTGGACCCATCATCTCTTCTCTCCACTTTCTGCTTTTGACCCGTCAGTTTCGGGTTTCCTTGCTTCGTGCTTGGAATTGGGCTCTTGTCTGGCCTCAACCCTTCAAGATCTTCGTCCCCAGGTGATGCGCATTTCGAATTGACTCCTCCAGCCAGCGCTCACTACCCTTGCTTGCCATGGATGCGACGAACAGCTTTCAGCCCGACAGCGGTACAGGGCGAATTTTCAACGAAACCTTGTCTGAAAAGGTGCCCTCGGGCTTTGAATCATCGACTCTACATTCAAACCATTTGACTGTTGACACGCAAGCCGGCGCCCTCCGCAACGCACATGCCGATTCACCAGCCACAGCACCACGAACACCAGATCGCCAGCCACACGCAGAGCCTGCCAAATCGCAGCACTTTACTCTGAGAACGCTGCCCCGTATGTGAAAAGCTCTTTTGCCGGGGGCTCATACTTTGCTGACACAATCTATAGCTTGGATTCGATCGGTTGAAGCGGCTGCAGACGACGGAGAAGAAGCTCAAGCTAGCGACCGCCTATTACCCTCCGAACCAAACGATGCACGTGTGGCTCAACATAATTATGCTCCTCATATAACCTCCCGGCAAGAATATTCTCTCTGGGGAGAGCGGGCTCTTTTCGATGGAAGCCGGACACCTTCGCAGGCCCGTGAATCCCGCTGGAAGACATTTTCGCGCACTATCCAGTATCCCCGAGGATCTGAAGGGGAGATCAAAGAGGTTACGCCAGAATGGATGAACGACAACCTTGGAGATTACTCGGGGCTATGGCGAGGCAACCTTCTTGAAGGAGATAGTCCGGAGTACCCATTACACAATCACGGACGCCGAGAAATCTGGTTCAAACGCTTCCACAGCCAGTTGCTTAGAAGCCCCATTGTGCCGTTGATTCTGCGCATGACAGTTTGGAGCTTCTCACTCTCGGCCCTGGCTCTAGGTGGATCAATTCAGCATATGGCTAGCAAGGGGGATCGCAGTGAAGGTCCGTCCGCGCTTATGGCAATCATTGTCGACGCCGTAGCCCTGGTCTACCTCCTCTACATCACATTCGATGAGTATACGTCGAAGCCACTAGGCCTACGATCTCCGTCAGCTAAAGCTCGGCTGATTCTGCTCGACTTGTTCTTCATTGTCTTCGACTCCGCCAATCTTAGTCTGGCCTTCGATTCTTTATCGAATGTGACGGGCTCCTGTACCGAGGCAGATATCAACTCCAAAATCAATCCTCAAAATAACGCCATCTGTGGGCGACAAAAGGCCCTCGCGTCTGTTCTCTTGATTGCTCTCCTCGGCTGGCTCATGACATTTGCGCTCAGTGTTCTACGGTATGTCACTGCATAAAATAGTATAATAATGGACCTGACTAATATCATTACAGACTTGTCGAGAGAGTGCAGCGGTGATATCAATGGGTTGCTTCCTTCTCGGAATACTAATTCCTTTCGGTTCGCAAACTTGTACTCTCCTTTTTGCCGAGTCATATGTGGGTTTATAGACAATTTTCTACACATGCAGAGCAGGGCCATCTTCTCCATACAGAGGGTCTTGGTGGAACCACTCTAATTTCTGAATGCCCTGCACTTTTGCTTCTTCGCCTGGCCGTCCATAACACATGTCCCACTCTTTCTGCGGAGGGTATGACCCAACCATTTTGAACGGCACATCTCCCTCGTCTTCCAAAAGGCGGTGCCCCACCCCAGCAGGCACGATGATCAAGTCACCGCGCTGAACCGTCGGCTCGAACCGCTCGGGGTTCTCTTCACCTCCGAAGCACAGGCGTGCGCGTCCTGCAACGACACCTAGAACCTCGTGTGTGGTGGAATGGAAATGGGTCTCCCTATACATGGTAAAAGTCCATTGAGGGATGACTTCCCCAATCGATTCCAGGCGGCGCGTGAGCTCCGCGGCTGTGGCGTCGAAGGCGCCATGGTATATCATGAGGGGTTTTGATCGGATTGAAGTGTTTGGAATCAGATGCCACGAGGGAATCTGACGACAAGTCACTTGGATATCATCTGCGGAATTGAAGGCCATGGTTGTTGAGAGCATGCTGGGAGTTTACAGAGTGATTCGTACGACAACACACGTAATGACGTCATTTTGGATCTAGATGCTTCTCAAGGTTTGGTGCACATCGGTGTACACCACACACACCCCCTATACTTGACTGAAAACGATCTTCCATCAGTAGCAACTTCTTGAAGCGGTATTTACCTTGGAGCTCTTTTCTGCAGACATGCTAGGTATTCCCTAGATGATGTTGTGGGAAGGTTCATGAAGTATTGTGAAACTAGCGGATGACCATTTTGGAACATATTTTTTCAGCCATATAGATGTGATTAAATGGATAGAGATTAAGAGCTAGCTCAAATATGAGCAAAAATCAAATGCGAAGAAAACAATCCAAACAGGCTTGGAAGTTAACTATGTATAATCACGAGAAACTTTGAACAAAAAACGCGGCATTCTCGACAAGTCGGATACCCTCACCGCTTTCTGCAATCGGCCATCCCCACGCTCGCCCTTCTCTCAGCCTCATCTTGCCGCCACACCTGCCTGATCTCTACACTCTCGCTTCTCCTCTTCCGGGCATCGTCTTCTCGTCTCTGTTTCTTTCCGGGGTGTTCCTTTGCCCACCGAGACACGGGTATCTCACTGCCTATCTCTGGGCGTGACTTGTGGCGCACTTATCTCCGGCCTAGGAGAATCGCGGAAGTACGTGACCTTTGGTAATGACGAGGATGGCCCTCTCCCTTCGATGAATCTCGCTGACTGTCGGCTTTCTCTAGCTAGAAATCTCACGCCTTCCATTTTCCGCCTTACTTCGTCTTCGCCCCTTGACATCATGCCGCCTGCGGTCCCACAGACTCCTCACAAGGATGACCTGACAGAAACGTGAGTTATTGGATGGGTAAATACTGGGCAGTTGGACTGACGCCGGCGCAGATGGTCGTTCTTGGAGTCGGGTATTGATAGCGTCATGCTGAAGCTTGACGAGGGAGTTGACATGAAGACTGTGAGTGACAAATGGCGGCAGCTGCACCTGAAGCACGCTTTTTCTCCAAAATACGCCAGAAACTGACGTCTGCTCTGTTTTTAGTATATGGCTCTTTACACGTTTGTTTGACCTCCGATTATGTAACGGTCATCCGCTTATAGCTCATCCATAGGGCCGTCCACAACTTCTGCACGTCACAAAAGGCCGTCGCCAGCAACCAAGGCCTGCAAGCTCACCGCGGAGGTTCGTCTCTCTCTGCGTCCCCTACTGGAACCCCCTTTTCAACCCCAAGTGAAAGCATTTTCACCGAGCAGAATGGCAAACTAATCAGAGATCAAATATCATCAGCGCACCTACTTGGCGAGGAACTCTACAAATTACTGGGCGAATACCTCTCACGTCACCTGAGTGCGGTACACAGGGAATCCCAGGGTCACACCGATGAAGCTCTACTAGCATTCTACATTCGCGAGTGGACCCGTTACACCACCGCCGCCAAATACGTGAACCATCTGTTCAGTTATCTCAATCGTCACTGGGTTAAACGCGAGATTGACGAGGGCAAGAAGAACGTGTATGATGTCTACACTCTCCACCTGGTAAAGTGGAAGGACGACTTCTTCGAGAACGTCCATGGCAAGGTGATGGACGCCGTGCTGAACTTGGTTGAAAAGCAACGAAATGGTGAAACTATCGAGCAGTCTCAAATCAAGAGCATCGTTGATTCTTTTGTATCTTTGGGCTTGGACGAAAACGATAGCAAGAAGTCGACATTGGAGGTTTACCGCCAGTACTTCCAGCGGCCGTTCATTGTCGCGACCAAGACATACTACGAAAACGAGTCCCGGCAGTTTGTGGCAGAGAACAGTGTGGTGGAATACATGAAGAAGGCAGAGGCTCGACTCGATGAGGAGAAGGCTCGTGTGGGTCTGTATCTTCATCCGGATGTCACCAAAAGCCTCACGGATACTTGCTTGGATGTTCTTGTCACGGCTCACTCCACCCTGCTTCGCGATGAGTTCCAAGTCTTATTGGACAATGAGCGTCAGGAGGACCTTGCGCGCATGTACCGACTTCTGTCGCGCATCAAGGAAGGGCTAGATCCATTGCGTACCACTTTTGAGAACCATGTGAGGAGGGCCGGCTTGGCTGCCGTTGAGAAAGTTGCATCAGAAGGCGAAAACTTCGAGCCCAAGCTGTACGTCGATGCCTTACTCCAGGTCCACACCCGGTACCAGAACCTTGTCGACGATGCTTTCAATGGCGAGTCTGAGTTTGTGCGTTCTCTCGACAATGCCTGTCGCGAGTTTGTCAACCGCAACCGCATCTGCAAGACGACCACGACCAAGTCCCCTGAGCTTCTGGCCAAGTATACCGATTCCTTGCTCAAAAAGGGCTCTAAAGCTGCTGAAGAGTCCGAACTCGAGGAGATGCTGGTGCAGATCATGACTGTCTTCAAGTACATTGAGGACAAGGACGTCTTCCAAAAGTTCTACTCAAAGATGCTTGCGAAGCGACTGGTGCATGTCAGTTCAGTGTCTGATGATGCGGAGACTTCTATGATCAGCAAGCTGAAGGAGGCTTGCGGTTTCGAATACACCAATAAATTGCAGCGCATGTTCCAGGATATTCAGATCTCAAAGGACCTTAACGCCAACTACAAGGACTACCAAGATAAGGTCCTGGATGATGATGACCGGAAGAGAATGGTCGATGCACACTTCCAGATCCTGGGCACTGGAATGTGGCCCCTCAACCCACCAACCACAAATTTCACCGCGCCGCCAGAGATTAACAAAACCGCCGAACGCTTTCAGAAGTTCTACTTTGACAAGCACAGTGGCCGTAAGCTAACGTGGCTGTGGCAGCTGTGTAAGGGTGAAGTGAAGGCAAACTACATTAAAAACACCAAGGTGCCATATACATTCCAAGTGTCGACTTTCCAGATGGGCATCTTGCTTCTGTTCAATGAGACCGACACACTGGGGTATTCTGATATCCAGAAGGCCACCAACCTTGCTTCTGAAATCCTAGACCCCAATCTTGCCATCCTCTTGAAGGCGAAGGTGCTGCTGCCAAACCCTGAGGGCGGCAAGCCTGAGCCATCCACCTCATTCGGCTTGAACTACAACTTCAAGAACAAGAAGGTCAAGGTCAACCTCAATATTCAGATCAAGTCCGAGCAGAAGGTAGAATCGGACGATACACACAAAACGATAGAAGAGGACCGGAAGCTGTTGCTCCAGGTATGTATCCCTCTTCACTTCCAACAGTTCTAGTTTACTAACCTTGCCCACTAGTCTGCTATCGTTCGCATCATGAAGTCTCGTAAGAAGATGAAGCACGTCCAACTCGTGCAGGAAGTCATCCAGCAGGTCAAGGCCCGCTTCCCGCCCAAGGTCCCCGACATCAAGAAGAACATCGAAGCCCTCATGGAGAAGGACTATATCGAGCGTCTAGATGGGGACGAAATTGCCTACATTGCTTAAAACACCTCCCACTCGTTCCTTTCCTCCAACTCTCATCGCATCATCACATCCTCTTGCTTGAGTCCTTTCCATTTCATTTTTTCTCGTTTCTGCCTTGCTCTTTTCCACCAGTCCTTCTATCCCATGGCTCATTTTCCTGCCATGAGCAGAGAGGCTGCGGATAAGATTGACATGGACTGGGGAGCTTTGGCTATGGTTTGGGATGACAGGGAGCTTCGGAGCACAAGATCGTCGCATTATGTTTATTTTAAAGTCCATCTTTCATCATAGCGTTGAGACGACAGATCAATGATAACCCGGTATTCTCGTACCTTTCTACCTTATCAGAAAATCGTAGTAGTAGCAAGGACGAGTGGTCCATGGGTGCCTAGTCGTATACTCGTGAAGCTCTAGTGGTCAATGTGGGAATGCGTGGTCACAAAAATGTAACGATTCATCATCTTGCCCATCAAACCCATCAAACCCATCATCCGAAACGGACATAGATCCAGTTACATTGGCTTAGACAGTCCCGGGTAAGTATATTCACATGCGAATGATAAAAAAAAAACAACTATGCAGACATGAGTATGGACAAATGCAGCGGCTTGCGAATGGGTATGCCTCGCTTGTATGCCAAGTATCTAGGGGTAGTAATGGAAAAATTAATATGTAGTTCTCACGGCGATCACTATGCACTGGTTTCCTTGGCTTCCTTGGGCTCATTGGTTTCCTTGGGAGCCTCCACCGAGTGCGTTTCAGCAGTGTGGGCGTGCGCGGCCTGGAACGCGCTCTCTTCCGGGTTGAGGTCTACTCGGAGACCCTCCTCCGATGAGAGCGGCACCGCGCTGAACCCATCGGTATCAGGAGCAGTCTCAGATGACTTCTCGGGTTGCGATGTGGGGTCTGTGTTCTTCTGCGCTTCCGTTCCGTATGCTGGGAAGCCATGAGACAGAGGAGACTTTGGGTAGGGAGCATCAGAAGCCTCTGAGCCGTTGCTGGGGAGACTAAACTCGCCACTGTCGCGGCGAAGAATGATATTGCTCCATCTCTTTCGGCGGCTGAGGCTGCGCGACAGACCCTCTGCGTCTTCGCTGCGCCGTTGCATGGAACGGCGGCGGCCACGGTCAGACTCTACAGTCTCGGTGACTACTGACAGGGCTGGTGTGGATGGAGAAGCGGTCAAGCCTGGGTTTGGGCTGGGAGAGGAGCTGCGCTTGTCTTGCCATTCGCGGCGCTTCTCGCTGGCCCACGATCCCCATGAGCTGAAGTATGCGCCGGCCTTTTGGCTGGCTGCGCTGACCGAGGCTTGTGCTTGGCCTACGTCGATAGAGGGTTTTTGACGAGGTCCGAACCAAGCACCGGAGGCATCAGTGGAAGGGTCTGGGGAGGCCGCTGGTGGGGAGGCAGGGGTCTGGTCCATAGAAGTACGCTGGGAGGCCGAGGCCTTTTCCTCGTTGCGCTTGCGCTGGGCTTCGCGCATAGACTCAATATCGGACCAGAAACTATTAAATGCGGCGCTGAATTTCTTTTGACCGGTGCTGAGATGGCGGTTGAGTGCCTCTCGGCCCTCACGCACTCGCTCGTCAAGGTGAAGGTCTGCGACTTGCTGAGACACTCGTCGCTGGATGTCGTCCATCGTCAAGCCACCAGCACTTGGGTGCTTCGGCTCAGTAATGGAGAAAAGGAGCGCATCCGACGTGAGTTTTGAGAAAAGAGCGTAGTTCGACGTCTTCTGCCATTGTGTGAGAAATTCAGGGTTGAAGTCAAGCGCAGGATCACCCTCGATATTGAAGTTCTGCAACTGCGCCCTGCTCCGGTGAGGCGAATCGCCGGAGTTGAAGGAAGTGAGTTCCTCGTGATACTTCATGGAAGACAGCAGTGCCAACAAGTACTCCTCGAACTGAAGTCGAATAAACTCTTCCGAGCCCATGAAGCCCAGTGTCTTGGGTTGTGACGGGTGCTCCTCATCCCATGTTTCATTAACGATCTGGGTAAGGAGATCGATCCAGCGCCGGTCAGACACAGAAAGAGTCAAAGCCGTGCGCAGGGCTGGCGATGAGATGTTGATGCTGTCATCATCAAGCTATTTGTAATAGACCGCCTGGTCAGACTTGAATTTTCGTACGATTGTAGTTTGGGTTACTCACGTTGATTAGAATGTCGCTGTAGCGATCCTTTTGTTGCAGGAGTAAGGAATTCGTCGATCCCACAACGTACGACTTTGTGCCATCATCGGCTAGCAGATCCAGTTGCTGGAGAGGGGTATAGGGACCAAACATGCTTCCCTAATACTGAGATAAGAATTTCACCTTTTTATGGGAGGAGTATATTCGCACGTACCTTGCCAAAGATCTGCAATGGAAGACCCATATATGCCAATACTAATTTAATTAGTACAATCCCCTCCAATTCAAGCTCACGGGTGAATCATACAGGATGTCCGGTCGCTCGTCTTGAGCGAAGTCGGTTTCTCGACGGTCTGTGCAAAATTGTCAAACGCTGGGTCCGCACAGTCCTCCAGACTGTTGATGAGACCCGGAATTAAGGAGATCAACGAAAATTGAATCATGCATAAACGTTCACAGCGAGTGCCGAAAAAGAGCATCTATAACATTTAGTATGAAGACCGGAAAGTATGCAAAAAACATAACATACCTTAGGCTGCAGCAACAAGCCCTTGACCAGAACCAGCGTCTGGTGCTTGAATTCGTGGATCATTTCTCGGAGAGAAAGACCTGTATCAATATCAGTAAAAGCCGTCGGAAACCAGATACTGGATGAACTCACCCAGATTCTGGTCTTTTGGGCCATCGTTCTGCAAACTAATGACCAGACCCTCGCGAAATTTCTAAAGAAAACACATTAGCTGACTAGTTTTCTATCCAAATGCTCGTGCATAACCATACCTTCAATATATCGACATCAGAAAAGTCCCTACCAAAACGTGTCTTAGGTTAGCCAGTTATTCCCTCGGGTATGCACACACCACACTATGGGTCGATATCATGATCATATCTCTTCCACAAAAACAATACTCCTCAGATATGAAATAATCATCGAACATACTTTTGAGCAAACCATGCTGAGGTCACCACGGAAAGCTTCTCACGTAGTTGTCCCACCCGCTGGGGGCTATCCGTAACCACCACAACAGCCTTCTGCACCGTAGACCGAGTCACATCTGCCGGGCGATTGATCAAAAGCTTAGCATCGAGCTGGCGCGAGCAAGAAATGCCGAATAGGGAGGTAGCCGGACTTGTGGACGTTTCCTTACGACGGAGCGTGAAGTAGGAGAACTCCTCCGTCGAACTAAGGCATGGCGTGGTACTAGTCAGTCTATCTGCGCTTCTATGCGAACGCGAGCGGTTTCATACAGGTGTGCACCGTCGGACAGGGCCATGAACGGTAGCAATGACCAGTCATTCTCGATAGCCGGGTCTGATCCTTCGTCGGCGATGCAGTGTTCGATCTCGGGGCCTCTGGATGATTCGGTCAGTCTCGTCCGATTGCAGGGATGCGCTGGTCTTGGGTAGAGTCTAGGATACTCACCGTGCATGGTGGAAATCAATCACTAGCACAATTGGATCGTGGTTTTGTTCAGCCATGGCGATCGTGTGGGGTGGAGAGTGCTCGATCGAGGGGGCAGAGCCGATGCAAGGGACTTGGACGATCTCCAGAGGCTCCAGTCCTCATGAAGGTAAGGTAATAAGAAGGTCACGATCGGGGGGGGTTCGCGATCTCATAGGGGAATTCGATAATGTTATCGCTCACGTGTTGATTACGGGCGGTGTGAGCCCCGCGTCCCCGGTCTCAGGTCTCAGGTTCAAATTCGAAGATTACTTTATACTGTAGTTACTAGTGCCGAATACAACACTGCTCAAGTTCGTATGATTTCACCTCACCAGCCTACTCTTAACGACGCCGATGAAACTATGGACAATTGTTTCCAACGTATAAAAAAAAGCTCAAAAAAGACAAACACGCCGAAGTTTGCAGAAGATTTCCCCAGTAGATATATGGCTCGGGCCTCACGTCCGTGAAGAACGGAAAACAAAGGTAAAGAAAAGGAACTCATTAAGGGCTTGCGATTAAGAGCCTATGCGAAAGCCTGGGGGTAGTTTCCCTGCACAGGGCCCTCGACCAGAGCCTGTCCAGCCTCGTTACCCTGGTCGATGTTGTGGAAGTCGAGAATCTCGGAGTACCTAGTCAATTGTAAGCAAATCTCCAAGCAAATACTCTGCGAAGCACCTACATCATAATCTTCCAAGTATCCACGGGCAGATCAGCATCGTTGAAGGACCAGTCGAACTTCTCTTGTGCGACCGGCTCGTCGGTGGGGTCGTGGTAGGGGGCAAGGTACTCGTGGGCCAGCGCCTCACCAGCGCGAACTCGCTTCTTGGGGTCGAACACAAGCATCTTCTCGAGAAGATCGATGGCTGTGAATTGTCAGCAAGCATGAACTCGTGGGAATCCCAGAGCATCACGTACCATCCGCATCAGCACCCTTGAACTTATTAGCCAGGGATTGGCGCTCGCGCTTTGGGAGGGATTTGACGAATCGCAGAGTCTAGATACACCAGAGATTAGCCCAGTTTCTCATACTCGTTTAACATGGGGGATAAAGCTCACGTTTTCGCTGCAGATGGTCTGGATCACATCATCGGGGGGAGTACCCAGCAGCTCGGTAATGATAGAAAATTGATTGACGTGGTCCTTTCCGGGGAAGAGCGGCTTGCCCTCTAGCATCTCGGCGAAAATGCAGCCCGCACTCCAGATGTCCACTTCCACGTCGTACTTTTGCCACGTGAGCATAATCTCGGGGGCCCGGTAGTAACGTGTTGACACATAGCCGGTCATCTGCGGGTCCTGGATACGCGCCAGACCAAAATCGCAGATTTTCAAGTCGCAATTTTCATTGATTAGGATGTTGCTGGGCTTCAGGTCACGGTGGACCACACCGGCGGAGTGGACATATTTCAATCCACGCTGCGCATCATCAGTAAAAATGTATAATTTTAGCCCTATTGTCAATTTCACTCACCAGGATCTGGTAAAGAAAGTACTGGATGAATTGCTTCTCGAGAGGGCGAGAAGTCAAGAGACGGTGGAGGTCGGTGCCCAGGAGCTCGGTCACGAAGTAGCTGCAGAGGTAAGTAAGAGGTCGCAAGACAGTTTCGACGGCGGCTTTGGGAGACGTACATGTCCTCGAGGGGCGAGATAAAGATATCGCTCAAGCTGATGATCTGTAGTGGGGAGTTCAGTATATAGGCATTGCAGCCCTCGGATAGCGGGGAAGACCCACGTTCTCGTGTCGGAGATGCTTGAGCAGCTTCAGCTCTCGGTAGGTACGCTTAGACAGAACCGGTGTGCTGAAGGGCTTCATGATCTTTTTGACTGCCACAGGCTGGCCGGTCAATTGGTCGCGCGCTGAGCTATCGGTGGTACACTCCGATTAGTCTTGGGGGGGTCGTCGCAACGCGATATTGATAATCAAACATACCACACGAGCCCAAAAGCTCCCATGCCCACCGGCTGGAGGTCCGAATACCTAGAAAGCAAATCTTAGCAAAAGCACCGATGGCGGGGCAACGGGTGAGGCGAACCGGCTGGTAATCTCGAAGGTGGTGCCGAAGATCTGGGACCGCACAAATTCCGCCATGGTGAAGGATTGCAAGCAACGCGCTGGTAAAGAGAGGAAGTTTTTTCAGAGAGCGCGGTGGTATTAGGAAAGGGGGATATCGCGTGGGGAAGGGCCTTTCGGTGAAAAGCGCAGAAAACAAGGACGATGACGTTCGCGACGGGCCAGGCAGGTTTCCGAGCAGGCTGACTAAGGCGCCCCTTCCTACGGGTTTCGTGCTTCGTGCCTGTCTTCCATGGCCTCGACCAGTCTCCCTGCTCGGTTGGTTTTTACTTTGACTTCGGGTAATAGATACGATTGACCTTCTAGATGCAATATTTCTTCGATTACCCCTTCCTCACTTGGGCTGGCCCTGAAGCATCGTGATCTGGTGTCCGCCCCACCAATCACGCGGCTTTGTCTAGACCGAGTCCATTGACGGCAGAGTTCTTCCGTTCAGCAGGATAGGATCCTAGGGACTATATACAATACCTAGCTGTACAACATAGACAATAAGGGCAGTTGATGCCACCTAGTCCATCGCTGAAGACAGCACTTGATGAGAATTATCGCGCTTAGCCCGGGCTCAACCCGCCTGCTGTGTTGTGCGGCTGTCATTCGCGGCACGTTGCCCCATTAGGGACTTTGACCTCTCGGGCCTATCTGGGCAGGCGTAGCCATTCCTCCTTACTGGGTCGAGCCAAGGAAGCCCTGATACGACACCTGCTCTGTGTGCAGGCTAGGATCTAGATGCGGTCTAGACCGAGATCTTCCACGCGTGGAAGATCTCTATCTCTCCACTGGAGGCTCAGCAGGGACAAGGTAAGCGGTATGAGGCATTAAAAGATGGTGATACGTATAGCTTAATACCTTGAGGGACGGGGTATACGAAGAACCGGGGGTTTAGATTTGTCTAGAAGAACCCCGACCAGTGGTTCGCCCGGCACCGAGCTGAGACATCTGAAACAAAGCGAGCCACGCTACTGCAGAACAAAGGCTTTTCTTAGGCATCTTTCTGGATTTCATATAGTGAAAAGTGAAAAGTGAAGAATGAAGACGTGAGCAGGAAATACCAGGGGCTACTAGATTTATGTAGGGCACCCATTTAGCGTCGAGGGGGAAAACCTTGGAATCTCGGAAATATATCTACGGGGTCATTCTCTACATCCCTGCAAATCCCTTTACCGCGTCTCCCAGATTCTTATCCGAGGAATTTTCTACACCGCATTTCAAGTCCAGAGCCGTCTATGTATTCCTCTATTCAGGGAGACTCGGTATCATATGCACTCCACGCAAGAAACGTGGGGAGGGCACGTGAACCCTGCTGCCTCAGGCGCTGAGGCCCCATGTGCGTCACGACTCTCCACTTCGGAGCTCCGGTGGGTTACTTTACCGTTCGTTTCCTGTAGAGATCTTACCTAGGTATGTATTGTGAGACTCAATGTAAGGGTATCATAGATCTAGATAATTTATCTATAGCAGCCCAGAAGGGCTCCAGGCTCCAGCCTCCAGCCTCCGGGCTCCGGGACTCCAGGGCTATGTCTTCCATGCTGTCCGGGTCAAGCGGGAATTGCCCGACGCCGCCATGGCCCCTAAGGTCGCAGTATTAGGAAAAGCCCGGGTTTGGCCCCAACGAGGTTCAAGGACGGGAGAGGCTTAGAGAGAAAAATCGCAAGAAAAAATAGCCGTGTACCCTGGTAATTACGGGCACGATGTAAGCTCAGCCGTACATGGTTTTTACCCCCGTAATCACCCTTCTGGCATCTCCACTCCCCCAGCATGACGATGGTCGTACCGACTTGACCTTCCTTCTTCAGCTTCACCTTTCCCCCTGTCACTTTTAGCACCCTCCTCCACCGTGAACCTCCCTGGTATTTCCACTCCCGAACTTCCGGTCTCGCCAGCTCGTCACGATCCCGCTTCAACGTCAAACCCGCCGACACCCTTTCATCCGCTCGAAACCCCCCTCTATCCCCGCCTTGAACCTTCACCGAAATCCATTCCTCGCGATCTTGCTGATCGCAAGTGTGAACAAGTCCCCTCCGTGTTCAGGTTGCGCCGATTCTGATCCCGTGCGTGACGGTTGGCTGTTTCTCCAACCAAGCGAAAGGCTGCGGCCGTCCCGTTGGGCTGACACCTGTCGCCTTTGCGCTTCTCAATTCAACCCTCGTTCCCTGCTGGTCTGGGAAAGCTGAAGAACATTCTTGAGCCATGGGGAGTTGTATTAGCTCCGAGTCCGCGGGGGACGCGGAACAGAAGAAGAAAAGTCAGATGATTGATCGGAAACTCGAGGAAGACTCTAGGCGGTTACGCAGGGAATGCAAGATCCTCCTCTTGGGTGAGTGCCCGGCGCGACTCTTTTTGAATGTTATTTTCCTTCGTGCGCAGCGACCGAGGTATGACTGACACCTTACCGCAGGCTCCGGCGAGAGTGGCAAGTCCACGATTGTCAAGCAGATGAAGATTATTCACCAAAATGGCTACTCAGTCGAGGAGCTGGCTCTGTACCGACTGACCGTCTTTAAGAACCTGCTCGACTGTGCCAAGGCTCTGATCGAAGGATATCGCCTTTTGGAACTCGAACCATCCAGCCAAAAGGTCAAGGACTACATCACGTTCCTGGAAGAGTATCACGTCGACCCGGATCCCAATACACCGTTGGATTCGAAAATAGGAGATGCGATCACATATTTATGGAATGACCCTTGCACATCAAGTGTTCTAGAGCGCCAAAATGAGTTTTACTTGATGGACTCAGCACCATAGTAAGCGCATCTTCTCTCGCATTTATCTGACCGTGGCACTCACCCGTGACCAGTTTCTTCGAGGAAGCCAAGCGAATAACGTCTTCGGACTACACACCGAATGTATCAGATGTGTTACGCGCGCGAACCAAGACCACTGGTATATACGAAACACGTTTCACAATGGGCCAATTGAGCATACAGTAAGTAGCCCAAGCTGGCTTCCAAGTCCATGAAGCTAACAAATTTCACAGCATGTTTGACGTGGGTGGCCAGCGCAGCGAGCGGAAGAAGTGGATTCATTGCTTCGAGAACGTGACCTCCATTATCTTCTGTGTGGCTTTGAGTGAATACGACCAAATGTTGCTGGAAGAAAGTAATCAAGTAAGGATGGCCTATGCGACTCAAGCATGTGAATTGATACTGACAGTGCTGTAGAACCGCATGATGGAAAGTTTAGTTCTCTTCGACTCTGTGGTCAACTCTCGATGGTTTATGAGGACGAGTATCATTCTCTTCTTGAACAAGGTCGATCTCTTCCGGCAAAAGCTCCCTCGGTCCCCATTAAGCAACTACTTCCCAGACTACTCGGGCGGTAACGATGTGAACCGAGCAGCGAAGTATCTTCTTTGGCGATTCAACCAAGTGAATCGTGCACACCTGAATCTCTACCCACAGTAAGTATCCATGGGCTCAGGCGCACACTCAAGCCACCGGGTGCTAATGATCTTGGTAGCCTCACCCAAGCCACCGATACCACAAATATTCGCCTTGTCTTTGCGGCGGTCAAAGAGACCATCTTGCAGAACGCCTTGAAAGACTCGGGCATTCTTTAAGCCAACAGACCCTGGAACCTCGTCGCCCAGGGGGCACATCAACCTACATTTCACGACCTCCTCCATAATCACCGCGGACCATCTCCGTGCCTTTGATTCTCGTTGCCTCTCAACGAGGAAAACTATATCTACTCTTTCACGACCAAACATACCCCATCATTTCTTCTTTTCTCTCGCTTTTTTTCTTACTTTAGGTCTAGCTGCTGGCGTTATCGGACCTTTCTTCTCCCCCGGGCTATATCCCAGGCGCTGGTTAGTTGATACCCCTTATTTGGTATCTACAGCGAGGTCTCCAATCTTCTTTCTCCAGGGCGGATCTCCTCGACCCACCTCAAATGCAATTTGGGCACAGGGATCGCTGGTAATTGCTTTTGGATTTCCTTTTGTGCATTCAACCCCGAGGGAGGGATTTTTCAGCCTCAAAAAAGTCACTGGGACTTCAATTGTGAGGCGCGCGCACCACTCTTGACCCTCAACCTTTGTGTCATCAACCATTTCATATATCATGAACGGTCCACTTCTGGGATCCTGCTTCTGTTTTTCTTTGCAACTTTCTGATGCATACTATGGCGGATTTGATTTACCCCTGGCCATGTTTTGCCTTCGCCACATCTCTTTGGATACGCTACTTGGAGCGCCCCAATGCATGTGATGCTATGCTCCGGCGGGACGAGCTTAATCCACGGGGACCGAGAAATTTATTTATTCATGTGATTTTCTGTATTATCGATGCGCTTGCTAGCGGCAAGTTACTTTGGCCTAGTTTGCTTCCCTTTGCATAGACCACTGGCGGAGACATGCCAACAATGTCCGGGCTTTGTTTCAAGGCCGAGCCCCGGCGTGCACGGTTATCAACTATCGGGTCTCGCTTAGGTGTCTAGCTTTGAGAAATCGAGTCAACTGCACAGGCCTTTCCTCCTGTGTTTAATTGGTCTGGTCAATACGCATCTCGCGTAGCTGTCGGCACTTGTCCGTCAGAATTAAGGTTAGCCGGCACGCAAGAGCGGAAAGACTCGGCGGCGCCCGAACCCCTGACGCGGCCTGTCAATTTCCTGAAGAATCTTTTCCACTTCTCGGTCCCGAGAGTGGGGAATGGTGGAGCTGCAGGCGATTTTTGGGAGATGCAGACTTCTTGCTGCGTTGCAGATGTCACCATGTATAGCCGACAGGGTGCCTCGGCTCTTGCCTTTAGTAATTGTTTTGAGAGCTACATACACACTTTCTGAATGCAAACGAGCCCTTCAGTAATTGCATTGAGTTGCGGTTTGAATGAACAGTCCATCAGTGATTTACTTTGAGTCCAATGAGAGCTGCGGTTGATGCTTCAACGCAGTTCCGTCCAGAGGAAGCCACCGAATTTACTCTAACGGTATGTCTTTCGATAGCTTTTTAGTATGACTTTCGAAAGCTGTTCAAAGTCCTCACTTATCAGTATCGGGAGCTATAAGAATATGTCAAGATATACAGTAACTTGAATTGGTTTCTTGCCAGTATGGCATTGTACCAGTAAACCTCGGGGCAAACTGTTGATATAGTGTAGCCAGATAGGTATCAGCGTAAATAACGACTTCTCGGCCTCTTTGGATTTTCCACTGGTCTGCCGCAGATATCTAAAGCGAATCTCTCCACGTGGTGTACATATATCGCTACCAAAGTGGGTGGTGTATTCCATTCTCGGAGCCGGTAGTCTTTCGCCACGTCCTGCTAGCTATAGATGAAGCATGTCGTGTCAGGACCAGGCGACTTTGGGAGGCCGAGTATCTAGTACTTCCAGCAACTTGTAGCCAGATAAGAAAAGAAAAGAAGCTGCGTCGGGGGGGGGGGGGGATGCCACGGTATGGATAGCTATGTCAACTCTCTAACGGTACATGAGATATCCCTACCACAATACGCCGTCAACGCAACAACAGAAGACCTACAAAATATGCGAGCCCTCCAGAACAAAAGTGGCATTCGATTCATCAAAGCCAGTCCCAATCCGCCGAAAGGATTATGCAACTAACAAACTGAATTGCCTCTAATCACTCACCGTGCAACATCACAGACTCCCTAAAAGCGAGCCTCATTGCTCGAAGAAGCTGGAAACAACCTCCACCAAGCACCATATACAGCCCCCAAATGACCAAAATCTCACCCACGCATACTTATCATCCCAGCAAAGCACGACAAATGCCTCAACCCAGCTACAGAACCAGCAGAACGTAGGCCACGCCTGGGTTCCAGCTAATAAGCCAAGGCCAAGGCGACCACAGAACTAACCGTCTAACGCGCCAATTCGCGGTATGCCGCGGGCTACCTTGACCTCACTCAGTCCGAAGCCCTGTATCCATTATGTAACAGTCGTGATGGTGGACAGACACTTAACATTGGCCCTAAAGAAGCGTATATCTTCAAATTTACAAGCAAGCCGACGCAGGCACAGTATGGTTTCTGGAGTTTGATGGCATAAATTGCAGAACGATCTCTCGTCTCGAACCGACTGGATCCGTATGCGTTGAGCGACCACTCTAATGTCATCTACGCCGATGGAATACTCGTCTACGGGCGTGACAGTCATGTAGGCAATAGCTTTGAACTCCTCGTCCCGCCGGCTGATCTGGAACCTTCGAAGAATTGGACTTGCTTGTATGTTTATCCCGTTATTTCCCTCTTTGGTCTTCTCTCGACGCCTTTCCTGATTGGGAGGGGCTCTTTCGTCAGTGGCTGCCTAGCGTAGCTGGCTTCCGGCTCCCAAAGGTGGCGGCAAATTCGCTCTTACGCGTCAGTTGATCTTTCGAATCGTATGATGATATGATTGCAGTAGCTCATAGATATTAATTTGATTTTATGCTCTCAGTGGTGCATTGCGACAGGGTGAGCGGGCGTATCCGGTGGTTCAAGTGCAAAATTGGGTTCTTCCCATTCATGGCAAGGCCGTCAGCATACCCGAAGCTATCCTGGTTTATCTAAAAAGGCACCTCTCTCTGCCAGGTACAGGATATTGGAAAGAACCGCTCATCTGTACCGCCCCTCGGTTCGGCCCCCGCCGGCAGTCCTCCCTCCTAGAGCCTTACCGCGTGATTGATTGATGGATATGCAGCTAAGTCTGGATCAATTGGGGCCAAATCACGGTTAATCATGTAAGGGTTGAGGATGAGAAGCTGTCATCCCAGCTCAAACCCCGCGAATAAGATACGGACAAACGTCCAAGCCAATGGCAGTAGCGAATCAAGAAGCCGTGCACGGACAATGCGGAGTACTGGGCCGAGCGCCGATCAAGATCCAGGCTTCCCCACCAGGGCTCTCTATAGTTCCTAACCGAATTGCATGATCATGCCACCCATGGCAAAATGAGGAACGTGGTAACCCGAGGGGCCCAAAGGTGAGATAAGTTGGCCGGATTGGGCGATGTTCGCTCGGATGGGATGTCGCACCCTGCACTCTCCTACGTCGTTGCTCTTTTCCTCTGAGCTTCCGAGAGCCCCGCCTGGTGTCACCAGGTCTTGCAGCTCTCCCCTCTTCCTTTGACTTTGTCTTCTACTTCTCCTAATCCTCTACTGCCAACCATGTCTGAACGCCGAGAACGCAAACCGTCCGTTGGTGCCCCCATCGCCGACCTCCAAGGTCCGGTTGGTCCAGGATTCAGCCGGCCCAAGCACAAACGTACCTTCACTGGCTTGGGACCCGCGGAGATCAAGAATGTGGAAGCGAGCATTCCTGAGCCGCTGAGAGAAGCGTGAGTCTGGAACTGATCCCCATCTTCTTGCTTGAGCCGACGCTAATTCGGGACGGGATACTATAGATGGCGGAAATACGTACGTTACTCTTCATTGAACAGCTGCGACCGAAACTAACATAGACCTTCAGTCTGTTTCCGAGTTTGGCAACAAGGAAGAATTCGAGGTTGGTCCGGAGACTTGATCACTACTTGGGTACAAGCTGACAGTATCCGCAGAAAGAGCTCGTGCGCCACATTGAGACCACACTTGCTCGATCTATGTACAATTGCGATGAGCAGTGAGTACCCATTCTCACTCAGCACGCCTGGGACCAAGATACTCACAAAGCTATACAGTGCGGCGTACTCGGGTACGGCCCTCGCGTTCCGAGACCGGTTGATTATCGAATGGAACAAAACTCAGCAGCGCCAGACATTCACCGATCAGAAGCGCGTCTACTGTATGTTCGGGTTGCTGTCAGTTTCCACTTACCGAGAGCTAATGCGTGGTAGATCTCTCTCTTGAGTTTTTGATGGGTCGCGCTCTGGACAATGCTATGCTCAACGTGGGCATGAAAGATGCTGCCCGAGGTACTGCTTTCTTTCACTAGTTTTCTTCAGCCCTGGACTGACCACGGATTAGATGGCCTGCATGACCTCGGTTTCCGTGTTGAGGATGTTGTCGAACAGGAGCATGACGCCGCGCTGGGCAATGGTGGCCTTGGACGTCTGGCCGCTTGTTTCTTGGATAGCATGGCAACACTCAACTATCCAGCTTGGGGTTACGGACTCCGCTACCGCTACGGAATTTTCAAGCAGGAGATTGTCAATGGCTACCAAATGGAAGTTCCAGACTACTGGCTTGACAACAATCCGTGGGAGTTCCCTCGACACGAGATTACCGTTGACATCCAATTTTACGGTCGCGTAAAGAATTACCAGGACGAGACAGGCAAGATTGCTCACTCATGGGAAGACGGAGAGATTGTCCAAGCTGTCGCCTATGATGTGCCCATCCCTGGTTATGGCACCAAGACCACCAACAACCTCCGGCTTTGGTCAAGCAAGGCCAGCAGCGGAGAATTTGATTTCCAGAAATTCAACGCTGGGGACTACGAGAGCGCGGTGGCAGACCAACAAACGGCAGAAACCATTTCAGCCGTGCTCTACCCCAATGACAACCTGGAGCGAGGCAAGGAGCTTCGACTGAAGCAGCAGTACTTCTGGTGCGCAGCCTCTTTGTTTGATATCGTGCGCCGATTCAAGAAGACCCGGAGAGCTTGGAATGAATTCCCCGACCAGGTAGCCATTCAGCTGAATGACACCCATCCCACCCTTGCCATCGTTGAGCTACAGCGTATCTTGCTTGACAAAGAAGGCCTTGAGTGGGATGAGGCATGGAATATTGTGACCAAGACATTCGGATACACCAATCACACTGTGCTGCCCGAGGCCTTGGAGAAGTGGTCTGTTCCCCTGATGCAGAACCTACTCCCCCGACACCTGCAGATCATTTATGACATCAACCTGTTATTCTTGCAGTCAGTTGAGAAGCGGTTCCCCCAGGATCGGGAATTGCTGTCCCGCGTCTCGATCATCGAGGAGTCGCACCCCAAGATGGTGCGAATGGCCTATATTGCCATTATTGGATCTCACAAAGTGAACGGCGTTGCTGAGCTGCATTCGGATCTCCTCAAGACAACCCTCTTCAAAGACTTTGTAAAGATCTATGGGCCTGATCGTTTCACCAATGTGACCAACGGCGTCACTCCCCGAAGATGGCTGCACCAAGCCAACCCGTTGCTTTCTGCCCTAATTGCAGAGAAACTGGGTGGTCACGAGTTCTTGACTGACCTGACGCTTCTGGATAAGCTCGAGGCCTTTGTGGACGACAAGGACTTCCGCGACGAGTGGGCTCATATCAAGACCATGAACAAATTGCGTCTTGCCAAGTTCATCAAGAGAACCACAGGCCACGCGGTGGATCCTAACTCTCTGTTCGATGTCCAAGTCAAGCGTATTCATGAATACAAGCGCCAGCAGCTCAATATTTTTGGTGTCATCCATCGATATCTCTCTATCAAGGCTATGTCGGCCGAAGAGAAGAAGAAGGTCGTCCCACGAGTTTCGATCTTCGGCGGTAAAGCTGCACCTGGTTACTGGATGGCCAAGACGATCATCCATCTCATCAACAAGGTTGCAGATGTTGTGAACAAGGACCCAGATGTTGGCAACCTCCTCAAGGTTATCTTCATCGAGGACTACAATGTCAGCAAAGCCGAGATCATTTGCCCGGCGTCGGACATCAGCGAGCACATCTCTACCGCTGGTACCGAGGGCAGTGGGACAAGCAACATGAAGTTTGTGATGAACGGAGGTCTGATCATCGGAACTTGCGACGGTGCCAACGTGAGTCAGCCCCAGTCATGTCATGATCAGTCTAACACATTTCTAGATCGAAATCACCCGCGAAATCGGCGAGAGCAACATCTTCCTCTTTGGTAACCTCGCAGAAGACGTCGAGGAACTCCGCCACCGACACTTTTATGGCTCTTTCAAGCTTGATCCGCAACTGGAAAAGGTCTTCACCGCGATCAAGGGTAACATGTTTGGCGATGCGGCGGACTTCTCCGCCCTGACTGCCTCCATCGAAGAACACGGTGATTACTATCTCGTCTCTGATGACTTTAACTCCTACATCACCACCCACGGTATGGTTGATGAAGCCTTCAAGAACAAGGAAGCGTGGCTGGCCAAGTCGATCACGAGTGTGGCGCGCATGGGCTTCTTCTCCACTGACCGCGTGATCAACGAATATGCCGATAGTATCTGGAACGTTGAGCCTCTTGTGGTCAAGGATTGAGGCCGAATGCCCGTTCTACAATTTCACTTTTCACACCGTCTTTGAACTTTCCTGCTTTGTGTTTTGGTCCTTCTTTCATCTGCATCCTAACCAGACGGCATAAGTCTTAGTCAATCAACACGATCTGAACTCGTCGCACCATATGGAATCTAGAGTACGTAGCTTGCGTAATTGATCAATAGTCTATTGAAACTTGACCATCTATCTCATCTAACATGTCTCCCGATCTGTCCAGGGCGGATATCCTGGACGATCGGCAATCGACATGAAACAATATGACATGAACCCGCAAAAATCATGATAGGGACAAGCCAAACCAACACCAATCCCATGCTATTATCATGATACCAAAATGAAACATCTTCACACCATTTAGCGCTCCATGAAAGATCAGAAGAAAAGAAAACCGAAAACTAAACCACCTAGGCAGCAACAGCCGTCTCATCCGCCTCCTCAATCGTCTTAGGCTTATAATCGGAGAAGGTCTCTGGCCAAAGGAACATCTTCTCCTCATTACTTGGTGTCGACGCCATGAGCGTCGGCACGGCCTCCTTGGACGACATCCGTCTCCACAGATTCGCGCGCGGGTTATACCTCACGGGCTTACCCACACCACCAGTCTTCTTCTGGTCCTCACGCGAGATGTTCTCAATCTCCTTCTTGATATCCAAAAATGTATCATAGGGCGTATACGCAATCTTATGCTCAATGCAATGCTCCTCAAGTCTCAGACCACGGCGCGCAAATAGCACATCCGCATGACTCGCCGCCGCCAGGTCAGAGACACCATCGCCAATGAAGACGATAAGCGGCATCTCATCAGGCTCACACTCGGCCAGCGCCGCTGCGCGCGCCTCATCCACGGACAGCGCCTTGTCATGGCCGGTGTCGGTATCATGGCGCCAGATGGGCTTCCACTCGGATCCATCAACGCTAATGGTCGCGTCGTTGGCGACGATGTTGATCATCGACGCCTGCGACTCGCCGAGGAAAACATCCAAGGTGCGCTTCAGGATGGGTTTCAATCCTGCGCTGATGATGTTGAATGGGAACCCGTTGTCTTGGCAGTACTGGTGGAAGTCCTGGAATCCAGGGTCCATGGAGAGGGCCTTTTGCATGACGACGAAGCCGTCGTCGAAGGGGACGTTGAGGGATCCCCACATGTCTTCGGAGATTTCACGGTAGGTGCGCTCGCCGCTTTTCATTTGGGCTTCTAGTTTGGCAAGGCCTTCGGCGCCGCAGCCGTGGGCACCGACTAGGATGTGGCCGGTATCTTCCATGAAGATTGTGCCGTCAAAGTCTGCAAGGTGGGTTAGTTCTGCGCGGGTTAATTGGATCGAGTGCAAGGGACGGCATACCGGAGAAGATGACAATCTTTCTCTTCTGGGGAGTGGGCACCGGGGCCGCGGGGTTCATGTTGGCGTTCGTCATGGTTGCGAATGTAGGGTTCTGCACAAAAAGCGTAGATAGAGAGATGGGTGTAGGAAGGAAGAAAGCCAAAAGACGAATAGCAGGAGAAATCAAGAGTTTAAAGGTTGTGGCAAACCAGGACAAGACCAGAACCAGCCCCAGACCCGGATTACTGTATGACGTAGCCCCACGATATCATAGCGGGGCAGTGGAGCCTGCACCAGAAAACGTGCTAAATTGTCCGGATTTCAGACGTGATTGGGCCCACTGAATGCCGTGTCCGACGAACCGATTACCTGTGGACCGGGCCCGATGGAATCTTGTTTGACCCTGAATTGGCTGGACCGCTGGGCCGACGTCTTCACATACTGGACATTGCACATTGCACATTGGCCATCGCACATTGGCTTGCACATTGGCCATCGCACATTTGATATATTGTAACTATCTAGCTCGATGTAAGTTCGGTGATCCTCCGCTCTAACTCGGGAACGGTCCGTAATTGCAGCTCAAGTTCGTCTTTCTCACTGTCGATGGAATTAGCATAGTCCGGCACAACCGGGGGGGGGATCTCGTACTCTTCCAATTTCAGCCGGCGCTCCCAGTCGAGCCCGGTAAAGACATAACCGCCCTGTCCGTCGAACTGCAGAATCTTCTGGTGATATTTCCAGAGACTGCGACGGTGCGAGACCGTCATCAGGGTAATGCCCAACTTCTTGGCCGTCTCGTACATCACCTTCTCAATCTCCAGCGTCACCGAGGAGGTACATTCATCCAGAATGGCGAACTTGGGACGGTGGTAGAACAGACGGGCCATGGCGATGCGCTGCTGCAAACCTCCCGATAGTACATCACGCCATTCCTCCTCGGCGTCCCAGCCACCGGGGCGGTTGACGACAGACGCGATCTCGACTATGGAAAGAACCTCGTACAGATCATCATCGGTCACTCCCTTGGCGCGCATCTCTCGCACCCCGTCCGGGTAGGTGACCTGCTGGCGGAGGGTGCCGCGCGATAGATAAGGCCGTTGGGGAATGTAGAAAATGTCTTCAAAGGAGGGTTTCTTGACCGTGCCACCGTACACGGGCCAAAGGCCGCCCAAAATGCGGAACAAGGATGATTTACCACACCCATTAGGCCCGACGATCAAGAGGTGGTCACCAGGGTAGATGGTGAAAGACAGCTGGCGCACCAGGACGTCCCCATTGGGTGAGACGATCGGTACATCGGTGAACTCGATGCAGTCGCTTTCGAGGACCTTGCCCCGACCAGAGAGAACGGCCGCGTTCTCCTCGGTTGATGCAGAAGAGACCAGCTTCTTCTCGAATCTCCCGGCCGTCAAGTCATCCATTACTTCCAGTAACGAGGAGACACGAGCCGTGAAACCGGCCAGCTCGGAGATCTCCTTGTAGGAGAACATCAGACGACCAAAGGCATCCGATGACGATAGCAACATCCGTCGGTTGGTAACAAAATCTACCTCCGGGTTAGCTGGAACATACAGAGGCGGGGGAAAGAGACTCACTCTCGGTACGATCGCCCATCGAATGAGGGACCTGACCAGGGATCTTGAAAAAGACGGGCACACTACAAAGGACCAAGCCCAAAGCGCCCCAGAAGTATTTAATGACAAAGTCCTCCATGAACCCGTGGTAGAGGCGCCGGCGCAAAATGCGGTTCACATGCTTGATGAGGGTGAAGTAGCCCTTATCCAAAGTGTCCTTCTCGGCTTCATGGCCGTGGTAGAGAGCGACTTCTTCGCTATAGTCGATAAGACGCGAGTGCAGGAATCGGAACTCGCCCTCAAGACGGGCCTCATCGGCAACATACTTGCCAAACGGCGGAGTGAGCATGCGCATCACGTTGGCTGACAACTGCACCAGCAAACTCATGATGAACAGCCCTTCACCGCCAACATTTTTGGAAAGCGAGTAGTTGTAGATGCACATGTCCAGTATGGGCTTGGCAAGGTTGGAGTAGAGCTCAGCCAAGCTATCCGAGAAGCGCGATACGTCGACCGTGACAAGCTGATCGGGATTCTTAATCCGATCGTCTAGGGCGGATATGGCGTAGAAGGTCATGTTTGACAGGTATTTGTCGTGTATATAATCGGTCAACCGTTTGCGATAGCTCAGCGCGAGCTTGCACTGGTGGTAGGAGAGCTACGTAACGCGGGGGAATCAGATTAGCCAGCTTCTTCACGGTCGCATCCCCTCTGAAGTTCTCTCACAAAAAGCTTACCATGGAGTTTGTAAATGTCGCGGGAACAGCGACAATCATCCACCAAACAAGACCGAGTAGGAAATCCTTGCCTTTCCCTCGGATCAGGTTGCTCACCAAGCGGCCATCCAGCTCGGCCACGTACAGACTCAACAATGTCCGCAAGATCAGGAAGACACTGTGGCTCACCAGAAGCCTCAGCTCCTTACTGCGCCATCCCGGAATCACGATCTTGAGTAGGCGCAGGAGGTTCTTAAAGAACTCCCGGTTGATCTCCACCCGTTTCTTCCGGGGTTGTTCGTCATTGCCGAGACTACTGGTGCCGGGTCGTCGGTGCAGCTCTACCTGCTGCGAGGCAGCTTTCTGCTCGGAGATGGCATTATGTATTCGTTTCGCGAGAGCCGCGAAAAGCGCGAGGTAGACGGCGCGTGAGATTCGAGTGCGGTGTTGGAGGTAGAGGGAGGTAAGACTGGAGAAGATCTGCTTGATGGAACGATCGGGTGGTAATAACTTGGAGAGGGCGGCCATGACTCGATGGATCAGCCGTCGGAGACTGACATGACCGTGAAAGAGATCCAAGGTTGTATCGAGGAGAAGCAAAGAGGAAGAGAGAGTGGAAGCGGAAGTGGAAGTGGAAGCGGAGGAATGACGGAGCTAGCATGTGATACCCCAGGATCCTGGGGAAGTTGCCCAAGTTCCCCAAGTTGGACCGAGGTGTCCCTCTATGATTCTCTTTCTTATTTCCACTTGGTCGTCAGGGCGGGATCCTCATGATCCAGGAACATGACCCATTATCTATGATTCTCTTTCATTGTTTTTGCGACTTTCCACTAATTACCTCAGGTACCTGCCCAACTGAATCGTGTAATATGTTCCTGGGAACCACCAGCCCTACCAACAACGCGACCGAAAAATGAACCAAGGGGGCGGTCGAAGGACTTCCAAGTTTTCTACTTTTGGACCCTCTCAAATTCTCTATAGAGAAAGAATGAAGATATTTCTGGAATTCATTCAAGACCCATTCAAGACCTTTCTAAACACATATGGAAAGACCAGGCATGACCGCTGAGCAGGAGCATGTCGATTATGTCCTCGGTCAGGCTATAGGATCTCACTCACAAACCTCTAGCAAATCACCGCACAGTATCCATCGCCTTCCGGTTGTATGCTTCCCGATCACTCTTCCAAAGCTTCTCAATCTCCGAATCGGCCGGAGAAGCAGGGTTGGGCTCGATAAGCAATTTGTGGATAGAAAGCAGAGCTAGAATCCATTAGTTCTACAAGACAAAACATGTGATTGAAAGGAGTCGTACTCTCATGCATATTCATATTCGGAGCCCACTTGTCCTGGAGAGTATTCAAGCGAATCTCACCCTTCGCATCCACGTTCAAGTGGTAGACACGGCTGGTAAATGCCACTTTCGGCGCATCGAATGGGTAGGCTTCGGGGAAGGAGACCGATAGCTGGAGGGCGCGGCCTTCGTATGGGGTTTGGATCTGTTGAACATTAATTATGCTCCCATTAAGCATCTTGTCGTCCTGGAGATCGAATACATACAGGTGCCTGCATAGTTACTGCCCAGTGAAACTGTTTGCGGTCAATTTTGGTCAATTTTGGTCCATTTTGTAGGTTGGGTTGCTTAGACTGGCTTACCGCATCTTTCTCCGAAGTAGCTGTATACTCGCTAGGGGGGTTGCTTTGCTTCTTGTCAGCTATGACGTGACTCTGGGTGGTAGGACCGGGAGAGTTACCGGGTGACGCTGTTAAGCTCCTTTTCAATTCTTCCCTCGGCCATTGTTGCGACACACGGAGATTGATTCTATGTTAGGCCTGTCGATAAGATAAAAATCAAAGGTATCGTGAACGTGATCTATCGCAATGTATCAATTTCAATGAAGGGTTCGGGGTAGTCTCAAACGCACATCGAAACCGGTCTGGGAGCTTGCTACTTATATCCCACCTTGCAGTTCCAGGGCTAGAAGTCGGCTAAATTTCGTGCACACAGTCAAGATTCATACCTGGACCAGCTACGACCACCATGATTGGTAGCTTAACACGATTGGGATGCATGTGTGAGTTAGCTCCATGTAAGGTATCTCCAGATGATGCGCCGTGCGCATGAAGCCCCTCTTGAAAAAGCGGTGGGGAGCAGGTCAGAAAGAGCCCCACTGAATGGGAAACAACTGGATACGTTTGATGGTAGAAATCACTATGTACAAGATCAAGACATGTTTCATGAGACGTGTCCCCCGAAAGGTAGATATGGGTAGCAGATTGAAGCAGAATGCCCGGTAGGAATAGGGCGTGGGATGGGGGAGTATGTTCAGCAAAAGCAACGCTTAAAAGATATTCGTATAAGATGACACGGCTTAAGTAGGAAAAAAAATACACAACAAGCTAAGACGGGAGCGACTTGCTCTCGGTGGTGGCATCTGTCTCTGAGCCGTTGGCTGCGCGTAGTCCACTGTTGATCTGCGCTGCGATCTGGGACTGCTTGAATCTTTCAAATCCTTCGGCATCTTGGCGTTGGGCGGCCCAGAGCTCGTCAACATTCTGTCCAAGCATCTCGAATGCTTGCTCCGCCCGATCACTATCGAATGGCGACTCAGACTGCTCTCCGTGCAGACGCTCGAGCTTCTCACGCAGGGCTATAACGTGGGAGTCGTCGTCCTCATCACCCGCTATCTCGCCCTCAGGTGGGTTGAGGAAGTCCCGGCGCAGGTTCTGGCCCAGGCGATGGACGTGGCCTTCTTCAGACGTCATCGCACGAGCGTGCAGGGATGTCATTGAGCTGGTTCGGGAAAGGTGGATTCCGTAGTTGTCGGTTTCTTCGTCGTCAACGGCGTTCTCATCGACCATACTGCTGTGCAAATTGCCAGTAGTATTTGTCCCATTCGCATCCTCGGCGGAGTTCTGTGAGCTCGAGTCGGGTGCGACAGCTGTAGGAGCAGATTGAGGAAGGCGAGTCTCGGGGTACTCGTCCTCGAAGCGTTGGATCATCTTAGCCAAAGTATAATCCAGGAATTGAAGGCGGCGGTAGTTCGCGTCATTGCCAGCTTTGTCCTCACGAATGAGCGCTGATTGAATCCGCACACGAATATTGCGTGCCGACTCGAGCAGGTTCTTTGACATGTCACGAGGCCGCTTGGTAACAACGCTGCGGGATTTCCGACGCCTGGGAGTTGTGGTACCACTGGGAGGCGCAGAGTGGTCTCCAAGAGCATCGAGCGCCGCATGGTGGTGATCCAGGTTTCCGAGGCAGACACCCAGGGCCTTGACCACACCTGTCCCGCCGATGACATAGTCCTCATCTGGAGCTGGGTCATCATCCTCTTCACCGCAAGGTTCCTCAGGGGGTCCATGAATGCCAACGATGTGTTGCAGAATCTCTGGTACTGGAACCTCCTTTGATCCAAGGGACACGCCAGCTTCAGAGAGCTCCTCTGCAATGGCACCACCCTCAAGATTCCGAAGCGAGTATGCAACGATTTGGGATGCCAGAGCCTTCACAACTTCGTTGTTCTCCGCAGTGGGCACTTCGATGTCAACTGCAATGATAGTCCTCGAGACACGAACGGCGGCCATCATCGAAGCGTAGACAGCACAGGCCTCTTCCTGGACAACTGGGTTTGTGGCAGATGCCAAGCGGACGATTTGAGGGTTTTCAAGTATGCTCAAATGGCAAAGACTAGGACATTCTGGTAGGATCTCGGCCAATCCAATAACGTGATCCGGCGACAGGTCAACATCGGCAAGGTGGATACGTTTGAGAGATGGCATCTTGGGCAAAAAGCGTCGGAATGCGCCAAGGGCATTAGGCTGAACAGAGAAAAGCTCGAGGTTGTGAGACACGTCAATGAAACGTAGGTTATGGAGTCGGGTAAGAGCTTGGAGCAAACGACAAATCACGGTGGGATTCAAATCGCAATCCGCCAAACTGAGTGCGTAGAACGGCTGCTCGGGCTCAATAGCATCGGTAAGAAGATCAAGGTCGTCCTTGATAGGATTTCCTCCCAGATCCAAGCCCTCACACGAGCCGGCCTTGAAATACTCCACCACATGCTCAAGGCCCTCCCTAGTCAGACTGTTGTTTGCAAAGCCCAATCTTCGCAGTCCCATTTTGGTGGAGGCTTCGCAAATCCTTTTCACTTGGTCAACTGAAGGCTTGCACTCAGTCAAAAGGAGTTCTTCAAGGTGATCACCCGCGAACCGCTCAGCTAACGCGTCCGAAAAGATAGTGCAAATGTTGTGCGGCGGCGGCTTATTCGATGCAGTGGGAACATCGGGTGGAGCCTTGCATTTAGGGAAAGGAATGCCCGACAGGTCAATGGCCTTCAAGGACCTGGACAAGTGGACAAAGAGACCAATATGACGCCATCCTTGTGGACCGATCTTGGGGTTATCTTTGAGGGAAAGCTTCTCAATAACGCCCCATCTCTCTTCCTTCATATCTGGGGAATCCGACCTGCGGTTACGTCTCCGCCGGTAACGCATCTGCTCCACTGTCTTGGTGGAGAGGAGTCCAGCAAGAATAGCTCGCACAGAGTCGTCTGCAAGAGCACAATTCTCAAGAATGAGTTTTCGGACGGGGACGACAGCGAGCCAGTCGCTGAAGGTTGTGATATCTTGTGAAGTCATGGGGAAGTTGCTGAGATCCAAAGCAGCCACAGTGCCAGGGGACTCGGCCAGTGTGGAAGACGGCGCAGAAATCTGATCCACGATTCTCTTCAGCACTGGCGTTTCGCGTAGCTGACAGCACCGGCGATAGATCCGTACCGGATCCGTAGTTGGATGACTCTGTGTCTTTAAGCGGGAAACACCAACCGCCGGCGCGGGAGCCTCATCATCATCATCGTTTTCTGCATCCAACTGCAGGGGTATAGAGCCGTTTGCCACAGCCTGTCTCCGCTTGCGCTCCTTGCGCTCCTTTCTCTCTTCCTCCGAGCGCTTTTTCTTTTCGACCTTTCGGCTCGGGTCTTTTGTTTCGCCATTAGGCTTAGACTCGGCAGGGTTGGAGTCAGCGGGAGTCACCGCAGGAGCTGGAGCAGGAGTAGACTGTGCATCCTGGGTAGCGGTATCTCCTTGGACAGATGCAGGCGCAGTTTCAGGCGTAGTTGCAGGCGTAGTTGCAAGCGCAGGTGTTGAGGCTGGAACCGGAGCCTCCTTCTCAGCCACTGCAGCTTGAGGATTCTTCAACGCCTCAGCCTCTTCATTCTCTTTACACTGGGCAACCGCTTTGGTATCTGCCTTCGCTTCCGCCTTCTTCGACTTAGAGCGATTAGACTCGGGGAGAGGCTGTCGAAGTTGGCAGGTAGGGGGAGCATCCTCGTCAGTATCGCGATGAGAAATACCGGCAATCTCAACGTCCACGCAAAACGCAACGCGATGAAGCTTTGCCTGGTTGAGCTCCGCGATCTTGCATCGGTCTCGACTCGGATCGAGGTTCATCACGCGGCGCGGACATATCGCTCCGTGAGAAGGAAGCTTGGGCAGTCCGCCCGAGCTGGATGAGAATTTGCGCAACGCATTATGGATGAATGAGGGGCTTTTCGGCGAGGAGGAAGTGAACGGATTGGTCTCGTCCTTCTTTTCTTCTTCCTTGTCCTTTGGGGAGTATGCGGCGCCGAAAGGGTTATGAGCATCAAGAGGGGATGTCGCTTTAGGACTTGCTGGACTTCCTTTCAGACTGGATTGGGAGGGAGGCGTCGAGCCAGATGAGAACTTGGAGCTGAGACTCGAGATCCAGGAATTCCTCCGCCCGCCAACGGGTTTGGGTGCGCTTCGCTGTGTTGTCGGCAATGGGGTTGATGAGATTGATATGGGTTTCTGCTCCGTGGCCTTACCCTCACCCGGCTCTACCTTCTCTTCTACCGTGCCCAGATCGTTTGGAGCTTCCTTTCTCTCTTCCGAGGTAGTTAACGGCGAACGAGCCGGGTTACTATTCGAACGGGATCTTCGATGTGATTTGGACGATGTAGTCCCATTTTCTCTCTCGCCAGATTTTTCGTTAGTTGATGACGTGGATTTGGTGCGCTGAAGGTGATCTAAAAACCTGCGGTGTTAGAACCCGTTCAACGCGGCCGCTGGATTCCGCCCTCAGATAGCCGGAGGGCCCGCTCGTACAGCACTCGTACAGGGCACTGACCTTTCTGCGAATGGTGAAGCCAGCTCACGTCCACAGTCTGAACACCCTCCATGTTGAAGAATGCTTCGCTGCTTCCAAGAGTGAAGAGAAACTGAGCCGACCGGAGTCCAAATTGTCCAAATTATGACCGAGTGGCGCTGTGTACTGAGGGTCTAGTGATATGATAGACCTCAGATCGGATGACGCATAGTTGGCTGATCCCCCCACTTTTGCCGAGTGATTTACGCTGTGTTCACGAAAGCGATTTCCGCAAGATGCTCAAGGCACAAAGGGGAATGCGACGGTTTAGAAATCCGGGGTGAGATGCGACCGGGAGGGTTCCGAAGTGGAGGGGTTCCGTTATAGGCGACAAGACACCGTCAAGGGACGAATCACGGTGAACATATTGCAGATAGAAAGGAGGTAATCAGATAATAGATTAGGGGCAAAAGAAAAAAAAGGGAAAAAGAGACTACTGGAAGCGACCGGATGTGGAAGCTTAAGCATCGCCTGTGACATAATCCCCCGTATCGGAGCTCACGTGAGGTCACATATACATTCCCACGGATTTTATGGGGGAAGTGGCCAGGTGGTTTATAATTGGACTGGGCTCTCTCGTGCGGTGGCGGGATCAACAAAAGTTAGCAGCCAGTCGCATGAAGAGACTCAATTTTGTAGAGCCAAACTGGAAGTGGGGGAGCCGATGACCGGTACTTAGCACCGGCTAGCGTTCTCAGTTAGAGTGGTTTAGGCTTAGTTCAACTTCGCGGATACGGTAAGAATGGCTACATTACGACGTAACTTGGGTATCTGTAGTTGGCCACAGATGTATTGTATAGTCCATTCCTCACCGAGTGGGTAGATCCATACTGGATCTCCCCTGTATGTAACACAGCGGGTATCTGCAGGGGGGCAGGGGGGGGTCAGTATTACCATTCCCCCACCGAACGCCTAAGTGAAAATAAAAAAACCCGGGGAAACAAGCACATAACGCCCCCCTTTCTATGCAAAGAGAAAAAAAAAAGAAAGTCGTCACGCCATGAATCCAAACTTCAAGTCTCCCTTCAATCCCTTCAATCCGCCGTTGGGACATCCTTGAGAATCTCCCAGCCGTACTCCTCATCGTGCCTTTCGGCCTCCATCCCAAGGGCGTTGCGGTATGCGCGAACCTCGTTCTGCAAGCCCATTATAATGCGGACGGGGAGCTCTTCCTCCTCTGACCGTAGTCGGTGAGCAGTGCGGATCATCTCTGCACATTTCATCGTTTGTGCATGCCAGTAATCCCGGTCCAGTCGGCTCTCCAGGTGGAGGTCCCGCTCGGCTTGCAGGAGGTTATTATAGTGGCTTTTCTGGTAGAAGTAATGCAAGTTGTTGTTTTGACAGTAGTTGCGGATCTGCTCCACCATCGTGCCCACGCTGGACTCGTACTCGCCGATTAACTTGGTGTTCTCCAGCTGCTCGCGCTTAAGGCTTTCGGTCAGTCGCTTCTCTTTGGCAAGGGCTCGTTCGAGTTCGGAAATGCGGGCCGCTAAGAAAAGGCATTAGAAGCAAAGTCTCGTAAATAAGCGGGGCAATTTTGGGGTAAACATACCAGATATATCCCCGTTGACCTGCTGCGCCGCTGGGCTGGCGCTTTCCGAAGAGCCGTGTTTCATAATTTCCTCCGCGCTCGTCACGATATTCTTTGTAACTTCTCGATTATTTTTCAGTACGTCTGCCAGCTCCAACACCATGTCATAGAGATGGTGGAGATCCATCTGGTGTCCTGCGTTCATGGGCATGCCAGCAGCGAGGGCCGCCCCCATCCCACCGCCGTTGACCTGAGCAGTCGGGTGTGAAAGCGCAGGAGACATGGATTGCCGCGACATGCTACCGACACTAGGACTGGGGGAGCCGGAATCGAGACGGACGGGGGTGTCGAAGTTCGAATATACGCCGTTGCTGGGACCGTTGCTGGACACGGCGGCGCTGTTCATGGACATGTCCGCTTGAGCAAAGGCGCGGTTGAGATCCTCAAGCTGAGGGTCGTTCGGGTTGATACGCGAGGAGCCGCTTTCCTCGTCGTACCAGGAGGCGTGGTTTTCAACGCCGAGGACCTCCTTTTGAAACTTCTCAAGGTCCCGGCGAGTAACGTGGGTGGAACGACGGCGGTGCCCACGTGCAAATGCCTTGGAGGCGGAGGTAGAAGTGGCGCCCTCGATGATGGCGGCGCAATCGACGAGATGGAAATTGGGGTCAGTCGCAGGATCGTCGATGTAGTCGAGTGTCGACGTCGCCGCGCTGTTGTGGTGGACCGGCTCGCCGTTCCCGATCGGGTTAGCTTCCTCTTTCACCACCGCCCTTTCACTGACGGGGCTGATACTCTCCAGTCCAACCAACCGCTTCATCCTGTTGAGCGCACTCATCGCGGGGGATTGCGGCGGATGTAGGGCTGAGCCGAAAATAGCACAGGTTCAATCCTACCATTGTGGGTGTCAAGCCTTCCTTCGGCTCAGGTGTAGGTGTAATGGATGACGGATGCCAATTAAAAACCTCTAAACCTTCTCTGAATCGCGCTTGCTGAAACTGGTTTTCTGCAGTCACAATTGCCAGGAACCCGGTACTTGCCCGTTTCATGATCCTTGGTTGTTCAGGCCCGGGTCTGTTGAATATTTGATGGTCGCGTGCAGCCTGATGTAGATGGCTCTACTTAAGGTACATACTATAGCCAATTTCGATCATCAATCAAGTACCCTCCCAAAAACCGACAATTACGACTGGCACTAGGCTTTTAGGTCCACTTGGCCAGCTTGGGGCTCATGTTGCATGGATCAAGATGGTCGGAAATTGTACATGAAGATAATTCAATATTATTAAACATCGTGTCAAGTCATACCTGTGTCCAGTAGGGCCTCCAATCTCCGGTCTGACCCGGGCAGGAGGTACTCTTGGTCCTCTTGAAAGTTGTTGCTTTTCTTCTGCTGTGCAATCCTCCCCCCTACTCGCGCCACGAGCATGCGCATCTTTTCCAATTCTTGAATCAGCTCGCCGTCTCGTGTGACAAGATTGGGCTGAATATTCTTCTGGGGATCCTTGAATGGCTCGGTGAGTCTTTGTAAATGTCGTAGTTGATCCAACCGCCGTTGTCGTTGCTGGCGTTGCTGGTCCAGACTAGCCAGTCGCTCCCGGAGCTGCTGGTATCTGTGCCACGGATGTTAGCCAGGTGGAACTCCAGTCGGAGAAATTTCAGAAGTTTTGAAGGAGGCTGACCTTGCAGTCTCTTCGTGGCCTGCACCCTGAGACTCGATTTCCAATGGTAGGTTGGTAATGTTCCTAAGCAATGTCGGTGAGGATTCGAGATGAAGCATAGCGTCGAGGAAATCTCACATATGTCTGGACAGATCTGTTGTCTTTTCGACCCCATTTTTGAAGGCTGTACGAGACCTACTTTCTTGGCTGATGGAGGACCAGTAGAGAGTAGCAATCTGGTGGGCCACATGGTGGATTGCTTGCGAAGAATAGACAACGCGATTATGTTGTTTCGCAGTCGCGTTGACTGGTGGTAACTTAGTACTCGCATTCTTGATAGGCACGCATGGAAGTCCAATAGTTTCATAAAAGAGGCTCGTATCACGGGAAACAGGGAACATACCTTTGTGCAGTACGTCTTCAATCACCTTCTCGCCAAGGTCGCCCTCCTCAGTCTCCACCGCATAGCTTCGCCAGTCTCGGGGGAGCTCGAGTTTTTCAGAGAGGATTCGAACCTGGCTTCGTACAAATGCCGACTTTAATTCCGATATTGTTCTAGTCGAATCCATCGCGGCAATGCAGCGACAAGCAACCCCCGTGTTGCCAAAAACGCGTCCTTATCGCGCTTATCGATAATGGTCACGTGCCCATCGGTCGCTGTTGGCCATGGCGATCGGGCGAGGTTCTCAGTCTGATCCGATTCGAAACCGATATCTGGTTTGTCGTTGGGCAATGTTAGTTGTCGTTGTTACATGCGACAACATTTCATCGAGTCTCGACAGTTGGGTGATCTGAGAAATTCCCTCGGCCTCGAACGAACCCCGTACCTCGGCAATTCCCCATCGCCTTAAAAGCGTCTAGTTCTCCGCATTAGCCTGATAACTTAACGCTTCACTCGTCGGATCAAACATATCTATAGAGTGCATCTGTTCAGAAGTGCAACTCCGGCCTTGAAGTTTTCCATCATGACAGAGAACCAACGGCCAGTGGGCCTCCTTTTTGACATTGGCGGCGTGTGTGTATGTCAACCCAACCCAAGTAGACTATAACCTCAACGATACTTGCTAATCCTCTTGAAGGTCGTATCGCCATTCCAGGCCATTCTTGACTATGAGGTCTCCCAGAATATCCCGCCGGGGTGGGTGAATTTCAGCATTTCTAGAACAAAGCCAAATGGCAGCTGGCATAAGCTCGAACGAGGCGACATTCCAATGGATGCCGAGTTCTTTGCCGGCTTCAACACAGATTTATGCAACCCAACTCTCTGGAAACAGTTCCACGAGCAATTACACCAAAAGAAGGGCCTCAGCGGGGACGCCCCGATACCTCCACTTCCCACCGTGGATGCGGAATGGCTTTTCTGGGAGATGATGAGGGTATCTCGTACACCCGATCCATATATGCTCCCGGCCTTGAAGAAGTTGAGAGCGTCCGGAAAGTATCTTATCGGTGCTCTTTCCAACACAGTCAAGTTCCCCGAGGGGCATCCATACAATAATGATGCATCCGGTGTGAGGTCACAGTTTGACTTCTTCATTTCGTCTGCACACACGGGGTTGCGCAAGCCTGACCCGAAGATTTACGAGGTTGCTATCCAGGAAATGAATACTTTGGCCAAGCAGCGGGGACTAGCGAAGGTTCAGCCTTCGGATATCGTCTTCTTGGACGACATTGGTGAAAACCTAAAGGCGGGAAAGAACGCTGGCTTGCGTACCGTTAAGGTCACACTCGGACGCATCCAAGATGCAGTGATGGAGCTCGAGAAGATTACGGGGCTCGACTTGCTCGAGGGTGGGGATAAAGCTCGACTATGAGAGGAACTAAACAGAAGGGGCAGACTTTCTAGACGTTCTAGACATTCTCGGATTTTATTAGCATTGAATATAAGAGCGAATGAAAGTATCACGTATAGTTTGCCTTTCGACTCCCTAATGAAGGGCCATTAATTAAGGGCCATTTGGGTGAAATTGGGTAAAGTCCTTAAGCCGCGCCAAGTCCGGTGGTCGTCGACGGTCGTCGCCAACCGCACTTTTGAGGAGGGGGATGCAGGCCCGCTAAGCGAATCTCCCCACAAAGTCGCCGGCCGAATTTTCTCCCACTTCTTTTTTTCTCCATCAGTCCAGGCTTCAGCACCGACAACCGTCAAAATGGTGAGTCTAATTACCGATGGCTGAAAATGCCAATACGGTCCTCGCATCAATCTCCTCTGCCTCGAGCGGAGCCGGGTCCCTGCAAGATGCTTCGGATCGAATTCTGAAGCGCTAATTGCTGACTCGCGATCTTCTTGTACAGCCTTTCACCAAGAACGTCAAGAACGATGCGTACTACAGGTAAGAAATTCCCCTCCGAAGCCTCAACACAATTTTTTCTGGGGCTTTCGTGCTGACTTTTCCCCAGTCGCTTCCAGACTAAGTACCGCCGCCGTCGCGAGGGTAAGACCGACTACTACGCTCGCAAGCGCCTGATCACCCAGGCCAAGAACAAGTACAATGCGCCCAAGTACCGCATGGTCGTTCGCTTCACCAACCGCGACATCATCACCCAGATCGTCTACTCCGAGATCTCCGGTGACAAGGTCTTCGCCTCCGCCTACGCTCACGAGCTCAAGGCCTACGGCGTCACCCAGGGTCTGACCAACTGGGCCGCTGCCTACGCCACCGGCCTGCTTCTTGCCCGCCGTACCCTCAACAAGCTCGGTCTCGCTGAGCAGTTCCAGGGTGTCGAGGAGGCCACCGGTGAGTACACTCTCACCGAGGCCGTCGAGACCGACGATGGCGAGCGCCGTCCCTTCAAGGCCTTCCTTGATGTTGGTCTTGTCCGTACCTCCACCGGTAACCGTGTCTTCGCTGCCATGAAGGGTGCCTCCGATGGTGGTATCTTCATCCCCCACTCCGAGCGCCGCTTCCCCGGTTACGACATCGAGTCCGAGGAGCTCGATGCCGACACTCTCCGCAACTACATCGTCGGTGGCCACGTCACTGAGTACATGGAGACCCTCGCCGATGAGGATGAGGAGCGCTACAAGTCCCAGTTCTGCAAGTACATTGAAGAGGAGATCGATGCTGGTGACCTTGAGGAGCTCTACGTTGATGCCCACAAGGCCATCCGTGAGGACCCCTTCAAGAAGGATGAGGATGAGGAGCCCAAGAAGTCCAAGGCTGAGTGGAAGGCCGAGTCCCAGAAGTACAAGATCAACAAGCTCACTCACGCCCAGCGCAAGGAGCGTGTCCAGCAGAAGATCCGCGAGCTCGCCCAGTAAGCGTCTCGCTCTTCTTTGACGGATTGTTCGGGCTGCTGAACCGGCTCAAAAAGTTCCACCAAAATTCAATGAGGGGATCGGCTTTTGCCAGTCGGCGTTTCTTTTTTTCCAATGTGATGTAGATTTGATGGATCATGGCTTATACCACTTATGTTACGTTGAAGGGGTCTGTTTTCTGGAGCAATTAGTTCGGTGTATCATTCAAGGCATTTCTTCACAGTTCTAACTGCTCCCCAATGTCCATGAAATCTCATCGTTCCCTCAAGCGCATTCTCATACTTTCCTGGAAATCGTGCATTGTAGACGGGAATTAGATACAGTCCCCACTGTCGCGTGCTAACGTGGCCGCTTGTTCGTCAGATTCACCGGTCAATGCCCCACGATGTGTAGCGGTGTGTAATCGAGAGAAGACCTCGTATCCGACCCTCCCGTGTATGTAGCTATACAGCACCACGCTGTGGATCACTCGACCCACTCCTTAGCCTCAATATCCTCCGTTACCGATCACCGCAGGACTATTGAAAGATTGAGTAAATTGGTACAATTTACTCTGTACAGCACTATTGGCCTCAAAAGGCTCCTTCGTCGAAAAGCCAATATCACGTGACTACCACGTTGAAGAAGTCGGACGTTCAAAGGTGATTTTCCTCTCACCACCGTTAGATTTCACCATGCAAACATCTTCAAAAGATGAAGCTCTTTCTTATCCGACACGCAGAGACTATACATAATGTCGAAAAAGTGTGGTAGGTTTTAAACAGTCCTTATTTGATGCTGTATTTCTAACGCCAAATATCAGGGCTGGCTCAACAGACTCAACACTCACAACTCATGGAATGCTACAAATCGAAAGTCTCGGAAGACATTTTGCATCCAAGTCTATTCATTTTAACTCCGTGTTTGCATCAGACCTGAGCAGGGCTCGCGTTACAGCGGAAGGGATATGTAGCCAACAACCCCCCAGACATGGCAAAGCTCCTATATCACCTTTCCTGACACCCGACCTAAGAGAAAAAGATTTCGGATCATTGGAGGGTGTGCGCTTTAATCCAATCCCGGGCAAAACTGGTAAAGGCCATGCACGCCTCGATCGCTCAAATAGCGCGACTACATTGCCGCATATCGAGAGCGAATCTACAGCCTCGATGAGACGTCGAGTGACTTCGTTTCTGAATACACACTTCCTACCATTGATATTCGATGATACTACGCAAAGACCAAACGTGGCTATCGTCGCTCATGGTATTATTCTTCGTGTATTGTGGCAATGCCTTGTTGAGCTCTTCGATCCTACAAATATCTCTATTGCTCCTGGCATTACTACTGCGGACGATCGATCGCCGGCCCTCCTTTCTCCAAGCTGGTCGAACACAGGATATATTTCATTATCTATCCAACCTAATCATGTTCCTACGTCGCCTTCACAGCCTCAGCCGGGCCACGATCAAAGGCCCATATTAGCGAACGCCACGCCACCCACCGAGGATCTATCATCGCAAAGCATATCCACGCCAGATGCTCATTATGTACTACACGGATGGGCAATGAGGATACTGGCTCTTGATAGTCGAGGTCATCTCGCCAGTCTACGCCGCACTCGAGGTGGAATTGGAAGTTCCTCGCACGATAATCGACAAAAGAAAATCGACCAATTTTTCAGGAGCGGAAGGGATTAAAAATCCACAAATACTCTCTGGACTATGTACATTTCAATTGATCTATACCGTCACTGGCTTTACTCGTAGTAGAACACCTCATCCAAAGGCTTCCACCACCCAGGGCCATCGGCACTGCCAACAGCGCCGGGAATGGGACTCTCCTAGTAGTCCAATCTGTCAGTCTCTCCTCAAGCACAAACTTGAAAGATTGATTGATGTGACATACCTGCATCCCATCGGTCATGGCCCACCACTCCCTAACCTTCGGGTTCGCCCGCATACGCTCCATATCGCCCTCGAAGTCTGTGCCGACGTACTTCATAGTCGCGAATAGGGTGCGGTCATTGTCGAAGAAAATAGAATCTGTTCATGTTTGATATTTGTAATTAGATATAAGACCAGCCATGCGCTAGAATGTATAGCCCGTACAATCTGTGATATTGCAGTCCTTGATCTGCTGCAGGACCTCGGGCCAGACGTTGGCGTGGCACTCCTTGTACGCGGCCACGGCGGAGGGCTTGAGGTGGACGATTTGGGCAATGCGGCGAACTGGAGCCATTGTATCTGTTGTGGTAGTTCTGGATCAATCGTAATTGGTTTGCTTGGCAATTGCTTGCGCGGGATTCTGTCCGGAGGTGATAGAAACGGGCTAGGAGAGACCTGATAGTATGAGGAAGTAGTAGATCGAAGGAGTGCGAAGAGTAACAGTCAGGAGGGGCAAATTCTTGAAGACATGAAAGATCGACACGCGACTGTTGCATACCCCTCGTCTTCGCCGGAGTGTTAACCCGCGTTCGGGGTCAGCTAGCCCGAAGCCGGTTCCACCGGGATGCCGAGTAAGCATCCCTATAACTAGGAAACGAGGCCAAATAAGGAAAAATTGAATCATTTGAAAATTTAAGTTGTGAGCATCTTATACTACATGTGATTACTCTCATGATTGAACGACCGGGTTCTTCGAGACAGGACGAATCCAACCAACTGCCAAATTCGCCGCCATGGAAATGACACCAATGATCCACATCGACCGCCCATACTGAGACCCATTATATCTGAAAATAATGGCAAAGATAATTCCTCCAAGGTTGCCGAATCCACCTACAAGACCCGACACAATACCATTGGCATAAGGATGTACATGAGGAACAACAGCAAAGTTCGCTCCATTGCACGCCTCCAAGAAGAATGCCAGCCCGGCCATCAGACCAAACATAGTAGACTCGCTACTTGGATCAGACAACCCGATCGCCAGCTGGAAAGCACCCATAACAAGACCCAAGAATGTCATGAGGAGCTTCTTGGACCAGACAGTACTTGTGGAGCGATAGAAAACGTCCGCGAGAAATCCACCCGCTGGTCGACAGACTATATTTAGTAGGCCAAACATGGCAGCCCACTGGCCGGACTTTGTCTGGCCCATTCTCGTAAATTGGGCGGCGTAGTATGTGCCCAGGATGGAGTTTATAGCGAGTTCGGAGCCGAATGAGCAGGCATATGGGATTGCAACTGCCATGGTTGAGAGGCTAAATGCGACATGCATGGCTTCTTTGCGGGTGGGTGCGACGACTGTGTCGATCTTGAAAACACCCATTTGTCCCACTGTGGTCGCATCTCTGTCGATTATTGGGGGAGTCTGTACGCCTTTCTTTTCAACGTCAACAGCTGTAACGTTGTAGACTGAGGGTGGACCTGAAGGGCCGCTCGAGGCGCTGCCGCTGTGGATGTCGATGATGTTGCCATCAGAGGACGGCATGGGAGAAACGCTTTCTTTGGTCCGGAGGTGGCGTTCGGACCATTTCCCTGTGGGGGTGTCTTCGCACAAGAAGAGCATACCCAATGCCACGGCAGTGATGATGATGAAGGGGACGATATAGGCAACACGCCATGCTTTGTGCGAAGTGAGGCCTTGGGATGCGACGAGGGAGTCATAGATGGCAGGCATGACGAAACTGTAAAGACGTGTTAGTATGACAGATACGACCGAGTTGATCAGTGAAAACAAACTAAGTTATTCCTCCGCCAGAATTGCCCCAACCTCCTGCCAGAGAATTGGCGGTTCCGACAATTTCCTTGTCAAAAAATCCAGTGCACCACACCTGGCATGGAACGAAGGTACCACCTAGGATGCCGACGAAGAATCTCAAAGCAATGAGACCCTTGGGGTTGGTAACAAGCCCAGCCATAGCGGTGGGTATAGCGCCACATAGAAGCAGACCAACGAAGACCAGACGTGGCCCGAAGCGATCGCAGAGAGGTCCGGCGATGAATCGGACGAGCAGCCTAGGATGGTTAGATGATGTTTTGAGAATATCAAAGTGAATGGGGTTTCGTACGTTGCTAGCAGCGCAACGATGTTCGAATTGGCGATATCTTGCTGCGTCATATGCAGGTCTTTCTTGATTGTGACAGTCAACTAGGGAGACAACTCGTTAGTTGATACTTGGCTAATATAAGAATGGTTTCGGGTATATAATGACTTACCAGTGGCGGAAATGCATACCACGATAGGAACGCAACCATGAACCCGAGCCATGAGAAGAAGAAAACGCGTCCATATTGATCGAATGGGTTCAGCACAGGGATAGACTTGGCTTTCCTGTTACGAGGGTTGACCTCTGGCGAAGCGACGAGGAGCTTGAAAAAGTTGGCAGCCATTGCCGGGGCCGATAGAATGCTGAGACGTGCCGAAAATGAGACTCGAGAAGGCAGAATCCAACGCCTATATAGAGACGCCCAGCCTGTGCCAGGATTGCCCAGCAGAGAAGTAAATCAAACTTTCAGAGACACCTTTCATCATGACACACGGAGCCACAACCGCAGATATCGCTGACCAGGGTATTAGGCCAAGGAATCCCAGAGCCGAATTAGTCAAGAGAAAGCAACGCAAACGCGAGTATATCCAACGCCTCTGATTCGACGGGGCATGTCTTTCCCCCAAGGCCTGGGGACAAGGGAGATGACAGGGGAGGTTGAAGCTGACAAACGCCACTGTGCGGTGATAGCGATAAGGCCTGCACCGCGATGACCGATGGCCTATGAAAACCAGTCCAGACACTCAGGCTCAGGACTTTTGGCATGATAACAGCATCGTACAACTCCGCGGATGTATTCCTCCGTCATGTCACCCCGTATATTCCGGGGATGCTCCACAGAATGGTTGGCGGTCCGCAACTCGATAAACACGCCGCTTCTCATTGGGTCTCGGTAGTACGTCAAGATAGGAACAGAATCGGCATTCATCGTGTGGGTCTTGGATGGGTCCGATCGGGTCGATCTCAGCGCCGCGGAAATACCTTAAAACGGAGTCATGGCCAGGGTGAGGGCCTTAGGGCCTCAGGGCCTCAGGGCCGGGCATGACATAATGCCCTGTTGTGCCCTCACGGGCCTTCCTAGTCAAGGACCGGGATGCTCTGTAATTCTCTTCCGGTTACCGCCATTCTACAGAAATACTCAGAATGAAACATCGGGGGGGGGGGGGGGGGCTCTATTCTCGAGTATGAGACACAGGTGAGAAATTGGCGGAAATTATGATAGATTCGCGATACGTTTAACTACACAATTCTCTCTGAACTTGAACAATGGCCACCTACAACGTCCAGTCTCTCCGATCACCAGTCAATCCCACCGGCTGGCTGCACGGGGGCTTTCGATGCAGTCTCGCCGTCAGAAATCTTCTTCCCCCGCATTCCCTTGTACTTCTTATCCATTTTATGGAACGGACTCGGAGTTTCTCCCTTCTTCACCTTCCACTTCTTAGTTCCGAGTACAGAATCCAGCTCCTCCACAGGAGGCAGCTTGAGATAGATCCAGCCATCATCTCTCTCTTCCACCGGGAAGGTAGCAATGTTCATTTCCTCATCATTAGAACACCGCCCCGCTTGCTCGCCATTGAGCTCGAAGTTGCGCTTATGGTAAGGACAAGAGACCCAGTACTTGCCGGCGTCATCATCTCCAATTAGTCCATCAGAGAGCACAAATGCCCGCTTGTGAGGACACATCTGCTGCGTGGCATAATACTTGCCCTTGACCTTGAACACAGCAAGCTGCGTATCTCCGCGTTTGACATTGGCTGATGAAACCTGTGGCGGTTCGTCAGAGAAGTGGTCGGCTCGAACAACAGGTTGCCATGAGACACTCGACCACCGGTGGCCCTTGAAGTCTTCCTTTGCCGAGTCTTTGGCCCAGTACGCAGGGCGGGTTTGGGAGCGCTCTTCAACGACTTCCACGGTATCTACCGTTTCTTCAGTGTTGGCAAACTGCTGGAATGTCTTGCGTCTCTTCGGGTCTCGGACTGTTTCGGTCCATTCACAGAAGTAACTTCCTACCAGCTCTTGCATCTGCCTTTCCATGTCCGCGCAGATACCCAGCTTATCGTCAATGATGACTTCTCTCAGGTAACTGATTCCACCAGGAAGGTTCTCGATCCACCGAGCTGTTCGCTGTAATTTATCGGCTGTTCGAATGTAGAAGATCAAATAGCGATCAATGATGGGGATGACCATTTCCGGTGCAACGTCTTTGACAAGAAGTTCGGAATGCCGGGGCTTAGCACCTCCATTACCACCGACGTAGAGATTGAAGCCTTTCTCGGTCGCGATGAGACCAAAGCTGATAGCAATTAGCATGCTACTCCAATACAGCGAATGAATCCACTTACTCCTTATTCTGTGCCTCGGCACACTCTCGCACGCAGCCAGATACGGCACCCTTGAACTTATGCGGTGCCCGGACACTCTTATACCGCTCCTCAAGGCGAATGGCCATGCCGACACTATCACTGAGTCCAAAGCGACACCATGTGGTACCAACGCAACTCTTGATAGCCCGAAGCGCCTTGGCATAAGCATGCCCACTCTCCATTCCCGCATCAACGAGTTCTGTCCAGATACTCAGGAGATCTTGCTTCTTGGCGCCAAACATGTCGATTCGCTGAGCACCTGTGATTTTGCAGTATAGTCCGTACTTCTTTGCGACCGAACCGATGGCAATGAGCTTGTCGGCCGTGATCTCTCCACCTGGAACCCGGGGTACGACAGAGAAAGTCCCGTTTCGCTGGATGTTGGCGAGGAATTTATCGTTTGTGTCTTGGAGATCGTTGTAGCCTTTGTCCATGATATGTGGGTTGAACAGGCTTGATAGTATTGAGCCGATGGCGGGTTTGCAGAGTTCACAGCCCAGAGATTCTGAGTTTTTGCCGGCTGCTTTCATTACTTCGGGAAATGTCTTGAGTTGTTTGATGGCAACGATGTTGTAGAGGTCGGCTCGCGAGTATGGGATGTGGGAGCATACTTTTCAAGTCAGTACATCTGTTGAGAATGATTCTGTTAAGCGGTGCTCACAGTGGTTGGACACCTCGTGTCCCATTTCCATCATGGTCTTATTGAAGATGGACTGCACTAGTGGTAGACATCCACCACAACCTGTCCCTGCCTTTGTGCATGACTTGACCTGGCCCATGGTCTTGCAAGATCCGTTCTTGACATTCTCAACCACATCGCCCTTCGACACATTGTGGCAAGAGCATATCTGAGTGCTATCATCACTGCATGATGAGGCATGTCAGTACCTGACCAGGTAAAATCACCGAGTAGTTCTTACAGGTCATCCGCATTTTCTTCTCCGTTATTCTGGGCCCCCAGAATTAATTGGCTCGGGGGGATCTCTAGCTCCTTTTGTCCCTTGACCATTTGATTCAACTTCAAGTAGTCTCGAGTGTCCCCGATCATCATTCCTCCAAGCAGATATTTTCCATCCATCGTAAATAGATACTTCTTGTATACACCACCGAATGGATCCTTGTAAGTCAAGGCCTTGACAGGGGGCTCTTTCTCTTCGGGGCCTTCTGCATTCGGACCGGAGATCAATGGTCGTCGACCAGGGAGGAATTTAGGGCCATCCCGATCGGCAAAGAAGTCACCAAAGGAGGCGACGTCCACGCCGAGGAGCTTCAGTTTTGTGCTGAGGTCCGGTCGTGTGAAGCCTTTGAGCTCTTTGTCAGGGTTGGTCAGATTGTAGGCCAGTACGTCGGCCATCTCGATACCAGGAGCAATGATGCCGAAGGTTTGGTTCTCCCAGCTGGCGCATTCTCCGACGGCATAAATATCAGGTATCGAAGTTTGCAGGCTAACGAGGTCAGAAATTATTCCCGTAGAGTAAAGTAGCGGGAGACAAACCCTTCATCAATAACAAAACCACCTCTCTCAGCGGACTGGATGCCAATGGAATGACCCAGCTCATCTCTCGGCTTGACACCGATCTGAACACAACCAATGCGTATGAGTATCTTCTACTGACAAGGACGAAAAGAAGGGATACATACCGCGAAGCAAATACAACAGCACTGGATCTGCTCTCCATCTTCAAACGTGATACCAGTCACGTTGTTATCCGAATCCGTATTGACAGTTGCAACACGTTTCTGATGCAACACGTCGAGGCCCAGATCGCGGATCTTGCGGGTCACCAGCGTGCCTGCATCTGCATCCAGCTGGCGTGCCAGCACCCATTTGTTGCGGTCAATCAACTTGACATTTCCAAAGTCTTCCAGGTCGGTCATGGCCTTGGCAGCCTCGAGGCCTAGCAGACCTCCTCCAACAGTGACTGCTGTTTCGCCTTTGTGTTTTGACGCGAATTCAATCAAACGCTCAAGATCTTGGATTGTACGGTACACAAATATACCCTTCGCGTCGTGGCCTGGGGTATGTGTGGGAAGAACGGCATCTGAGCCGGTCGCGAGGACGAGGATGTCATAGGGCACCGTGTCTCCCGTAGATGTTCGAACCGTCTTGTTATTAGGATTGATTGCGGTGACGCGAGTATTGAGATGGTGATCGAATGCCCGCTCTTTGAATGATCCATACTGGTGTACATATCAGTGGTGTAGTTCCTTCTTGTTTTATTCACGACTCACCCATTCTTTAGGATTTAGGTAGAGATCTTCGATTTTGCGATGCTCAAAGAATGATGACAGCCCCACGCGATTATACGCGACGTGTGGCTCTTCGCCGATCACTAAAATATCGTATCGTCGTGCGGAATCTTGCTTGATGACTTTCTCGCTGTTTGTCGTTAGCCTATAGTGATACGCTCTTGATTGAGGACTGCCTACATGAAAGAAATAGCCACCATGCCTAGACCAACTACTACAATCTTCTTTCTGGAATCGTTAAAGACGGGACCGGGGCTACCGTCCACCGGCTCGCCGTGACGGAGTCCATCAAGAACCGGCATGACTAAATTGGAGTATGGAAGTTGGATACACTACAATTACGACCCTGGCTACATTTTAAGAGAATGACACCGGCCAGGCATGGCCTTTGCGAAGAGTGACACAAGAGGCGACCACATCACGAAAACAAGCAGGGTTCTCGATTTGATAACGCATCTCCGCGGAGATCGAAAAGTGCCATCCAGAGATAAACTCGACGCCACACTGATTGGCCCTCTGATCTATCTCGCGATAAGAGTGTGAACCACACTGATTCTCGGGCTAATTATTCAAACGGGTTATGTATTTTCGGCAGGGTCAGAAATGCCTTCCCCGCGGAGATGTCTGGTATTGGGGTGGCGTCTGACATGGCACCGACGCCACTTCCAAGAGGTCTCTCGATTCTGTACTACTCTATACGTTGCCGACCAAATGGCCCTATAATCAAAACATTCCGTTGCTAAATCCGGAGGACTATACCAGGCTTGGACTATATCAGTACTTGCAATACAGAAGACCTTGTTGCGAGGATAGCATCTCGCACTTCATCATGGCGACCATTATTGAGACTGCAGTGGAAATAAACAAATCTCCTCCAAAGGAGGATATCAAGTGGCATAATCTTCCAACACCAGAAGAACCAAATGTGCCTCTTCCACCTCCGTCAGTCAACCCAACGGCAATCTTGGATGTCGACAAGGGTACGCCCGATAGTCATGTTGCTCGGGATCCTCGACTTATCCGCTTGACGGGTGTACATCCATTTAATACCGAGCCGCCACTTACGGCTCTTTACAAAGAAGGTAAGACAGTATCAAGACGGAATACTCTGAATATAGAGCTAAACGTACACAGGATTTCTCACATCACCCGAGCTGTTTTATGTCCGGAATCACGGTCCCGTACCTCAAGTCCTTGATGAGGATATTCCGAATTGGGAAATCAGCATTGAAGGGTGAGTGACCAAGTTCCTTTGCCACAGAGAGATTACAGAACAACTAATCTTGAGAACAGATTAGTTGAAAACCCAATAGTCCTAAACTTCAGAGAAATCCTACAAAACTACGATCATATCACAGCCCCAATCACCCTCGTCTGCGCAGGCAACAGAAGAAAAGAACAAAACACAGTCCGCAAATCAAAAGGGTTTTCATGGGGTGCAGCCGGGCTCTCAACCGCGCTATTCACAGGACCCATGCTGGCAGACATTCTGCGCACCGCGAAGCCCATGCGGCGGGCAAAGTACGTGTGTATGGAAGGAGCCGATAAATTGGTAAGAGTACACATTCCATCCCAGATGATGACCATGGGTTGATCAATATAGCCGAACGGTCATTATGGCACGTCAGTCAAATTGAACTGGGCAATGGATTTCAACAAAGGAATCATGTTAGCGCACAAAATGAACGGCGAGTCGTTGCGAGCGGATCACGGCCGTCCTTTGCGGGTTGTTGTTCCCGGTCAGATTGGGGGACGGAGTGTCAAGTGGCTAAAGAGGTTGATATTGACTGACCAACCGAGTGATAATTGGTATCATATTAATGATAACCGGGTGCTGCCGTGAGTATTCATCTCAAGGGCTTGTGAAATGTTCTAACGCAAATCAGAACCATGGTGTCCCCCGAGATATCGGCACAGGATAAGAACTGGTGGACTGATGAGCGGTATGCGATTTATGACCTTAATGTTAATTCGGTGGCGGTTTATCCGCAACATGAAGAGGCGTTGGATCTTGCCGCGGCTGGGCCAATGTACACTGCCAAGGGTTATGCATACGCAGGAGGCGGTCGGAGAATTACGAGGGTGGAGGTGTCTTTGGATAAAGGGAAGAGTATGAAGACCCGCCCGAATTGTTGCTTGTTTAAAGAAGCTAATGGATTGTTGTTACAGCTTGGCGACTCGCCGATATTGAATACGCAGAAGACAAATACCGCGAGTGGGAAGGTGATCTATTTGGAGGCAAGGTTGACATGTGGCAGCGAGAAAACTGTTTCTGTTGGTCTTTCTGGTCTCTGGATGTCCCAGTGTCGGATCTCGAAGACAGCGGAGCAATGTTAGTCAGAGCCATGGATGAAGCCTTGACTGCCCAGCCACGAGATATGTACTGGTCTGTCTTGGGAATGATGAACAACCCGTGGTTTCGAATCACGATCTCAAAGGAAGGGGGATCCCTGAAATTTGAACACCCAACTCATCCTGCGAAGGCCGGGGGATGGATGGAGAATGTCAAAACGGCAGGCGGCGATTTAACCAACGGTAACTGGGGCGAACGGATCGAGGGGGAAGTTTCCGTCGAACCAGAGCCTGTGAAGGAGATTAATATGAAGAAAGAAGGAGCCAGCCGAGTTATTGACTTGCTAGAGCTAAAGTCAAATAGCAGTGCTGAGACGCCTTGGTTTGTGGTCAACGGGGAAGTGTATGATGGCACAGCCTTCCTGGAAGGCCACCCCGGAGGAGCAATCAGTATCACTGCCTCTGCTGGTCTGGATGTGTCGGAGGATTTCCTTGCCATTCACAGCGAGACGGCTAAGATGATGATGCCTGACTACCATGTCGGCACTTTGGACAAGACGTCCCTCGAGGCACTGAAAAACAAACCCTCTCCAGTATCCGACGAACCCCGCCCGGTCTTCCTTCAGTCTCGAGCCTGGTCTAAGGCCAAGCTGATAGAAGTGAAGAATGAGTCTTGGGATACGCGAATATTCGTCTTTGACCTGGAACACGGGAAACAAACCTTGGGTCTGCCGATCGGCCAGCATTTAATGATCAAGGTCCCAGATCCCGTCACTAAAGAGGCCATCATCAGATCATACACTCCGATCTCTGAGACAAGCCTAGTAGGGAAGATGGAGCTGCTGGTGAAAATATACTTCCCATCTGGTACGATACCAGGCGGCAAGATGACCATGGCCCTGAACAAGCTTCCTCTGGGAGCAGAAATAGACTGCAAGGGGCCAACAGGGCGTTTCGAGTATCTTGGAAACGGCCGAGTACTCATCGGCGGCAAAGAGCGCAAGGTCCGCTCCTTCAAGATGATCTGCGGAGGGACTGGTATCACGCCGATATTCCAGGTCTTACGTGCTGTGATGCAGGACCCTCAGGATCCTACCACCTGTGTTGTGCTCGACGGCAACAGGTTGGAGGAGGACATCCTATGTCAGGCTGAGCTCAATACCTATGCTGCGGCGGACAGCCGGAAGTGTACTCTAGTGCATACCCTGACAAAGGGCTCGGAAGATTGGAAGGGCCGGCGAGGCCGTATCTCCGAGGAACTGCTTTTAGAATATGCGCCTCCCGGGGAGGAAAGCATGGCGATTCTTTGTGGACCTGAGGCGATGGAGATATCAGCTCAGAAAATTCTCCTTGACCAAGGTTGGAAGGAGTCGGATCTTCATTTCTTCTAGCTTCCATTCGTAGACGCGACTTTGTACCATTTGTCATTTGTCATTTGTCATTTGTTATGTATTTAGCGAGAGCCATGGGAAGATGGCGAGGTCGGGAGAACCGCGCAACACGACGTTTGGCACTCACACTTGCAAATCTACAAAGCAATAGAGGAAATGAATATGTTGAAATTAATGACAAAGACTTGAAAAGATCCCAAGCTACCGAGTGGCGCACGGTGCTGGCTTCACCTGTAGAAGAATGTCAAACCTCCAGTGCGATCAATTCCAATTGCCAATTGTCCGCTCTCAGCGTACTGTATTGGCTTCAACCTGACCAAGGCATGAGATGATGAAGGGTCATGATCGGCAGGGTGGAGACGAAGCAATAAAGATAATTGGAGGCAAGAGAAGTGGAGAACGAAAGTTGTTGACAGGGGATTTGAGGATTTTAGTAAGGGCGGTCACAATTCATTCTGTGCCTTCACGCCGCCTTTAACTAGTTCTTGGGGTCCTCCTTCAGAGTGCACATCCTCCTCATCTCCTTCAGACGTCCAGAATCTAATTAAAGAATGATCGACAGCCGCTGATTTATTATCCCAAACATACTTGTGCGTATCTAGTCATGTGGAATTTGACAATGATAACAAAGAAAGTTCATAATTCGTAACACATCATCGCTGATGAGAACTCCATCTCATGCATGTTAATAGTAATCCCTCATATCTAAGCGCACTCGGAGATGTTCAAATACGCTCATCGGCTCACTCTGCAACGAGAAGGCGGCTCCCGACTTCGCCATTGATTTGGCAGAGGAGTTCCCTGGGTCCAAGCGACGAAGATATCCCACGAAGGCCGAGGTCTGTTTCCGGAAAGTAGAATACAAATGAAGAGCAGCACCTTCATTCTCATGGCGGAGCCCACTCAAGCCTTCCGCCGTGGATAACAGACTGAACGCAAGAATTACGCTGAAGATGTTATCTAACAACTTCGCAGCGTGTGCATGTCGTTTGCTCAAGAGGAGAGCAAACAGCATTTGATCGAGGATATCTTCGTGGTAGTCCCGGAGGCGCGGCACGGAATGAGCCGCTTCGATGGTACCGTCGATATCGCCACGATCAAGACAGCGTTCGATTCTCGAGAGGGTTGTTTGGAAGTTGGTCCAGATGGATCCAATGCCGACGTGGAAACAGTAGTCGCTGACTGCGAGAACGAAGTGCTGGGCGTCGATTCGGAACCTCTGGAACACATTTCGGATATCCCCTGTGAGGGATTCTCGGGAGGTAGAGTCACGAATAAGTCCTTTGACAACCGATACCATGCGAAGGAGGCGGAGCAGTTGCTTGAAGAGACGGTCGTACTTCTTCAGAGAGCGTGACGTGATGAGAGCTTCGAGGGTTTCCGGGGGTTTGTACTGTAGACGGAGGAAATCCAGTGCCTCTATGGCGTTGGGATCTTTGCAACGTTCAATCTCTTCATCTGTCAATTCTCGGATAGAGAAATTGAGGCCACCGGGAAGCTCATTCTCTCTTTCATTCTGCGCTTTGTCAGGCTGGTCGGGCTCCGTGTCAGAGAAATAGCAGTCTCCAAGAATCCCAATAAGAACCAGTCGCAGCTCTGAGCTTGCTGGGGGCCAGCTATCACGACTGCCTAGGCGCAATCCAGTGTGCACACCACCCCGGGCCTGTCCAGCCTTGCGCTCGCCGCTGTCCATCTCAGGATCGAACAGAGATTTCGAGAGACGCGAGGCAAATGAACCATCTCCCAATAGCTGAAATCGCCATTGAAGGTTCAAATGGTGCCGAACGTCGTGCTCTTTAAAAAAGGTGATGGAGGCATGAGAAATCGATAAGTTGAGCCTGAGAAGAAATAATCGGAGCAAATGAGAGATAGAGACTTGATGCCAAGTCTGGCCCAAATCGATTGCCGAAAGAGATGGAGTCAGGACCGGGGTCCCTGGCTTTCTGAAGCATCTGGCTGACTTTGTTGTTGGAAAAGGTCTTTTCGTCCATGACTGACCCAGAAACATGCTTCTCATCATCAATGTCAAATAGCTCAAAGGTTTTTTCCACGATGTCATTTGAACTCGCTTCGTCAGTATCCTGAGTTGATTCAATCGTATTTGGCTGCGCAGTCGAACCCTCTTTGTGATACCTCAAAATCTCAGTACGAAGGTTGGACTCGTATTCGAGTGCTCTTTTTTGAATTCGCTCGATATCTGCCCAGCTTGTCGCATATTCAAGGCGAAGTTGGCCTGTCCGATTGAGAACATCACGACGGGCAATGGGATGTTGTGGGTGTGATTTCTTGAGGAGACGAAGACTCCTTCCACTCTCGAATATCGAGAGCGCTTGGTCTTTGGGTATGAATGATGGCATGTGGGACCCAAGGTAGTTGTACTCGACTCGAGAAGGTGTTGACTTTAACCTTCCAGGGTCCTCATGACGTTCTTCCTTAACAAACGTGCGGCCACTCGCCAGTAAGTCATTGAGCGCTGATTCTTCAGGCCGAAGGCCGATCCAGCCCTCCATAAATCTAAACCACGGCGCCGTGACTTGAACCACGACTTCGTGTGCAAGATTCTCCATCCACCCAAACTTCTGCGCGAAAAAGGTGGCCCATTGGATAACACCCGAAATGACTTGAGCGTCTGTAACAGCTTTCTCCACTGCATCGATGAACTCAACCAGGGCGCCTATTATGTCTGCGCATCGACCGAACAGGGTCGTGACTTGAAGAAGCGAGACGACTTGTCGGGAATGAGCAAGAATTTGTTGCTCAAGGTTATAGATTATCACAGCGACGATACCACGCAGGGTGAATATAGCAGAAATATCCTCGGATTTGGTCGGCGGAGTCCTAACAAACACTCGTACTCGCTGCATATTGGTGCCGCATTGCAATATTTGTGTAATCGCAGCATCCAAAACTTTCAAGCTAACACCAGAGACACGAATGTCCTTCATGTATCGCTCGAAAGCCATCTTCTTCTGGTTGAAACGAAAGAATGCAGAGCTCCAGCCCAACCCAAGCCGTAACAGTGATCGAATAAAGATATCGTCTCGAACTAGGCGGCCAGAAATATCACGGCCTTCGGTGCTCTGTCGCGCAAGTGCCGCGTCGAAGCCTTTGGCGCCCGATTCACTGAAGTATGCCGACACTGGTTCCTGAAACGACCGATCCTGGTATCTCTCCCATGATTTGAGCGGCGCAATATGACCCGTTTTCTCCTGCAGTAAATCCAGATCCCATAAATCTTCTTCTCCGAGCTCTGGTAGTGGTTCAGTCGGCGCATCGGACCGAGCGTCTATCGAGTGGTCGATAATTGAATTGGACGCCGACTCGAGCTGCTCGGAATCGGTATTAAACAAGTTCAACTTCCATATCGGATCGATCTTGCTATCCGTATCCGTGGATTGGTGAATAAGAGAGCCCGAAACATCTATTCAGATCGAAAATGTCAATCCATAGTCTCCGGCTGAATCAACGGTTACGTACCAGGCAGTTCCGTGTTCCATGGTAGAGTCTCCAATGGTTGCAGAGCTTCTAGACTGAACTTTGAAAGCCTCCATAGACTCTCACTGGAGAAAGGGTCTAGCTCGTCAGAATCCATGAGCCCATAGTCGAGATCGCGCAGGAGCCTCGGACGCGTTGGGCAGATTGATTTGGTCCCGCGCGAACTGATATCGTGCACGGACCAGGCGATAACAGAACTCGCGAGTTGCTCGTCATTTCCTCTCTGTCAACGTCAATTCGTCTTTTATACCAATTTACAATGCCTCCCCGCAAGAAAGCGAAGCGCGCACATTCCGCTACGCCGCAGGATGAAGCTGCGGCGCAATCCAGTGCGAATACACCCGGCTCAAGCGAAAGCGCCGGAAAGCCAGAGCTCGAACACGATTTCCTCTCAGATCCTTGGACGGATGAGCAGGAGACTGCGCTGTTGAAAGCAATCATCAAGTGGAAGCCAGTTGGTGAGTCCAGGGTGCCATTGCACGTTGATCTTCTAACGGCCTTAATGCTAATGCGCGTTATACTTAAGGCTTGCACAAGCACTTCCGCATGCTCGCCATTGCAGACTACCTAAAGAGCCAAGGATTCGGTCCCTCTACGGCAGATCATATGCGCATCCCGGGTATATGGAAGAAACTAGGCACACTCTATAATCTCGAAGCTCTCGACGAACGGGTAATCCGCACCGAATCGCATTGAACCACAAGGACTCAGTCCAGCTAACCAGCATCAATTGCGCAGGAGAACTCTGTAATCACAGGCACTAACGATGATGATGAAGACAATCATGACATGTACTGCCCTTTCGAACTCCCGTACGATGAATATGGCGATATGATGTTCGAAAGACGACTAGCAGCAGAAGGATCCTCCTCCCCCGAGACTAGCCGTCACGCCGAGTCGCGTCGGGGCAGCACTGTAGCGAACACAGACGGTAAGCTGCGATACCGTTCTCACGGAGTCTTTTTTCAAGTACTAAACAAGCTGGATACAGAGCCTCGTTCCTCTCCGGCTCCCTCACGAGGTCGCAAGTCCACCCGCGGTACCCGCTCGGCTGCGCGCGAAACACGATCTACAAAGCTAGCTGTTGAGGTTGACTCTGGAAGTCAGGGCGAGGCATCCGATGAGGATGGAAAGTCGGATGGAGAGGATACGGGTGCAAATGATGAAGGCGAAGAAGAAGGCGATGAGGGCAGTGATGGGAAGGATAGCGATGGCGAGGAAGAAGAAGCCGAGGAGGAGAAGGAGGAAGAAAAGGGTGGTTCACGAAGCACACGGGCAAAGGCGTCAACGTCAAAGTCCAAGCCAAAGGACAAGAAAGCTTCGACGAGTACGGGCACTCGAAGGACCGCCCGTAGACGTTGATACAATGCTTTTTATGTGTACTTCTGCGGCTTGATACCTACGGATGGGCGTTTGTGTTGGTCTTGTTTCGGTGCATTGTACGATTATGGAGACTATAGGTTCGAAAGTCTACTGAGACGGAATTTTAAGGAGAACTTCACACTGTACAAGTGCATCGGCGTAACCACAAGTAGGTATATTTCGATCGCTATAGGAAGTCTAATGTCGTTCGAGAGTACAGAGGGAATAGGTCAAAAGGTCATAGTACAGTAAATCCAAGTAACAATGTACTTTAGAGGCGGGAGATAATGGCCGCGGCGTACTCGTGGGTCTTGGACTTGCCGCCAAGGTCACCGGTGAGGGTCTAGAAGAGAGCGGTTAGCTGGAGTCTTAGCCGGGTTCTGACGAGAGAAAACTCACCTTGCCCTCAGCCAGGGTGTCGAAAATAGCCTTCTGGATGCGAGCGGCGTGATCGTGGAGACCCATGTGCTGCAGCATCATAATGGAGGACAGAAGCAGAGCAGTGGGGTTGGCGAGACCCTGACCGGCAATGTCGGGAGCGGAACCGTGGACAGCCTCGAAGATGGAGCACTCGTCACCGATGTTACCGGAGGGGGTAAGACCGAGACCACCGATCAGACCGGCGCACATGTCGGAGAGAATGTCACCGTACAGGTTGGGCATGACAAGGACCTTGTCGTTGTAGGGGGTGGGGTCGGTAACGATCTTCAGGCAAGAGTTGTCCAGCAGCTCAGCGTCGAACTCGACCTCGGGGAAGTCCTTGGAAATGTCACGGGCAGTGTTCAAGAACAGACCGTCGGACATCTTCATGATGGTGGCCTTGTGCACGACGCGGACCTTCTTCTTGTTGATGGACTCGGCGTACTGGAAGGCGAAGCGCAGGACACGCTCGGAGGCCTCCTTGGTGATGAGCTTGATGCTCTGAACAACACCGTCCACAACGACGTGCTCGATACCGGAGTATTCACCCTCGGTGTTCTCACGGATCAGCACAGTGTCGACGCCATCGTAGGGGGTCTTGTAGCCGGCAATGGAGCGGCAGGGACGGACGTTGGCGAACAGGTTGAAGGTACGACGCAGAGTCAGGTTCAGGGAGACGTGACCCTTGCCGACGGGGGTCTAGATAAACAAATTGGTGAGTACATCCCACGTCGCAGCGACGAATCTCATTGAAGCTGAGACTTACGGCCAGGGGACCCTTCAGGGCAACGTAGTTCTTCTCAATGCTCTTGATGGCATCGTCGGGAATGGCGGTCTTGCCATCCTTCAGGATGGGGCCAACATCAACGGGCTCCCACTTGATGGGGGCCTGAAACAAGCTTAGTATCTCAATCGTGCGGCGAACATAGGTTTGCGACGGGCCATACCTTGGCAGCCTCGAAAATATCCTTAACGGACTGAGCGATCTCAGGGCCGATACCGTCACCCTCAATCAAGCTAACGGTGTACTTGCCCTATATTTCCAAAACATCGAATCAGTATTCTCGGCTTTTTGAGAAACATCCTTTTGCGCCAAAGTTTGATGGTCGACGTGCTTTGCGCGGCTCGCGCCGGCGAAGGAAAAAAACGAGATTTCGTGGGGGAGACGCACATCAGAACCCTTCTGGCCCTTGAACTTGGCGACGGCATCATTGGCAGCGGCAGCATAGCCGCGGAACTATCATCGGACAAGGGAATATTAGCCAATTGATATTGGGTGTAGGAGAGGGGGTGGGAATCTGGTACCTGCACAATGGAGGTGAAGCTGGGGGCCACGCGGACGGACCGCAGGCACTGGCGAGCAGCAGTGAAGTTTCTGGCGGCGAGCATCGTGAAAGGACCCGTCAAAAAGTTGGGGAAGGAGTAGAGGTGGTGGGGAGGGAGAAAGAGGAAAGGGAAAGGGACGAAAGAATCGAGTTTCTCGGCGCCGCCCCGATCCGACCGGGACGCAGACCGCATTGGTGGTTTGATGTCCCCGGCAGCCCGAGTCCACCTCCACCTCTCCCTTCGTCATTGGTGTTCGGCTTCACGTTTGATCTCGTTGCGCAAGGCTCGTTCCTTTCTTGGGAGCTTGTCTCTTTCGGTACCATTGTTCTACGGCTGCAGTCTCCTGCAGGAGGCTCTGCTCAAGCCTGTCACTGAACCCTTGAACCGCCCAAACCCCATTTCAATTCGTCCGGTCCCCACTCCACGCCAGCTCCAGCTCCCAGCACCCGCAGCCGAGACATCATGGCTGATATTGACGTGACCACTCATTTTAACCTCCCAGAGGAGTTTCCCGAGGAATGGCCGGCAGCGCTGGACGAGGCCGACCAGTCGGATGAGGAGCCTGTCCAACGAACCAAGTCCCGCCCCCGCAAGTCGCGTTACTTCGCGCTAGAGCGTACCCCAAGTGACTGGCGGAGTAATCTTGGATCTCGCAGAGGGAGGGAAGCTCGAGAGAATGTGCAAAATGATGAGCCCGACCCATTGGGTACTGGCGACAGCGTTCTACGGATCCTCAAACAGAGAGGACTGCCTCTAGAAGAGGAGGGGGCAAGCGATCAAGATTCCTGCTCTCATCGACCTCCTTCTCACCCGCGCTCTTCTTATCGCAAGCACACCACTCGGATTCGATCGAATCCCTTGTGGCCGGTTTGGACAACTTATCGCAGTCCATCGACCAGAAGTCAGCATCGCTGAAAGTGCTCGTCGAGGCGAACTTCGAGCGCTTCGTTCGCGCGAAGGCGACCATCGATAGCGTATACACGGAAATGAGAGATACGGGGGAGTCCCAGGAGCAGAGCCTGTCTGCTCGCAGGTCAGGGCATTTCCGGAGCTACTCTGGTCAGCACCAAGGCCCATCTCCTTCTCCTGCGAGGGCCGCGACCAAGAAGACCGCGCTTGTCAAGGAAAGCGAGTACGGCATGAAGGGCATTCGAGGTCCATTGCTGGAAGCCTCTGTAAAGGCGGAAGAAGTGTGGGGGCCTGCTCTTGGTGGTCGAGACCGAGAACAGATGCTCAAATCCGTGGTGGATACTATGGAGAAGCATCGCGACGTCTACGAGATTGGAAGCCACTTGTCCAAATCCATCCAGCAACGCGACTATGAATCTGTTTTTGAGGAATACACCAAGGCGAGAACGCTGGCGAACCGGGCGAAGAATATTGTGGAGCAGGCCTTCAGCAGCCACCGGCAGTTAAACGACCTTGAAACACATACGATCTTGGCCATGGGGCGAATGTGGACGGATGTTGACCAACAGATTTATGCCTTCAAAAACGACCTTTGGAGACGTCTCAGCGACGCACCAACCACATCGACTACAAGTACTGCATCGGGCCCTGTGGAGGAGCATATGGAACTCATTGGAGCCTTGTTGGAACTGGGTGTCAATGATAACCCTATCTGGACATGGCTTCACAGTCGCTATGAATTCCTCAAGACCAAAATTACCTCATTCTGTGAGCGCTGCAAGGTGGAGATCGAGATTTTGCGACGCAGGCTAGCCGCAGGAGAGAAACCTACGCCTCAAGTCACAGCGTCCTATCTTCGTCTCGCCCCTCGCGAGGTCCCTGCAGAATTACCTGAAAGACTTGATACGGATCATGTCATCGAGCTGTGGGTATGTGTCCAGGCTTTCCTTACTCGTCTTCTTTCGTCCCAGAATGGGTTGTTAGGCGAGGTGTTGGACTTCTGGGAGGTAGCCCAGTCCTTCATCGATGGCACCCGACAACGACTTCTACCCGTCGGATTCGAGGGTGAAAGCCGGAAGCACCACCATCTCTCTCCTGAGAACATTCATGAATTAGAAAAGGGGGTTGTGGACCTGGTCAATCTCATCCGCGAAAATGTCTTGTCTCTGTTCAATGAGCCTCCCACTGACGATATCTCACTCCTCTCCTCGCCCATTCCGCCGAGTCCCACAAGCCCAGCCTCGAGGGGTATTACGCCTACGGAGTCCCGATTCAAATTAGACCCAAAGAATCTACCCTTCCCGGTGCCTAAGAAGGGAGAGCCGTGGGAAGACTATGCATTTTGGCCTCCGTTCTCCAACTCGCTGAGTGGTGCTCATTATCTCAGCAAATTCCTTGTCATTGTTGGCACCGCCGCCAGCGAGATGGCAGCTTTGCGTCCAGTCACTAATTCTGGGCCCACTCGTGACTTCCTCAAAGCTCTTGTGAGTATCGCTCGTGAGCGATCTGCTCGAGTGGCATGTGCGACATGGAGCAAGGATGCAGAGATCTGCAAGATGTTGGAGGACTGGACGCGCGATATCGAGAATCGAGACTTGACTAAGATGCCCGGCTTTTTTGTGGCTTTCGAAAGTGCCAATCTCAGTGGTCTTCAGAAGATTCTCTACATTTCTGAGGCCATGTCCAAGGCGGGATCCATGGATGTCGTGACTCCACCTCCTGCCAAGATGCTTCAAATGGTCCGCACTCAATTCGTATCCAGTGTCTACAAGGCACTGAGTGGACTGGTTGAGAACGCCGAGCGCTTGACACCTTCGGGCGAGGAGAACGAGTGGGTCATTTCTAGACCTGTCATAACGAGTCAGGCACTTGATGCTGCTCTGTCTGTCCTTGCTGCAGACTCGGTGGATTCAACTGATAGGGTAAGACTTTCCTCCTGTCATGGCGCGAGCTCAAATTACTAACAGGAGATACAGAACGTGCGAATCCTCCTCACTCTTTCCAACCTCAAAGCCCTCCAGGCCGAATACGTGCCCCAGTTGATTGCCAACTTTGAGAGTTCATTTTCTGTCAAACTGACAGAAGAAGCCAAGACGGTCCGGGATGTTCTCAAGCAGATTGAGGACCGTCTGTTCCAGTCATACACCGAGCCAACCATTGCCATGTTGAATGAGACTATCACGAACGGCATTTTGGCAGCTGACTGGGTGCCATCGACCGATCGACCAGATCAAGTCCGTCCCTATGTCTACAATACCCTGTTGACCCTCGTGCTGGTGCACACTGAGATCACAACGACCATCCCGTCCAGCGTTTCGGCTAGTTCTAGTCGCTCCTCGCCAAACGCCCCGTCATCTCTGCTCTCTGCGGTGCTCACACATCTACTGGTGCATGTCTCTTCATCTCTGCTGGCAGCTTTCAAAACTCGCTCCAGCTTCTCACTCGCTGCCTTGATGCAAGCCACCTTGGATACTGAGTTTATTGCACAGACATTGTCACAATACTCAACCGACGAAGCATCTAACACCCAAAGCCAGATTTACGTGGAATTGGACCGTCGAACCACAAACGAAGCTCGCACCAAACTTCAAGCCGAGCTAGGAGAAATGAGAGTCGTTTTAAAACGACTGAGAGACCGGACCAAGGGCGAATTTGCCTGCTTCCGAAAGTCACGAAGCGGCGGTTCCAAGACCTCCGTTGCCACATAGCGTAGCTTTTTGCGATATAGCCAATATTCAAATATATTCAATGTTCCTCAATTTTAGTTCTATAGTAGCAACCGGGTATCACAGATTTTGTAGTCCACCTCTTTTCGAGCACTACTGACCGACCATACGCTGCACCCGGCTAAGCAACACATTGCTTTCCCTGCCGAGTCTCCTCTTGCCAAACTGATCCGGCCGCTTCGCGCGCAACGTCGCCTCTCGATCCTTTTGTTTCGCTTCGCGCTCCCGCTGACGCGCCTCAGCGGCCTGCTTGCGCTTCTCTGCGATCTCCATCTCCTTTGTGAAAGCCGATGGCTTGGGAGGGCGACTTTGTCTCTTGCCATCCTCACGCGGGCGGCGGGGCCTGGGCGCAGGTGTTGGGACGGGCTCAGGCTCAGGCTCGTTCAACATTGTGACGCGGTCGGGGTGAAGTCCTAGAGATGCGGGCTCGGGTTCAGTTCCTTGTGTCGTTCCCTCTTCTTCAGCGGCTCTTTCGTATGCGGACTTGGGTGCTTTGGTGGCGCTTTCTTTGGCCTTGATCTTGGCGTAGGCTTTTTTCACTTTGGCTTTTTGGATGAGGTCGGACTTGATTTTTTGGGCTGTTCATGGAGAGATTAGCCAGGCGACTATGGTCAGAAAGGAAACGAAATCGAATACTTACTCTTGCGACGATAGGTACCGTCGGGGAGATTTGCTGGGCCAACGCTGAAGCCCTTGCGCTTCTTGGCGGGTTCAGCGCCGTCTTTGGCGAAGAAATCGCCATCGTGAGTACGTTTGGGTGCCATTACTATCACCGAGTAATTTGTGGCTGGTTTGGGGTTGGAGATAGTGAAGTGGAGAGAATTTAGAATGGCGAGAAAAAAAAAGCGGCGATCTTTAAGTCCGAGCAACGATTTACGGTCTGGAACCCCCAGAACAAAGAGCTATGCAAGGTCCAGAACATGGAGTATTCTAACTAATCTCACTACTTCATATTCACTCCCGACTCTCAAACTCTTAATATATCAGATCTGAATATAAAAAAGATATCGGATTTTCCCGGTCCCGAGTGCAAACGGAAAGCGTATGATCTGCGATGAATCATCTGAGACCCACGATCATAACTACCTTCTCTCGGACTCTTCCTCCGACACTTTCCCTACACTTTTCCTGCTTTCATACGTTCGGCATATTTCCATGCCAATAAGTCCTAGCCTTCCCCTCTGACGGCATACCCGCTCATCTGCTCACACCGCATCCCACCCCACCACGGCAGGCCCGGGCCAGGTTTCGAAATAGCTCGCCACGTAGGCGACCTCCTGCAATGTCCGACTCAGCGTTTCAGACCTAGTCTGTCCAACCTTGCCACTATGCCTCTATTTCACGACCCTGATCGCCGGCGACGTTCCCCGCCTGACGAGTACGAAGTCGAGCCGTCCACCACAGGGTCCTCTTGGGACCAAACACAAACATATAGGCAGCATGAACAGGACCGATCAGGGCCAGCTGGACTAGCCCTAGAGCCGTTGTCTTCAGAACCTCAACCCCCCCAAATTTTGGACCAACGACAGGCACGAACTTATACAAAGGATCAAAGAGTCATCGCCCTGGAGGCTACAATATACTGTATGTCAAACACCCAGTTGAGCTATACTTTTTCTGGCTCTTTGTTTGGCGAATGTTCTCCTTGCTTCATCTTGGCTAACATATCACGAAGTCGCGGGAAAGTGGCGACAACGAGTTTCCCATGTCTCGTGCCGCTCCCGAAGTGTCAGAGGTGGAGGAACCAACAGAGAAGCATGACTCAGAAACTAGAGAATATTCGCAAATACGAGAGGAACTGGGTTCGCCGGCCGATATTCGTAGGCCTCGATCTGCTTTGCATTCCGGCGACTTCAGAGAAGGCACCGACATCTCTACACAACATGCTCCACCGTCACCTCGGCCTCATTTCGCTGAGCGATTTCCAACTGCTCCATTTCCCGATTTAAGTACCTCTCCTACAACGCCATGGTTTGGTGCATCAGTTTTCCAAACCCCGGCACAGCGCCCCCCATTCGATGATCATCGTGAGCTGATAACGCTCCAAACCCGGGCTCGAGCACCATCTCTCGGGTCTTTCTCTTCGAGTTATGTTCTCAAGGCTCCAACAAGCCCTCTGGTACACCAGGCCAACAATACCGATCTAGACTTTTCGCCTCGGGTTGATTCGGGAGACCCTCCTGAGCTTATCGACAAAGCGAACCGACGTCGGACTCTACCTCCTGAGTCCTTTCGGCACCTCCAATCATCCCCACCGAATTCGCGGGCCGTTAGCATTCGTAATCCTTATCAACCAGGTCGTCACGAGGGATTATTCCAGCCACAGCACTTCCCTCGCCGATCTCTGACGTCGGCGTATAGTCTTCAACTTGCTCCGACCAATAATGCTGCTGCGTATCGGGCAAGGAGGCCGTCTTTTGCCTCTGAGCTTTCTGCGAAGCCTCATGCCCCGATGGTAGGATCCTACGAAGAGTCACTCCTAAGAGGCCGAATGTCTATGAGTCCTTCCAAACCACTGGATTTTACGGCGCAAATCGGGGTCCTCGGAAAGGGAAAGTGCAAGGGACACCTAAAATGCCCTCCACATGTCACGGTGCCTTTCCCCGCTGTTTTCTACAGCTATCCAACTTCTGGAAATGACCGTTCCATTGCGGATGACAGCCCTAGTCCGTATGTGGGCCATATTGACCTGGAGAACTCGCTAGCCAAAAATGAGTCAAGTACGACCAGGCGTCGTAAACGACATGTCAGTCCTACAAAACCCCAAGAAGATACTGTCATGCTTGAGACAGGTGCAGCCCGAACTACCGATGTTGACACCCGACGTCGCCGAGAAAAGAAGACCCGCAGAGCGGAATCTCCTAAATGCCCCCCAGGCGGGTGCTATCGAATCCCTCAGCAGGGACAACTTCAAATTATAATCAAGAACCCACACAAGACCGCAGTCAAGCTGTTTCTTGTGCCTTACGACCTCGCCGACATGGAACCTGGCACCAAGACCTTTATCAGGCAGAGAAGTTATTCGGCGGGCCCGATAATCGACATGCCGTTGAGTGCACGGAAGAATTTTGGAACTGATCGCCCTGAGGCCTCCTTGAACGCCACCGAAGATCCTCGAGACAAGCCCGTTTTGCGCTATCTCATCCATTTGAACATTTGCTGTCCGGCGCGCGGTCGCTTCTACCTACACTCCAGTGTTCGAGTGGTGTTTGCCAACCGCGTACCAGACGGTAAGGAGAAATTGCGCAACGAGATTCAACTACCAGAGCCCCGATACACTCCGTACAAGCCTACTCGGGACTCGAGTCTCTCGGGATCCACCAGCAATGCGCGATTGGCAATCGAGAAAGCTTCTCGCAGACGGAGCGTCGGTCAGGGCACAATTCCACTTCTCCGCCCACATGTATCCTCACCGAGCGACGGTCCACTGCACTGGACTGCAGCCGAAGCCATGGGACTTACAAATTCCTCGCACTTTTCTTCAGAACATGATTCCGCCGTTTACAACAAGCTCAACAAGGGTGATGTTGGATACGGAGGATTTCCATACTCGTCTTCAAATGCAGGTTCCGAGAACGGCGAGAGCCTACTTGCCAAGCGACTTCGCGGCTTAGATGTGCATAAGCAAGAAACCAATGACAGTAATTGAGTGCTCTACCTCAACACGGGCTCACAAGGATACACCTCGCCATAATATCCACTCTGCCACCGGTATAATACTGACGTACACTGCCCGCTTTGACTCAAATTTGACCAACTCATATATACCCACTGCAAATGAACAGTGAAAGCATGCCAGTCCGTAACCATGCTAAATACTAACCATCAATCTCAAGCATCTCTCATTTCTCTTGTGACCTGGCCGTCGCACTTGCATGTCGCTGTGTTTTCTTTTGAACCGGATACGCCTGGCGCATGGGTCTTTGGACATATACCCCCTTCTTCGACTTTCTTTTGGCCGTTTATTTCTCAGTTTTATAGTTCGCCTCATCTCTCATCTCTCGTCTGCTTTTATAGTGTTGAAGGATTGCATTCAAGTGTTTACCCATAGCATTTCTTTACTCTGTTTGGTGGAGATTTGGATTTCATAAGCATTTCAATGACATTCAAATTTAATTTCCGGTATTTCGTCAAATAATAAGCTATCCAATCTACTGCGTTTACGGGTATATTACGTGTCAATAAAAATAGGGAGATAGGGAAGGCAGAAATTTATTCTTGCATATATCTACAGAGGGCGCTAGGTACAGCAAAAGTATTAAAAAGGATTGAGAAACAAGTTTCCACCAGGACACAAGAGACTTCAGACCTCGAATAGAAGAAGATCTTCTACCGCAATTAGTACCAATGGTCTCGACTCGAGTCAAAGCGAGGTTTACCCGGCGTGCTCAACAATCTCGTTGACCAGAACACCATCCTTGATGTAGCTCTTGATCTGCTCGGGAAGGGGGCACTCCTTGGTATCCTCATCAGTTCCTTCCTTAGGAGGAAGCATGATGTTGACAGCAGTGGATTTGCTGGTGAAGATCTCAGTAGTGAGACTCTGGGGGCCGAGATAGATAGTAGCACCGTCAACCTGATCCAACAGAACAGTCGGCACGAAGCCGTCAACTTGCAAAGCAAACTTGGGGGACTTGATCACATCGAGACTGCTAACGAGCGAATCAACAATGATAGAAAGACCAGTGCAGTTGTCGATGGCGATGGCATTGGCCTTGCTGGAGACCTTGATGATGGCCTTGTTGCAGCGCGAGATGAGAATCGACTGACTCTGCTTCGCGGGGATCTCGATGATCTCGGTAGGGCCCTCGAAGTTTTCGACGAGCCACTTGTTGCCCTCCAGGTCTTTGCGCGGGGGCTTGCGTGCACGCATGCTTTCGGGCTTGGGCTTCTTGCCTGGGGGAGCGGGAGATTTGCCCCTGGAGGAGCTGGAGCGATCGGAGGCCATTGAGCCAGCGCGCAGGTTGGGGTTCTTATGTGTCATCTCTGATTTCTCGACCTTGCGCAGACCTGAGGTGATTGCCTCGCCCTGATTGAGCTGGTCAAACACAGCGGACATATCTGCCGCCGGGGCAGCGGGGGCCGGGGCCGGGGGAATGCCTGGGGGAGGGGGAGGCGGGGGAGCACCACCGCCGGGGGCTTTAACTGTTGGAACGGGGGGAGGGGGAGGAGGGGGGACAACGCCAGTAGGCGCAGGCGCGGAGCCACCCTTGATCTCTTTCAACGCCTCCAATGCGTCAACACCAGAGTCGTTGTTCCACGTCAAACCCTTGGGGTAGTGCTTCTTAAGGTAGGCAGAGAGTGCCTTGAAGTTCTGGTAGTAAGCTTGAATGTATTCGATGTGTGTGCGGTCCCTATCAACTGTTAGTTGGTGTCCGAGTCCAACCGAAAAGAACAAACTTACTTCTCCTTGTACTCCTTCAGCACCTTGTTGCCGTAGTACTCAATACCGCCCATCATCTCAGTGACAAACTCCGCAGGCTTGCTCTCAAAGAACCAACCCAGCGCAACAATACCCTCCGAAATAGCGCTCAGGTGGTTGAAAAGTGGCGACGCGCGAGCATTTTCGCGAATGTTGTTGATACTGTCCGAGGCCTTGTGGAGATCGGTCATGAGCTCTGCGGGCTGGTGCTCGGGCTTCTTAGCCTTCGTCGAGACGTAAAGGTAGGTGCGCTCGGCCTGGAAGGCTTGCAGAACTGCTTTGGACTATAGGCCGCAGTCAGAAATTGTATATATATGAGAATCATTCGTACTAGCTCACCTGCTGTGCCACCTCACCGCCAATCTTCGCACCCAAGTCTACGAAATTCTGAACATCCTTCTTGATCAATGCGTCAAAGTCTTGGATCTGCTCCGGGATCTGCGCCGGCGCGGGTGCTGCGGGCGGAGGAGGAGTGGCCTTTGGAGGTTCGGGGGTCGCGGGGGCTGCTGTAGAGGAATCGCCCATGTTCTTTGAGACACTAGGGTCATCTAGGGACATGGCCATATCCTCCAAGCGTGAGGTCGCAGCCTCGAGCCTAGTAGGTACATTGTCAGTCCACTCATCAGGGAGCCTGTAGCACAGCTTGGACGAGATTGAAATGCTAATCAAACGCATATCCAGCCATGTATTGGTCGACTCCACTAGCGAAGAGCATACTTACCGCTTGATGAGGGTGGTGAAATTATGCATATGGCCGCCGCTCGCCATGATAGGCAACACGTTGCTCAAAGGGGTAGAGGAAGTCGGCTGAAAAGGGGTCCGTTTTGGGGAAGGTGTAGGTGACCGGAGACTTCTTTTGGTGGAAGATCTTGTCCCTTGCAATCCACAGGTACACCGGGGGAGTTGAAGATGAAGAAGACGAAGTGTCTGGAAGCTCCTGAGGTCCCAGCTCCAGGCCCGCAACGGTATGTATGTATGTTACGTCCGAGCCATATCCGCGGGATGACGTCTTCGTGTATATTTGGTATTTTGATTACCCGCTCCACTTCTCTTTGCCCGAGACACTTGATACACCTGATGTTCATGTTCATTCTCTCACCTAGTACCATTGGCGTCACACTTTCCTTCGAGCATGGCTGTAAATGCATCAGAGATAGCCCAGACGGACGACATTGAGTTCTGCACGCTCGGAATGTTTATTCTTGGTATGCTTATCATCTTTGAAGACCCCGCGGATCCAACGCTCACAGTGCATTGCGCAGATGACATTGACTTCGGAGGTTCCAGACCTCGTGTCAAAAACATCCTTGGAGGTGCTGCTTCTTTCGCAGTCGTAGGAGCCCGCCTAGTAGCAGGCGCTCCATACGCACGGTCTGTGAGCTGGATTGTGGATGTTGGCTCTGATTTCCCACCGGAGACTCTTGCTGTTATAAAGTCTTGGAATACGGGTTGTGTGATTAGAGAGAATCATCAAAGGCTTACTACGAGAGCCTGGAATGGCTATCATCCCGATGAAAAGCGAGGTAAGTTGAGCAACAAGGTTGGACCTGCCTATCAATGACCGATATAGACTTCAAATACTTGACCCCAAAGCTGAGGCTGGAGCCTTCGATGCTCTCGGAAACACAGGTGTGGTCTCGCACATTCCATATGGTCTGCTCTGCATCGCGCTGCATGTATATAGTGGAAGATATCCTGCGTCAACGAGAAGAGCTGCGAAGCGCGGGCCGGGCACCTTCTACTAAGCATGCTGCAGAGCGGCCTATTTTCGTCTGGGAGCCGATACCCGATCTTTGCACGCCCGAAGAGCAAGAAAAATTCTTTGAGGCTAATCGGGTCGTGGACGTGGTTAGCCCGAATCATATGGAACTTGGGATGATGTTCGAACAACCTGGTTGGACCGTGGATAACGAGCAAAGCCAGAGCCTCGTTCAGAAGATTATTAATTCTGGCATTGGACCTAACGGTGACGGTTGCCTGGCTATCAGGGCAGGTAAAGAGGGAAGCTACGCCTACTCGAGAGATCAGAAAATCTGGCTACCGGCTTATCACAAAACCGATGCCTCGGGGTCTACGGTGGTCCTGGATCCTACAGGTGCTGGCAATTCGTTCCTCGGCGCACTAGCCCAGGGAATGGTGACTGCTGGTCGTGAACCGTTCGAGGTCATTCAGTCCGTCTTGTCACCCTCCGAGAGCTGGAGCAAAGCCATGAAGGCTTGGGGCAATCGTCAAGATCTCCCCCTGGCGCTCATCTGCGCGACTGTCGCAGCGGGCTTTGTGGTGGAGCAAATTGGCGTGCCACAGATTTCTGTATCAGGGAATGGCAAGGAATTGTGGAATCAGTCTGAATTCACGGAACGGGTCCGCCTGTACACGCAGCGATTGTATGGGACCGTGGAAGAGTCTCCCCAAAGACACCTGTTGACCAATTGATCAATGGCTGATCAAGGAACGCCCTTCTATTGTCGTACAGCCACAGGGAATTGATGAAATGATAGTAAAAACACAAAAAGAAAACGTTCCGTCACGCTAGAAACCCTCCTTCGGTTGCCGTCCAAGATCTAGCATTTTTCCTATGACTGGTTCGCGGGCTGCTGCTTCTCGTGCTCTCGGATTTGGCGACTCCAGCTATATTGTGAAAGGGCAAAAGTCAGTATGAAGATGTCTTCGTGGACGCATGTTGGGAAAGCACTAACTATCGGCTGGGGAAAAAGCGGCCCGGCTCGGGCATCTTGTCCCGGTACTCGCGGTCGGCACTGATGCTGAAGGCCACGGCTGCGACGCCAATGACAAAGGCGCCCATGATGGCAGTGTTGGCCTTCCAGTTGCCGGGCTGGGCGTACCAACCACCAGCGGGGGACCAGACTTCCTTGGGGTACCTGCGCAGCAAAATCTGTCAGTATGCACGGATGATGCGCTCTGAGAAACAAACATACGGGATCTTTCCACCTCCACCCATTGTGAATGAGATGCAATTGAAGGAGCTGTAGGGGAGACAAAGAGGGTAAGGCAGGAGCAGTTCTCGACGGGTTGAAGCCGAAGTGGCCGTCAATCGAAGGTCGAATGCCAAGCCACTAAGCCCGTAAAAGGACTAGCGTGAGCTCACACGACCTCTGAATCCCGTGACTGGCGACAATTTCTCTTTTCTCTCCCCGTAGATTGGCCGCACGTCTCCCGATTCTTTGCCCCCGTTGAGCGTGGTCTTTCTTCTTAATTATTTTCTTCCGTGTTTGCACAAATTATCGCCCAGATGAAGAGGCTGCAGCTCCAACGATGGAGCAGCACAGTCCTTTCGCCGCGGGCTCGGACTGGTAACTGTCTGCATCAACAACTCTACACTGCCAAATTGCGGTATCAATCGACCGCGTCCTCCATTCAGTCGGAGTCTGCTCCTTATGATGCAATCGATGTGCTTGAAGATCCGAAGTTGATGAGCCAAGTCCGACGTGTTCACAAACACAAGTCAGCACTCGCATATCCCTCTCCTCCGGTCGAAGCCGCGACCCGATCCGCAAAACTCGCAGCCCTTCACGCCCGACTCTACCTCCCTTCTCGGTTACCGCTCCAAACACTTGCGCGGACATTGGTCGATGCGAGCGCCGACGAGAATGCCGATTTCAACAACGAATCCTTGGCCACTCTCGGCCACGACCTCCTCACCTACTACACTACCGAGCACCTCCTCTGCAACTATCCTCGCCTCCCCTTGACAGTCATCTTCGCCGCCATGTACGCTTACGCTGGTCCGAAGACCCTCGCCGCGATGGCAAAAGAATGGGGTGTGGAGCACGCGGCTATGCCCGGTGGTGAAGTCGACCCCGGCTACCTGCAATTCCAAAGGGTCGAGCCTGGCACGGATGTGGAGGCCAATTCGGACCTCCAGTCAGCGCGGCCATATGCTGCGCAGAAGAACTGGAGGAAGACAGTCACCTCCAAGATCTTCTACGATGACGAGTTCGGTGACCAGATCAAAGGGGTCGTGTCAACAGGCTCCGGCTCCGGCTCTGGCGTTACTGCTGAGCTAGCCAGCGCCACTTTCGTCCGCGCCGTGATGGGCGCCATCTACCTCCACGCCGGCCGCCCGGCTGCCAAGCGATTCTTCGAGCAACACTTCCTTTCCCGGCATCTCAACATCTCCGAGCTGTTCAACTTCTCTCAGCCGGCCCGTGACCTCGCCCGGTTGTGCAATCGTGAGAACTTCGAGCCGCCCGTCGCCAAGATCATCAGCGAAACCGGCCGGAAGAGCAGACATCCCGTCTTCGTGGTTGGTATCTTCTCTGGTCAGGACAAGCTGGGTGAGGGCGCTGGCGCCAGCCTGCTTGAAGCTCGTGAGCGTGCGGCTCTCGCTGCACTGAAGGGATGGTATCTTTACAGCCCACTCAACGTGCGCGTCCCCAGCTCCATGGAGGAGGAGGGCGCCGCGCCGTGGAAGCCCGTCTACGTCGACCTGGGCGAGGTGATCGTCTAAACATCCCTCATTCAAGAGTGGTACCATTAACTTCATGTCTTTTTATTATTGGCTTTATTTCCTTTTTTTTTTCCGGGTGCTGTGTTTTCGCATGGGAAGCAGGCCAGTGGGAAAAAGAGTCATTTCTCCTGTCGTTTGCATGACTGGATACTGTACAGTATGGGAATTGTGATTCCTTCGATTCATCTGGTGTCTTCTTTCTGGATCTGTTTTTATTTTCCTTATTTTCCCCGTCATTGTTTCATTGTGTCTTGTTCTGGCTACACCCTTCTCCAGCTAGAAATCGGTCAAAAGGGTGGACGAGGCCTCAAGTCTCGGCACTGGTATATAGAGGTGCACCCGATCACATGTACTCCAAGAATCAAAACCATTCAAACTCAATCATCTGTCTAGCTATTGTGTAACCTGGTATCTACCTTCTATTCGGCGTTGAGTATCTCATCTTCCCAATTCCCTTTAGCCTTCTTCTCTTCAGCCCCGTCAAGATACTCACCATATTCCTCCCATAGCTTAGCAACCTCGGCCTCAAACAAACTCTTCCAGAATCCAACGCCAGAATCCCCTTCTCTCTCACCCACATACCCAACCCTCAAAAGCCGATCATTCAACATCCCAATCGCGCCTTTACCAACCCGTACATCCTCAATCCACGCTAAAAAATATGCCGTGTTCTGGTATCCAGCATCCCACTTCTCTGCCCTCTCCTCTGCCGACTGCGGCTTCTTCCAATGCGGAGGCTCCAATCCTGCCTTGAGGCGTACAAAGTCCGCGATGCCTTCAATCAGTCCTCCTGGGGGGTGGGGGATCTTAGCACCCTGGTCATTGATGGACTCAAGTGGTGAAGTGTGCTGGTAACAGTGCACAAGTTCGTGAGTGAGAACACCGACTAGCTCATGCAGTGGATTAGCCAGTGTCGTGCAGTGAAGAACGTATGGAAGGGAGAGGTGGATCTCCTTGTGATCATCATCGAGCTCGGTGCCTGTTGTATAGGCGACACCATCTATGTCGCGGAGGTGAAGGGTTACGGAGCGGGTCGGTGGTGTTGAAGGGCTGAAAGAGGGACGCTGGACTTTCTGGTTGCAAACACTATCTAAAGATGCGTGGAGTGGAGAGCTGTAGAGGTACTTGACGATATTATATAGGGCTGTGTCGAGTGTTGAAGCAATATCGGGGATGAGGGTGAGGAATGATGCTGTTGCAGGGTGGCGGAGTGTTTCAACATGGAGCCGCAGCTTCGGTTGAGGGATGTTGGCTGCAGAGCTGTTTGCTGCGTGTTTCTGGTCTTGTTCTTTGGTGTTTGAGCTCGAGAACTGCGGCTCGGCTGGCGCGTTAGGCCTAGGCATCGCGGATGGAGATGCGGCGGGGGTGGTCTCCATTTTGAAGTCAGTCATAATCTTTGATATAGAATTCCTGTTGCGAAGCCTTGGAGAGAGGCGAAGGACGTTAAACGTGTGGATATAGCAAGACGTAGGACTTGAGGACGTCGAGATCGACGGAAAGCGGAAAGTGGGGAGCTGTGCCCTGTGCCCGCTCCACTGCGCCTCTATCACACTATCTATCGTCAGTCTTAATTCGTTGCTTGTCCTAATTTCGGTATTGCTACCCATGGTCTTCAAAATTTATTGGCTCTTGTTACTAGTAACAAATCATCACGTTTTATGACTGAGAACACCCGAGATATAGTCCAAACTAGGAGCATGGGATGAAAGCTTTTATTGGACAACACTGTCATTTGATCTAATTTTCAGACAATCTGAAGGGCAGAATAAGGAACTGAACCATACAAAATAATGTCACCAAGACCTGGTAATATAGACAAAGGCCTAAACGAGGGCATAAGGACAAGGACACATTGAAACAACGGCTCTGTTGTCTGCCGCGGGAGTCATTATCCATCGTCTAGAAGAAAATATAAAGACTTCACACAGGCGAATGCTCGTGGCCTGTTACATATCGTAACATTCAAATCTTTCGAAGCTATCAACTGCATCATGTACAGTATCAATTGATCTAGATAATATCGAAGCTCCATTTCCTACTAATTATTCCACCTACCTCGATACTGATTTTAATTACAAATGGAAGGCAACGACTTGAGACTACGGAGGGAACTTGTTATCTTTCCTTCCCTTCTAGAGAAATTCATCACCAACACAAGCAATGATCTTCAATCTTTAGTTATAAAATTCCCGCAACAAATCGCTTTCACAGAGCTTGACGGGCCACTGATCGTCCGAAATTCACAGTCCACTACCGATCGCATCCTCTTACGTGAGGACGAGACCTTAAAGGCCCACCCAAGGCGGGATTTTCTTTGGCCAACAAGGTGCTTCTAGGTACCCAGATGCTCCCGCGATGAGATGCCGGTTAATATCAACGGCCGTATAAAGTGCATCCCAACCGATCCGGATGCTTGGCTTGCAATGGGTGAGACCCCTATGCATGATCTTCTTCGTTGTATACATGGCATGACGGCATGGGGCCCCGAAACCCATCGATAGCGGATAGGTTCAATCCTCAAAGGAGGGGATACCCTTACAATATGCTAAAGTGTGGAGTAGAGGACACTCGAAATACTCAGAACAAGTACCACGCGAGAAGAGATGTCGGAACTATTGAGTTATAGATCTAGTACGTCCCGATTTTGAGGGATGCTGTGACTTGCGCTGGAGAGCAATTAGTTGTTGCTAAGCCTCTGAAATAAGAGATGCAGCTGCAAAACGAAGGCGAGTGTTGAGTTATTGTTGTTTTATGAAGATGCGTACCAATGTCTCAGCACTTTTCTGTGAAGAATCAAGCTTGTGTGCCCCTGTAGATTATTATCTCGATCGGGCTGCAGGTGCGTGGCAACGCGGTTGATCGCCGACAAGGGGCCCGTTTGTCGGGAACAAGTTGAACGGTCAGGACGAAAGGAAGGCTTAATATCAATCATATGGCTGAGCCTGCATCGGTCTGGTCTACATTTGGATCAAATCGAGTAGGCGACACTACATCCAAAACAGGGACACAATACTTGGTCTTCCTATTGAAAGTAAATCCTTTTCATTAATTGATTGGCCCACTAACCTGCCGGGATATGCAGCAATGAGCCAATGAATATACTTTTTATCTTATGAGCATTTGGCAAGCATAAATTAGGCAGAAGACTTAAGTGCTGCTTAACCGAGTCAATTTTGGATGATAAGCAGTTGAAGGACGATTTCCGCACTCGGTGATAGACGGAGCTCCGTCGGGCTCGTTTACTCCAGAGTATAGCTGATAAAGAGGTGCTCAATCCTGGCCAATTATTTGGGATGATCTTACCTTACCTTGGAATTTGTGGATCCTACCTTCCAGATTGATACTAGCGAGATGCAGCGTAGCTATATAAACAAACGATCTCCATTTCACTCGAGCGGGGTTGTCCGATTTCCTTGATCGACCAGTTCTGCGGAAACCCAAGGTTCTAAGGTTGAAAACGGTGATGTATTCCAAGATCTCAATCCCAGTCGTGGCGGTGCTGGCGCAATGCGTCACAGCTCAATTCGTGCCCGCGCCGACCGACTTGATCACAAAGAAGGGATATGCAGATGTCAACGTGCGATACAAACAAGTGCCTCATGGGATTTGTGAGCTGGACCCCAATGTCAAAAGTTATTCCGGATATGCGGATGTTTCGGAGCATGAGCACATTTTCTGGTAGGTAACCGTCCTCAATGGCCAGGAATATGTGGGCTAACGAGCACAGGTGGTTCTTTGAGACCAGAAATGGAAACCCCAAAGATGTAAGTTAAACACTGTATTTTCAAATATTCCTAGAACTAACAGCAAACTAGGCACCACTGACTGTCTGGATCAACGGAGGACCAGGATCATCCTCGATGATCGGTTTGTTCCAAGAGCTAGGACCTTGTGGAGTTGATTCAAATGGCGATGTGTACAACAATCCACACGCATGGAATAACGCGAGCAATATGGTCAGAATCGCCATCAAGCAGCTATGAACCTAGGTTAACCTGAACCAGATCTTCATTGACCAACCTACTACGACTGGATTCTCATACACAATTCCGATCCCGGGTTACGAAGATGAAAATGGCGATATCATCCAATTGCCCGACGAAAAATGCCCCGACTACGCCCAGGCGTATGGAACCTGCGGCACATACTCCAAGCCAGATATTGCTCTAGTCCCCAATGCTACAGCAAGAGCAGCTCCAAACATGTGGAAGACCTTGCAAGGCTTCATGGGAGCTTTCCCACAATACTCCAGAAATGGCTTCAATTTCGCGACCGAGAGTTACGGAGGCCACTATGGCCCAGTGTTCAACGGTAAGAAAATCAAAGATCATAGATGAGAAGGCCATTAATGTTGGAGCAGAGTACTTTGAAGAGCAAAACGCTAAAAAGATCCCCGGCGCTACCAAGATCGAGCTTGAGAATGTCCTTATTGGCAACGGCTGGTTCGACCCCCTGATCCAATATCAAGCATACTACAACTTCTCCGTATGGCCCGGTAACACGTATGACTACGACCCGTACAACGCCTCAGTGAAGGCAGAATGGTACAACAACCTTTACGGCGAAGGGAACTGCGTTGATCGGACGCTAGAGTGCTACGCGACCGGCCGAAACGACATTTGCGCAGCGGCCGACAATTTCTGCGCCTCTACTGTCGAAAACATGTATGATACGTACTCGGGACGTGACGAGTACGATATGCGCGAGTTGACTCCCGATCCGTTCCCATATTCATTCTATGTGGATTACCTCAACAGCCCCAAGGTTCAAGCGGCCATTGGTGCTTATCAAAACTTCTCGGAGTCCTCTGGAACTGTTGGTACGAGCTTTGGGAGCACGGGTGATGATGATCGTGAATCTGGAACGATCCAGGCCGTGCAGAAGTTGTTGAAGGCTGGAGTACAGGTTGTGATGTACTTTGGTGATGCGTAAGTCTCCTTCCACTAATTTTTCAATCGCGCTAATTGACATCGCAGTGACTTCAACTGCAACTGGCTTGGTGGACAAGTCGTCGCCAAGGAAATCAACGCGCCGGGGTATGAGAAGGCAGGATTCGTCAACATCACCACTTCGGATGGCATCGTTCACGGCCAAGTCCGACAGAGCGACTTGTACAGTTTCGTGCGAATCTACGAATCCGGACACGAGGTACCTTTCTATCAGCCCTTGGCTGCATTGGAGATGTTCGAGAGAACACTTTCACGAAAGGATATTGCGACCGGAGAGAAGAAGATGAAACGACATGGCGGCTACCGGACCGAGGGACTTTTCACCAGCGACTACCGAGAGGGCAACAGTTCGATTGTTCTGAAGGTTCTTGGTACTGACGCTACTTATAACACAACCCTGAACGGACCTAATCCCTAGGTTAGAGTCACGCTGGACAGAGGAAGCAAGTGAAGACAGAACTAGGGCTAAAGCCTACTCTACCGCCATACTGGTTGTAAATCTTGTTCATCTCATCATATTCAACAACGTATACCAATGACTAGCCTATTCGTCGAGGTCATCGCTTGTGTAGGGAGTAGCAACTTCGATTAGTCTTTGAATCGCGACACGTATATTGGACCCGATAAGACATTTGTCTTTTCAAATTCCAATTTAGTTGACAGCGTGTTTGGAGCGTCTAAATGGCCCCGGTCGATCGATCGATGGATCGTGGAAATATAGATCTGCAGACACTCGGGCTCTGTCACATGACGCGAAGTTTTTTCTAGAAGATCGAATGGTAAAGAGACAATTCAAGGGAAGAGATGATTCAAGTGCAATCGACTTCTTGATGTTGCGTCATTCGGCTTTAAAGATTTTCCAATCCGAACTTCAATATACAGTTTGAGAGGCTGGTGTATCACACGGTTGCCCTTTGCGACGGATAAACAAAAGGAAAAGTCGGGCGGGGAACTTTGGAAGTTGGAAGTTGGAAGTAGGGAGTTTGGGAACAAGCTGCCCAACCATGGTTACCCCTCGATTTGAGTACAAGGAACTCATTGGAGCTTCGGAGCCTGGGATTATTCTATAGTTTGAGAGAGATAGTCCAGAAGACAGAATAGCCGTATTCCTTCGCAGTGAAGTGGTTCGTGCTTATCCGCGCTTATCGCCCCTTGGCCGCATCTCCGACCTTCCCTTGTCTTCGTCAATATCCCACATCACTCGCGCATCGCTCTGCACTCCGCTACTTTGAGTCTGTTTGGTACGTCTATCCGGATTCCCTGCGCCCCTACACGCGCTTTTGTTGTTGTTACACACCGGCCTTGACTGTCGGCGCGCGGCGGTCGCATCTTCAACACCGTGCTTCGGTGTTGACACTCCGCGCTTCCCTGCCCATTCGATCGCTTTGATCCCTCTGCCCAGTGATCTATCACATTCACGCGACTGACTCCTTCGTGCGACAGTGATCAACTCGTGAACCGATCTTCGATCTCCTGCTACCTGTCCATATTGCGATTCAACCACACGTCAACCGCCACGCCAAATTTGGCGGCGCTCCTATGATCTGCGCCTGACGCACGTTGTGATCTTTCCTTGCCGCTGTTCACGATGGAAGCAAAGGCTGCAGAGCTCCTCGCGGCCTTTAAAAACCCCAACATCTCCATTGATTCTCGAGTGAACCACCTTACCAGCATCAAGTCCGATATTAAACAAAAAAATGTCCCCGAGGGTGCCATTCCGATTCTTTTCGAGGCAATTCGACTCGCTATCACTTCTCAGCACTATTCCGTCTCTAGCGCTGGATTTTCCACACTCGGCCATTACTTGAAGCGGCTTTCGATCCAAGACCAACAGCAACATATTGCTAATGCGGCGCGGGGCTTCTACCCTCTGTTGATGGAGCGCCTCGGTGACCATAAAGAACGAATTCGAGCTCAATCCGCATCGATATTTACCGAACTATGGCCGGTCGCTGGCGAAGACGTGGAATACTATGTGCTGCAATGCGCCATGGTGGGCAAAAACCCCAGAGCCAAGGAAATGAGCATGCTTTGGCTATCTAATGTACGTCTAGTTCCTTTTCCGAGCTAATATGACTTCTGACGTTGGACCTTGCAGATGACAAAGAACCACGGCTTGTTGTTTCGTTCGCATGTACCGTCTCTGGTCGCATGTCTAGAGGACGCCGACAGTGCCGTTCGGGATACAGCGAGATTGGTTGTAGTGGAATTGTTCCGGTATGTAGAACATGTTTCATCCGCAAGAGCATCTCCGTGCTAATGCCCGTCGCTTTAGAAACGCATCCGCGAGAGCCAAATCTGATCTGCAGAAACAGCTGGCCGCGCGCAGTGTAAGGAAGTCAATTGCTAACGCCATCCTCTCCGGAATTGGACTCGGCGCAGACGAGCCTCAGACTTCCGCCCGCCCCCTTTCCCGGGCTGAACGTCCGATCTCAGTCATGTCCTCCCGTTCGCATGCCAAAGAACTCCCAGATGATGGTTCGTTTGTCGATCCCCCAGATATCCCAATGGACAATTCGTCTAACGACAATACAGAATTGGAATTTTCAAAAAGTAGGCCAGTCGCGAGAATTCACCACGACCGATCAGCTCAATCTGTTGAGCCACCTTCTAGACCTAAGACTCCGGCCGAAGCCCCTACCTCTCAAAGCCCATCTCAAGAAGATCGTGTTGAGCCGCTTCTTGTTTCCTCCCCCAGAGACATTGACGATCTCGTGCGAGATATGCTTCCTTGGTTCGATGGCAAGGAGTCAGAGGACAACTGGCTGAAGCGTGAGAAGAACGTCATTCTCTTCCGAAGACTCACGTGCGGTAATGCGCCTCATGATTTCTCTCAGAGCTATCTTGGTGCCACAAAAACACTCCTTGACGGAATTTTCAAGGTTGTCAGTTCCCTGCGAACGACTCTTTGCAGCAACGGCTGTCTCTTGGTTCAAGATATTGCCCAAGTCTGCGGACCCAAAGTCGACGGGATGGTTGAAATTATGATGCAAAACCTCATTAAACTGTGCTCATCTCTGAAAAAGATTGCCGCTCAGAATGGCAATGCAACGGTTGAGGCGGTCCTTGGCAACGCGACTTACTCCATCCGCATCATGCAACACGTCCACTGGGCCTGTCAGGACAAGAATGTACAGGTACGCCTGTTTGCTGCTGGATGGCTCCGGATGTTAATCATCCGACAAGCTCATCAAAAGAGTACCATTGAGCATGGTGGTGGTCTGGATCTCATTGAAAAATCAATTAAGAAGGGCCTAGGCGATGCCAATCCTGGTGCAAGGGAAGGTTTCCGTAGCACTTTTTGGACATTCTATGGCGTTTGGCCTTCTCAGGCTAATGCCATAATGGCTGATCTTGACGCGAAATCCCGGTCTCTACTGGAGAAAGACGCATCGAACCCGAATGGTACTAAAAAGCCCACCACTCCTGCAAAGGGTCCTGGTGGTCCTAGTGGCGCACGTTCGGCTCTCAGAGATGTCATTGCTGCTCGCAAAAAGGCTGCTATACCGTCCCGGCCAGAGTCTGCTCAATCGGCCTTTGACACGTTAGATCCTGCACCTAAGCCTGCGACGCGCAGTGTACCCACCGGCGCACCGCTTTCTTCGTTGTCATCGGCACCGATGCGACCTGGCGCGAAGCCTCGACGAGCCGAAATAAGTCGCCCTGCAACTGCCGATCCTTACGCATCCCGACCTGGATCTCGAGCCGGTCAAAGTACCAGCAAGCCAGCCAGCTCGCCAAGGTCTGTGAGGTCCAAGGCATCCACACCTTCTTCAAAAATGATTAGTGCTCCTCGTCTTCGGCCTCACGAAGCTGGACAGACTGGCACCACTCGCGGCAAGCCCAAGAAGCTTGATCTTTCAAAATCCAAGTCTCACGGCGATCTCCGTGCGGTCAGCCACTCGCGTAGCAATTCCGACGATAGCATTGCAAACCAACATGCCCACCACTTGGATCCACCGAGTGCACCTGAGGATCAGGACTCGCCAGCACTTGTTGTATTGGAAAGCCCTCCACTTGCCCCATCTCAGCCACCGTCGGTTCATCGTGTACAGCCCGAGGTTAGCCGTCAAGCCACGCCGGAACCTGAAGCGGAACCACAAACGCTGTCGCTTGAAGAGCCTCGTGCTGATACTCCCTCCCCACGCGCCGAGGTGTCGTATGCGGGATCGCCTTTGCGCCATTCAGTTCTGAGATCCGAACCTGAGCCAGTTGCCAGGAGTCAACCTGAGGAGATGGTTATATACGAAGACCCTGCTACACCTGTTGCTGCAGGGGCCGACGTACCAGAGGCTGAATCAGAGGAGCCCTCGACTCCCGAAGAATCACCTCGTCGGGCTGAAGAGCAAGAGTCATACGATGAGCCCATGTCCACGACTCCGGCCAGGTTGGAAACCCCGGCTAAAAATCCTGCTCTGGAACTGGCTCCCACACAAGGTACGATGGACGGTATGAATGAATCGTCCCCCCAATCCGTCCGCAGGTCTCCTCTTCGAGGAAGCCCCTCTCCATCGAGAAACTGGGCTCCCGCTACGCCTTCCGGCAGGGGCTCTGCTTCTCCGCATCGACCTGCTGCCGCGCCCGTATTTGAAGGGATAACCAATAACGAGAATGCCACAGCACAGTTGAACAAGCTTGCTACCCCACGATCTGTGACCAAGCCAGGTGCCTTGGAAGAGGTACCACTGAACGAGACAATCTCACAAACAAGGGGCCGGTCCGCTGAATCCCCGAGTCAGTCTACAACAAGCGAGGAGCCTGTACGCCGTCGAAAGTGGGCTGAGCGACATCGAAGCCCAAGCCCCCGATCTAAGGATCCTGGCAATGCGCAAGAGATGCTTGGGAAGGCTCTCAGCCGTATCGGCTCTAAGACGATCGATATCTCTGGGTACCGGAAGCTACAAGGGCTTTTCCAGTACCACGGCGAAGAGATCGTTACTCGAAACCAGGACTACTATGCAATGCTTGATGCTCTGCTGGGCGAATTGGAGTCGGCACCCACCAGCCGCAAAGATCACGATGTGAAGACTCAGATCCTGGCGACTATCCGCTCCATGCTCCTCCGTACTAGTGAGCTGTTCCACCGATACGACGTCCGTGCTATGGCGGCTGTCATTCGCGCGCGACGACACTACGAGTCGAGCTCACACTTTGTCACCTGCCTGGAAGAAGTGGCGGAACAACTGGCCTCTTTGGTCTCAACCACTACAGTCATCGACGGTGTCCTACGAGGTCTAGACATGGGCGAGGACTCTCACAGTGACGGGGCCTCCCGGTCGATCATCATGGGTCTCTCGATTATCTATCAGTCCCTTTCCCAAGGACCCGCCGAGATTTCCGACGACACCCTGGCGACCGTTGGAACAGTGGTCAGCCAGCAACTGGGCCATCCCCGGCCCGGAGTGCGCAAGCAGGCCACCGAGCTATGCACTCTGCTGAACCTCAAGTTCGGACTGGACCGAGTGCAGAAGGCGACTCCACCAGCTGGCGAGGGATCGCTCAACCTCCTCACGTATTTCATGGCCCGTCGGTCTCGGTAATCTCAGATCCGGTGATAGCTGTAAATAATTCTGTATCTTTTTCTGGCTCCTGTGCTTCTTTTACCTTAACCTTTTATTTCGATGTGAATTTTTTGTTCGGTGTGTTTTCGGAGGCAAAGGTGGTTTGTCATATAAAATAAAACAAGTTTCGATCACAAAGTTCTCTCGCTAAAGACACTCCGTAGTCGGTGGTCCGTAGTCCGTAGTCCAGAGCCCCCTTCGCACATGAGTACGTACTCCACCGCGCCGGAATTCACCGCGTACAGTAACATGCGATCGGCAGATCAGGGTCCAGTCAGGGGCGGGATCAGGGACGGGATCCCTGTCGGCTGCAACTGTGCCCCGCGCGTTGAGGAAAGCGTAACGCGGACCCCACAAGCGTGCAGTCGGGGTATTTTTTCATGTCTGGGGGTTTAGCTCAAATGGAACATTCTCTGGTGTCCTCTAGAACCCCCCATGGGCCCGTCTTCCTTACCATAGGAACAGTAGCAGATTTGAAGTCGGGGACGAAATAAAATTCAGCCACGCGTCAGTGTTATCGATCGATCAGATTAGATACACAATCAGATAAACCGAAATCCAGGACGAGAAAACCAAAAATTCACGGAAGCGGCTTAAGCGTACTCAAAAGGCGTATTTTCCCTGCAACCCAACCCCAGAACCTGTCCCAGAGCTACCATTAATAATGGCCAAATCCCCAAGTCAACCATACAGATCGGGTGCTCAGGCCCTTCCATGAGGATCGCAATTAAGACCTTCCCCATAGCGTATGCTACCAAATTTTATCAGATGAGCCAAGAACAGAAGCCGTTTTGAAACTTTCCATGCAGGGTCCACGGAGTCCCACTGTCGTGTATTTCATTGGGTGAAATTTCAAATAACCAAGGGCCATCTTTGAACCCCCAGCCAAACCATATGTATTTCTCGCGTAATGCCTGTGCTCATTCGAGGCAGAACTCTTTGTTGAGGCAGTGTCACTACAACTTGCGGTATGGATCGTCTAGTGGAGTCTTTCGCGTTCTCCCGTCATTTCACGTCGAGTTCCGAGAGAGAACATGGCGAAGATCATGCCGTTCTCCTCTTTTGGTCGTTCTTGGCTTCCGCAGGGTTTTCTTGTCCTTGTTAGCTTTCTTGGTACTCCGGTGCTGTATTGCCTTGCTCCACTTTCTTCAACCTTGTTCTCATGGCGTCAACCACGGATGGCTGCGGGTGTGGCTCTCTTTTTCTTTTCAAGGGCTTCGTCTTAGCCTCAGCCCACTTAGTTCTTTTTACATATTTTATGTCAAGTCTGAATGGAAGATATTCAGTTGTTCGAGCACATTTGGTGCAATAGGTTGGCCTGAGTGTGTTGGATTCTGAACGAGTCTCCACTGAAATTGGAGATTGGTCTGCTCTGGACTGATCTAAAGCTCTGGATATCGGTCAGAGCGCTGGGTCATGTCGGACCACGACGAGACAATTGTGTCTGAAAAGAAGAACCATGTGGTAGGTGATTTCAGACCTGCACCCGAAGTACAATAACGAATTCATCCAGACGAAGTATGTTGAGAAATGCATACCGACAAAAAGCGGCGTCCGCAAGTTCTTCGCCTATACCAGACTACTATTCTCCCTAGACTATACCCGCACCGATGTCTTCCTCATCTTAACCGGCCTATTCTTCTCCATAGCCGCCGGCATCCCCTTCCCACTCCTCGGCATCGTCTTTGGTGATCTGATCAACGATCTCAACTCGGCAACCTGTTCGACCAGCCCATCAGCCGGCAGCAATGTCGCTGACGGGGTGCGCCAAAAGGTGTTGTATGTCATCTATATCACCATCGCCAATTTCTGCTTCATCTATATCCACTGCAGCTGCTGGTGCTACATCAGTGAGCGCATTGCCCGGCGGTACCGACGACGATACTTCGAGAGTATTATCAGACAGGAGACGGGGTATATCGAGAGTCTTCCTGCTGGAGATGTTATCTCAAGGCTTGTCAGTGATATCGAGGTTTTGCAGTCCGGAACATCTGAGAAAGTTGGCATTGTGATTAGCACAATCTCGTACTTCGTTGCGTCGTATGTGGTTGCCTTTATTAAGGTTCCTCAAATCGCTGGCATGTTGGTTTCTGTTGTACCGTGTTACTTCGCTATGACTTATGTCGGTGGCCATTTCATTAAGAAATACGCAGGTCGAATCGCGGAGCATGTCAATGCGGCGACTTCGATTGCTTCGTCTAGCCTGTCGCATCTTCCGCTGGTGCATGCATTCAACTCGCACGAGCGTCTTGAGAAGCTGTTTTCTGATCACATTGCTGTATCCCGTATGGATGCGGTCAAGAAAGCGGGAACCCATGCTGCCCAGCTCGGGTTTCTTTACTTTGTTGCCTATAGCTCTAATGCCCTGGCTTTCTGGGAGGGGTCTAGGCTGATTGCCGATTCTGTGGAAGCAGGAGATGCCGAAACATCGGTTGGCGCAGTGTACACGGTGATCTTTGTCTTGATCGATGCATCCTTTATCCTCAGCCAGGTTGCTCCCTTCGTGCACGTCTTTGCCTCCGCAGCTGGCGCATCCGAACGTCTATTGTCAATTATCAATCGCGAGTCCAAAATTGACGGAACCGCAGAATATGGTGACAGCTCTGCTCCCTTCGACTCGGCGGATATCACATTCCGTAATGTGCACTTCACCTATCCCTCTCGACCGGACATACCCGTCTTGCAGGGTGTCAACTTCGCCATCCCAGCTCGGAAACACACCGCGATTGTTGGTCCCTCGGGTGGTGGAAAGTCGACCATTGTAGCTCTGCTTGAGCGTTTCTATGACCCCATGTCTGGAGAAATATGCGTCGGGGAGCAGGACTTCCGTGACTTGAACGTGCGGTACCTGCGTGGAAACATAGGGTTTGTGCAGCAAGAGCCGTCGCTATTGGATCGATCCATCCTGGAAAACATCGCATATGGCCTAGTGACGTCTGCAACCGAACGACACCAGGACTTAGCTCCATTTATTCAGAACTCGACTTTGGCCGAGGTGGCAGAAAAGATGCGCGAGGGCCTTATGGAGAAGAAAGTTTTGGAAGAATACGATCCCAAAATTGCTGAGATTATTGGGTTGGTTCGCCAAGCTGCTGCCAGCTCGAACGCCCTCATGTTCATTGAAGCTCTTCCACACGGTTTCGCGACCAGCGTCGGTTCCTCTGGGAATCAGCTGAGTGGTGGTCAAAAACAACGAATTGCACTCGCGCGAGCTTTGGTGCGTGAGCCTGCTGTTCTTATTCTCGACGAAGCTACGGCAGCTCTGGATTCGGCTAGCGAGAGATTGATTCAGGATGCGCTAGCTAAGGTCGCTGGTCGTGTCACTATGGTGTCAATTGCCCACCGTTTGGCTACTGCCAAGGATGCCCATAAGATTGTGGTCATTCAGAAGGGACGGGTAGTCGAAGAGGGTTCTCACTCCGGACTTGTCGCCAAGGGCGGATCATATGCCGGTATGGTGCGTCTCCAGAATCTGGGGAAACTCAGTCCGGCATTGAGCCCTGGCACCGAGGCTATCCGGGAAGTTCGGAATGGTATTCTGGGTCAAACAAGTGCCACTGGTACGAAAGATTGGCTCGACGTGAAAGGGTCTGACATTTCAGACGAGTTGCCGGCGACAGCAATCGAAGAGCTTGACCAAGATCCGATGGAGAAGCTACGAAAGAAACAGGAGAGGCAGGCAAAGAAGGAGAAGCGGAAAGCCAAGCGTTCACGTTGGTTTGTTACCAGGTTCGCCTTTTCCCTGATTCGTCCTAACATGGGCTACGTTTTCCTTGGGCTGGGCATGGCCGTCCTCATCGGTGGCAGCTACATTGCAGAAGCAGTGATTTTCGGTCACACCGTTGGCAGTCTAAGCCCCTGTAATGGAACAGAAGGTATTCGCCATGGTGGACATCTATATGGGCTCTTGTTCTTTATTATGGCCCTGATTGAGCTCTCGGCTAATGTGGTGGGCGGTTGTGCATTCGGCTGGGCCGCTGACAAGATCTTGTATCGGATCCGCGTGCTCTCCTTACGCTCTCTTCTGGGCCAGACTATTGAATGGCATGGCTTGGAAGACCGAACTCCTGGTACACTCATCACATACATCACTAGTGATGCGACTGCGCTTGGTAGCATTACAGGCACTACTATTGGTTTGCTCCTCGCCACAGCCGTGAATCTCATAGCTGGGCTAGTAGTCTCGCTGTCCATTGCATGGAAAATTACTGTAGTGTTGCTCCCAACAATCCCGGTCTTGTTGCTGGCAGGTATGATGAAGCTGCGAACCCAAGCCAACTTTGCAGAGCGACACCAGAAAGCATTTGCAAAGGCAACTGCTGTCACCGTCGAAGCTGTTGACAACATCCGAGCCGTGTCAGCTTTCTCATTGGAGAAGCAGTCTTATGCCGTGTATGAAAGAGCTCTCCAAGCGCCCTATCGTGAGACTCTCAAGTCAATAGCGTTCGGTAACGTCTTCCTCGCAACAGCATTTAGCATCAGCAATCTTGTATATGCCCTGGCCTACTGGTGGGGAACTCGGCAGATTGTGGCTGGGCTATATAGTCAGACTCAGTTCTTCATCGTGCTGCCCGCACTTTTGTTTAGTACCCAGTCCTGTGGCCAAATGTTTGCTCTCGCACCTGATATCTCGAAGGCGGGCGTGGCCGCAACCAATATTGCCGAGCTGCTCACCACCCGTTCGGCGGACGATGAACTGAACCCTGGCGCCTCAGGCAAAATCCTATCTGGTGACGTATATCTGCTGGACGAGAAAATCCTCGATCCAGAGATAGGGCATCATGAGCGGAGAGTTGATTACTCGGGAGGAATATCCGAAAAGATGAGTGGCATTGGCGCTGAGTTGCAGAATGTCCACTTCGAGTATCCGTCACGGCCAGGACAGCCCGTGCTGCGAGGCCTAAGCTTAAAGATACAACCTGGCCAGTTTTGTGCCTTGGTTGGACCGAGTGGTTCAGGCAAATCCACGACATTCGCGATGTTAGAGCGCTTTTACCGGCCGGAATCGGGCGCCGTCGTCATCGACGGGGTCAACGTCACGAGGCAGTTAGGCACCGGCTTCCGCGACGACATCGCCCTCGTCCCCCAAGAAAACGTTTTATTTGAAGGGACTGTTGCCTTTAACATTGGCCTCGGTGCTCGACCAGGCCACGAGCCGTCTCAAGAAGAGATCGAGGAGGCCTGTCGTATGGCCAACATCCACGAGGTGATTATGGCCCTTCCGAAAGGCTATCAAACACAGTGCAATCACGACGGCAAACAGTTCTCCGGCGGCCAACGACAGCGACTATCGATTGCACGAGCGCTTGTGCGCCGACCTCGCATGCTGTTGCTGGACGAATCCACCAGTGCCTTGGACGTTGAGTCTGAAAAGAAGATTCAAGATGCATTGGCAACCTTGTCCGGTCGGACCACCATCATCGCCATCGCGCATCGGCTTAACACCATTCACCGGGCTGACTGCATCTATCTGATCGAGGAGGGACGCTGTGTGGAGCGGGGTACGCACGAAGAACTTATCGAGCGCAGTGAGACGTATCGAACGAGTGTCATCCACCAGTCCTTGGAGACATAGTTTTTGTTTTTTGTATAAATTATTTTTTTTACATTAAATGATTGTCAAAAGGGCTAGAACGGTGTATGCAGGTCTATGTGAACAGTTGTATATAGCTGACTTGGCAGTGGCGTCGGGTCGATTACCGAATCGGATTGCAAAAGATAGCCGAGAACCGTTGAGCAATCCAGAAATAGTAAACGAGCCTTCAGCTGCCAACTTCAGTAATTTGAAGAATGTTCCCAAGGTTCCAGAAAGAGGCAAACAGGCGAGCCAGCGCCAAATTTGCCTCTTCGGTCCGGGATCCTCGGCAAACTTGCCACACCTATGTGTCGGCGGGCTTTTACCCGAACTTCCCCCACACGCCTGTGTCGGGGGGGGACAGTATAGACGGATCTGACGTCGCTTTTCCCCACGCTGCCCCTCCTGCTCCAGAGTCGGCCAAGTTGCCCCAGAGAAAAAGGTGGCTGCTCGGAAGATGGAAGAACGGATATTTAATGCATTTTGCTTGGATGAAATTAACAGAGTAAGCAAAGCAATCGGGGATCTGTCCGTGCTCGGCGAAAGTATAAAGAAGGATCAATTGTCCTAGAGAAAGCGCAGCTATTTCCACATGTTCCATTGAATTCAATATGGCGACAACATTGACGGGTGGAAACCCTCACATCATTCAACTCCCCTCGACGCCCGCGGCCTCCCCTCCAGAAGCTCGGGTTATTGCTCAGCAATGGCTCACAAGCCTCGAGAACCAGCTCGCGCGTCCCGACACATTGAGTCTTGCCAGTCTTTTCCACGCCGAATCATGGTGGCGCGATATGCTCGCGTTGGACTGGGACATGCGCACCGCGCACTCATCCACCGAGATCGAAGAGTTGCTGCGCAAACGTCAAACCCATACACAACTCCACAACCTCCGACTGCAAGACAAGGGCAAGTTCCAACCACGCTGGGAACAAGTTGTCGACGAGTTGAGCTGGGTATCAAGCATGTTCTTCTTTGAGACTGCTTGTGGAACGGGCTCTGGTATGCTGCGCCTGACGCAAGATCAGAGCGATGGGAAGTGGAAGGCGTACGCGGTTTATACATCGTTGCAGGAATTGAAAGGGTCCGAGGAGCCACTAGGACAGAGGCGGCCCGCGGGCACAACCGAATCCATGCCCGGTGGATTGGCTGGAGGGACATGGATCGAGAGGAGGGAGCGACAGAAGGAATTCTTGGATTCGGAGCCGACTGTTTTGGTCGTTGGAGCTGGTCAGGCTGGTCTAAATATGGGTGCTCGGTTGCAGAATATGAGTCTTTCGTGTTTGATTGTTGACAAGAATGAGCGCGTTGGTGATAACTGGCGAAACCGGTACCGGGTGAGTATCCTGCGCTTCTTTGCAGCTACTCGAGACTAATGATAACGTGCGCTTTTAGACTCTGGTAACCCATGACCCGGCGGAGTTTACGCATATGGCGTACCTGCCCTTCCCTCAAAATTGGCCTCAGTTCACTCCCAAGGACAAGCTTGGCGACTGGTTTGAGGCTTATGCTAGCATTATGGAATTGAACGTTTGGATGAAGACGTTTGTCACGTCTGCTGAGTACAATGATGCCACTGCTGAGTGGAATGTTACCGTGACTCGTGGCAATGGTGCCCAGCGTACTCTACGCCCTCGTCATGTCGTCTGGTGCACAGGACACTCGGGCGAGGCACGTGTCCCTCGATTCCCCGGACAGGATTCATTTCAGGGCACAGTCTACCACGGAAGCCAGCACCAAGATGCTTCCGAATCTGACGTCCGTGGAAAGAAGGTGATTGTTGTGGGAACTGGAAATAGTGGACACGACATCGCCCAGAACTACTACGAGAACGGTGCAGATGTGACCATGCTTCAGCGCAGCGGGACTTATGTCCTAACCGCCGACAAAGGCGTTTTCATGATGCATAAGGGAATGCATGAGGATGGCGGGTACGTCCTCAATTAAAACCAATGAAAAACTACGCGTTTGCTAACAGCCTCTAACAGCCCCCCGACCGAAGAATGCGACGTCGTCTCCGAGAGTCTCCCCTTCCCCGTCCAATTTGCACTCAGTGTACACATGACAAAGCGAATCGCAAACGTCGAGAAAGAAACCCTCGACGGCCTCCGCCGCGCAGGCTTCCAACTCGACTTTGGGCCCGACGGCGCGGGTATTGCTCGCGCATACTACACCGCCGGTGGTGGCTATTATATCGACGTCGGATGCAGCCAGCTCATTATCGACGGCAAGATCAAGGTAAAGCACAGCCCCAAGGGGATTGAAGGCTTTGGAGAGAGGGAGTTGCGTCTTGCGGATGGCAGTTCTCTCCCCGCGGATATTATCGTGCTGGCCACCGGCTACGACAACATGCGTACTACCGTGCGGAAGGTGCTGGGTGATAAGGTTGCTGATCGATGCGCGGACGTGTGGGATCTGGACCATGAAGGTGAGCTGCGTTCTATGTGGCGGCCCAGTGGTCACCCAGGCTTCTGGTTCTTTGGCGGAAATTTGGCACTTTGCCGTATTTACTCGAAGTTCTTGGCCTTACAGATCAAGGCTATTGAGTCTGATCTATCTCCTGGAGATAGACTGCAGCAGAGAGCCACTAAGATTTGAGGAAGCTCATAGAGAGGTGATTGTTAGACTAGATAAACGAGTAATGGAAACATGCTTCATGTCGTCCCAGATGCCCCGTAGTGACACTTCCCCCGGAATTGTTGTCAGTCACAGCCCAAGCGTAGGTCGTGAACTAATAGCCGCTACCCTGAATTCATCGGGCGTGTTGAAGTCTGACAAGCGAGTGTGGTAACGTACATCGGCTCATCTGCCAAGGCGACGCGGTATGAGACAAGATCCACTGGCGCATCGTCCAGACGGCTTCGGGGTCATTCTGATACTTAGGGATGTCTGGATGGCTCATCTTGTCTTGGCTGACCTTGTCTGATCAAGAGCTTAGGAATCATATGTCAAGATAGTAGTGCACGATGATATTTCCTCAAGATAGATAAACTTCCTGGATGGGGAGGGAGATGTCCATAGTTCGGATGAATATCGGCGCTATGTTATTCCGACCACCGGGGATACCGGCGATAGGCGGGCGAATGCTCTGATTGGCCAGATCCGCCACTATACAGAACAACTCGTCCACCGCAATCCCCGAATCATGAAGGCCATAAATATTGCGCCCACCTAGAACATTTTGCGATCTTCATTACAAAACATTGCCCTTTGTAAGTATAGCAAGCCACTACTTGAACTCATTTGCAAATAATGGCCGCCATGAAGACCCTGCCAACTCGTCCGCTAGGGCGCACCGGGCCTCTTGTCCCTCGACTCGGACTAGGCCTGATGGGTGCCAGTGGTACTTATGGAGCTGCTTCCTCCGACGCAGACAGATCTGCCCTTTTAGATGAGGCATACAAGAGGGGAGAACGCTTCTGGGATACTGGCAAGTACCCGGCAGCATGTCCATAATTCTAAGATGCTAACCATGTCCAAGCCGACAAGTACGGCGACTCCGAGGACCTCCTGGGAAAATGGTTCACCGCAAACCCTGAGAAGCGAGAGGACATTTTCCTTGCCAGCAAATTCGGTATCCGCCCGGCTCCAGACACTCCCTGGGGGTTCACCATCGACTCAACCCCCGAGTACTGTCGATCGGCCCTCGATGCATCTCTGCGACGTCTTGGCCTGCCATTCATCGATCTTTACTATGTTCACCGCCTTGACAAGAAGACACCAATCGAACTGACTATGCGGACGATGGTGGAGCTGAAAAACGCCGGCAAGATCAAGAACATTGGGCTGAGCGAATGCAGCGCCGAGTCCCTGCAGCGCGCACACGCCGTGCATCCGATTACCGCCGTTCAGGTCGAGTACAGTCTATTTTGCACCGAGATTGAGTCGCCACAGAGACGATTGCTGGAGGTTGCGCGGGAGTTGGGCGTCGCAATCGTGGCATACAGCCCGCTTGGGAACGGGTTCTTGACTGGGAAGCTTCGCTCGCGTGAGGACGTCAGCAAGCCTGGTGATTCGCGTGGCTTCCTGCCGTGGTTGAGTGAGGACAATATCGAGAAGAACGTGGCTGTTGTTGATAAGATTGCTGAGATGGCTAAGGTAAAGGGTATCACGACACCTCAGCTTGCGCTTGCTTGGTTGCTGGCGCAGGGTGATGATATATTTCCCATTCCGGGATCTTCGAGGGTCCAGCGATTGGAAGAGAATCTGAACAGCATGTTTGTTTCTTTGTCGAAGGAGGAGGAGAACCTTCTTCGTGAGTACGCAGACGGCGTTGTTGGTGATCGATTCCAGAGCAAGACTGGGTACGATTTTGGAGACACTCCTACTCTGGAGGAGTAGGGTGGTGTGTTGAACCCTTCATTTGAACATCGAAATAGGTATATTCAATTTGATTCACACTTTCAAGCCTGATATATCCAGGAATCAAGCCATGATATATCTGTCTCTTGTGATGGTATTACTTGTATAGCCGAGGTCAAGTTATCCAAGTAGCGGGAAGTAGAAGCCGAACCTTCTGGGACCAACACCTCCGGAATGATTTCTGACATCCTGACGTAATCTAGATCTGGTATTTCCATTCCTAGGGACTTCTGCCTTTGCTGACGCGTGATATGCAGAATTCCAAAATATGGGATGGAGAGCTTTAGGCCGTCGCTCCCATCACTATCGTTTCCATCGTTCTTCCAAGCGCAGTAAGATGACCCGTCCGCTGCATCGGCTTCCACTTCGATGAAGCGTCTCAGGATTTGCGCCCGAGAGACATCTAAGGGATGCTTATCCGAAGCCGATATATCCTCTATCAGATCGGTCACTTTTTGAATGATGCCAAGATCATGCGGTCGTTGATGCTCGAGCACATTCGCATTTCCTAGGCGATGACCATCTAAATGGGCCAAAAGGAGAGTAAGTGAGGACGTGAAGCCCTTCTCATCCATAGCGCGAGAAGACGGTGACCGGTGGTAATTGCGGAGGACTAGGTACCTTGTGATCGCTTCGCGACTTGCAGATGTAGCAGCAAGTTTGCTGTACATGTGATCAGGTGAAATATGGCCGATGCTGCGGCTATAATTATCTCTCTCGAGCTGCTGAATGAGATATGGTTGGTGCAGCAGGGCCAGCAGATAATACTGATGCATTTGAACCAGCAATTTTGCAGTTTTCTCAGCTACTTCCAAATCAGAGGAGGTTTTTTCCAGTGAAGGAACTAGCCACCAGGTAGCTGGCATAAGTCTTGTAGCTTTTTTTAGCTGCTGATCGATCGTTTTTGTTTCTGGATAGTCTTCCTGGACTGAGGTCCCCTGTCGAGTATTTTCCTTACGTTGTTGCATGCGCATATTTCTGGCAATTATGCGACCTGCAAGTAGAACATGGATACGCTCCAATCTCTGCGCAGAGGTGATGTTCATATGGTCTGGAATGGAAGAATAATAATCGCTGATTGCGAATGGTAGCCCAAGCATAAGCGAGAGGAAACGGTCGCTATAAACCAGCTCAAACCAGACAGACTCGGCTCGACCACCAACAGTCTCAGCAAACTGAGGAGGTCCCATCACATGGGCAATATTTGCAGCCCGCTGTTGGATCAGCCATGCAGTGCGAAGGTCGCCAATAGTGATGTGATAGCGCGCTTGTAGCACCAATGTTTGCAGGCCATCGATAGAGCTAATGAGGAAGTCTTGCGACATGACAAGATGACAGGCTGTTGTAAAGTAGAGTTGCGCAACATCATTGACAGGTTTTTTCAACTGCAGCTTAAATTGTTCGGAAGACTCTGTTTCAGAGTGCTGCAAGCAGAGAGCGAGCTGGATCAATCTTCGCGCAAACAAAACAGGATGAGCTGTGGGTGATATTTCGGGAGCACCAGGACAACGTTCCGCACTAGACGATTGCTGGCCCTGTGCCATTTGAAGGGGCGCTCTGAACAGCTTACTGCTTTTCAGGATCACTCCAGCGAGGGTCGGATCAGGGAGAATTGAGAATAAGTAGCCTGTAAGAGAGCGATTTCTTGATATCCGCTCATGATTGACCGAGCGTAGCGTGGGATACTGCACGCATTGAGATCGCTCCGGTGTCATCGATGATTCTGGAGCGCTTGTCGACTTTCCTTTTCGCTGTTGAATGAGCTGCTCTACTAACCCTTCTATCTGGTCAATGCGCTGCCCAACTTTCTCGTAGCCATTGGTGGTCTCGGAAAATTCCTGACTGACACATTCAAGCCGGTGGCGTAAGCAGAAGACACAAGTGGTAGATTCAGGCTCAAAGTCGCAGCGTTTCTTGCGATGTCTACACTCCCAGCAGCTCGAAGTGCCCTTTCGTGTCTTACGCCGCTTCAACAGCGATTCGAGTCCATTAAAAGCACTGTGTTGAGTTCTGTGCTCCATCGCGCCATTGTGGTACAAATTGTTGTCAAAGTTCAGTCTGACGATTGCCCGCAACGGCCGCCACACGTGACTGCTGGCTATAGTTCAGACTGTGTAACACCAGAAGTATCGAATAGAGATCTACAAAAACAATGTATTCAGATCAACATTTGAATATCGGATTTTGTAGAGCTGATTGTAATTCCCAAGAATTTTATCACTCATACCAGCCTCAGCTACTATTCCGAGAAATGTCATCTGAACACAAAAAAAGTATTCTTCTGATGTACACTCATAGAGAGTCCCATAGAGACCAATACTCTGCGCGCCTTCCAGGTCGTATCCTCCCACCAGATGGAAACTCATGCATCATCATGCAGACTCATAATGTTCAGCCTTAGGCGCAAGCTCCCCCTTCTCAAATAGTTCAATCTGAAGACCCTCATGTTTCGGATACGCAACCTTGTACACGGTATACCACGGCCTTTGGAATAAACTATCCAACGCCTCAAGCGACCGACCCGTCGTGTCCTGGATCAGTTAGTAAACCCGGATTTGTCAGTATTGCAGGGGAAACCCACCGGCATAGCGAAGAAAACATAAACTAAAGAAATCAAGCAGATAGAAGCGAAGAACACAAAGGCTCCCCATTTCTGACTGGCGGCGAGTAGACTCGGCATGGCGCGCGAACACCCGAAATAGAATGCCCAATGGAATCCCATCGACACGGACATATTAAATGAGCGAATCCTAGTTGGGAAGATCTCGGAACCAATTAGGTAGGGCATGCTGAACCAGCCGATACTCCACGCAACGGCGTGGAGGAAGATGGCTACTATTGCGGCTGTTGAGGCGCGCGCGACAGCCGGCGTGCTTTGAATGTACTCGGGAGTCATGTTCCTTGTACCTCCGAGGTAACCGCCCACGAAGACGAGTGTGGCGATTTGGAGGGTGATTCCGGTGAGTAGAGAGCGACGACGACCAATGAAGTCGACAATGAAGAGGGCGAAGATGAGCGTGCTGGCGAACTTAACGATGCCGTAGATGCCCGTGGCGAGGAACTTGGCTTCATCGCCGTTGATTCCTAAGTAGCCAAAGATTGTGGGCGAGTACTGGGTGATGGCGTTTGCGCCGGACCATTGCGAGAAGAGCGTGGCCATGAAGGTTAGGAAAAAGCGGCGTCTGTTTTCAACTGGGAGGAGTGTCTCTTTGAGGAGTTCCCATGGGCTGGTATTGCTGGCTGCTTCAGTCTCATGCAGGATTCGAGCATCCATGCCGGAGATCTCGACTTGGAGGAACGGGTGATCAATTGGGAGGTGGCGGAGCTTGGACATGGATGTCATTGCTTTCTCACGTTGGCCGACGTAGAGGAGCCAGCGTGGAGACTCGGGACAGAAGAAGATACCTAGACCCCAGATCATGGCGGGGAGGACTTGGAGGAGGGTTGGAATCATCCATTGGTTGTCTGTGTTGGCGTATTTCTTGGTCACGCCGTAATTAATGAAGAATCCAAAGACGACGCCCAGTTGTTGGCATGCTGCGTATTGGAGGGTCAATAGGCCCCGAATGGCCTTAGGGGCTATCTTAAATATGTGTCAGCCCAAATTCGTTCATAGAGCCCATGGTGATGAGGTTCTTACTTCGGTGATATAGATTGGAGGAATCACAGTTGTTGCCCCGATGCCGATCCCTGTGATGAATCTGGATGCATACATCCCTGACAGATTACCACCGTTGAGACCCTGGCCTAGAACACCCGCGATGTAAATGACTGTGGCTATGAGTAGAGCCCATCGTCGTCCGAATCGATCGGTGATGGGCAAACACTACATTGTTATTAGCTTTGTACTCGATGCATGGTTGAAAAGTCTTACACCCAGGCATCCAAAGACAGCTCCAGCCGTCGCGATCGAGACGAGCCACCCTTTCGTATTGGAATACTGATCCTCAGTCTCGGTATCAAGTCCAAAGGATTTTTTGAAATGAGATTGTACAACAATGGAGGCGATGTTTCCTGCCTAATGTCAGACATTGTGCCGGCAACGATTATCAGGTCACTTACCTTCATCAAAACCTTTGAATACTCCAGAAAAAGCGAAGATACAAGTACACATCAACAAATAACCGTTGAAGATTCCCTTCGGCGAATCCCTGATCGCTTGTTTGGTCTCTGAAATTAGGCCCATGATGTCTGTATGTCACTGAACAAGGTCTTCGAAGAAATTAACCCCCCTGCGCAGAGATCGAGAAGTACTAGAGGCTAGTGCCATCCTTTTCAATGCCCCATTACTTTGAGTAAAGATAGGCGGTTGTCTAAGGTACAGCTTGAAAACTGGGGTAACGGACCTTAGACCGGTCATCGGAAAACTTCCGTTAACGCCGCTTTCCACGCACTTTAAGTTAAAAGGCTTGGAGTCTCGGCTGTCAAAGTGATGTATACCAGAGTCTTCATTGCATCTAAACTTAAGCTCTGCCGGTCATGAATTTCTACCCCGCCCCGTCAATCATCCAAGCGGAGATCTACGTCCATATCCCGGACTCGTTACGATGCACCGGACAACCCACCGACTGGAAAGGTGGATCGGTACTTCCTGCATCGGATATTTTCCTTGAAGGTCCGACGTACCTGGATGGGAACCTCTATGTGACAGATATCCCATACGGTCGGATATTGAAAATAGATTCGCAGAAGCAGGTAACAGAGTGTGTACGGTACGATGGTGAACCCAACGGAATTGCCGTGAGAGAGGATGGGTGCATGATCATTGCCGACTACAAGCAGGTAGACATGTACTACACGCTGATTAGCCACATTTTCTAATTCTTTCAGGGCTTGCTTGTGTTCGACCCATCAAAGGGAGAGATATCACAATTCCTGACCCGCCGCAATCTCGAACGCTTCAAAGGCCTCAACGATCTGATAGTGTCCTCTAAGGAGGAAGTTTATTTCACCGACCAAGGCCAAACTGGCATGACAGATCCAACAGGCCGTGTATATCGGCTTTCTCCCGACGGGCGACTAGACTGTCTCGTGGACAACGGCGTCTCACCCAATGGCATTGCTCTTTCCCCAGATGAACGGTTCCTCTACGTAGCCATGACTCGGTCCAACTCGGTCTGGCGACTTCCTCTCAATGCAGACGGGAGTACGACTAAAGCGGGGCTATTTTTTCAATCCTTTGGCTGTGCTGGCCCTGACGGGTTGGCGTTTGATGAAGAGGGCAGTTTGTTTATCTGTCACCCTAGTCTTGGGTCTGTGTTTGTCGTTGATGCGGACGGAGTTCCTAAGGCGAGGATTGTTTCTGCGGTCGGGGGAGGAAAGAACTTAACGAATTGTACTTTTGGTGGTGAGGATGGGAAGACGATCTTTATTACTGATAGTATTCAGGGAAATGTTCAGGCTGTGAGGTGGCACTGTCGGGGTACTGTGAAAGCAAAATAGAGGAGCTGCAAGCTTCAGTACTTTCAATCACAAAGGGTTCAGATGACGGGATAATTAAGCCTGGGGTGATAGAAACTTCAATTGATGACTGGACTATTTATCTATCACTTGCGAAGAGTCATGATGTATTCATACAAATTTATAACCGCAGCCAATGCACTTGCGGATTGTGCCTGCCTCGTTGCGGCTCCGATATGAGGCGTACTGACGACGTTCAAGTTCTCCCATAACGGTCCATACTTCTCCACATTTGGCGGCTCCTGTTCGTGACAGTCCAATCCGGCTCCCCAAAGATGACCCTCGGCGAGAGCCTTGGTCAAATCGGCCTCGTTGACAATGCCACCTCGTGCGGCGTTGATCAAGATCGCATTCTTCTTCATTGATTGAATCTCATTGTAAGAAATCAGATCGCGTGTTGAATTTGTCAGAGGCACATGAACGGAGAGAATGTCGGCGTTCCTAATAACCTCCTGAACATCTTGGACTCTCTTGTGCTCGATGTGAGGCCAGGCATTGTCAGGCATGAAGACATCGTGAGCGATGACCTCGACATCGAAAGCTCCGCGGAAGATCTCCGCAACAGTGCGACCGATATTGCCCATGCCAATGATACCGAGAGTTTTTTTGTGGAGAGTTAGACCATTGCAAGTCTCCTTGGGAACTGGCTTGGCCATCTGGCGAGTTGTGATGGATCGGATGTCTCGGGCGACCGTCATGGTAAGGGCCAGGACGAGCTCGGCAACATCGCGTGCATTTGCACCAGGTGTGTTGCAAATCTTAATTCCACGCTTGGCACAAGCATCTTGATTGATCTTGTCAATTCCGACGCCGTGCTTGCCGATGGCGATCAAATTGGGACAACTCGCAACGTCATCTGCGGTGAAGTATGATCCTCGAAGCAGGAGGTATGAGGCATTTTGACGCCACTCGGAGAATCCCTTGTCTCCAAGTTGAATGACATTGAACAGGGTCTTCGCGTAGGCGAGCGCTTCTTCGTTCCAGGTATCAAGGATGTAGACGGTAGGCTTGAACTGAGCGCCGATGTTGGATTGGGGTTGATCCCCACTGTCAGTAACACCTGGAGCCATGACGCAGACGTAAAGGCGAGAAAATAAATCAAATTCTGACGATAAGACCAGATCGAACTGGCACATGGTGCCGTTGAAATATATTTGCATCATGCAGAAGAGGCATTCTATGCCTCGGACCTTCGCCGTCGGGGCCATTCCGGTGGAAGTGTCGATAGGGCGAAAGGACCCCCCACCCCCCCCCCCCCCCCCCATCAACTTTTAATGGTTGGCCATGACTGTATTTCGTTGCAGTTTCTCGAATATGAGATCCCGAATACCATCTGGAATCATCGGAGGCAGCTCATGGATGATCGAATCTGATTTCGCATTGCCCGAGACGGCATCGGAGAGATCCCAAAGCACTCGGCGAAAGACCCTGAGGCCGACGAATCTCTCCCCCACAGTCGTCAGTAGAGCTGTGCATTTATTTATAATGTTGGCATCTGCAAATGGTGTCGTAGATCTCCCAGTCAGACAAACAATGACTGCACCTGCTGCGAAAATGTCGTATGCTTCCACGAAACCACCAGTAAATTCACCACAGTCGGAGCCTTGGTACTCATGTTCAATATAGTCTGAGCAAGTCGTCACGATATCCCTTTCAATGGTCTGAAAGCTGTGGATCATGCTTGCTGCGACATTTGTGGAACCGTTCGACTTGAGGATCTCAACTATGGCTCTACTTGACAGTTGCATGTATGCCCCGCGGGTGAATTTTGATGCAGACGCTATGCCTCGGAAAAAGTCTCTCCAATAGCAAAAGTTGCTGTAATGAAAGAGGACACTGTTCGAGGCCCTATCACGGATCCCAGACATGAGCCTAGCATGCGTGATGGAATGGCGTGCCAAGGCATTGTTCATATGGGGCGAGTCATGCATATACTCTTCGGGGCTCTAATTGTCCCAGAGATAATTAATTTGTGGAGCAACACTTTGAATAATGTCAAGAGACTTACTTGTACGGTAATTTCGTCATCCTCGATATTGAATGGTCGATCCATGATTGTGCTTATTGTCCTAGGCCTTCGTGAGCACATATTCGTCATGAAAGCATCGGAGCAACTTACCGGTCTACAATATAGAGACTCCAGAAGGTATTTCGCCGCATCATGAGCACGTTTGAAGATATACTTACCGACAAGTCTGGATCGTTGTGGAATCTGAAGGCAATTGCCTTCTTCATGGCTAGGCCAACAAGATGCCACGTGGAGCCGCCCTGTGGACTTTGCATAGAGTAAAGGACCAAAGAGAGCATGCAGTGCAGTATTTCAATCCTATTACCAGAGCCCATGATCCTTGGGAGAAGCTTGGTTGCTTTTCGGTGAAGACCACCAGCAAGCCCTTGGAGACTCCCTGACTCCCGGGAGAGCAATATGCCCGTAGCCACAGACATGTAAACAACGAATGCCTTTGCGGCAAATTTCGGAGCGTTGCTTCCTACTGTATCATCAGAATCCTTGAAAGTGCTATCGAAATCCCTCCATAAATCCTTTGAGTCGATGTGAATGAATTGCGACCCCATCGTTTCCAGGAAGCTAGTGAAAAAAGGTACAGCTAGTTTTCTGCGGAGATGAATGGTGGGGTCATTCATCTCCGCAATCTTCTGCCCGTGAGTATCGATACTCGACTGGGTTGGTATTGCACCAGACAGAGCCAATGCAGCTCGAACCATGCGACCCATTGCGAGTTCTTCTGAGAAACCACTGGTTTCATCACGTGGCTCTGCCATTGCACTGCGCGACAAGAAACCGATCTCACCCATCGCAGCTTGAACAGTATGCTCTGTAGCTTCTTGTCCTGAGGAACCCGATTCATGCTGGAGGCCTTGCCTGCGGCGCGACGTAGAGCGAGGCGTCCGTGCTGGTTCAGCAGGAACATACCTGTAACGAGATGCTCGCTGGCGTTGAAGTTGATCATCCAGGTCATCACGTTTCCTTTTCAAGGTGCTTACATAGCTGAGAATACTCAGAACGGCACCTTATACAAACGATTCGAAGTCAGATACGTTGTAGACTCACCTGGGGATGGCGGCATGGGACAGATTTCCCCCACCATTGCCGATTGGCTCGACAGAGAATTTCCGAGGAATGCATCGTGCACTGACTTCGACACATGCCGTACATGCTGGTAGAACTCTATCGCACTATTTCCGTGAGCTAAGCCGCCCGCTTGAACTGGACATACAAGGACTAGGAGAACAGGGGTGGACAAAGGCAGACGCCGAACCTTTTGCTTTCGTTTCCAGCATCTCTCGCAGGCTTGAACACGTAGTTTCAATGAACTTTGTGTGCCCGGTCCAACTTGACTACTCTGCCCCATGTTGCAAGGTGCGTCGTGGCCCCGCTGATCGAGGTGTTGCAGATGGGAAGTCGGAAGTGTCAGCGGAGGATGTCCGCCTCTCTGTTAGCCGGCCGACCTCGGTTTCTTTCCGCGAACGAACAGCACTGTAAATGAGCTTCTTTGGCCAGTCTTTTGACTGACACAATATTCTCCATGAAATTTTGCATACGAATCGTACAGGGCATATATTACCCTCACACCTTTCATCATGGAGCCTAATGTTGAGGACATGTGGAACACTCACGTCCACTGTTTCGACCCGGCTCTCTACCCATTCAGATCAACACGCACATATACGCCCCCTCCGGCTCCCCTAAAAGCTTTGGTCAAGCAAAGTCGAGCATCTAGGCTAGTCTTAGTCCAAGCTTCTGTTGAAGATGGGCCCGCTGGGTTGCTTGGCCACCTTCGCCGCATTCGAGCCGAGTACCCCCACTTACTTGCTCGTGGCATTATGTGCATGGATGAAAATTGGATAAAGTTAACCCAGGAGGATTTTACTACCTTGCATTACTTTGGTGTCCGATATTGTCGCATTCATGGCTTTTTGGGTGGAGGAAAAACGGATACTGCTAGTTTGCAGGAACAGATTCGTCTCTTTGCCAAGTCATACCCGTCCAAGCAAATGGGCTGGGGCCTCTCAGCACAACTTCCTCTAGCCACCTGGGCCTCCCTGAAAGACTTTTTTCTCCATGACCCAGAAGTGGCTAGTCTCTCGATCATTGCTGATCATGTTGGCTGCGCGACACCTACCGACATTGGAAACGCAAGCCTTGATGAGTTTGTCCAGTTGCTCCATGCCGGCAGGATCAATGTAAAGATCTCTGCACTATACCGTAGATCTGGAGAGGATGTCTCTACAATGAAACCAATCATCCAACGTTATGCAGACAGTGCCCCCTCCGCACTATTGTGGGGCAGTGACTGGCCTCATGTGGATGCCTCCAGCCGAAGTTCAGACAGCCAAGTGATCACCAAAGCGATAGATCCCATCAAAGAGCTTGCACTTTTGCAAGATTGGTTGACCAGGGATCAATTTCGAAAAATGCTTGTCGAGAATCCTGGGCGTCTGTTTGGACCTTAGATGGACGTCGTCTTTGTACTTGCATTTCTAGCTCTGTTACCTGTACATCTTTACCATTTGAACTAGTTTGATCTACGCAATGGTACAAATATCACAGAAAAGCAGGGATCTAGTAACTCTTCATAATTTAAGCCTTTTGTTAACCGGTGAGCTCGTATTATGTACCGTTGTTTGTGAACATGGCGGAGTATCCGATGTCGAGAGTGATCGCCACTGGACTTCGGCAATTTTCCGACAAGCCAAGATTTCTCGAGATGTGGGGGAAGCGGAGAAACTCTTACTGCGGAGAGTGCCATTCTCTCATAGCGCATAGAGTTAGAGCTAAATCTGCTATAAATATCGGTGTATATCGTTCAATATGTGACACAAACAAGCGAGTGCATCTAATCTCTCACAACTGTTCGTTCTTTCCAGGCCGAAATGGCCACCTCGACTTCTCCACAAAAGAAATCCTTTGAGGGCAATGGGGCCCCGGCGACGACTCAAAAAGACTGCTGGATAGAGGACACACATCTCACAGGTCCATCTGGAGTTGTTGCTCTCTATCGCTCGTATGATTCCGACTTTCGTGCAAGGACTGAGCGCCAGCTACGCCGCAAAATCGATACGCGAATTCTTCCTCTCATTGTCTTGATTTATCTCTTCAACTATCTGGATCGAAACTCGATCACCCAGGCTCGTCTCTATGGACTTCAAGAGGATACGGGCCTGAAAGGGGCTGATTACCAGACTGCGATCTCGATATTCTCAGCTGGATACATTCTCATGCAATTACCTTCCACGATCATGATGACAAAATTCCGCCCTTCCATTTATCTGGTAAGAAAAAAGAGGACCTTTACTGGTGCAGTCGCTGACTTTATCAACAGCCAACATGCATCATCCTGTGGGCATTCGTTAGCGGATGCACTGCCGCCACTTTCAACACTCCTAGCATCCTCATGGTCCGCTTCTTTCTTGGATTCGTCGAAGCGCCGTTCTTTCCCGGTGCAGTTTACTTCCTCAGCTGTTGGTACACAAGACGTGAGATTGGTGTCAGAATGGCTCTGTTGATCTGTGGTATTCTGCTTTCAAATGCTTTTGCTGGACTCATCTCGGCTGGTATCCTGTCAGGAATGGAAGGAGTTGCTGGATTGGCAGCCTGGAGGTGGCTGTTTATTCTTGAAGGACTTGCTACTATCATATTGGGCGTAATTGCTCTCTTTGTTCTTCCAGATTTCCCTGGTACGACCAAGTGGCTCACTGAGGCTGAAAAGATCGTGGCCCAAGCTCGCCTATCCGTTGATGCTGGAAATGATACCCTTCTCGATGCCGAGGAGGTTCCTATCATGCGGGGTCTCGTGTGGGCAGTGAAAGACATCCGCACCTGGATCTTTGCTTGCATGCAAATGTCCACGACGGCCTCGATCTCGTACTCTCACTTCTTTCCCACCCTGATCAAACAACTTGGTTTCAAGAGTAACTCCATTGTTCTCTTGCTTACGTCTCCGCCTTACTTCGTGGCATTTTGCTGGGCGTTGTCATGGGCGTGGGTAGCAGACAGGAAGCAGATCCGATCCGTCCCTGCAGGGATCTCTCAGATCACTGCTATGGTTGGAACTATCCTTTTGATCGCAGTGACTGATCAACTCTGGGCCCGGTATGCCTTCACAATTCTTGTGTGTTGTGGTACCTTTGGAGTGTACTCTACGACATACGCATGGCTGTCTTCGACTCTGACACAGCCACCCATCAAGCGTGCCGTCGCTATTGGACTGGCAAATACATGCGCAAATTGTGCTTCTCTATTTGCAAATTATTTCTGGCTTGATCAGTATGGGCCTGAATATCGAGAATCTTGGGGCTGCTTGTTGGCTTTCCAGGCACTGGGTATGGCTTGCATCCTGACACTTCGGTTTATGCTTCAGCGCGCCAACAAGAAGTTTGAAACCTTGGCCACTGAGACCGACCTGAATGATCCCAGTGTCACGGCGCACTGGAACGAAGATGAAAGAAGCGCTGTGCACAATAACTTCAGATATGTTGTTTAGGGTCTACTTAGAAACGTCGGACTTGGTCCGGAGGTTGGAATCAATCAAATCTAGAAATATGTGTACTTGTCCCAGGTTTGAAACTATACCCGTATATTTAGTTTAGTTAAGTTTCTACACAATGAGTGATCGTATTCTTAGCAGTCGGTTAGTCGCGCCGAAAGCGACTACAGGCGATGTTTGTTCAGTTTGACGCGGGTCTGGGGAAGTGGGGTGTCATGACTCCATTCTCTATCGCCTAGGGTCTTCCCCGGAAATTCTCCGGCTTCACATCCTAAATCAAACCTTCCCCAGATGAAGAGATATTCGTGACATGGATACAAGTGAAATCGAAGGGGATGCCTCTCAGTTGATTGAAGACGGCACCAGCCACCTTCCTCGGCTACCAGCATGCCGCTTTTGTCACGCACGGAAAATCAAGGTGCGTTACTAGCAGCCGGAATCTTGGAGGATTGAAGCTAAAATGAGATATAGTGCGATAATCTTCGACCAAAATGTGGCCTATGTATCAAGCACCGGCAAGAATGCATGACCTTGACTGTGGACGACAACGAGTCGGTCACTCGGCAGTAAGAAGTCCTACGACTGATAGAGGCACGGCCGTCACTACTAACATAGTCCCACTCTCAGATATATCGGAGACCTTGAGCAAGAAGTCAAGTTGCTTGAGGAGAGGCTCGCTGCGGCGGGCCCAAATGACCCTGTCTCTAGGGCGTCTCCTGCCACTGAAGGGCCTTCAAATTCGCAGGATCGCCCAGAGCACTCGCCTAACTTCATTGAAGGTGGTGGGATAAGGTTGGTAGCCACAGATCCTTTTCAATCAGGCTTTTTGACAATGGGAATAGTTTCATGCGATACCTTTTCGCTGACTCAGAATGGCGTGAACATGATCCGAGCCTTCTTCAAAACCTGTCCAAAAGCTCGGGACCAGCTGAAGCTGGAGTCTATCCAGCGCTTCTTCCACCTGCAAATGAAGCGAGACTGATATTTGATAAATAGTATGTCAACCATCAAACAAATAAGCTTGAATATCATTTCGAAGCCAGTGTACTAATTGAAGCAGCTTGAATGGGTCTCATGTCCAGAACCCATTTCTCCTTCGGCGAGAAGTACAGAACATTTACAGCAGAGTATATCTGTCAAGCCCTGAAGACCAGAAACGCCAACTTTCCGAGCAAGATGCAAATCATGACCTTCTTAGAGCTTTCATGATCCTTGCTATCGGATCGGTTCTCCCGTATCGCAATGGGGAGGTTGAGCATCATCCCTATGGCTACTATCTATCTGCGCTAAAGTATTTTGATGATGGCTTCCTCTCTGGAGGGCTTGCTTCCATCCAAGATCTCTTACTCGTCGGCCGGTTTGCAATTTACCATCACGTTGGTGAGACCCGTCTTTTCCCTGAAACATATCACCCCACTTATTGCTTGCAGTCAGCTAATTTCGAAATTTAAACAGGAACTTCTATCTGGGAGGTTACTCGCCTAGCTATGCGCATGTGCATCGAACAAGGCTTTCACAAGGCCACGATCCCGAGCCGTCAAATCGGGCTTTTGGAAGAGCAACTCCAACGACGAGTCTTCTGGGAATGTTACATGATTGACCGATACAGCTCAATAACGTTGACTCGGCCATTTGCCATCGGAGACAAATACATCAAAATTGGGTTTCCGGTGGATGCGAATGACGAGGAAATCGAAGCCGCAGAAGCCTCTGGAGCTTTCCCTGACCTGGACTCCTTTGCCTCCACATCTTTGCTCACATCCGTGACTACACGAACAACTGAGATGTCCGTGTTCTTTGCTTGTCTTAGACTTCGACAAATCACGTCTCAGATTCATACTGAACTTGGTCGTAAAGCATCCCGACAGGAAGTACAAAATGATACCACAGCGAGAGGAGTCACCTACTCCAGTTTGGACAAGCTACTGAAGGAACTGCAACAATGGCGTTCTTCCACGCCAGTCTTTCACAACCCGCAAAATCTCTACCAGATGCAGGAATGGTATGACCTTCTTTGTCTCAGAGAACGCTTGTTACTGGTCAGAAAGGCGATTGATATCGTTCCAAAGCGGGATAACGTTCCTCCACGAGATCTCCTATTGCTGTGTCTCGAGTGCGCATCTGGCGCTATCACATGTTTCTGCCAACTTTTTGAGTTGAAAAAGATCACGTTCACTCGAAGCTACTTCCAACTGCTGTTTACTGCAGGCCTTTCTGTGATGTTTTGCCTATCTGTTGTGAAAGACTTTGACCAAGTGACTATACGGAACGGCACTGACGCAGTGATAATGGGTGAAAGGGCCTTGAAGAGAATGAGCGAAGAGCTTCCAGATGCGACACGATATATCACCGTCTACGAAGCTTTGCGACGATATGTCATTCGCAAATACAGCTGCCGATTAGAAGTCGAAGCTGTGCAAAATACCCATCCTACATTGGAGGCGAATCATGATCTCTCTCGATCAACTGCAATAGCCCCCATGCTTGGTCCAAAAGCATGGTATGGCCAACACGAGGGTCGGAACCACTTGGAAGATCCTGGGATGTTCTCTGCTGGTCCGAGCTTCTCCCCAGGCCTTCATACGCATTCCTCGCTTCGGGTTCCAATCACCGAGACCGATTTTACTCCTCGTAGGATGGTGGGCATGCTAGGCGACACGAACATATCAGAAGGTTCCATACTGTCGTGGGATATCTTCGAAGATAACGCGTTGTGGAACATGGAGGCTGGCTTGAATGAGTATGCCTACGGAGATCCTCCACTGAATTTGCACTTCGATGATTCATTTGATTTGCAGAATATGCTGGGATAGTAGACTTGAATGAACTAAGAACTAGCCATGAGAAATAATTATCACTCAAATTTAGATTCTATACCTTCTGCTTCTGTACCCTTTGGTTAATCTCCTCGTAGTTTTGAACAATCTGCTTGAACGACTTTTGCAATATTGCTCCATCCTGACCACTCAAAGACCAAGTAGCGCCCAAGGAGAACCATCGCTCCAGAAGGTCTAGGCGACCGCCAATACCGCCGACTCCAATAGGCTTGCCGTACTTCTTTCCGGCATTGATGATCTTGGTGACAGAGTCCAGATACAGAGCATCATCATACTTGCCTGGGATACCTAGATCTGTGGTAAGATCATTCGAGCCAATCAAAACTCCATCGACACCGTCAATCGCAAAGATCTCCTCTGCCAGATCCACGGCACCAGGGGTCTCAATCATTGGAATGAGCATTGTCTGCGAGTTCAACGCTTCATTCTGCTTCAATGTGGAGACATGTTGGAAGTTGAAGGCAGGCTGGTTGTTTGTACAGCCTCGGGCGCCAATAGGCGCATACTTTGCGTGATGAACGATGTCCCGAACTTCTTGAACGGACTCGATGTGGGGGATCACGACTGCTGCCGCTCCGGCGTCGAGAATACGGCTGATGTGCCAGTGTGACTTGGAGGGAGATCGGACCACGGGCGAGACGCCGACATAGTTGCAGGCCAGAATGAGCTGCGAAACCTCGCGAAGACTGAATGCTGAGTGCTCCATGTCGATGAAGATTCCATGGAAGCCGGCCATTTTGACCATCATGGCGACTTCGTTGCCGATGGCATATTTGATCGTCACGATTGGAGTGACTTGATTGTTGAGAATGCGAGTTCGGAAGGGATTCGGAACGGTGAATTCTTGTTCGCCGGTTGAGCCCATTGTGAATGATTTTTGTAGCAGGGACTGATGACTCAAAAAGTGGTATAAGGTGTGTCAAGGTAAGTGCTTGACACTATGTGATCAAATTGCACGATTAACTTTCAACGCCATCTTTATATGCTGATACACTCCGATCGAGGCTGGCGGGAAATGTCCGACGTGCATGGAGAATATCCGATCGGCTTGGAGGTCCCGTGAACCTGCCGAGAATGCGCATGGAACCCAATCTTCGTCACCCGATCATTGATTTGTTTAAACTCAAAAAGCACTTTGATAATCATATCGTTGATGGATTTGGTACTGGTATAGGGCTTAGTCGAGGGGGAAGTCGGTCAACTCGATTAAACTATCGGGGCTCTAGAGAAGCTACACCACGACTTCAACTGTATGGGTACTCACGTGGTTCTCAAGATTAATGACGACTCGTGTGCCGCGCCGCAATGGGCCTTTTCAAAGCTGTAGAAGATGAATTGTTCCTGGATCCGGACTTATTAGATCGAAATTACACCACAGAGCCTACTGCATAATGCCAGAAGTTGAGGTCTTGAAATTCATTTTGAGACAACAAGGGAGCCGAAGTAATTAGATGCTAACTGTTCTAATGTTGATTCGTTCATGAGAAAGTCTCTCACTTGCGGGTTCCTCTGGCTTTGTGTAGACCTATCGGTCAAAGTTTCATCATCTTCCTTACTGGGTATAAACTCCAGCCTTAATATCAGCCAGAAGACCTCGCCCAGTAGGCGTCCATCCAAGCCGCTCTTGGGTCTTTTTGCTTGAAGTCGGATTGTTGGCAGCGACAGCGAAGGCCATGAAACCATCGAAGTGAGCCTGGGCTTCTTCAGAGGTTTTCGAAACGGTCGGTACACCAAGTTGCTGTCCGATGGTCTCGGCAATTTCCTTCATCGTAATAGCTTCTTCGCCAACACCGTGATACTTTGCACCAGGCTCGCCCTTCTCTAGAGCCAGACGGTAAAGACGAGCGGCATCGTAACGGTGGACTGCGGGCCATTTGTTCTGTCCGTCCCCGATGTAGGCAGATTCACCCTTGGCACGCGCAATCTGAGTGATCATATAGATGAATCCGTGATCTTCATCGCCATGGACACTTGGAGAGAGTCGCACTGCCGATGCTCGTACACCCTGGGTAGCGAGCTTGGTAATTTCCCCTTCATTGCCCGCACGAGGGTTTGGGAAGGTCACAAAATCCACTTGAGAGTCTTCATTGGCCAGATCACCCTTGGATAGCATCATGGTTCCAGAAGTGATGACGAAAGGGCGGTTAGACGCTGCGAGAGTCTCACCGATGGCCACGATGGCGTCGTATTCGACCTTGGCGTTCTCGGCGAATTTGGTGAAGTCGTGGTTGAAGGCAAGATGAACGACACCCTCTGAATCTGAGGCACCGCGCTTCAAGACTTCAATGTCCTCAATAGTCCCAATGATTGCATCAACTCCTTTGGCACGCAGTTCAGCTGCCTTGGATTCTGAGCGTGCAAGACCGACAACGGTGTGGCCAGCACTCAGCAACTCCTGGACAACAGCCTGGCCAACAAAGCCAGTAGCACCAGTGACGAAGACACGCATGTCGAATATGGGATTGAATAAGTTATTTCGGAAAGTATTGGTTATGAAAAGCTGTCCAAGTGTGGATGAAATTGCTTTCCATAGGGGATTCCTAGCAGGTATTTATAGATCTACTAGTGAGTTCAGAGCTCCAATCCCAACGGACATAAAGTCTATTATTTCCATGATTCTAGGTAGTGGAGTTTGATTTGAATCGAATTCCGCACACCGTTTAGGATGAAAAGCGCTCGAAGTAACTAACAAGAGATGGATGAAGGGCCACACAAATACGAGCGCGGGTTAGCGTGAATCCACCCGTGGCCAATCAACAGCTCGGATTTTACACGGAGTTAAGACAAATGGGGCCGTCATGCACTGCATGTCTTGTTGAACCTCTCCTTTCCACCTAACAAGCTATCTCTCGAGAATATGGACATATCATCCGACCGATCCTCATGCGGAGGAAATGGACCCCGACGCCGCCGGGTGCACACCAAATCCCGACGAGGCTGTCGAAATTGCAAGCTCCGCCGTGTCAAAGTGAGCGCTCGTCCGGGAACCCTTTCCTCTCTGCAATAAGCTAACGGTGTCTGTCAAGTGTGACGAGGGCAAACCAGAGTGCCAAAAATGTCAAGCTTTTAGCGTGAAATGCAATTACAATTCGCCAAATACATCAGACTTGCAATCTACCTGGCAGGATTCACCGAGCAAATTAAATACTAAGGACTCATTCAATCAGCTTGTATTCAAATCACAGCCAGTCCCTAGCATTAAACATCCGACGATCATGGTTGGAGATGGCTATGGCTCTTTTCCACTTGATCCAGATAATTTAGCTCGATTGGACCGATTCCAACACCGCACGGTGGCCACATTCGCAACTGCCCGAATCTGTGAGCTCTATCAAAATGACGTGATCAAGATTGCTTTAGCAGTATTTCGCCCTCCCCAATCATGCCATAGGCGCTTTCAACTAAACATTGTATAGCAACCATTCCTTATGCACATTATCCTAACCCTCACCGCCACTCACGATCGCTATCTGTCCATCACTCCAGAAAACGCCAAGCGATCAATGGTCGAGGCTTATCATTGGTCAAAAGGAGCCGCGCTGCTTAATCAGAAGCTCTCAAGCCCAATACTACCGCAAGACCGTGATGCTCTTTGGGCTACCGCGGCCATGTTAGGCATCACTAGTGTCACTTCTATTGAGGCATCAAATCCGCGGGAGGCGTGGCCTCTTAAACCCTATGATCCTAATGATCTAGACTGGCTTGATATGTCTCAAGGAAAGGAGGCAATATGGAATATTTCCGACCCTTTACGCCCAGATAGTATCTTCCACGCCATGGCGTCCGAGTACCGCGCTCTCAATGACTCACCCCGACTCTGTGAGCTTGAAAAGATACCAAGGGAACTTGTCCGACTATGTGGCTTGGATGAATCTTCAGGACTGCAGCAGAATCCATATTATCTCGCCGTGTCTATGCTGGTCCAGTTGGGGGGTGACCGATGCACCCAGGCCTCGATGACAAGATTTCTTAGATTTGCGAAATACATGGAGCCCGATTTTCGAAACTTGTTGCACAAGAAGGATTCTTGCGCGCTGCTGATTTTGGCTAATTGGTATGCTCCTATGCGCCAATCGTTATGGTGGATTGCCAGAAGAGCCCAATTAGAATGCCGGGCAATTTGTTTGTACTTGGAGAAACATCACCCCAACAACAAAGATCTCCAGATGATGCTTCCAAATCTAGAGCCCCGGAGATGACTACGATCCAGCAGCATGTTTAATAATTGAATGAGTTAATGAAGTTCACACAATCTCATACAGTGTCGCCTTCCTAAACGGGAAGGAAGGGTCCGGGTCACACGTGACCGGCTTAGTCTTTCCCCGACTGGTGGAATTCTCCGAAGCGATCTACTCGCCATGAATCATCCAAAGTGCCATTTGTGCTGGGGACAAAGACAAGTAGATTGCCAGAATCGGTCTTGTGGGTCACACAGCGGAATTAAAATTGATTCTGACTAGATGCAATCATGAGTGAAAGAGGCTCGGAAATTGTTTTTCGCGCGGAGAACATCCCGGTCCGGTTCTTCAAAGCATGTCGGTGGTGTCGCCGGCAGAAGATGCGGTGCGATGCACGCAACCAGGTCCCATGCTTCCGCTGTCGCTCAACGGGCCGTGACTGTATCCTGGACCCTATAGAAGATAACAGGCGACGTAATGAACGTCGGAGGAAAACTACCACTCCCGCACGGTGAGATTCAAATTGGCTCTACTCCGCACGAAATATGACTGATCTATTTGGACTTAGTGGCTCGGCGGTGACTTCTCCACTGGACCAGCGTAGTGGGTTTCATACTCCTGCTTCAAGGGACCAGGATTATTCACCTGTTGCTGGTCAGGATACTTCCTTCGATACCTCGATTGACTCATTTCCGGAGTCATCGCTAGGGAGAGTGCGAAGGTCTCAGACTGCTGATCATCATGGACATGGACATGAATCGCAACAGTTAAGTCCTAATGACATGATTGCGCCGGTGTCAGCGGTGCATTCCATGTCTGTCAATCTACTTGGGACTGATGAGGTGAGTCTAATTGTCAATCTGAGTACCATGAGCTGAACTAATACGCACCAAGATCTTCATGGAACATTCAAGCAATGGAGACCCTAGAGGAGATATTGTTGTTCGAGGTATTGTCAGCGAAGAACAGGCCAGAGTCATGTATGAGAGGTATGTAACACACCTGATTCCCTGGGTGGCAGTAGATCTAGATACTGACATTAACTACAGATTCACCGGCGGAAGCAAGAACTTTTTACCTGTTTTTGACCCCATCAGAGATACATTTGACTCTATACGGTCACGTTCACTATTCTGTTTCACAGTGATAATCTACCTGGCCAGCAGGGCTGTGGTAGATCTACGCAGTGACACCCACATGCAGCGAGTACTACAAGACGAAGCGCAGAGACTCGCTGAAGACAGCTTCTTTGAACGCCCAACGAAGCTCGAAACGGTGCAAGGCATGATCCTACTCGCCGCATACTCAGAGAAAACCTGGTTTTCGACCGCCCTCATTCTGCGTACAGCCTTGGATTCCGGCTTAGAAAAGTCACTTGACAAATTGCTGTCTCAAGAGAATCTGCCGAGAAGCTCACTCTCTGCATCCATGGCTGACCGCCAGTTGGTATGGCAAGTGCGGACCTGGCTCATCAGTTTCACGTTGGAGCTGGATGTAGCTTCTGGTACCGGTCGCAAGTCCCGCATAGGTGAAGTGGATATTATGAAGCTACGCAAATTTCTCGATTATCCGCTTTCGCTCCCATGTGATATGCGGACTGTCTGCATTATTGAGCTTCATCAACTTCGAGGTTCGTACCTTCGGGTTGCCCTCTGAGATGGTCATCTAGGCTGACGATCCAGGTCACTCCCGTATAATTCTCGATAGCGCGGGGACAGTCCAAGATATAGTCTCAACAGAGCTTCCTGCGATCATGACAAGGCTACAGAACTGGTGGGCGACATGGGATGAGATTCACTGTAGTAAGTGCACCCCGATATTCATGTCTTCCGAATTTTGTCATGGACGCATACTTACATCACGAAGATAATGGGTTTCATTCAGGTGCATTCCAGCGTAGCAGTCTCAAGCTGATGGTCACCTACGCCAGAATATTCGTCCTATGTGCCTCTTTGGCGCGCATCCAAAAATTACAGCCTGCGAATTCTGAGTCTGAGATTACTGACCAAAATGTATTGAACCTGTGGCAATCCCTCGTTACGACTATCATGGACCAATTGGCATTCTTGATCAACTGGCCGTCTTACCGATGTCAGCTTCCGTGGGCTCCAACCTATCCAGCTCTAACAATTGCCTTTGTCAGTAAGTCAGGACTTGGCTCGTAGCTTACCCTGCACAATTTGCTAAGCCACTGTTAGCTACATTCGCACTTCGGATCGCACGTTGGCGACCAAACTGGATTGATCAGGACCTGCTCCTAGACAGGGCGGAAAAGATCTGCGATTTTCTGAAGCAGCCACCATACCCAGACATCCACCGCACTGTTTCCATCTTTGTCAATTATGCCCGGGCATTGATTGCCAGCCAACGTCCACAAAGCAATGACAGCACAGAGGGCCCCAATGTATCCGAGCAGGGTGATGGGCATGTTCCCTCGTACAGAGGCCCAGACAGTCCCATGCAGAATGCCCCGCCTTTGGGACCTCTCGACGATCATCGGTACAGACCCGGCACGGCTCTCCCGAGTGATAAGGACCCAAGCATGGCTACCATACCTGGTAGTGATGCAGCTGCGACAACCAGACCGCCTCTTCCCAGACTGCCTGACACGATGGAAGCCCCGAACTGGACCATGTCGAATTCCATCGCAGACTCCTTCGGGCTGTTCGAGGAAGGACAGAACGATATCTTTGATTTCTTGCCGATGATGCCCTCCTTGCCCTGATCGAATACTCAGTACCACATTGAACATATGCAATGATACCCACAACAGATAACTTTCTCCTGAACCCCGTAGATACGTAAGTAAACCTGGACTTTTGTCGATCTGCAAAGTTGGTCCTAGCTTGATAGTGGGTGGACCACGCCACAAAATCAGGATAGGACACAGCAGGTCATCGGGCCGCAACACAGAAGACATTTCTGACATTTCAAGGAAACAGCGCTAAAGTATGGGATTGCTAGAGATCTAGGCGTCGGCATCACCCGTCCACACACACCGGGTCCTGGCCGGCACCGGGAATGGATTGCTCTAATACCCGGCCCCGAACCGGGACCGGTTCAACTGCTCAAATTTTGTAGTATAGCAGCCACATCATTGGTACATTGAGTCTATTCAAACATAATAGCTGCAACGCTATGCATGGGCTGTGGGATCTAGATTAGTGACTCAGTTTTTCCGCCGATTTTTTGGTCTCCACTTGACGCGGTGGACAATTCGGAGATTCCTTTATATAGCGCTTGGTTTCGCGCTCAGGGGATAGTTGAATAGTAACATGAATCAAAGATCTTCCTGATCAGCTTTCTTTACCTGTTTTATTTTCTTTCCTCTTGGCATCTACAAGGGCAATGGAGTTCATACAATCTCCGATGGCTCGCATTACCAGTCTCTTTTCTTCCGGTGCGATTGAGCCCCTCAATATGGTGTTCCATCTCTGCCCCTGTCCTATCCTAACTGTTTATAGACAAGATGGAAAGCTCCAATGAAAAGGCCACCATCACAGTTCAGTCCGCAAAGAGCTACAATGAAACAGATGATTACACACTAGTTGAATTGTCTCCGGAGGAAACTCTGGTCGAGTTTTCCCCGGACTCAACAGCCGACCCGAATCAGTGGATGTTTGTAAGCTACATCAGGTCTACCAAGGAATGTCAGAGGGAGAAGGCGGACTAACGACTATGCGATAGGGCCAGAAAATGTACAACGCCGTCGTGGGGCTCCTAGTGGTACTTAACAGTGGCGTGTCGTCTTCCCTGCCTAGTAATGCAGTCCCCACGATCATGCAGGATTTTGGCCTGTCAGCAGATGGCCATGGCCAGAAAGTATTGCCAACATCCATTTTCCTGATTGGGTATTGTATCGGGCCTCTAGTCTGGAGTCCTCTGAGCGAAACAATTGGCCGGCGACCGGTTCTCTTCTGGAGTTTTACTGTCTTCTTTCTCGGCACTCTGGGTTGCGCTCTGGCGCCCAACTGGATGTCGCTATTGATCTTCCGTGTCATCTGTGGCACTATGGCTGCGGCACCCCAGACTGTCGTGGGCGGTGTTTATGCGGATTTGTTTTCGGATTTACGCAGTCGTGGTCGTGCGATGGCTTTATACATGTCGGTATGTGCAAACCACAATGTTCTTTAAATGCCAAGCTAAGCCCACCACAGGCATCAAGCTTTGGTCCCATCATTGGCCCGATTATCTCCGGATGCTCGGTTCAGTATGGCTGGCGATGGACATTTCGCATCGACTTGATTTTCAGCGGCCTCACATGGCTGGGCCTGCTCTTTTATTCTGGTGAGTGCCGAGTCAGCCCAACCCTGTATCTTCATTTTTCTAATGTCTCGGCCCGATAGAAACATTTGCTCCAGTCATTCTCAAGAAGCAAGCTTCCAAGCTGAGGAAGGACACAGGGTGTGATCGATATTTCTCCCCGCAGGAGCTCAGAAAGGCGGATGCCGCATTCACTTTAACCCAAACCATCACTCGGCCTCTTACCATGCTCCTTTTCGAGCCTATCATTCTGTTCACGGCTATTTACATCTCGCTCGCATGGAGCATGGTCTTTTTCTATTTCCAGGCATATCCCATCATCTTTGAGGGCATCTACGGTTTTGATATCTCAATGACCTCTCTCACATACATTCCGGGTGAGTCTTCTCTGTTTCATCTTCACGGTCTACATTGGGAAGCTAATCGTTATCAGTGGGCGTCGGCGCTGCATCATCCTGTCTCTTCGCCTTCACTTACGACATCATCTACGAAAAAGCCAAGAAACTTGGCAAGCGCTGGACGTCCAGCCCCGAATACCACCGACTTCCACTTTCTTGCGCAGCAGGTCCCCTCTTAGCAGGCAGCTTATTCTGGCTTGCATGGTCGGCCAGAGCCTCTGTTCACTGGGCGGTGCCTGTGATGTCGGGCCTTGTCTTCGGAATGGGGTACCAAACCACGTTCATTTCACTGCTTACCTATGTCACCGACGCATACCGTATCTATTCTGCTAGCGCTTTGGCTGCGTCCGTCATCTTGCGGAGTATTGCAGGTGCGCTGTTTCCTCTCGCCGCAGATCCACTCTATGCGAAGCTCGGTGTTTCGTGGGCGACCTCGGTCCTTGGATTTGCCGCTATGGCCTGCATGCCGATTCCCTTTGCCCTTCTCTATTTTGGACCGTGGATCCGTAAGAGAAGTCCGTTCTGTCAGCGGCTGTTGGAGGAAGATCTGTTGAAGGCTGGGAGTGGAACGAGGATGCCGGAGGCTTGAGGAGTTACTCAAGGCCATATGACGAGTTTGATGATACCATGAGTACCATGCACATTTTCGCTTTTGCTGCAGCTTTCTTTACTTGCATATTGGTTTCGGGCATATGTGATGAGATAAAAGTACAGACCCACTTGAGTTATACCCAATTTTAATCCTAGATTTCAGAGTACATCCTGTCTGTTCCTTCTAATTCTTAGGATTTCCTAGTCTCAAGTTTACATGACACGCTTAAATCCATTAAACTCCGTCAATCTCATATCAATAAAGATGACACTATCTCGCGCAACCAGGGTTTGGTGGCTGCGCACTTCGGCGCTTCGGACCGGAAGTTCATGAACGGCCGCCCCGATCTGAATCAAGGTGATTCAAAACAGAGCCTTCCTACCCTTCCACATATGTTATTCTTTTTGACAGAGACCTGAACAGTTTCGAATTCTCTCAAGGCAATCTCTTCATCCAAAGTTTCATAATGTCCGCAATCAATTCCAAAGATGTTCCTACCGTGCCCTCCACTGTCTCAGAGCATACTTCTCTCGACGAGAAGCCACTGACGTTACAAACTCAAGATGTCGAGAAGCCCAGTGCTGGGAACCCTGATGATCCTGCTCCGGATGGAGGTTTGCAGGCATGGCTGGTGGTACTGGGCTCGTGGTGCGCATTATTTTGCACATTCGGATGGATCAACAGTATGTGGTTGTACAACACGGGGACGCGTGCCAATGTTAGGTCTTCAGGTTGATTTCTGATTTTTTTTTTTTCCAACAGTCATCGGAACATTCCAGAGCTACTATGAGGAATCCCTTTTGAAGCAGTATTCTGCCAGTACGATCGCATGGATTCCATCGCTCCAGATCTTCTTCATGTTTGCCATGGTATAACACCTCGTTTCCATTTTCCATTAAATGAAAACTGACTAGAATATTTCACAGGGCCCTATCGTTGGTCGATTGTACGACAACTTCGGCCCCCGCTGGCTCCTCCTTGGTGGCTCTTTTCTGCATGTCTTCGGCCTCATGATGGCCTCAATCTCGAAAGAATACTACCAAGTCCTCCTATCCCAAGGTGTATGCAGTGCAATGGGGGTCTGCGCAATTTTTCAGCCATCAATGAACGTCCTACCAAGCTGGTTTGACAAGAAACGTGGCGCCGCCTATGGAATCGTCTCAACGGGATCGAGTTTGGGCGGCGTGATCTTTCCAATCATGGTCAGTCGCCTAATCAACGAAGTCGGCTACGGCTGGGCCATGCGCGCTGCCGCATTCCTGATTCTTGCTCTGTTGTCCATCGCTGTTCTCACGGTGCGATCCCGCGTCCCTCCTAGAAAGCAGAACATGGATAAAGCGAGCCTTGTTCGGCCTTTCACAGAAATCAAAATGGTTCTGGTTGTTCTCGGGTTCATGCTCCTGACTTTTGGAGTTTTCATTCCTATCGATTATTTGGTTGTGCAAGCTATGCACGCTGGTATGGCTTACAGTCTCGCGCAGTACTTGGTTCCCATGTTGAACGCAGCGAGGTTAGTTTAAACATTAAGTCTGGACCAAAGTACGTCACTAACCTGTGTTTCTCAGTCTCTTCGGTCGTATAACGGCTGGTATGCTCTCTGACAAAGTCGGTCCCTATAACATCTTCGTTACTGTCTGCATTTTCGCCGGCATCCTGGTTCTCGGTCTCTGGATCCCTGCTACTGGCAACGCAGCCATCATCGTCTTTGCCTGTCTCTTTGGCTTTGCGTCGGGGGCATATGTCTCACTCGCTGCTGCTTTGGTGGTCAAGATATCACCATTCCCTGAGATCGGTTACCGCACCGGTTTGTTGTTCCTGTTCTCATCCATCGGCGGGCTGACGACCAATCCAATTGCCGGCGCCATCTTGGCTCATGATAATGGCTCCTACACGGGCATGAAAGTATTTGCTGGAGTTCTGTTGCTTGTGGGTAGCACTTCAGTGATGGCGACTCGGCTCTACGGGACTGGGCTCATTTTCAAGGCCAAATTCTGATTCTTTCTTTTGGCATTTACGGGGCTCAAGTTTTGATTCGCAGGTAGCTCTCTTCTCTAATATATTTGATAAAGCCCGGTACTCAGAAGAGGCAAAGCGAATAATATAATATAACACTGACTGACCTGGCTTCAACCAGCTCCCACAAAAGTAATATAATTTGCATAGAGAAACTGAAAATATGCGGTCCCTAGAAGATATACAGAATAAAAGTCGATATAAATCATTATTTGACGCTGCGACTATTCTGATTCATACTCGGATGAACTTTGATCGTCATATTCCTTCAACATGTCGAGTCTCGTTCTTTTCGAGATGTCCGCTGTTTCCAGCGACCGGTGCCAATCCACCTCGCATCCAATATCATCCATCAAATTCCCATCGCAACAATCAAAGATGAAGTTTTCAGGGTAGCTTTTGCGATAGTCATCACTATCTAGGATCTCCAACGGTTCATCGTGATCAGCAAAGAGTTCTTCATCGGGGAACGCATATCCTGAGAAGATATTAGTTGAATGAACTTGATCCATGGAAAAAAGACCGCAAATGAACAGATAGGTGGAAAACCCACCGGGGTGATATCGACAACTCGTCTTCGAGTTCTCCGTAACATCGAACTCTTCCTTGCAGTTTCCACAACGCTCGTACCGCGAAACAGGGCGCTTGGTGCCTGCGATTTGTCCAGGGACGTTTTTGACAATAGAGCTGTCTACAAACAGCTCTTTCACGGCTTTTTTGTGTGCTTCGGGGATCTCATTGCAGATGGACAACAACAGTGCGCGTAGTCTCTCCTCGGAAGCTGTCTTGATCTCATGGTCGAGATTGAGCAATGCTGTGGCGGCTGGGGTCTGCGATGAGTCCGGCATTTCTTTTATTCTCTGCTAGGTGAATTTTGAGATGGAAAAGGGTTTCAGAGCAAATGTGTTGGAATCGATAAGATATCTGGCGCGTTGTTCACGCGTAACGCGTCCCTCCCGATAGTGACCCCCTTTTTGGCGCTTGATGTGAGTGTTCACTGTAGAGGTGAAAATCACTCGAAACAGTTTCTCCAAAAAGCCTTTCGGGAGAAGGGATGTGCAGACTGCTCTCTTTACCTTCAAATTTTAGGCTTACACGATGCACAGCCTTGGAGGCGACTATGAAATTTAGCCGCAGTTAAGACATCCATGTACATCCCAACTCTAACACCTGAATTCCAAATATCGGAAGCCAGAAGCGCCCCTTCTACTATGTTCATGGGCGTCCCCAGGATGGCAATTTATTTCAGACGATTTGAGGCCCATCAACAGAGACTTACCACAGATGTAACCTAGCGTCAATAGTATAGGCTCTAGTGCGGGGGCAGTGGAGCATCTGAGGTATATTGATTCTGAGCTACGGCTACGAATATAGGTGACTTCACCCTATGAGCCTACTGGCATGTCACAGAATATCTCTGCACCGCCTGCGCCAACTTGCATAAGCGAGACAATCCAACTTTGGAAGGATGAGATCCCGGTCCAGCGTGATTTAGCATGGGATGTAGGAGATCTCTGTCTATTTCTCGAGCATGTTCACCTTTCAGCCATTTCTAGGTCCAGGCGACTGGTCGATTGCTTGGAGTAGTAGCTGTTATTTTTCGCTCGGTCGCATACGCATTCCTAGCGTGTGAATACGAGCTTGGCCTCCTTCTGATGTGGAGTCATCATGAGATGACTCGGCATTAAGCAGTTCACAGAAAGGGCCAATGACTTATGATGGATCTAGTTCCTCACAAACCAAATCTTTTCACCTTCCATTTCTCTCTCCCAGGCAATCCCCAAGGTCCAGGGCTTTCCTTCAACGCTAAGTCGAAACTCAGCCTCGTAGACCTCGGGGCAAAAAGCCCCAAAATCGTCGTGGTGTGCCGAAAGCATCAAGAAATGCTCCCCAGTCACATGCTGGAACGTGATCGCTTCTGGCCATGTCATGTCCTTCCGATCGGCGCGCAAGACACCTTCGCTGTCTAAGTACACAGTGACATCCTTATAACCCGCGTGAGTGTACGTGCCAGCATATTCGTCCAATGGTAACATGAGCGGAAGAACAATCGGTGGACGATAGTTGATTTTGTCCGCCGCCCGTTGTTTTTCTTGCTCGATCAGTGACCAGTTTCTCCGATCCCAATCGAACCTCTGCTGCCCGGGGACCCCGAGCCGTTCGTCGAGAAGATGATACGCGAGGAACTGGGCGGCGAAATTGGAGGTCTGCGCTGTATTCGCCAATATGATAACGCCAAACTGGAATTCGGGGATGAGAAGAAGCTGCGCGCCGAATGCATTCATGCCACCGCTATGCTCATAGATCTGAACCCCCTGGTAGACTCCCGTCCTCCAGCCTAGAGCATACGCCCTGGGACCCGTGAAGGGGCCCTCCGCTGGCATCAGGGTCCGCGGCTGCCATAGTTGGTGCACCGTCTCTGGACTCCGAAAGATATGCTTCTCGGCCAACGTTTGCGGGTGGAGTAAAGCACGCACCCACTTGGCGTAATCGAGGACGTTAGTGATGATCGCCCCGGCACCGGAGAGCTCCTCCACTGGCATCCAGTCTACTTCGTGGTAGCTTTTCTCATTGACGGTTTCGTCGCCATGGGTGGAGTAGCAGTAGCCATGGGCCAGGGTTACGGGGGCCGCTCGCGCATCATCCAAGGCGAAGTAAGTGTCGGTCATCCCGAGTGGCCTCCAGAAAGAGCGGGCCAGACAGTCGCCCAGCCATTGGCCCGTCTCAGTCTCGATAATATGCGAGGCCACCACGTACATGAGATTGTTGTATTGATATCGAGTACGAATCTTGGCTGTCAGCGGAAGGTGGGCGAGCCGACGGACGTTCTCGCGGACGCTGGTGCGAGAGCTGGCGTGGTCGTGAGACGGGAGCCCCGTCCGATGTGACAGCGCATCTTCAACGGTAATCTGGTCCCCGGCACATTTATCATGTAAAGCAAAGTCCCCGGGAAGTAGTTGGCTGATGGGTGTGTCCCATCGGATCTTTGTCGCGGGATCCTCAGCAAGTTTGGCTAGCATAGCCGCGGTGAAGGCTTTGGTCGTACTGCCCGCGTAGAAGAGAGTCGAGGGGGTGACTGGCGTGGAAGGCATACTCGCAAATCCGTAACCCTGTTATTGGTGATCTGCCGCGTTAGCGACGGTAAGCTCTGCGATGTGTGAGACGAAAGGCCCCAACAGCGTTCACCCGCCCCGATTATAGAGGACCTGTACGTACTTCCGCCCATGTGTCTTCACCATCCACCACGGCGATAGCCATTCCAGGTACGTGCCATCGATCCAATGTTCGTTGGACCAATGTTGCAAAGCTCGATGAGAGAGGAGAGCTTGAATGAGGATTCTTTGCCATGGTTTTCTAATCTTGGTTTCCCACAAGCATGTGCGGAGAGAGGGGCGAGGCAATTCAGGTTGCGCACTTAAACCCTGTGCACTGAACAGACTGCGGGGTATTGTAAGAATCACGGTCTGTTAGCGAAAACGACTTGCTGCTCACAGTCACAGTGAAAAGTACGTAATACGATGACTGGGATCAGAAGTGCTAGTGTGATCGATTGATCGTTGACGCAATTGCCAGCGTTCTAACGGCCTCTTGAGCCTGTGATTTGATGGGAGCGAGCCGGTTGCCCAAGTTCAAGCATTAGCGGCGCAGCGTGCAGCCAACAAGGAGGTGGCTGTCTTGAGTCAATGGTCGCATCGATCAGGGACGAAAATGAAGGATCTCTAGTGCCGGAAACTAAGATGAATTTATCGATCTCTATAAAAATGTAGTAATTGACTTTGCCCCGAAGTAGCTGAAGGCAAATCGATATCTTACCATTCTACACCCTCTAACTTAAACTCCTCTTCATCTAGGCAAAGACAGAAATATATAGCTAAGGCGGACAGCTAGAGTGGGTAAGCTATTTGTACCCACATAGGTCGGAACTATGGCCTAGGAATTCAGCTCTGGTTCTGAATCGGGGCCCTTTGAACATCTGAGGTAGGTATTGTAGTGGTGGAACGCATGACATAATGAATGCAGTTGCGGCCTGAGGTGTCACGAACACCTCTAGGCGTAAGCAATAGCTTCTACATGAGGATAGAGATGAATCAGGCATCTACCCAATTCATTTCAGTTGTCACTACATTCTTTGATTCATGATGCCGCATCCAGTACATTCTGTACGGCCTCAGTCGGGAAAACCGTACGGCCTCATTCAGGATAGTTGCATTCAGGATTGCCCGTACGGCCTCACGGCCTTACCAAGGACCCTCGCGAAATCCCTCAGGACGACCTCTGCTACATGCTGGTTGTGTGTGTGTTGTCCGTTGGTTGTTGTTGTCCAGTCTGCATTGTCAGACAGCCATCGAGCCATCCCCATTTCAGTATTTAACATCTCAAACACCGAAAGACCATCGATTATCTACTGGCCCATAATAGCAATACTCTGGGCCAGATAATTCCAATCCGGAAAATCAAGCCAATTTAAATCCCAATTATTCAAATCAAAACAGGCCTCATTCGCCATAGTCGATCGCTCCTCAATCGCCTCAACAGGCCCCTGCTGAACAGCAAATTCCCCCTGATCAAGCGCCCCATGCGCCTGACGAATCCTCAACGCCTTCATCCTCATCTGTACGATCATAGGCCACTTCGGCCCCGCATCCGGCCAAGAGAGATCGCTCTCCGCCAAATCGAAATGCCGATTAACGCCACGCCAAGCTTGTTCAACATATGCGCCCGTCGGGTACACACACAGGTGCCAAAGAATATAGGTGAGGAGGTGGAATTGGGTATATGTAGAAGTGAGCCAGCGGAAGCTGCGAAGGAGTTCGTCGGTATACATTTCCAGTCCGAGTTCGAGGGCGTTGACGGCCATTTCAAGTAGTTCGGCGGTTGCGGCTTGGTCAACAGATGATGAGGCGGCGCCTTGCATTTGGAGGATTTTTTGGCGTGTATGGACTTCCGCTTTGCCAATGAGGACTTGGGCGACCATTACGCTTTGGCGCTGGATTGGGATGTCCATGTCGCTGTATTGAAGGTATCTTTCGTGGAGGTTTGTTTTGAGTTCTTTGATTAGTTGTTCTGCTGAGGCGCCGCGGGTTTCGGAGGTCGCTCGCATGAGTGGGATCCACATTTTGTTGATTTCGGTGATTATGAGGGAGAATGACATCTCTGTCCAGCGAGATTGGGGCTGGGGTGGTTCTTGGGAGCTTTCGGAGACGTTCAGGTCGTCGATGTTGGTTGGGAGGTCGGCGTCAGCGCCGAATTCTTGTTCGGCCACTGTTATTCCGTGGTCTTCTGCCATTCGTGCATCAGTTGTGTATAGATTCCACCATAGGCGACGGCGAAGCTCGCATTCGAGAGGGTTTAATTTGAAGTGCTTTCCGTCGCGGTGGAGGCCGATGGATTGGGCTGCTCGGATGGCTAAACCGCGCAGAGTAAATCCAGATCGACCACTATTATTATATCGCAGACATGTCTAGGTTCGTTATTAGAATAAAACCAACAATGTTTATTTGGACGCTCTTACCAAATAAATTGCCATTGCTTGCAACGAGGGCAAAGTCGGGTAGTCCAGAAAGTTTGAGTGATGCATAGCAAGCTCCAAGCCCTGTTGATATCGACGTAAATCTACACGTAGCTGCTCATTCTCAGGTTCATCTGAGCATCGGGCCGTGGTGGCACCAAAGAAGATAGCAAATAGTAGGCAGTGAACATCCGACTTCTGAGACTCGGGTCGATTGATGGCCCCAAAGATGCGAGTAACTGTAGTCGGAAGATGAATCACCTTGAGGACAGGATCAACCCGGCTCACAAACGTATGCCACAGCATGGTGGCCTGCCACTGGTCTGGCTGGAGGGCTTTCAAATCCATGTTGATTAAATGCGGATTTGTGATGATCCCGTCGACTTTCAGTGGAGGGAATTTTCTCGGTGCAGTTTTGTCAGTGCTTGGTGATCCGATGGCAGATTGCAGTTCTTTCTCTTTTTCCAGTACTCGGGATAGAAGCGGCTCGTCGATATAGCTGCCGTCATTCACTAAGATCCCATGGTGACTCGGCCGGCCCTCTGGGGCCCTGCGAATTGATAGCGCACTGTTATTCTTTGAGGCCAGAGGACGAGATTCAGTAGTAGGTGAAGCATCTCGCTGACTAGGTCCCGAGCTTCCCAAAGTCGCGATAGACCGTTCCAGCTGTTCCAGCCGGGTCACCACCTCGGTCACTGTGGCTTTGGGAGGTCGACGCTTGACTCTCCTGGGGCCAGGATATTGGCAAACTATGCCAAGTCGTACACATTTGCTGCAGGGAGAGGCCTTGTCACATCGAACTTTCCGCTCGTGACAACGCAGACACGACCGTTCCACGTTGTATCGGCGTATTTGATCATCCATCAGGGCAAAGCTCAAAGTCGAGGACTGCCACTAACGGACCCTGGACGGAGATCTCTCGCTTCTTTAAAATATCGAATGATATCAGCGCCTCGCCGTGGAAACTTGAAAAGGCGAAGGAAAAGAGAGCAGTTCGGACGTTCGGGGTCTGCTTAAGACCGAAGCATCCGCCAATCACGTGTTGTAGATGGTTGCAAGTGGGTCGGGAATCGTGTGAATCAAATTGGATCGGTGGATTTCAATTTGAGCTGTTCACGAGGCTATTGATTTCACGCCAAAAGATAATTTGTTTCATTCCATTTGGCTCATCTTATTTGATTCCTGTGGCTTAATACCGATGACCTCATCCCAAGCCAGCCTTGTCGATCATGACTATAGCCCGCGCTAAAAGACATGCCAAGCTATATCGAAACAAACGAACCGACCATGTCAATCTGCAGGTATAGATTGACGCATTAAGATCAAGTACTATTTAACAATCATACAGCCCCATCAACACCAAGCGCCCGGCCCGTGAATGTTCCAACCGACCACCCAGACCCAGAAGAAAAGAAAAGAAAAGAGAAGAAAAGAAAAACCATAGAACAACATAACGTCATTGGATCATGAAATGAGAAGATCCCGTACACTCATTCCCCGTCCCCGCTGTGCCTCGGACCCACTTCTACTCCCCTCGGAGGAGCTGAGCTTAGTGCTGTTGGGCAAATGCTCGGTAATGGAGTCGGCAGTACCCCGGCGGTCCTGAGTCAACATGAGCAAGGCAGCTGACGCCTCATGATCCATACCCCGGAACTCGGGGAGCTTGTCTATTGGCATATATGAGGGTCCCAGAGCCGGGCTGGGAAGGACAGACGGGGCATCGGGCAAGGTTGGGGCTGAAGGGACTCGGGTGCGGGGAGAGAATGAAGGAGAAGTATCCGACATCTGAGCACTCGGGGGCATGTATTCGGGAGAAGCAGAAGCAGATTCAGAATAGGAGTAGGCTGAGGAGGGAGGTCGTCTAGGAGGCTGCTGAACAGGGTCCATTCCTGTTTCGGCGATGAACTCCGGGGATGTGGGGGACGGTGGGGCGACTCTGTTAGTAGTGCCGGCCATCTTGAGATCTTGAATACATTGTTCCAGGTAGTTGACATAGTCGATGCTTGCCTGTTGGAATGAAGGATTAGTGTGCTTCCTCATCATTGGATGTGCGGGCGCAAGTATGAAGTACCTGAAGAATGGCGAGTTTGTGCATGTCTTGGCCCTGACAGGCGGGGATCATATCCTTCAATGTGCCGAATTCCTCATTCATTTTGGACCGTCGCCGCCTTTCGATTAAACTGTGGGCAGTCTTACGCGCAATCTTGCGACCCGCAGCACTCGTCGCACTCGGCTTCTTCTTTGTATTTGAGGCGTTTGCATTCTCTGGAGACATTTGAGCCGATGCCTTCCCATTCTCCTTGGGCTTGGCTGGTGACTTGGACACGGTAGGAGACTTTGGTTTCATCTGAATGATCTTGCGTGTACGTGTCGGGGGTGGTGGCAGATCGAACTCTTCGAGTGAACGTTTGGTACCAGCGGATCGAGATGAAGGAGCCATGCGGCCTTGAGCAGCCAGCTCGGGAGACGTAGGTGATGCCGGCACATAGGAAGGATCCGATCGGGAAGACCGACGACTGGCCGGATCGATGGCGGGACTTAAAGCCGCAGGAGGTAAAGTAAACGCATCGGAACCATCAGGCTGGTCCTTGATGGTGAATGTACCAGACATGGCAGGCGTAGGAGGAAATTGAGGAGACATGGTGACAAGGAGTTGCACAAGGGGGGGGACATCCCCAGGTCATCGTTATATAACAGTACAACGATCTCAAGAGTGTCGCGTGCTTGAATCGCCCACGAGCACCAATCGCGGTCGCTGATTGGAGGAAGGGGAAGGGGCCTCCTGTTGATAAGCTCGGGGAGACCCACGATAGTCCAGCAAATGTCCGTTGAGAATTTCCGCACGGGCTGACTATGAATTTCGGTCCTTGGTACTTGCTTTTGCATGCAGACTCACTGGTCAGAACAAGTACCTGGCGTGTGCCTCCCCCTCGTCCAGAGTGGTAGCCCAGCACGTGCGCCGTGGACTCGTCCGCAATTTCTCTCCGCACCACTTTTGACATCACTTTCGCCCCTGGTCCAGAGGATCGACGAGGGGGAATTCTGGATTCACGGGCTCTCTCTCAGACTGAAAGCGGTTCTTTCTCCGACTGGTTCTTTGGCTATTGCATTAAATGAGAATAGCTGGATACCGTCATCCATTCTCTACCTAGGTATACTTCAGGGTGGATCCCGTGGCCCTGTTGCTACCAAATTGACTAATCGCGCAACCCGGACGGCCCTTATCCCCGGCACTTGCTTTGAATGTGCCCAATTATTAACATGACGACCCTAGAATTACCCAATTATTCTCAGAATCCTGCAGTTCGGCGAAATACTTGCTATAGAACCATCCAATACTTAAATTTCTTGTGGAGATGGAGAAAACGTATAAGAGAGTACTTCGTAATTCACAGACCTCAATGAATGCATTCAGACATCTTCACTCAATTACTCCTCGATCATGACCCACTCTCTCATCTCACCCGCAATCTTCTACTGGGGCACCCCCGTCGTCCTAGTCACCACCACAAACAAAGACGGTACCCCCAATATCAGCCCCATATCATCCGCCTGGTGGCTCGGCAATCGCTGCATCCTAGGCCTAGCAGGCAACTCACAAACAACAATGAACCTACTTCGCACCAAACAATGTGTACTGAACCTCCCCGACCACACTATGGTATCGAACGTCAACGCACTCGCCCGAACCACCGGAACTGAAGACGTTCCCGAGTCAAAGATTAACCGTGGTTATCGATACGAGAAAGACAAGTTCAAAATCGCTGCATTGACACCCCAGTCCTCGATAATGGTGACTCCACCGCGCGTTCGGGAGTGTCCGGTGCAGATGGAAGCGGAGCTGGTCGAGATGCATCAGTTGATGAAAGATGGGCCATCGGAGCTAAAAGGTGCTCTCCTGGCGATTGAAGTCAAAATTTTGCAGACGCATATCATAGATGTGCTACGGATGAATGGCCATGCTAATCGTGTGGATCCTGATAAGTGGAAGCCGATGATCATGTCCTTCCAACGACTGTATGGATTGAGAGATGGGGAGCTCGCGAACTCTACTCTGGCGGAGATAGATGAGGAGAGTTATCGTCTTCTATCTTGTCCGAAAGAAGAGTCCTAGAAACAAAGACGATTGATTTCAGATATGGAGGATCATTCTTGATCTAGGCTACGCGATGCGCAGGAAGTGATGGAATGGTGGCTTAAAATATATCCACTGCAAACAGATCTCAAAATAGTTTGATTAGAACTTTGTTTAATTGAATTCATAGCACGGCAGGTCCAATGTGGGGTCTTTCCTCATTGATGCCAGCTGATAAAATAACTCCAATGTCAGATCAAAGGATCTAGAATATCACTAGACGTAGAGAAGATCAGGCCAAAACAAACGGTCGTATGGTCTTGAAAGGAAATTAGAGACTTGGCAGCGGAGATCTAGAGCTCGAGCCAATCGACCGCCCGGCAGAAAAAACCCAATCAGAATCTGCAACCGTCGTTTGTGCCTATACGAATACGGACAGGGGAGGTCCGGATGTGATTTCCATACTGTTTTCGGGGATCACACTACCATTTTTAACGTACCAGTGTTCAACAGGCAGATTATGACGGTATAGTGCTCGCTAAGATAGGTACAAATCGTTACTCTGTCTGGAAGCCATTTAAAAGGGGGAAAAAAAAAGTGCATCTTCAAATGTGGTGTGGTGTCAAAGCAATGACGTGTCATGGCTTTAAAGGATTTACAATTCGAACCTTTGATGACACCAAGGAGTACGTAGGCTGTCCGGGGCTGCCAGATCGCTCTTCACATTACAACGGTGAGATCGCGGCGCCAGTGCAAGATGTTTACTTCGGGTATTATTATCTCAATCTCAAAGTAATGTGAGTGTCAGCGTAGATTCTGATTTTGATTTACAACCACCCGTACTAATGGACATAGCACAGCTATAAATACTCTGATTCAGCCGAATGATTTATGTTCCTAATCTACCCTAATTAGGAAAGGTCTCACGATTATGTACATATAAGTCGCGATAATCCATTACGGGTTAGGCCTAAACGGGCCGCGTGTAAGCTCGGAGATAGGTGGGTCGCCGATTGGGCTGTGCAAAGAAAATGTTTGCCTAGCTAATCCAATGAAGCCCCTGATATGATCTGGGTGTTTTGCAAGCAAATGTTCTGCTTCTATTGACAAACAGGAAACCAATAACATGTCCGCCCTGGGTGGATGATTTCTCGAAACAGGGCACCTTCTAACTGAGGTCCAAAAATACTTCAATAACACGATTCCTCGCCGATTTCCACCCCCTCTTTCCGCTTCGAGAGTTACCCTCGCGTGTCATGAAGCTCGCATCCTGGCTAATTGGTGGGATACTCAGTGCTTGCCATCTCATTCAGCTAGCATGGGCAGAGCACCTTCTCGAGGCGACTTCCCTGGTCCCCTGTTCCGATAATGGGGTCATCGGCATCGATTATTTCAGTGTCGTCTTCACGCCGTCAACTAGCAGTGTTACGCTCAGCTTCGATGGCACAATCAACTACTCCGGTTATGTTCTGTTCGATGTGGAAGTGCTGGTATACGGATACAGTGCAGTCAACACAACTATCGATCTATGTACAATAACCACGGTTTCAGGACTGTGTCCCTTGAGCATCAAGAACTTGGAGATTGAGACTGCCACGTTCTCGATGTCGAAAGATCTTGTCTCGAACTTACCAAGTGAGCCAGTCACTCCTTAGGCTGACTTACAATTGCTAATGTTTGTCGCTATAGACATTACGTATACCTTCCCGGATATCGACGCTCTCGTTCGCGTCAATATGGTGTCCAATGGCACATCAGAACAAATTTCTTGCATTGAGACGCGAATCTCCAATGGCAAAACAGTCAACCAAGGAGCCGTCGCCTGGGTACTTGCAATCATCACCGGTGTGTGCATAGTAACGTCCGTGTTCCTTTCGATTTCAGGGCACTCGGCCAACACCACGGATCTCAACTTCCGAACCCTACTATTCTTGAGCTTCATGCAGAGCCAGGCAATCCTCGGTATGGCCGCCGTGGAATTTCCACCGATGGCCCAATCCTGGACCCAAATGTTCCAATGGACCGTGGGCATTGTTCATGCCGAATTTCTGCAGAATATTTGCACGTGGTTCTTGCGCGCTACCGGAGGCACAGCATCGACCTTATTAAGTGAGTCCGGCAAGGAATCAGTCTATCTAGCGAAGCGATCGACGGAAGGCCTGCATCGACTCCTTCCCCGAATTACCGATACGACTGTCAACGGAACCGAAAAGACCGTCCGAGGAATCGAGCGCGTGGGTTATCGGATAAACATTGAGACGACCAACATATTCATGACTTCCTACATTTTCTTCTATTTCGCCGCCTTCTGCCTAATCGTTTTCATCCTACTCCTCAGTCTCGGCCTGCCCGCACTCGCTAAAAAAGTGAACAGTGCCAAGTTAGACCGCGCCGCCGGCGCTTGCACTGAACGGATAACCTTGATGCGTGGTATTATCTACCGAGTGGTATCCTTGGGATACCCGCAAATGAGTGTTCTCTGTCTGTGGGAAATTGTTCACCGAGACTCTCCCGCCGAAATCGTCTGCGGAATCAGTATGTGGCTTGCAATGACTGGCGTCCTCTCCTTTGCAGGATTGAAAGTCTTCCAACGCGGCAAAGCTTCTCGGTTCCTGGGCGGCAGCCCAGATTATACGCTCTACTCCGATCCCATCTGTATGACCAAGTGGGGTTTCTTGTATATCAACTACCGAGCGCAGGCCTCTTGGTTCATGATCCCACTCATAGCCCACGCCGCCATTCGGGGCATGGTTGTTGCATTTAGCCAGCCAAACTGGGAGGCTCAATCCATCGTACTTGTTGTCGTGGAAGCAGGCATGCTGGCTGTGACAGCGGTAGTGAGACCCTACATGAACAAAAAGGCAAACGGGTTTGCCATTACAGCCTGCGCGCTAAATTTCCTCAACGCAATTTTCCTCCTTGTCTTCTCCAACATCTTCAACCAATCCGTCATGGTTGGCGCCATCATGGGTGTCGTTTGGTTCCTTTTCGGCGCCACATTTACCCTCGTCCTGCTGGTATGGCTGCTGATTGCTCTCTACCGCGCCTTTGCGGTCACGGAGTCCGTCAACTACAAGCGCCTTTCCGACAACCTCTCCACCTTCCAACAGCCCGAGAACAGAATGGAAACTGAACTTATGCCATTAGAGAAGTTTTCTAGGGGAGACATCAGTCCTGTTTCTTCCCGGTGGAGAATTGATGAGTCGGAACACGCCAGATCTAACGAAGTACTGGGCGCTCACTGGCAGCCATCAAAATCACAGCGCGCTGATGAGGCGCCACCTGTTTTCAACGAAAGGAGCCCCACGCCGAGGTCCTTGGACAATTTCATGGAACCTACGTTGCCGCTTATCCCTGGTAGTCCTGATAACCGGGGGCGACGGTCTCCGCGACCTCCAGACTAAACTCAGACAATTTGCGCCATCACATGCGGCGTGAGAGTCATGTATATTATCAACTATGCCTTTCTTGTTTATACTTTTCTCTTACCTTCATACATTTGATCTCGATGAAGCCTTTTTCTTTTTCAATTTTGGGGACTCTTTCGGTAAAATAAACTTGTTAGCATCGATGCAACACCAAAAATGCAACAACACTAACTTGATCGACACTACGTCGAGTGAGATCCTTCAAGATTACTTCTCCAGACTAATCGCTAGCTTATTCGGGCTTTGAAGAATGATTGATATAATCAATGGTCCATGACTAAGTGATCAATCATTTCCACCCTGGCTTAGGCCTTGATACTGGCTTACGTGAGGGCTTCGAGGGTTGTTGCAGATTATCGATGGGCTATCGAGAAAGTAGTTGAATATTGTAGGTGCTAATTTTATTGAGTTCTCGCCTATATACGATGATGCCGCGGAGAGGACTGCTATTGCGATGACTCGGCTCGTGTATGAAGTTCCTCGGTGGATGGTTCGTATGCCGATTCGAAAGTCATGAACCGCCTGCCCTTTCACTAGATAATTACTTTGAATGGTATGGAAAACTACACTTTGGGGTTCACAAAATGGAATGGTCTGTTTATATTAAGATTCTTTGAACATCAGTCCCTCTTGAGCTCATTACTAACTAGGCAACCAAAATGATAATTCGCTGATTTGCAGGCATCCAAAATCAAACCCCCATGCGCCCCTAGACTTTTCAAATAATATATGTACTTCCTTTCCCTTGATCACTCGAAGTCGCTCGGTACGCAATTAGCCTTGCAGTGCAGGTATTCTTGCCAACTAGTACACTGAGTCAGCGTGATTTCTTTTTTTTGGTACGCTTTAGATGGAACTTACCAGTACTTGTCATCGTCGGGCATGGCAATGTTGCATGTTTGAGACTGCAAGGAGCACAACTCATTGCAGTGGTTGATGTGCTTGATATGGTTGGGCACATGCTTCACTTTAGGGACATCCTTGGTTCCTTTGGTGTGCTTGGTGCTCTTGGAGTGAACAAGGTAACGGCTGTCGGTAGTGGTACCATTCTTGGACTTCGCCAGACCAGTAGTCAAGGGTGTCCTGCCAAGGGTGCCAGTGGTGGTAGCATTGTGAGCACCAGTCGAGTTGGTGGGAACGTGGACCGCGATGCGATTGCCGTGGTATGGGCCAGACAGATGGGGCATAGCGGTGGCAGAGCCAGCCAGGGCAACGACGCAGAGGCCGACCAAATTTGTAAGCTGCATGATGTGGAGTAGGAAGTTGGAAGATCGGTAGATCCGGGGATAGGGTTTGGGATCAGGTTTCGAGAGGATGAGAGTCGCGATGAGAATACATGGGTCCACCATAGGATGATCGTTTTATATGAAGAGCCCCTGGCAAACGTTAATTCTTGGTGGCTGGTTCGAAAACTTTCGGCTCATCTTAACAGCCTCCTGGATTGTACAATGTTACAATAGGTAATTGTATAGCAGGCGGCACGGCCGATCCCCAGGTTGCGGCATTCCACATTCCTGGGAGTCGCGTGAGAGCTTCCACCCGTTATTGACGGGCTTCAAGATGTTTAAACTAGTCTGTATTGAGTAGCTTTAGCCTGCCGTTATTTGTAGAGACCAATTTAATTTTTCAAAGGTGGTGAATATCACCACCTCACCCGGTTTACTGCAGTGTTGACTGGGTATCGGGGATCAACACATGTGGCAGGCCTAACATTCCAGACCGCGGATATGGATGTATGACCAGCCAATTGCAAGAAGTCGGGCTTGGGTTAGAATAAGCTTAGCTTTTTTCACTTTCAGAGAAACTCACATCGCTCGGTGAGGCCCTTCTACAGGGCGGGCACGCGTTTACTACTATACATCCGGCTCTCTATAAGACAAGAATGGCGCCACCGAAGCTTCCCCCGACGCGTTCCAGCTCTGAAATAGAATTCTAGATCAGAGCGCCCTCATTCCTTTATGTTCTGATGTCTAGTTCTAGTCCTTGTTTCCTATCAGCGCGCACATACCGTCCCTGCGAGAGGCACTGGACCAGCTATTTCTTTCTTTGATAAGACCCATATTCTATTCATCAACTAGGGCGCATGATCTATTCATCAATGTTATGTACTTTCAGGAGACTCATAATGTTCAAGAAAACAATCTCTGCATCATAATCTCACCAAAGTTCTTCTCAGCAGGTGACTCGTCCATGCGTAAAATACGATTGCCGGCACTGGCACTCAGCCAAAGGCCGTGATCACTCGAGCTCTCCTCATCACCTTCGATCTTGTGGCGGCTACGACGATCAATCACACACATACCACGAGACCATTGACCCGTCGTTTCGATACGAATATCCTCGGGCGAAGTGGACGAGGGAGCCCACATGGGGTCCGTGGATGTCAGGGCGTACCAAACACAGACGGGGTCGTGAAGGCTCAGCGCAGCGTCATCACCAACGTGGCCGGGATGAAGTCTCTCCAATGTACGGAAAGTGTGGCCCATGAAGGCATCGACCCATTCAGCCAGCGGAGAGCCGGACTCGAGCAGCGGAGTTACGGCCTTGCGGAACTCGCCTTTGGAGATATTGTGACGCAGAGTAATATCTAGCGGGAACAGACGCAGAGTCAATTGGCGGCTCAGCTTTGCAGGGTACGGTGGGAGCACAGGGCTCTGCGTGGGTGGCAGAGTGGAGTTGGGGTTAGGTGATGTGAGGGCGAACACCCGGGCAGCGGCAAATGCATCTGCGTAGGCATTGAACTCGCCGACTGGGGTGACCTGGTTAACTGTGTCAGTTTGAGCCTTGGATAGGGGTAATTGAGTTTTACTCACATTGCCGGGCTGGTTAATAGCGCCGCCCATGACAACCACTTCCTTCACGCGGAGGAAGGTCTCTGGGTCTTCTGCAGATGCTAGCGCTAGGTTGGTAAGGGGACCGACGGCAACCAGAGTCACGGTATCCCGGTCATTCTCGCGCAGTACCCGAAGAATCTCCTTGTGGGCAGGAAGCTTAGAAGGAATGAACGAGTGAGGACTAGTACCAGTCTGGACAGCCTCGATACCATCGGGGTCAATGGTCGGATCGAACAAATGCTCCCAAGCTTGGCTAGGTGTAAGATGAGGGTGCTAAAATAAGCAGTCAGTCGAATTCTGTCCATATAGAAAAGGGTAGGAAACGACATACGCTGGCGTGTATGCCTCCAAGGCCGTCGGTGCCATCTGCGGGGTAAATGTTAGAAAGTACATGGCTCCGAGGCAAGTAGACATACGGAAGTAATCAGCCAACATCTTCTGGTCCTCTAGAGGATCTTCGGCGCCTACAGCAACGACTGGCCGGCAAGCACGCAGGGCGCCAAAGCCTTCAGGGCGACCATTCTGGCGACGCCACTCGGTCTCCCGCTCCAAGATATGGAACATGGAGACTGCATTGCGCAGACAGCTAACAGTAAAGGTTAGCATGGGCTCGATAGCTCTCATAGGCTCATTACCCACTTCTTGACTTCGATGTTGCCAAAAGTCAACGAGACGAGCAAGAGTTCGACTTCCTCTGGCTTGGCGGACAAGGCCAGTAGAAGGGCGAGGATGTCATCGATACCCTAATTCGGATGTTATTATATGCCATTCATCTATATTGAGAGAGGACCTACGGGGTCGGTATCAAGAATGATCTTGTTAGGCATGGCGGGGATGTGATATGAAGGTGGGGAGCTTATCGAGTACAACGTCCCTCTTAAGAGCCCATCAGTAATCAGCTATCACTAATCTCGCCTGATACTTCAGGCATCACCCGGGGCCACATTCTTGTGCGACTTTGACATGTACACAATTCAACTCTATAGATCGCAATTCATTTGCTTTTTATACATTTCTAAAGGGCATCGTAATCGGATATCCGTGCACCGGGACACGCGTAGATGCATTTCCACGGCATCTCCTTCCCGACTCCTCGTGGCGGGCGCGAGGGCGCCTGCAAGGGATAATTAGATCCCCTGCCGGATCGACGCGAATCATCATTGTAGCATAAGGTTTGTAAGATACGCCCAGGATGCCCAGGATGCCCAGGATGTCTAGTGTGTCTAGTGTGTCTAGGGTGTCTAGGGTGTCTAGGGTGTCTGGGAGGTAGGTCCTTGCAACGAATCACACACTAGTGACCGGGTAGATATACTGTAGTCGATGGGGAAATGAGACATGATGGAGACGTGGCCTGTTCGCGCTCCCCCCATTTGTGTAGCTCCTCCACCTTTTGCCTTAAAGAGTCTGGGCTGAGTATTACCACCCTGGTATTTAGGGGGGTTGCCACCAGGGGAGGGTAACAACGTATTGTATAGAGACTTGTTTGTAGCTACAATCAACGAATCACTGTAATTTAACTCAATTTCACCAAAGAATTCATAAGAAATTGACAGAAAACATGACAGAAACGAAGATAAACACACCGTAAACCGGGTGGTGCACGGTGTGGCCGTGGACCCAGTACGGAGTAATACGTGGTCGGTACCGTACCGGAGCCCCCCTCGGATCCTCAGCGTGTCCTTTTCTGGCTCTTCCTTCTCCTCGTCTCTTCTTCGCTCGACGTTCCTTTTACGAGGCTACTGTCCTTTTCTTTTCTGCACGGCGTGCTCATCGCTGAGCATTGACTCCTTTTTTGCGTTTCTTCACGACCTCCCACGTCCGAGCGCAATCTTATTGACAGCCGACGTCGCAACGACACCTCCCTATTCCCCAGGCGAACTCGTTCATCTTGAACGCCGTAAGAAAATCGGTCGCCGCATCAAAAACAGTGAAGCCATCTCTGTCAATCCCGAATAATAGTCACACTAGCTTTGGTCTGAAGCTTGCCACCCCCGGACAACCTTGCTCTTCGCCTCCCGTGTACCACCAAGTAGGTTTACGGTTGCGCGCGTTCAGACTCTTGTCCGTGTGCGCAATTGTCCTATTTCGCATTGAATCCGTGACTTGTGAAACAGGGTGATTTCTACGCCTTCCTCATTGCGAAGGCCACGTTTCGACAGTATGTACCCGATCCGAGGAAATAGGTGGATGAAGAGTAAGGTTGCTGATATACCCATAGTCAAAATGACCATGAACCCCTATATCAGCTGGGCCATCCTGCTCGTCGTGGCTGGTGGTCTCGGCTGGTACTACACCAACGGCCAAGCCCCCAAGGCCAAAACCGCCGTCCGTACCGCCGTCGAGAAGACCGAGGCCGTTGTTGCGCCGGTCAAGAAGCAAAAGGCACGGAAGCCCAAGACCACCGAGCCGGCTAAGAAGTCCGAGGTGAAGACCGTGGTTTCTCCCCCAACCACCGAGGATGAGCAGCCGGACGAGGATGTCGACCACAAGGAGATGGCTCGCCGTATGGCCGCTATGAAGAATGGCACCCCTCTGCCCGCCGCCCCCTCCGCCAAGAGCCAGAAGAAGAAGCAAAAGCAGGCCGTTCAGCTCGAAAGTGGATCCCACGCCTCCTCTACCACCGGTGCCGAGGCCGACGATGACCTGTCTCCCGCTCCCTCCCCCCAGGTCAATGCGGCCTCCTCGGCCGGCTACGTGTCCGACATGCTGGAGGCCCCCGCTGCCGGAGCTTCGGTGCTCCGCGTGACTGGCAACATGGAGAGCGAGCCCAAGAAGCAGAAGGTGCAGTCCTTCAAGCAGGTGGAGACCAAGAAGCAGCGCCAGCAGCGTCTCAAGAACGAGGCGCGCAAGGAGCAGATTCAGGAGGCCGAGGCCGAGCGCCGGAAGCTGCTTGAGAAGCAGTTGCACACCGCTCGCGAGTCTGAGCGTCGCGAGACTGCTCGCTCACAGGCCCCTACCAGCAACGCCTGGCAGACCAAGGCTGCACCCAAGACCAACGGTGCTTCGCAGCCTCCCGCTGTCGCTCCCGTTGCCGCCCCTGTGCAGCTTCTCGACACCTTTGAGCCCTCCGCGGCCGGCCCCCAGAAGAAGTGGGACCAAAACCTCCCTTCGGAGGAAGAGCAGATGCGCATTTTGGGCGCCTCGGGCTCCCAGATTGAGGACGAGTGGACCACCGTACCCGGCAAGAAGACCAAGAAGAAGGGTGGCAAGACCGACGAGAGCGAGGCTAGTGCTTCGGAGTCTCAGTCTGCCCCCGCGGCTCCCGTGGCTGCTCCTGAGCCTCGCGTGACCGTGACGCCGACCTACATTCCCGACATTCTTCGCTCTCGCGAGAAGGGCCACCCGCTGGACTCGGACTGGACCGCTTGATCCCTCTTCAGCTTCCACCTTCCCCGTCTGTATGCCGGTTTCTCTCTTCACCTCGACCTGTATTTATTACCCATTGTCTTGATTTTTTGGCGTTTCGGGAATGTCGCATAATACCAGCACCCTCACCTCTCGAGGAGCAGGGTTGCTCGCACAAATTGTGGAGTGTTGAGAAAACAAAAGCCCAATTGAGCTGTAGTTGCGAATGTATCACAATCAGATTTTTCCAAGAGAGAAGTGAAGATGAGGTTAGAAGTAAAGGTAGATCGTAGATCGAGTAGATCATCTTGTTTGTGTACGACGTCACATAGTTACTCAAAACGGGCTAGCGCCAAGTTCCGGGCAGCGTGGCCTGAAGAGAGACACCTTTGTATACGGGCTCCACCTTACTACCTTGGCTACCTTACTATTTACACTCCTTCAATCCCCAACTTTACCTTCACTCAATTTCTATACCCTTTCCTTCCCCTCTTTCTCGCCATGGCCCAGATCCGTGGCACCGCGGGCTACAACCTCGGCCACCAGAACCCGTTCGGTGGACCTGGTAGCGCCGATGCCACCAGCGACCCCAGCCCACTCGACGCCATCCGCGAGCAGACTAGCAAGATTGAGGACTGGCTGGACACCCTAGCCGACCCAGTGAAGCCGTATGTTCCACCACTCGTCCCGTGAACTTGCTCCGTGGGAGCTCTGCTCGACCCGCGAGCTCCAACTTGCCCCAAACAAGGGATTTCGAGGCATGCACTGACACCGTGTTCATTTGCTCCAGGTACCTGCCCGCGATCGGTCGTTTCCTGATCGTAGTGACCTTCCTCGAGGACTCGCTGCGCATCCTCACACAATGGAGCGATCAGCTCCTCTACCTTCGTGATTTCCGGAAGAGTAAGCTTTACCCCGACTGGACCCTGACCCGCACTCGACCCTGAGGGTCGCCCACGTGCCTTGTTCTTCGCCGCTCAAATCTAACGCAATGTTGCTGGATTTAGTCCCTTGGGGAATCACACACATGTTCTTGATCATCAATGTTATCGCTATGTCCGTCTGTTCCGTTATGGTGATCGCCCGCAAACGCACCGAGTTTGCCGTGGCTGGATTGCTAGGCGTTGTCATCACCCAGGGCCTTGGATACGGACTCATCTTCGATTTGAACTTCTTCTTGCGCAACCTGAGTGTTGTCGGTGGTCTGCTTATGGTCATCTCTGACTCGTGGGTGCGCAAGAAGTTCATTCCCGCGGGCCTGCCCCAGCTTGACGAGAAGGACCGCAAGATGTACGTGCAGTTCGCCGGTCGCGTTCTGCTGATTTTCTTGTTCATCGGGTTCGTCTTCTCCGGAGAGTGGAGCTTCTGGCGATTCATTGTTAGCGGATTCGGTCTCATGGCTTGTGTTATGGTCGTTGTTGGCTTCAAGGCCAAGTGGAGTGCTATCATTCTTGTGGTGCTGTTGAGCGTTTTCAATGTGCTGGTCAACAACTTCTGGACGGTATGTTTGGTTTCTGGTGATGTAGCACTTTCACTTGACTGACTATGGACTTTAGCTGCACCCCCACCACCCGCACAAGGACTTCGCCAAGTACGACTTCTTCCAGATTCTGTCGATTGTGTATGTACTCTCAATACTTCTCTGGTCACTCCAATATCCTAACATCCATCACAGCGGCGGTCTCCTTCTCCTGGTCAACATGGGTCCTGGCCAACTGAGCATGGACGAGAAGAAGAAGGTCTACTAGTTCGGGGTAGAGAACAGACGATTCGCTCTTATCCGTATATCCCAGTGCACTCTCGCAATTCGCAAACAACAGAAAACACAACTACAGGAAGGAGAGCAGCACCTGGGCTACTCTCTATAACACCTACTCCAGGAATTCCAACCAACAGGGATGTTCGCAGTGTACCCGTCTTGTATGATTTGAGAGCTCGCATGAAAGTTCTATCACTACATGGTCGTCTCGTCTCGTTTTCTCTTCAAAATTGCCTCTTTCCCACTACCCCAGTTCTCATGCCAGCGGAATACTCCCGTTCTAGGCCGCATTTAGTTGATTTTTTTTTTCTACTTTTCAGCAAAAAAGACATGTCCCTGCATGCATGATTTCAAATATGGATCAATATCGAATTTATCACGAATAACAGTTGCATTGAAGCCATGACTTTTATTTTTATTGCTTTTGATTTCTAGAGTGGTGTGCTGTTAGACTTTCATTTAGAGTAGTGGAGAGAGATCACCAGGTACCAGGAACATTTGAACCCCTGCAGTCAGCCTCTTGATAAGGCTGGGGTTCCTACGTGCTATCGTAGATGGTTATTTGGACCTCGGGATGCTTTAATTTAAACATATCCCCAACCTTGCTTGAGAGCCTGGAAATATAAAGATAAACACCGAGGTGCGCCATTGTTGACTGGATTTTGAAACCCTGTTCTATATTTAGGTATATCGTCAAGACTATGACGGGCACAACACTTTCTCAAAAATTGACACAGTATCATTTTTGAACATTTAAACATCTAGTTGGTGTTTGGTGTTAGCGATCAAGTAACAGAGACTCAAATTTAGAGTCGCACGGTTTCATCTTGTCTTAAAAGCTTTTGTTTTTTTGTTTTTTGTTTTGCTTTTTTTTGCGAAACACGCTAGACCACTATGAAGCAAACTTAACCAGGACCGAGTAGCACGATCTAGTAGATTCGGTGTTTGAGGACTATCAGATAAGGAACAGCCTGCACATCACATTATTCAGTCAAGCAGAAAATCTGGATTTGGTAATGTAGTAGATTTAGTGTCTAAGCAAGGGAAAAGAAGCAGGTTGTGAGTTTTCCGAATTTCCAAAGTTCCATCATGCTATATAAACGCTATGTATGTGGACTGAACGAAGAAGTGATTATGATACAAGAAAAGGGATTCCAGGGATAGTAAAGGACGGTGGCTGAGAAGGGTAAGAATAGAAAGAAAGAAAAAAAAATAAAGGAGAAAGGGTACTGGGAAACCTAGAAGGCAGTGTATGGCGAAAGCCGATGGGAATGAATGGTGTAGGTGGTAAGAGTTGTCGCCGAAACGCAGTACCCTGCGCCGTCTTGCGTTGAAGCTTTGAAGCCAAGCATGACTTTTGTTCTAGTATGCTGTTCGGGTGCGCTGGTCCAGCCATGCACTTTCGGTCCCACAGGGAAATGGTTCGCACGGCCTGGGGTGACGAGGGTAAGGAAAATGAAAATGCTGGCTCTTTTGGTCCAAACGCCGGGTAATCAAAGTCAAAATAGAAATCAAAATCAGGTGACGAGGTGAGGCAGGAGGAGTTGGTGTGTGTGAAGATCGGTGGGGTGAAGTTGAAGGTAAGGATGAGGGTTGGGTTAGGTTCAAGGTTGGAGTTGAGGGAAAGCGATTAGATGTCCATGCTCCAGCGCCAAGGGCGAATGCGTTCTAGCTCGCCTAAGCCGACATCGTCGCGGGAATCGTCGTTGATCTCCAACTGCAGCAGATGGACCTTCGGCTTAGGTTCCCGTTGCAAGGTAGAAAGGGTCTTTGAAATTTGCGGGCGAGAATACATCTTCTCGCTCGTTTCTGTGGACTTGGAGACCGGCCGCGTCGTGGGAGTGTCAGGATACTTCCAAGACGCGCTATAGGACTGATCATCGGTGTTGGCGATGGAGAACAAGGAGTCGGATCGAGAATCACGCATATGATCGAGATCGTCGGAGCCACTGCTATCGGAGCGTCGACGCACTCGAGAAGCAGATGGCCGGCTCGGCAATTCCTCTTCCATGGCCTCTTCATCGAAAGCCCCATCAGTAAATCCATTGCCGATCCTGCTAATCCTGGCTGGATCGTTCTCCTCACGGTTAGCGCCACGAGCAGCACGAGAAGTGCGATCGCCGAAGAAACCACCGACACTATCGCGAGGAGACTCGTCAAAATGTTGCTTTCCTGCCATGACCTTTGCGCTTGGGGGAGGTTGAAGCATCCAGCGGGTTTCGGCGCGACTACACGGCCCACTTACGATCGGCGGATGCGGATCGTTGACAGGGGGTGCTCGCGCAGTGTAATATTTCGAGGGTTCGTGGGGATCAGCATGCCCACGACCAGAGAAGCCAATTGACGACCCGCGTACTTCCTGGCCCCAGAGAGGTTCATCCTCGCGCTGGTATCGCATGGATTTCCACCGTTCATTGAGCGGCTGCATGAGACCGCCACTTTTGTCCTTCTTCAACTGTGGATCGTGGTCGGTGTTCTCGGTGTTCCAGCTGTTCGTGCGCAAATGGGCACGGTTTCCTCCTCGTCGGGCTGGAGGTCCAGGGCCCAGCACTATCTCCTCGCGCCACCCTTCATTGGTGCTGAAGGGGGTTGGCTGGGGAAATGGGCGAGGTTGGTCGGTGACGGGTTCCTGTCCCAATTTCTCCTTCTCCTTCTCCCGCTGTGCCCGCGCTGCTTCCTTCCTTCGCTTCCTACGATCGCTGCTTTCAGCACATGGTGTGCAAGTGGCATAGTAGAAGACCGCCGACTGCGCGCCCCTGTAAAGCCACATAGCGCGGGGGTGGCAGATTTCCTGCTATTGTTGGGATGTTCCTCGAGAGGGGGTCGGTCCAGAGATACCTTCACGACGGGCAATGAGCCCGGGTGACTTGTAGAATCTGACCCAGTATTGGTGTAGTTTGAGATACTAGAGTCCACATGAAGGGCGAGGGACGGGTCAGGGGGATAGTGGCGGAAGGACTCGGACGTCGGAGTAAAGATGGAATGCCCGACGACCAGCGAGGGGAAGTGAATAATGGGGTAAAGAGAGGAGAGGAGAGGAGAGGAGAGAGAGAGAGAGCGAGAGCGAGAGAAAAGGTTTGAGGTGTGAGGTGTAAGGGGAGACACAAATCAGGAGAGAGCAGAGGGGGGGCGAATGGGGCGGGAGTGTCACATCGGCCAATTTAGCTGGTTATTGGTTGCTAGGTATTTCTGCCTGTTCCCCTCTCGCGTCTCGACTTACAGTACACCGGGGTTCGTTTAATATTCTCGTTTCTAGGGCCTAGTGGTCCATTTCTGGTACCGTTCGGCGCTTGTCTATCTACCTGGACTCTATGTGATACATCTCGACCCAGAGTCGGCCCTTCAATCAGGCCCGTCCACTCCCGGTGTACGATCCATGCATGGACACTAGGATCCGAATATGATACGATCGGGCAGCATAGCCACTGCAGAGCCACCGCAGCGCCTTTTAGCGGTCTGATCGGATTTCCCCATCCCCTTTATCCCTGAATGGCCCAGACGTTCTTCGTGTCCAGGCTTGGCATCGTCCCGCGTGAAGTGGGCGCCTATGCCGCAAACGGGTTAAGAGGAAAAGGATGGAACAGAACTCGGGAGGTCATTTGGAAATGTTGTGTAGATTGTTGAGCCCCGCTGATAATGCAATGGATCTAAAGGGTACAGTACGGTGTACATGCAAGTACTCGTAAGAGCCACATTCCGCCTTTTTCCCTTTCTGTTCCCAACCGCCCAAGAACGTAGGGATGTTCGCCCGACAATCCCTAACCCAACCCTAAGTCAGCCGTCAACAGTCAGCATGTCTGTTGCCCTAAGGGACCCTAATTTGAAAGCCGTTTGTCGCGGATCACGACGCGACTATGCCGAGTTTCGCGGTAAGGCATGTGAAGCCCATTCTAGGTACCTCAGCCATTGCATCATGGCACATCATCGTCGCAAGTCTTGTACTCGCAACCATAGACAGAGAGAGAGAGAAGAGAGAAAAATAAAAGTAAAAAGGGGGGCCTGATGCCCAATGAAGAGGGGACCATAGAAACCGATGACGATGAGATTTCGCTGGTGTCGGAACATCTCGCAACTGCCAAGCTGGACAAGACATCAGCCCTCTCATCGGTCTGATTGGTTCATTGTATGCAAATATGTGTTTTCCCAGACCGCCAACGCCAAAACTGTCAGAGCAAAGTATGTTCATGCTGGGTGCGCTCATGCATTCTTCGTGTCTCGGATCACTTCGCCCTTGACCTTACTCCAGTCGATCTCTCCGTCGATCTTCTCGTCGACCTCGCCGCAGATGACTACATTGTCGCCTCGGATCAGGTAGAGCCCATGCTCAATCTGAGATGAAGGCTCATCGTCATCGGGGGTGCGGATGATGCGCTCGACCGTGTTGGTGAGGACAAGGTTCGTAAGTTGGTCGGTCGAGAGAAGGGTACCCAGAAGTGTGCGACCGTCAACAGTGAGAATAAGGACTCTCTCTATGAAGGCGGTAAAGGTTAGTATACCGGTTCGAAATGTCTAGATAAAAGGGAGGTGCTTACTGTTGATGTATGGTTGAAGAGACATGGCGAAGGATTGTATGTGTTATAATCGGTACCGATCGGGCTTAATCGTAGCCAGGAAGACGCGATACTCGAATTGGAGCGATTGAGATTAAACTGAGCAGGTCGTGGATTCTCTTTGCGAACAGAGATCGAGCTTTCGTAGCTTAGCTGCCCGCACACGTCAATTGTCGTTCAAAGGCTGCCTATAAAGATCGCGTGGAGGCGCAAGATGGCAGACACGACCAGGTATGGATAGCTTTGTCGAACTTGACCGGTTATCGAAGCCAATACCCTCTCTGCGTACTGAGCAGAAGCTCTTCCGGGCGAATAAAGCAGTCGATCCAAGGTCCCGCAGTCACCTCCGTACTGGCGAAGGTTGGGTCAAACGAAAGGCCCGATCAAAGTCGATAGAGCAAAAAAGATTGTCGCGGCGGGTATCTTGTAAGAGCGAAGGCAGGGAAAGCCTAATCGAGGCGCAGAGTTCAATTGATGGAGGATTGACAGGCGACTATCGCGAGGTCTTCGCGGTTGTTTGCACTGATTGACACGGTCACGTGCGGAGCTTGAGTGGTTCGTAGGGACATCAGGGTATCGAAACTAGGTATATTTGCTTTGTGCCATGAGCTATTGAAGAATCTTTTTTATATAGAGGCAATCCGCTATATATGTTGGTCGTGAAAGCATAAACTCAATGTTGTTATAGCATGTAAGGACCTCAAAAGAATCTATAGCCACTTGCATAATCCTGTTTTCTACATGGTCAAGGACCAGTTTTGGCACCAGTGTTAGATGTATACTTTATTTCAATTCACTATATTTGCACGATATCGCCCGCAATGTCTCATGCACTCGACTCAACCACGCAATGCGCTCAGATCCAATGGTACACTACTGCCTCTACCGGCACGGTACCTGCGCTCTCCACCGGTAAAGGGCCGCGGCTTAGGAAGTAGACCATCGCTTTGAAACTTGAACCGAGGATCGTCTATTTGGACGAGACCGTGTGATGATAGACTCTGAGTGATATGTGCAGGAGATGAACGGCCATTGGTCAGTGTATACGCGCTGGGATCCAGTGCAGAATGAGGCGAGGGAACTGGAGAGGGGCGATATGGTGGTTCGCTTGCCGGAGCTAGAGGAGCCGAAGCTGGTGGAGGCGGAGGGGGAGCTGCAGGGGCAGCAGAAGGTGGTGGGGGTGCCGCGGGTGTGCTTGAATTGTTCAGAGCACTGCGAGCGGCTTGGGCGGCTATGGATGGCGGGCCACCAGACGGTGGAGGAGGCGGAGGAGCGCCCCGTGTAGTGGTAGGAGGAGCAGAAGGTGGAGGAGGGGGAGGGGCTACTGGGCTAGCTGCTGGAGGAGGCGGCGGCGGTGCTCCAGAGGGTTTGCGGGTTGCAGGAGGCGGCGGAGCCTTACCACCTGGAGGAGGTGGAGGAGCTCGGGGAGGGGGAGCTTCTGGTGCACTCTTGCCAGCTGCTGTAGATATCGAAGATGACGGTCTTGCCGCTGGTCGTGGAGGAGGTTTCTTCAGCTGAGCGACCAGTGGGTTCACAGGCGGAGCAGGTGGGGACTCAGTAGATGGCGGCGGAGGTGGTGGCCGTGCACCTGGTGGCCGGGGAGCTGTGGGAGGTTTGGGAGCTGGTGCAGAAGGTGCTCGGCGCGCAGCCTCGGAGTCGGACATGTATGGTGAGTCTCGAAAGGCACCTGTATCAACACCACCTCGGCTGCGTAATTTCGGCATTCCGCCGGCAAAAAGACCACCTAATTGAGCTGCCGGGGCTCCCAATGTATTGTCCGACCCAGTCACTCCTTCACTGTTGCTTCGCAATCTGCCAGCCGGGGGTACCGGCGGAGCGAGCCCGGAAGGCGATTTCATTGCCCCGGGAACTGGCGGCGCTGCTCCAACAGGAGGTGCAGCTGAGCCTCCTCCACCACTCGCGATGATTGGCGCGGATCTATCATTGGTAACAGCTTTCTTCAATCGAGCGCCTTTGTGAATATCATTGAGCAGGGCGCCCTATCTTCAAGTTAGCCACGTGCTCATACAGTCCTTAGGCTTATGGTCTATTTTAGACCAAGAGAAGTCTGTTTTCAAGTGACATACTCTATCCTTTGCTGCGCCCTTCTGTGGTCGGTTTGGCAAGTTTCCTGGAGGAGGCGGCGGGGGAGGGCCACCTAACCCTCCCGGCGGCGGCGGAGGAGGGGGCGGAGGGGGAGGAGGCATATCAAGGGTGCTTTAGAGACAGCAGGGCCGACTAGTGTCCCTCATAAGATATGTCAAAGGGTATCAAGCGGTTGGGTGCGCCTTAGGAGGAAGCGCGGATGTGTAAGGCAGAAGCAAAGACGTCAGGGCGCGAATTACGGGGCAGTGGACTACGGCACGAAGTCTCCGCCTTGAGCCTCTCCTATCAAAATAGGCTACCATTTCCTTCATTCCAGGCCACCGCCACCATGAAACGAATCAGCTTCAGGGCCCAAGGGCCAAAGCCGCAAGGTTCTGTCTGTCAATTATGTCAGTTCTCTACAGGCTCGCACACCCTTCCCATTGCCCGATCGACCCCGACAAGCCGACTTCCGAACAGCAACTCGCCGCTGCAGTCAAGATACAGCGTGCAATCATCGGCGAACCCGACGATTATCCTCGCGCGCCGCTATGCATCTAAGTCCTCTACACAGGATTCTGCCATTCAGCAGGTCGCAGACGAGGCATCCGCTTTGCAGAAGTCGGACAAAGTGCCCTCCAACGAAGCGGTCGTGGAAGTGCTCGCCAAATGCCAGAAGATCGCCGAGGCCTTAGTTTCGCGGGAAAGTGGAAGCACCTCCTCAAATGACGAAGGCAATGCGATCTCATCGCTCCTGGACATGGAGGAGAAGAAGAGCACGTCGGCCCGAGCAGAGAAACGAGCCCATCAAGCAACCAAGACCACGAAACTGGACTCACGACTCGCAGATTCGCTATCGCGCATTGTTAATGACCTCTTGTTGGACCAGAAGATATTCATCTCCCCCGAAGCACTGGAACACTACACCAAGACCCAGAGCCTTTTGCGACGAGCCGAGCACTTCCCCGAGATCTTCAACCTGTATGCCAACAAGCCTGTTCCCGAGGCCAACAGCTCGCCGCCCAAATATCTCAAACCGAATCCCAAGAGCATCAACAGTGCCGTACCCTCCGAACTAGCAAACATGGCTCTCGATATCGCCATCGCGCAGAAGAACCTGTCCCTTGTGCTGGCGATCATCGACAACACTTTCTGCGCCCCCGCCTTCCACCGCGCAAAGGTCTTCCGTAAGGCCGGTATTCCCTTGGCCGGTCTTGCAAGTGCCCCGCTTGCCTGCTATGCTGCTGCCACCTGGGCCGGCGCAGTCCAGAATACTATGGACCACAGCACAGCGACTGGAATTGCCTTTGCCGCGTCCTTGGCTTATGTTGGTGGTACTTCATCCATTGGTATCTTGGCTATTACTTCTGCCAATGACCAGATGGAACGTGTCACTTGGATTCCTGGTATTCCCCTGCGGCACCGGTGGTTGCGGGAAGAGGAGCGTTCTGCTATGGACAGAGTCGCTGTCGCATGGGGATTCAAAGATCCATACATGCGGGGCGAGGAGGTCGGGGAGGAATGGGAGAGTCTTCGGGAGTTTATTGGCATGCGCGGCATGATTTTGGACAAGACCGAACTGATGGCGGGTATGGAATAAACAGCGAAACTATGTACGATACGAACATGTACTGTATGCCCGCCAGTCATCTGAGCTGATGGCATGTACGATAGCAACTGCAAGATCTACTCAAAAAGTCTACATCCAGGTCATACCGGCTTACGAAAGGTAGTAAAATCGAGACGAAGTCGTGAGTTCATTTTTGTGGTCACTAGACTATGACACTCTCACTACTCGTTCCCTCTAGAAAACCCCAGCGCAATGAAGCGACGGAGCATCTAGTAGACACGGTGGGGGGGAGACATGGAAGCCTTGATGACAAGGCTGCCAACGTTCTGCCAGCCCTTCTTGAGCAGGGAGACGAGGTAGTTGACGGACAACATGAGGTTGGCAACAAGCTCCTCCTCGGTCATGCCGACGTTGCCGATGGCGACACCGAGGCAGAGAACCTTCTTCAGCTGGAACTTGATGGTGGACTTGACGTCGTTGACCTTGGCCTGCATGTCCTCGCCGTGGCCGACGGGGGTAGGGAACTTACCGGCTGTGAAAGGATTAGAATTTGAATTTTTTCAATGGTAGATCAGGACGGAAACTTACCCTTGGACAGACCGGGACCGAGCAGACGGGGAATCTGCTTGATCAGAGCCTCGGAAGCAAGGAAGGCATCGTACTTGCGAGCAAGCTTCTTGATGAGCTTCTTGTTCTTGTTGAGCTTCTTCAAGTCGTCGGAGGACATGGCATCGATGCCGTGGTGCTTGGCACGGTCAAGATCGTGCTGGTCACCAAGAATACTGTAATAGAATGACTATTAGTAAAATTTTCCAGTACAAGTGTTATTTCCCTTCTTCTCAGGTCCTGAGAAGATCGACTTGGCGATGCAGACAAGTCCGATTCGGGAGGGATAGCGAGGTAGAACGCACCAGATGCTCATGTTGGGGCGGGGGATGGTGGGGAGCTTGATGGTGCCAGAGAAACGCTTGTCACGCTGGGGGTCGTAGTTCTTCAGACCGATCTGAAGCTCAACGGTCTCGAGGAAGTTACGCTTCTTCTCGTTGAGAGAGTAGTCAAGCACCTGCTTGACATTCTCACGCACTCCGGCTAGTGGGAAGTTAGAGAGTGTTCTTGTTCCGTGTGTAGATGAACAGAGCAAGCGACATACCGACTGTGATCTTGGACATGATGGCGACAGTCTTCCTAAAGAAATTCTTAAGGTGTGGCTCTGCGCAAGAATGGCTTGGAGAGAAGAAAAGTAGTCCGCAAATTTCTCCGCTTGTGGGTGCGGTCCACTAAGCCTAAATGGGATTAGCGGTGCCCTAGAACACGAGTCGCTGACTCATCGGCCTCGCCCCCCTCTTTAATATCCTGAGAATTAAGGTGTCAATTTGAATTTCCGAACAATGCGATTGTATGCATGAAATCTAGCTTAGATAGTTTACTGTGGTTGTTCACATCTTGGCCTCCATCTCCATCACCAAAGACACCGCGTTGGATGAACCCCCGCGTCGATTTTCTATCAATACATCATCCCATGTTTCAAAGCCCGTTTTCTCATACAATTGCTTCGCACCAACGTTGCCAGGCTCAGCCTGGACAGTGACGCTAGTCTTGGATGCTCTGAAGAGTTTAGATTCATCCTCTGCCGCTTTGATGATGGCCTCAAGTAGCCGATGAGCATGCCCCTTGCGACGAGCATGAGGTAGAACAAACATGCCCACGATCACATAAACGATATGAGCACCGTTCAGATTGCCGGGTTCAATCGGGTTGGACGGTATTTGGTATTTTCCATCTTTGATAAAAGCATCCCAGGGTTTCTGTCTCGTGGCGTCGCCCTCGCTGGAAAATGGTACTGGCCCTATGAGGGTCGCGACGCCCACCCATTCCTTTTTGAGCAGGCTCTGAACCGTATCAGGGGCATCTTCGATCTCCAATGGACATAATTTAATTTTTCGATCATCAGACTCGGCACCGGAATCTATTACGGCAGCGAAAGTCTTGCCGAGTGGGTTCTGAATTCGTGATAGCCATACATCCGAGGAGAATTGAGACTCGAACTCATATGTCGAGGAGAATGATTCTGGATCAACCTTGAGACCATGTAGTCGGATATCCTTGTATCGATTTGCGACTGAGTTAAGATGCGCTGGGGAAGTGGAGGTCTTGGGGATTAGGATGACCTCCCCTGAGTCAAGGTGCCGGGCACCCATGGTAGATTGTAAAAGAGGGATGGCAACAATGCAGACCGAATCGTAGGGTTGAGCCTTTGCAATTTTATAAGGGATTATGATGACTTTAGTTGATAGGAGATGATTTGGATCTGTTGATCATGACTCAACTTGATAAGAGAGCGCGATGTCACGTTGGCGTTGTTCGTGGCTTGCGCCAGCCTCGGAATACCGTGGTGAGTCAAAATGGTCTTTTCAGTCCGCAAAGGCACTTGCTACCAGTGTTATTCTTTCCCCACCGATGAAATATGAATTGGAATCATCGAGTGTGAGAAGACCTTAGTATCGCCCCAAGGTGCTAGACTCTACTTCCAATAGCCCATGTGTGAGTCCCCTGAAACCAGGATTTCACCCATAAAACATCAAGACACAGTATTTACATAATGAAATCAGCTGTAATCAATCTTGCAATCTCCCATGCGAACAGAGCTAGATATAAGTATCCTCTCCATAAGTTGTGTGAGCTAGCCGCATGTGTGTTCAAAGATTGTCCTTCCGACCAAATGTCTTCTTGCACTTGGAGCACTGGAACTCGTCCCCTGAAAGATGGGCAGACTCGATGTGTCGCCATATGCTTGATTTCTGAGAGAAACTACTGGAGGAGATACAACCTGTCCAGTCCCGTTGGAATCGTGTTGCTGACTTGCGCCTTGATCAAGATCCCGAGGTCAGCAAATTATTGAGTTGCCAAAGAATTGACACATTGAGTAGATAGTCATACTTAGTTGCTTCCCATAATATGCGTGCATACCTATGTCCAGTGATAAAACGGGAGAACAAAAGTAGTAGGGGGGTAGCATACTACAGGCAGATATATATTTTAAGCATAATTCACTTCATTCGATCGATCACTCTTTAGATAGACATTTGAACATGTCATGTAGGAAGAGTAGGTAACAAAGTCAAATCTAAATTCTGCCAATCCCAGATCTGATCAAACTGTCCAACGTCCAGATTTGTAAAATCGCCCACTCCCATAACAGGTGGAGTTTCCATCCCAGGCACAGTTATACCCAACGAAGCAGGTAAGAACAATTCAGTAGCCATCGGGTCAAGAGAATACGATGAGAAGGGGTCTCCAAAAGAAAGAGCATCGAGCCCTGGCGAACATCCAAATTCTCCGACTCCCATCTTGGAGATATCGCCCTCCACTCTTGTCAATGATACAGCCCTGTTGGCTGCTTTTGATAGACTTTTGGCTAGTCTCGAGAGCACAGGATAGCAGATGGCTGCTGTTTTGGTGATAGGAGCAAGTTTCTCCATCAATGTGCATGCGAGTCCAATGGCTTGGATGACGTTGTCACATCGCGGCAGGGTTCGATCTTTATCGTGTATCATTGCGGAGCACAAGAAGGCTGCTGTGTCGAATATCAAGAATGTGATCAGGTGGAATTTGGCATTGAGGGGGAAGATGTGATCGAATAGGAGCCGCGAGACTTCCATTAGGTGGAGGGCAATGTCGATTGCTGTTACTCGACGACCTCGGTCGACTTCGGTGCTTTCTGAGTTGAAGGTTCGAGTGAGGTATGATTTGAATGGCAATAGCATCATCATGTAGCCTATGGCGTGTAATTGACGGCGCTGGAGGGGTACGTATAAATGCTTGCTGTCCCACTGGGTGTCGGGATTCGTTTCTTGGTAGGCGGGGTGTAAAGAAGCAAACCATTCATCTATATCTGATCTGAAGGATTCGGCCTGGGTATTATTGAATGTGCAGCCTATTGTCGCTGGTTCCTTTGACATAATACGCCCAAGCTCAACCTGGACGGCAATATGCGTGACAGGAGAGGGTGGTCCGTTTTCTGTTGCCTGACTTTCAAGCTGCATATTCGGTAGCTCAAATGAACTATAGCTCGAATTGATGATAGGTGGGCGGGAAAGTAATAGGGACATTTGCCTTGAAGTGATATCAGTAATCGAGCTATCCAAAGAAGAGCGAAGGTGCCTCTCACCAGTCCCATACGTATAAAAGACACCAGAGTCGCCGTCTCATCTCAATGTCAAACTCGGATAGCCCGGTTCTCGGGGAATTCTTGTGCAAGCCTTGTTCTTGAGCCTCGTGGATACAGGAGCTGAGAGTATGCCAAGACTCGACAAATAGTGACTCTGACTTAAACCAAACAGCTGTCAAAAAGAGCTGTTGAATTTGCGCCAGGCTGCCCTTACCCGGCGCAATGGTGTTGCTTAGTTGTTTGGCAGCATGATGATAATTTTCAGAAAGGCTTTGAACCGGTTCGCCCAATTCCGATTCAATTTTCTGTTGGATTTGGGCATCAAGATATTGTAAAGTGCAGGCGCAAACTCGGATGAGAAGGCAGGTGAATGCCGGTGTGAGGGACTTGCCGTTTGCCCGATCCGACCACCAGGAAGCATAGTCTTGAGAGAAAGCCGGTGGGTATAGACAGTAATAGTTGAAGTTGATCACTCCCAGGTAGCGCTGGATCAGTAAATCTACAGAGAAATCAGCTCGCAAAATTCACCGCTGGAGTTGAAAGAACGAACCTGTATAAGGTTTCGGGGGCAAAAGCCGCAAGACATTCTTCATCTCGGGAGAGGTGGCGTCCGAGGCATTGCTTGATGAACACAACGATGACTCCAGGCTATCAGTAAGATAACAGGGTGATCAACCGGTTAAAGGGTGGCTTACTGTAGCCGCAGCATTCCCAAACAGCAGGTTTTGATCACCGTCCAGGTACCCAAGATTGCGAAGTTCGTCCTTTGCTGCTAGAGCTGGTAACTCAGCAGCGGCTACCTCACTGTGTTCATACTTGGTATTTGCAATCTCTTCATCAGTAGAAGTCCTTCGGCTATATTTCTATTAGCTATATCCTTGCAGCGCCAGACTTGGACATACCTGGGAGCCTCCGCCGAGGTAACTGATGATTCGGATGGCTTCACTGCCCGTTTCTGAGAATATCTACAAAGATGTGGGATATTCCTCGATTGGCAATGATTACATGGCCACTGTCGACTACACTGTATAGGAAGTCAGACAATCGCTCGGCAACGGCATCTGGCGGCTTGCCTTTTGCTTACGCCGTTGGCATTCGGTGCATGAGGTCGCGAGGCGAGTCGCCTTTCCCGCTTTCGTTCCGACCATTATAGAGCGAAGCAGGAGGAGTTCAGCCACTTGAGAAATCGATATCGAACCAGAACGGATTTTGTTATGGAATGGAGTCTGGGCCCTTGAAGCCCGCGGTGAAGCCGCATTCTGTTGCCTCGTTTCTCGGGCACTCAATATGTAACTTAGTCATCACATGCCCCGCCCGTGACTGGCCCCGCCTCATTGGGCTCGAGTATGTACAAGGCTGCCATCGAAGCGAACGATTCTCAGATGAAATAATGGAGATAGGCAACAGCAAATTTAGTAGTAAATCCTTTTTTATTGAGGCTGAAATGTGGTCCTTTCCAATCTTGTAATCATGGATGGCACCCCAATTAGGTTGAAGAGTCGAGTCACCCGTGATGTGTATAGTACACCCTCAGGTGCTCCGACGGATTTTAAACCTTTCATTTGAAGCAAGAAAACAAAATGCTGTGGCCTGCACATCATAAAGCTCTAGTTCACCTGATATATATTGGAATCAGGCGAGTCCAAATCTGCAGCATAGATCAAGACTACATCAACCGGGGTTTGGAGCAAACGTGGCTCGTCATAACAGCACCGGACCGATTCGTGATTAATCAAAAAACGCCATATGACCAGCCACACAAGCTTCAGCCAAGCAAATTCGCCGGTCTAGAGAACCAAAAAAAGGATTGAGAAGGGGTTGTACAATGTGAAACATGGAGAACGAGGGACCAGCGGGGTCTGCAGCTGATCCCAGCGCTTAAGCGTGACCGGCGGCAAGGTCAGCCTCAGATGGTCACTTGCCCCTTTTCGGAGCTAGCTAGCTTGGGTGTCGCCCCGAATTGCCATTTATGACTCTGCTGCAGTCTGCATCTTCTCTCGTATTTGTTCTCGCCGAGTTCCAAGTGCTGTTTCCATCTTCTCTCCGCGTCTGGTAAACAACCCCGCGTGGACTACGATTGGCTAACTGACCCTCACCTTCATTTCTGCTGAGCTCCTTAAATAAAGTATGGCAGACGCTACGTATTACCGGGACCAGCTTAGTCCGCAGGATTATTATGCCAGTCTCGATGGCCACCGAGGTTCCGCGTGGCCCTTGAAGGACAAATTCCATGATATCGATGACAAGATCCATTTCAAGCCTTATATGAAGCGACTGAGTGATCCGCTCACTAAGAATTTCGTGCTGGATTTTGGTAATGAGGACGCATATTGTGCGACGGACCTGGAAGAAGACGAAATCCAGCTGTTGCTGAGGAAGCCGGTACGCGGCACTCCCCATCTAGCATCTACGGAGCTGACCTGTCCAGCGAGCGAAATGTTTCGGCACAAGATGGATGTAAGGAGACAGTCTACTGATCAGGTTTGCCGATATAAATGATGCTTACTCTTCTTGCAGCAATTTTTGGACACCAGAGGAGCAAAAGGCGTCAATTAAAGCAATAACAACACACTATGGAGTCTCCGAGCGACTACAGGGAATGATGTGCACCGATCCGGCCATTCATCGCCCCCAGCCAGTTGTATTGCCTAATAAGCGACAATCTCGCTCACGCTCGCGTGACTTCGACTCAACAATCGACGAACTGGATGATGTCGAGAGTGCAATTTATCTCAAGAATCTCCCGGAGCAAGATGCGATGCATGATGCTCCCTCTTTCAAGCACCTTACGTTTGCACATGTCACGAATCAAATCTGGCATTTCTCTTCTGTGGACCATGGTCCACGATGTACGTTAATTCCTCCCTTGCCCAGGCGCGAATGCGCGAGTTAATGGAGCTAGATACGTGCATCGGCTACAATACGCTATTTGTAGTGCCTGATGTTCCAAAAAAAGATATGGATAACGGGGAAGATCTTCCTGACGGAAGAAGGATCTGGAATTGGCTGATATTGACAGATGATGGTATGCGCTTCTTTCTCCAGGCGTATTGGATTTGTGCTAAATTCGTCAGGAACTATCATCTCGATCCAGGAGAACCCTCTACCAATGCAACAGGGGCCATTATCGACGAGCCAAACCAAAATCCTCGATGTCGTACGCAGGAACATCAAGTTCATCTTCTCCGGCGTCTCGAAGCAACATCTCACTATGTCCGAGAATGATTCCCTGGTTACGATTCGCGTGCGCCATTTTAGCGACAGTGGTCCGGATGAGGCCAATATCAAGCAGGAAGAAGGACCCAGCTTGCTCTTCTACTACATTTTCGATGACTGGGTGTCCAGTTATGGTCTGATCGCGAAGCGGGAGCATAAATATGGAGTCGCCCTCGAAAGACTGGTCAGTATTACGCGCGACCGGAATCCCTAGAGCAGTCGCTGATTTTTGCAGAGAGCTGATATGCTCAATCGCCCGGTGGTTGAGCTCATTAATGAACTGCACTGGCTCGGCCGCCGACTCGCCGTGCTCAAGCGGTTATACCAGAGCTACGAACTTATCATGCAACGACTGCTCCAGCGTCACCGTATGCTGCGGGATGAAGCTCGCTCCCACCAACCGGCCCCATTGCCGTTCGGAGCGACATTCGGGGACAAGGAGTTTGCCGACTTGCGCAAGGACAGCCTGATGAGCAGTGGGAGTTTCCCCAGCACGAGCGACAAACCGGTCGGGGTGATTCTGAGTTCGGCCGCGGCAGCACGTTTTGAGCGACTTGCAGATCGGATTGTTCTGTATTGTCTGAGTGAAATCGAGTCCTGTTTGACGGAGAAGGAATCTTTGACGTTTTTGGTGAGTTGTTGATCCGGGACGGAACCTTGGACGCGTATACCGGATTGGGAAATGTGCTGACGGAATCAATTTCCTAGAATTTCAACTTAATCGCGCTCAAGGACTCGCAAGCAGTGGAGAAATTAACCCGGATCACGATCTTGCTTGCGAAGGCGACCATTCTGTTCCTACCGGTTAGTCTGATGACCGCGTATTTCTCGACGGAATTGCAAGGCGTCAAGGGCGGGTACACCAAGGTGGATTACTGGACGAGCTTCGCGGTGATTTTCGTGGTATCGATCGTCCTGCTGATGCTGTTCGGCAAGGCCAGCGATACCGTGGAAGGCAAGACGATCTATCGGTCCTTGGTGAAGACGTTCTTCCGGTCGGGGCGAGAACGGGCAGCCAGGATCTCCGGACTCGGACGGGGACGAGAGCATTGATAAAGAGCAGAGCAGAATGTCATGACGCGGCGGTGGACTCGGGTCCCGTCCCACAGTCCACCTTAAGTCCACAGCCACAGCCCACAAGCCCCTCAAATCCACTGAGAATTGCGAATTGCAGAATTACCGGTGCAGCAAGGCACGAGACTGGGGCCCGATAAGTCGGGAATGGGCCTATCAGCGGCACGCGGGCGCCTGGAGCAATGGTCGAGAATGAGGGTCTCGGGTCTCTCTGCTCTCTGTTCTCTGTTCTCTGGGGGCGAGGTCCCCTTTCGCCTCCGTATTTCGAATACGGCCAACAACGTGGCCTCTTGTGAAAGTCATCCCCCCCCCAGCGCCGCTGCCTGATAGGGAATTGTATATATAAAATAGCAAGATCATAGAGATGAAGAAAGTGGTACCTGTTGGAAACTCGCCGCAAGCAGAACCGTGCAAAGGGTGACGGAGACTACGCCCACCGCCATCAGCGTGCGTATTTCTGTACCAAAACAAAAAAACACCCACCTTCTCCTTCCCCTACTTGTCCTTTTTCCCCTTCCCCTATCAAATCTCATCCTTCTCTAAACCATCTACTAAGTACCTGGTATGACTGTCATCTCCTGATCTCCCCCCCTCGACCCAACTCCCCACGTCCAACTCCTCCCCTCTCTCACCTCCTTTTATTACTCCCCCTCCCTTTCCCTTCATCTAACCCGTCCCAGGCTTCGAGGCTCCGCCAACATGGGTATCACTTTCTCGAGGCTGTTTGATAGACTTTGGGGTCGCAAGGAGATGCGAATTCTGATGGTTGGTCTTGATGCCGCCGGAAAGACCACCATTCTCTACAAGCTGAAGCTCGGTGAAATCGTCACCACCATCCCCACGATCGGTCAGTCCCCGCCACCCCCTCCGACCATCGATGTCGCGCACACAAGCCACATGAGCCGCACGAGCCCGAATCCACAATCGCAGTCATGCTAACCCTCTTCCAGGATTCAACGTCGAGACCGTCGAATACAAGAACATTCAATTCACCGTGTGGGATGTTGGTGGTCAGGACAAGATCCGTCCGCTGTGGCGCCACTACTTCCAGAACACCCAGGGTATCATCTTCGTGGTTGACAGCAACGATCGGGACCGTATTGTCGAGGCCCGCGAGGAGTTGCAGCGCATGTTGAACGAGGACGAGCTCCGCGATGCCCTCCTCCTGGTTTTCGCCAACAAGCAAGATCTGCCGGTAAGACCGCATTGAATTGCTCTCTCTATCTGCTACGCAAGGAAGAATATGGACCACTGACGCGATTTCTCTAGAACGCCATGAGCCCCGCCGAGATCACCCAGCAGCTTGGTCTCCAGTCTCTCACACGCCGTGCTTGGGTAAGTCCAAGTCCCCTTCCCCCAGGTACAGATACTTGGGACATCGCTGACTCCAACTTCTCCAGTTCATCCAATCTACCTGTGCTACCACCGGCGATGGTCTTTACGAGGGTCTGGAGTGGCTCGCCGACGCTCTCCGGAAGACGAACCGCGACTAAGCGGGTATAATCACGAAACGCGGGGTGTGTATGTAGGAGCAAGAGAGAAATACCACTGGAAATCTGCAAATGGATTGATGATGACTATGGCGGGAGTTTTTCGCGAGACCTACCTCGAGGTACGGTTTCGGTGCTTTGTGTGTTCTCTCCACGGCTCTTATTTCTCTTCGCTCTTAGCCTTCATTTGTTCTTTCTTCTGGCGCCACGTCAAAATTGCTGTTCCTCCTTTTTTTTTTTCATATCAATTGTAAACTGGGGAGGTCACCGGGAACTAGGTGCTTAGGTTTATCTGAACGATTATGACGAAAACAGGGAGATTCCTCATCCAAATTTAGCCCGAACATGCGTAATCCCTCCGACTTGGGCGTTTTCCGGTCTTGGCAGTCCCTCTGCGTCCAGACTGGTTCTTTCCTTCTTTTTATGCCCCCTGATTGTTTGTGTGTCTCAAGTTTAAACTCATCCTTAAAGCCTATTATACAAGATCCTTTGTTTGTTGAATCGGCGGACCCCCATTGCCTGGCCGACGATCGCCAACCCAACTCCATCTCCTCCATCGCGTGCTTCCTCTCCGCATCCATCACTCCCCCACCCCCTATTCACCCGCATTGTCATTTGGCTTTGTGGATTCAGATGCGTGATTGTTAGTGCTCTACGGTCAATGTTGACGTCTTGCCCGAAATCATGACAGTTCAGGCGAGGAGATACTCCGCGGCCTACAAGAAACCATCGCCGTACAACCACAACCACCACCCCCGGGCACAGGATGCGGACATCGAGAAACAGCCTCATGCACGCCAAAACTACCACCATCACAATGTAAGTGATGAAGACGAGGAGTCCGACAGCGGACCCGACCTGGCCTCCGCGTCCTACCCGCCCATGAGTGGCGGCGCGCGCCGCTCTCGAGCCAACGTCGGATTCCGTGTCCCCCAGCGGATAATGCGATGGCTCTGCTTCGCGCTGTTCGCAGCCCTCGTCTTGTTTATCCTCACTCTCTTCCGGTTCACCATCTCCTCCTCCGTGTCCCAAGTCGCCGTCGAATTACCAAAGGTCGTATCCAGCAAACCGCCACAATGGGAGAGTTTCGCCATGCTCAGTCGCTATGAAGGCGGCTTGTCGAGTCTCGTGGCTCGCAAGGATAACAAGCCCGAATACCCTGGAGACAACCCAGATGGATTGGCGCTGGACGAGGACCATGCGGAGAAGAAGGACGAAAACACTCTGAATACCCGAGACTCGAAACCGTCCATGTCGAGCTCGGTCTTCAATCCGTACCCCGACTATACCAACACCGACTACATCAACAAGTACGGCGAGAAGCGCGAGTGCTTCTTGGACAAGGATAACTCGATTCGCGTCCCGCGCATTCAATCCTTCCCTGGTGTTCCCAAGGGCTTCCCAGACCCCGTCATGGGCTCGAATGAGATGCTAGGAATTCGCGACGATGTCTGCTTCGACCGATTTGGTCGCCTGGGACCCTATGGTCTGGGATACGGCGTGAAGAAGGGAGGCAGCGGAGCCGGGTTGGAAGGTGACCGCGATGGAGCGGAGCGCGTCTGGGAGGATGTGCCCCCTGTGGACTTCCGCCAGGTCGACTGGGCTGACGCGCAACACCGGTGCCATGCTGCAAACCAGCATCGCTTCAAGGAGCTGCCCGAGCCGCGCATAAACAAGTTCGTTTCCATGCCCGTTGGCGTTCCCAGTGTGAACATTGAAACGCCAGAGGACACTCGAAAATATCAGCCTAAGAGTGGCTCGGAACGTCTACCTAGAACCGCGGTGGTTATTCGCACGTGGCACGACTTCGCTTACACCACGGAGGATATCCTTTACATGCGCGCTCTGATTTCAGAGCTCTCGATTATCTCCGGTGGCGAGTATACCATTCATTTCCTTGTTCACGTCAAGAACCCCGACCTCCAGATCTGGTCCGACGATGAGACCTACCAGCGCGTACTGAACGATGCTCTCCCGGAGGAGTTCCGGGGAATGGGCACCCTCTGGTCTGAGCAGCAGATGGCTCTTATGTACCCCGGTCTCGCAGAGACCTGGATGCGTGGGTTGCCGGTTCACGGTGTTTACCGCAGTACCTACATGCCCATGCAATACTTTGCCTTCCAGCATCCGGAATATGACTATTTCTGGAACTGGGAAATGGATGCCCGTTATACTGGTCACTGGTATGACCTCTTCGAGAAGGTTGCTGGTTGGGCCAAAAAGCAGCCCCGTAAGGGTCTCTGGGAGCGCAACGCTCGATTCTACGTTCCTTCGGTTCATGGATCGTGGGACGACTTCCGCCAAATGGTTCGTGTACAGACCGACATCGGCACCAACAGCCCAAACAACCTCTGGAGTGCCGCCAAGGCCGCGGCAGACAGCGAGAGGGGAGAGAAGAGTTCCTCGCACCAACAAGGCGACAAAGCTATCTGGGGTCCTGACCGGCCCGACGAGCGCGACATCTTCGAGGTTGAAGGCGAGGGCATCCCGCCAACGACCGTGGAAAAGGACCAGTACCAGTGGGGCGTTGATGAGGATGCGGACCTGATCGTTTTCAATCCTCTGTACGACCCCGAGGGCACGACCTGGATCCTCCGCGACGATGTCACCGGCTACAACACGGAACATAGCATGCCGCCCCGCCGCACCGCCATCATTACCGCGTCGCGTCTTTCCCACAAGCTTCTCACCACCATGCACCGCGAGACCAGCCTTCGACACCACAGTATGTTCTCCGAAATGTGGCCCGGTACCACCGCCTTGCACCACGGCTTCAAAGCTGTCTACGTTCCCCATGCCGTCTACATTGACCGCCGCTGGCCCACCAAGTACCTTGAGTCAGTGTTCAACGCCGGCCGCAACGGTGCCTCGGGTGGTGCACGCACCGCCATCTTCGGGGACCGGGAGCACAACTTTAAGGGCACAACCTGGTTCTACTCTGCCGGGTTTTCGCCGAACCTCTGGCGCCGCTGGCTCGGTATGCGCGTCGACAATGATGGTGGCGAACAGCAGGAACTGGCCGGCGAAGGCCGCATGTGCCTGCCCCCTATGTTGTTACATCCCGTCAAGGATGTACAAATGGTTATCGACGACGGTGAACATGCAGAAGATCGGTAAGAGAGCCTCGTCGCTCTCGATGAATTACAGAAGCTACCTACCCCAGTGCTTTAAACCTATATACCCGTCACGCCCTCGCGGCCTTGGCTCTCTTTTCCCTGTTCTGCATATTTTGGGTAGCTGGTGATCAACTGGCATGATTGCATACTTACTTTTCCTATATAATGTCTCTTCCCTCTCTCAGCAACATGTTGGTCCCACTGTTTTGCTGTGCCTGACACAACCCTCTTGTGGGACAAAAGGCGTTTTTTTTTTCTTGGGGATTTTGTTTTGGTGGACAGACCATGGCTCATGATGCATTTGTTTTGATGTTGTGATGTCTTCTACACCATCTAGTTGTTAAATTATTCTAGATTGATATCCTCGGGTAATACTACTGGCATATCGTGATATGGCTGATACATGTATTTATTTCATTCTTGACGATGTAAATATTCGTGATCATTCATTAATTCATAGACTCTTGCAAATGCGCTGATCGTAGAAGATCAAAGATGCAAATATTCAAATACTCAAATGCAGCCCTCCCACCATTGACCTATGAAACCGTAACACATTAACCCATTACTCCAGTCCCAAGCGACATCATAAACTAGGGCATAATAACAAGCGGATTTCTCAAACTCTGCACGACCTTCTCCCCCTTTGGCAACAACGTCCGCGAAACACTAGAGAAATTCTCCGAACACGACCTATGCGGTCCCAACGGCGAGCTATGCACAATCTGAGCCGGTAGAAAACAAATGCTGCAGTCATAACGACCCTCCCCATCAACCCCAAACCCAAGACAAGTCCGACAAACCTTGTGTCCACACTTGGTCAAAAGCACATCACCCTCATCACCGCCAACGACACAGGTATGACAGAAATGTGTCGGGAAGGTGACGAGCGGATCGAGCATGCGGCGCTCAATCTCGGACGCGAGTTCTTTGCCCTTTTCGACGCGCCCACGCAGGAGGTGGACTTTTGCCTTTAGGGTCGATAGGGCTGCGGCATTGTAGGGGTTTTTCTCGTCGTCGGGTCTGATATTGTTGGTTGAGGACGGAATGCGTGGCTTGGGGAGGGTTGGGATCGATTCGAGGAAGACAAATGGGAAGAAGCGGTCAGAGGCTGGTTTGTCTTTCATGCATTTGTGTTCGAGGAGCCAGCGTCGGCGGAGTTGCCGGTTTAGGAGGACCGTGAAGTAGATGGATAGCGCATGCAAGGCGCGCCAGGTGGAGATTGGGTCCAGGTCTAGAGGCTCTGGGTCGGAGGAGGTTCTTCTCGCCATTTTGATGATAGAACTGCCCAGGTGTGTGTGTGTGTGTGTGTGTGTGTGTCGGTGTAGACTTGAGGTGGAGGTTTGCAAGTCTGGCGAGTGGCGAGTGTCAAGTCCGATTACTTGACATCTGCACCACTTTTCCGATATGTGATTGATGCACTTGATGTAGCTGCAAAAGAAAAAAGAAAGAAACACTTGAGTGATATGATCGAGACAACGATGGTACCTGATCCCAGCTTATATAGCTACCTCGAGCATAACAAAAAAATCGATCGAAATGGATATAGTTTCGGCCGAACCATATATCCAAATCGCAGAGCCGAGTGGTACCAAACCTCAGTCGATCTACCCCGGAGTAGAGCTGACCAGCCGTTTTTTTTTTCCAAGACGTGGCGATTGGCCAAGGCTCTGAAGAAGGTAAAAGATTGGAGACTAATTTGGATCCAGACCGTTTTTTGACGTTGTGACAGGCCAGCCTTTTCCGTCGCGAACCTTGGTTCGGCCCATCACCACTCGGCCGGAGATGGCGGCGACCGCGACAATTTCCATTTACGGCTTTACGGCTTATTTTATGCTTAGAGAGATCCTGAATAATCGACAGGGGGGATCTCCGGAGGTTCTCGCCCAGGGCTTTGGTCAGCAATGACAATTCGTTCACTCAAGGTTCTGGGGTTGATAGGAAGTCAGAGGTGTCATGAAGTCAGTTCCCCAGCTCTAGACACGCCTACCATGATTATTTGATGACTGTAGCTCCTGCATAACCTTAATTCCTTTCATTTCGAGGTTGACCTTCCCAAATAGGACTGGTTGAGGTTTGGTTGTTTGGAACCGAGATGATTAGCTCGTCTTCAAGCAATCCTAATAGAGTAATTTCAGCCCTTTGACTATTTGAGGTTGCTTGCCAAGCCGGATTTTGACAGCGAATCGTATTGCCACCGAATGAAGTTGATTGCGTGCTTGGGTATCAATGCAGATGTCTATCTTTCATACACAGTTCGTGAACGCGGACCACATCGGTCCTCAGCGAAAATTTTGCCTTCGGTTGTCCCAGTGCCATGGGATATAGACTCCCAGGAAGCAATGGAGACTCCTTTAAAATGGAAAGTGTATTCATTTCGTTCAGATACGGTCCTCTCAGCCAAGTCAATGGCATCAGCCAGGCGTATGCTCTCAGCGTAAATCACGTATTCTCCTGCAAGATATTCTCCATCTTTCTTCTTGCGATAGAACGGTGTCAGCTTCAAACAAAAGTTGGGACCGGACTTTGTGTTTCCCTGCGGATCCACAGTCCATATCTCAATTCGCGTGGCACTGGAGGTGCCGGCTTCCGATAGACGAAATACCGATTGAGCTGCCCGTTTAGCAATGGGCCCACCCTTTACGAATGTGGGCTTCAATTGCTCTTCACAGAAATATTCCCTGTCATATTTCGGGTCTGAAGGGTAGCGAGGGTGGAACACCGCGTTTCCAAAAGTCTCTATCACGCCAGTGGCTACAGCTGACCGAGTGAATTTCCAGCTCCCGTGTAGAGCTCTGAAGATAGCTAGTGCGGCTGCTGCCTGGGCGGCGCCGTCACTGTGGTTTGAGATGGCTTGTAGACTTTTCAAGGTTTGTTGAACCTCCACATTCTCTACAGCATTCACACGATGGAGATAACGAGCAGGAACAACAGGCCCGGACCGACTGTCGCCATTGGAGAGTTCGGTGCGGGTGACCCCCAGGTCCGCGGAAAAGGATTCCATCAGCCCTACATAGTCACCCATGGGGAATTGACCGCGGTGAATCTCCGAGTCGACATGTCTCAGAACTCGGAGGTTTTCTCGCTGACCTTCGGTCTTCCAATTATCTCCGATTTGTCCGGTCCAAGCCTCGCCGAGGAATCTAGCCTGCATCTCCATGATTCCCCAGTAAGGACCGCGGTAGAAGCCAACAAATCCTAAGTCCGGTATTTCCGAGCGAAAGGTGCCACCTTTGTCTAGAATGAGTGGCAAGAACGGATCCTCAGTGGAGTATTCCAGAGTAGCCAAAACATCTGCGGGTAGGAAGGATAAGGATTCAAAGGGCGTGAATCCTGTAGCCAGCACGATAGATGACACATTCTCCAAGATCATATATTGCCCATTTGCGGTCTCGATCTTGATGGAAGCCAGTCCGGTGTCTGGTTCAGGATGCACGGATGTAGCCCGTCCCATTGTTGGCTTGATAGCTCCAGACCGAACAAATTCTGGATAGTCGTTGCCAATCGCCACCCACGGTGGTCGAAGAGTAGACTTTTGCCCAGTATTGTCACCATTCATGTGCCCAAATTTCTCGTATTCGGTACCCAGAAGGGCGTTGAAGTATTCATTAGTTCTCGCAGCTTTGTCCTCCGGAATTAGACCCAGAGCATACTCTATTGTACCCGGAGGGCGACGGCCCAGGTCATACATGGCCAGGTCCAAAGGCAAGAATGAGATGTTGTCTTTGGCCGTTTCATTTGGCAGGTAAGTGGGCAAGCTCCAAAAAGGTCGTGAGTATACGTGATACACTGCCTGCCTCACTCGATCCTGAGACCTTAGGGCGGAATTGAACATCGATGATGACTCACTGAGTGCAAGTGCAGAAGCTGCTTCAACACCCGACATACTTCCCCCAATGACAGCCACATTTCCGCGACTCGGGCTGCTGCTTCCATGTTCGACAGGCGAGCCGTTTCCCTTTTCAAGGTTTGAGCTGTGGACGACCCGTCCTGTGAACTGCCCCAGCCCGGGGATATCAGAGACACATGGGCGAGCAAAGTAACCAGATGCAACAACGAGAAAATCAAAGTCTTCAGAGAAGACTTCGTCGCTTGACAGATTTGTTTCATGCACACTGGTTGATCGCGTCATGTCAATTGACCCATGTTTCAGTAAGCCATCGAGAACATGCACTTACCTTTCTTTGACCCACGATACACTCCACCTAGACTCAGCTTCAACGTCTACAGAACGCGCGGCACTAATGACTCGCTGGCCCAATCGGAGAACTCCCTGGGGAATGTAGCGCTCGCTATATGCAGCCAGGTACCGGCCAACCTGCCTAGCCTGCGGAAACATCGGAACATCCGTATCACCCAGAGCCGACTCCCACGAGAAATCAGAAAATGATACCGTGAATCGACTGAGATTAGTCCGCATTAAGGGATCCAAAGTCCCCGGAGCGCCGGCCTTTCTCACTGGGGTGCCATGTGCCTGATTCGGCCACAGACCACCAACTTCATGACGTGTGTCAAAGATCACCGGCACAAAAGCCCCATGGGAGAAGTTGTGCAGTAGTGTTTTGGCTGTAACGAGCCCAGAGGGGCCGGCACCTGGTGATACTGTTAGCGGGGTTTGGCTCAGACAGCTCTTTCCCGGGTGGGATACTTGCCGATGATGGCGACCTTTTTAGATCGCATGATGGCTCTTATCTTCCTGTATACTGGCTGCGTACTTCTTTGCTACGAAGCGACTTTGGCTGGTAGGTAGTGGTTTGTTGATGCCGATGGTCGTTCGGTAGTCATAGGTTAGGTCGCCCCCACAGCGGGGAAACACTTCACGCTTCCGATTTAAAAAAAAAACATCTTCAGCTTGCCTTGCCGCTTCACAAGGTTGGAAAGGTCTGAGGTATTTTCTTGCAGGTGGTTTGATTTGACTTTCAGGAGATATAGATCATGTGGGTTCTGGAAGGGTCGAATTCTTTAGTCTGAAAGTCTGAAAGATTCGGGTGGCTCGGCATGGAAGGCACTTTGCACAAGGACCAAATAGCCCATGTTGCGCCACAATATCGACGGGGAACTTTTTATCGTATCATCGTCTGTTGGCTGATTTCGGAATACTCAATTGGGATAGAAGGTTTACATGGCGGTTGGAGATCGTCCTATCCCAAAGAGAAGATAAGCGGTCACTTTCCATAGGGCATGACAACTTGGCGAATGACCCGTGGACACGAGGGCCAATATCCTCCAGGTATCATTGCTCAGAAGTAACCCATATAAGTTGATTCAAGTTTTGAACTCAGATGTACAGTAGTATTTCGCGGAGCAAATAATTAAGAATTAGATTTGTGCTTAGCGAGGACTGTCTACCTCGAGATGTGTCGGGTTCGAATTCCTGTGGTCATACTAGTATCCCCAGGCTAGAAGCCACCGAACCCTCTCTACGCTGCCACGGGGCTCGCATACAGAGTGTGGTAGGAATGAGAATAGCTTGCCAAGACCCCGTTATCTTAGCGCTGCCAAGATCTGTACCCACCGCGATCTATATTGGAATGAGCTCTCGCGCAAATCATGTAAGGATCGTTTGTTATGTCTCACCTGAATACCAGCGAGTGTCGTTTTCTTCGCACCGCAAGGGAATGGGACCGTCTCGACATTGGCCAGTGCGCCTCGCGCCATGACGTTAATGCCAAGGAAACTAGGGCGCGAAGTCAATGATGATTCCACGAAAGTACCGGGCCAAGCCAAACAGCCTTTCGGCCCCCGTGGTACAGACACCTTGGATTGACTTTCTTGGATGGAGTCGCCGATCGCGTGCGGGGTCAAGGATCGAGAGGGATTCGAGAAAACGCCTAGTCGAACTCTGGCGGACTAGGGTCGATAGGTGAATGCAGGTCGCCCGTTCAAGAAACACGTTCAAGCCATTTGACGACTTGAAGCTCTGGTGAATGTAAATTGTTGGGTCGACAGGCCTCTTTGATTTGTTGGTCGGTAACGAAGTTGTCCACGTTTCGATGGGTTAAGGGGATTTTGTATTGGTTCTTTTTTCGTAGTTCCTCTTTCTCAGCCAGAGCAGATGGTGATAGCTTAGAAAGGGTGTCCCGGAGTCGTCGAATTCCACCGTTTGGAAAAGAGTGATGCACCCGAGGGGGCCCGAATGGGTTGTCGTTTTTCCATGGCTCTGACGCGATGGAGTGAGTAGTCTTGGGTGGGAAGCGTAGCTTGGTCATGGTGCACGAGTCGCCCTTCGGGTATCTCTCAATGTCTTGAAGTCCGGGTGATGATCGGGAGGCATGCAGGCTATATAGAGCAGAGGAATGAGCCTTGGGGCTCTGGGACTTTTCTCGCAAATGACTGCGCGGGACGCGCGGGGGATCCGCAGTCTGATTGGGCACCGGTGTACCACCCCGGTGATTTTAAGATGCAGTAGTGACTGCGCCAGTGCCTTCACGGGACAGGTAATGGAGCCCGTGCGATGATCGTAGAGAACTCCTAATCACAGGATTGTCGCATGTGGTCGAAGAAACTTCGTTTAATCTTCTACGGTCAGTCCCAAGGTCTAAAGTCCGTGACGTCATCTCGGCACTGCGATGCCGATCAGACTGTAATTATTGTTCGACCCATGCTTAGGCGTGCTTAGGCCTGTACCTGAATGCAATATGAGGTGTCTTGGAGATCTTTCTACCGATTTAGAGTGTCGGTCAAAGGAATGTGGTGTCGGCCACGCGAGTTGTTGCCTGAAATGTGCAACCTATTCCCCGTTGATCTCATCTTGGTCACACAAAGGCATCTCGTATTTTCCATTACATCTAGAAAAGGGTAAATTAACATTGACGGGAACCAAGCCCTTATCCTAAATAGGTAGTCGGCTAATTCTCCGCGCTGATGTTTTCCCGATATCGTCATAGGGCCTTTGTCTTCATCGTGAACTTGACCAAATCGGCCCAATAAATGAGCCTAATAAGTAAATCTGAAACTAGGATGCTCATCCCCGAGATTTTCCAGTTCCTCTCGGGGTAACTCATACCGATGATCCCTTTTACCCTCGTCTCGTTGTCGATTCTCCCGATAAAGCCAAGCGAAAAAGACCAGACAAGACACTCCACAGATCCACACCATGCCCAGACTGACTCCAAAGCCCGTGGGGTATGAAGGCGCCTCCGAATCAAAGAAAATATTGCTCGCCACGAGTCCCCCGCAATTTCCAAACCCGATCTGCATGGCAGACGCAATTGATTGCTTATAGTGTCCGGCCATATTATTGCTCAGCCAACCCATGAGAATAGGCTGCGTCATGTACCCGCCACCGGTGATCGCATACAGAGCAAAATATCGCGCACCAACAGGCACCGAACCTTGACAGATCAAAATGATATAACCGATCGTGGCAATTACACACCCTATAAGCGTAAAGGCGAAGCGATGGCGTAGTCTGTCGCTGGCGTATGCCGTCACGAGTGAAATAACAGTTGCAACGATATAGATTGGGATGCTCATCACTTGTGCTCGTATTGAGGTCCATCCCAGCTGATGCAGGATTGTGGGTGTGAAAAAGGACGATGCGTAGCCGGTATTAACGATGCCAAAGTACATGAGAGGGCTGCATCATCGTCAGTGAACCATTGAAAGGAATGATTTGTGATTTGAACATACCCAAGATAAAGCTTGATGTCGCTGAACACTCGCTTCCGAGCTGGTCCATCCAGTCGGTCCATCCTGGCTTCACCACGGTCATCCGAAAGGCGACGGAGAAGTAAAGCTCGCTCTTGGTCATTAAGAAAGGTAGATTTCTCCGGCCAATCCACAATCAAGAACTTCGAGATGACTGCCATCACAACAGTAGCGAGACCTTCAAGTATAAAGATCCAGCGCCATCCACTGTATCCTTGAATTCCGTCCATCTGGGCAATTCCATATGCGAGTAACTATCCAGTCAAACCGGTGTTTTCAATAGCCTGAAGATGGAAGAATACATACCCCGCTGACGGCGCCGGCCAAAATACTGGCACTGAAGAAGACGTTCAGTCGCCACTGTAGCTCATAGCGCTTGTAGTACATCGCAATTAGATAAATACACCCTACTCGTGTAAGCGCGTGACAAAGAGTCTTGGTGAGTGCACTTACCTGGCATGAAACCGGCTTCAAAAACACCCAGTAAAAAGCGGCATGCTATCAATCCGCCAAAACTTTTTGTCAGACCCATACATGTTGTGACGATACCTGGTGAAACAGGATTAGCAACCCTCCTTCACAGAGATGCAACAAAGAGGTACAAACCCCAACAGAACATGATACCACTGAGCCACCATGACGGCGCAAACTTTCTCAAAATGAGGTTACATGGCACCTCCAAGAGGATGTATGGTATGAAGAAAATAAATAACGCAATATTGTAGTCATGTCCCTTCATATTCAGGTCATCCTCCAGTCCTTGAAGCCGCGCATTTCCAATATTGATTCGATCCAGGAAGGCCAGAAGGAAGAGAAGCCCTAGGATTGGGACGACGTGGATGTCGAGCTTCCATAAGAGTTGCTTTTCTAGGGCGCGGTCGATCTCCGGTGTTGAGAGCTCAGCTTTGAGACATTCAATTGTCTCTTGCTCGATGTCTTTCTCGGGGTTTTCCATTTTGGCGACTCTCGAAATACGAAGACCGATTGTCTTCGGATAATGAGAGAGATTAGACCTAAGGAGATCGTCTACAGGAGAAGGTGGGGACCAAGTGGTTAAATACAAATTTCACATCCACTCCGGTTCTTCTGTAAGACCGTGCTGACATGCCAAGTGGTGAGTGTCGGTGATGTATTCCCCGCACATCATATTCCGCTCTATTTCAAGTTTCTACGCCGAGGATCTCTTGGTTCCGCATTCGAGATGCCAAACAAAATCGCGGCATCTCGGTTACTATGGACGATAAAATCCAATCCTCGAAGTATTAATTTCGATGGACTTCATGTTCAAGATGTGTTGACTGTTCTGATGATAGCTGTCTGCAACTGTCAAGCATTACGGTGATACTGAGATCATCTAGAGAGATGGTGGGGCTGCATCTGATACTTCTTTCATAGCGGAACATCCATTCCGCTTGAATCCACGAAAGAGTTTGCGGGGTAGACCTATCTACAAGACATCAATTACAAGGATCTAGATCATAAGTTCACTTCTTTGGCCCAAATAATTTGAGTACCGGTAATTACCCGGAATGACCCCGCTTCCCCAGACGATCTGCATTCCTTTGCCGAGAATGTATGTCCTCCCCGGTCATCTACAAAGAGCCGAAGAGCGTAATCCATTTTTAGACAAACGGAATGTTTGAAACTTGCACTGGAATATCATTTGCGGTGGATTAAGGCCCTTCGATGGTTGGTGATATATATTTTGATCCTGTTGATGGCTGCTTCATTATGCGCGCATTGAAACAATAACAGCAATGAACCCTTTTGATAGAAGATGTAGGGCCTCAGATATCTACTTGGGATTTATTCTGCTATAATGTGATAATGGAAGTGAGAATAACTATCCGCCTGACTAGATATAACAAATGCTTCGACTTTGATTTCAGCCTCGACTGATATAGGGAGTAAAGAGCCCACATTATTTCTTATGCCAGCTCCAGAGGAAACCCCTGTTCGCCCTCAGTAATATCTCCGTAGACTGTATCCCGACGAAGTGGGAGTGGACTAGGTGTCTCCTAAGCATTCTCCGAGCTTTGTAATAAAAGATGTAGTAAATGGCGTCTATAACGACTAGCAAGTAGTCTCCGAAAGGGAACTCAGGAGAGCAAACTCTTTCCCGGGTCCATTTTTGAATCAATTCCGAGCATGGAAGATATTGAGTTTTTCACGTATTGAGCATCGCCTTTCTGGAAGTCCAACGGGGCACTGTATCTTTCAGCAAGGAAATGCAGTGCGTCGAGCGCTTCGGTTTGTGCCTCGGTGATTGATGGAAGGCCGGTAGACCTAGAATCCTGCGAAATAGCATCTGGCATATCGGATAAGGACACTCTCAGGCTTGCTTGCAGTAGCTGGCTGGCGGGTGAAAAGCGGACGAAGGGTGTATGGCTGTTTGGGATTGTTGAATCTGCATGCTATTAGTTCTGAGGCTAAAAGTTCGTCTGAGAGAATCTTGCCCGTCGACCAGCCGGTTCTGTGAAAGAGTGTAGATTAAGTCAGGCCACTCTTTCGCGAGAACATTGTGCAAATTCCAATTGTTAGACATATAAATTTCACCACCCTCTGTGGCAGGGCTCAGACATAGTACGGAGTGAAATCTCCGGCGTCTGTATGGAAGACCTGTTTATCGGCGGAGTTTGAGGGCGCTCCGATTCCTCCTCCGTTGACTGTGCTAGCGATGTCTTTGATGTGTGAAGTCATCGGAGGATTTCCATTATGAATTCTCGTGTCTTGCTGTCAGCCACAGATACTGCCGACTCGGGATGAGACACCATTGTAGATGATTATGTTGTCTTTCCGGGAGTAGTCGTCGATACGAAGAACCCTCGGTCATTGTGCATATTCTTTGAGAGACCCCTCAGAAAAGTTTAAAGCTTAGGCAGAGGAAATGTCGATTGATTAATAACCCCGAAAGATTGTTTCAGTGCTACGTTCATTAGCATGAAAAATAGACCACTAACTCTCCCAACCGGCAATTGAAGCTCTTCAAAACAGTATAGATCTCATCAAGCTGAGTATCGTTTAATCCGTACGCTCAGAAACCTTAGCTCTCAATCTCTTTTCTCCCCCACACAAGTGGGGAAACCAGCTGGGCCGGAAATTCCGCCGGCAACCTCATCTGAAGGGTCTCGGTGTCCTTTCGACGGCGAGTACGGTGTTGATACTTAGCAAACTCAGGATGATATTGGATATCCAGCTGAAATCGAGTGGGTGATGGTCTGAAATGTCGACATGGACAAAAGCTGTGCTTAGTGCGTTAAGATGTCGAGGTAAGGCGACCGGACGAAAGACGGTACTTTGATATCTACATTATTCCTCTGCGCAACTACTGCATGCTTCATTGTTATGGCTCACGTCGTCGACCTGGATGATCACGCCTCATCGCATCCTTCTTGTACGCTGGTCAGCCATTAACGGGAGAGCGACTATTTGGAATTCTTCAGGACATTAGCCCCACCCACTCAACCATTGGAGTCGCATGGCTCCACACAGCACGTTGCAACGGCTGTTGCGAAAGGGGTCAACGCGTCCATAACGTTGAGTCATGCGTGGCCAAGTTCCTGAAGAGAGATACGTGTTGTTATCATAGGTACCGGCGACCGCTCTAAAACCGTTGTCTCAGGTGGGCTAGATATCGAGCTGCATAAGCGATCGGGACTTACTTTTCCTATTTGGGAAACGCGACGCACGTTCTCAACGCTCAGAAAAGTTACACCATCAAAAACACCACTAAACGAGACCGTTTGAAACCAAGCCAAGACGTATAATCGGCTCCCATATTTGGGTGTCGGTTTCAATGTGTCGGTTTCAATGTTCTCCGAAAAATTGCCCACATGTCTCGTCGCTAAAATGTACCAGCAGGGCTCTGGCTCAATATATTTAATTCCGGCGGAGATGCCGGTGTGGCGTCACAACACTCAATGTAGCTTTCCACCTCGGCTGCGCTAGCTATCGAGTCATGCAAAGTGTTTCAGAACGGTGGACAATGTCACTGTCTAAAGGATCGTACGAAGTGCTGATTACCGAGGGAGTGGACGTTCGCCAGCCACCGTTTGCTGTCAACGCATGCAACGGCATTCTCTATCCACCAGCGCACGCACTCAGTATAGACTGGAGCTACGGAGGACCCGGGAACCGTTCGCGGGTCGGGTTCATACACCACCATCGAAGGTAAGGTGAGGTACGTGCTCTGCTGGCGTTCCTGTTTCACTAAAGAGCGTGAGACCTGTTCGTGGCGTGCCATTCCACGTTCGCCCCTTAGAAAAGGTCTCTATTATTGGGCACTCATTATCTAGCCTAGATGCATGGGGTGAGCATAATAGTCACATGTGCAGGGGCCGAGGAGACGAAAATGCAGGGGTCAACACGTCCATGAACTGGTTTGCGGAAGTTATTCAAGACCGACTATTGAATAGCTTTTAGACATACAGTATTGCTACCGGAGTGGTCAGTTCATTCAGGGGCAGAGTCAGATTCTCCGGCTCATGCAACTCATTTGTGCGGAGCAAAGGTTAAGGTGTAAACAAAGACCGGGGGTACGCTGGCAGTACCTTGGTAACACATTAGCGCGTTCGCCCTTCGACCGAGATCAAATCATAATCTCCCGAGGTCTACGCCACATCCTCGAGCACGAGGGAGAACTGTCGGAGCCAAGTTAGCAGAAACTGGACTCCGTACCCATTGATTGAAAAGGTTGGAAGGAATCAGTGTCTTTTTCTGTGTGAACTCACTTTTGAGATTGAGGTAGGTTCAATAGGCCTGTTTGACTATTGAAATCCTGGACAAGCAAGTGATGGCGACTAGTTTCCCGCGATGACTCCCAGGGGAGCTTCTGCAAAGGGCATCTTCACCCAGCTATGACGGAGTTCGTCCGTTCGGAACAGCCAACGTTTCGCGGTTCTTCACCGGGCAAGTGGTGTGAGCGAATAGTGCCCTGTTCGCCGACGATCACCGGATTACAAGACACTGGACTAGGTCTGTAGGATTATGATCTATTGACGGGAATACGCGGCACGAGCCATGGGCTTGAGCAGGGTGGTCTATTCGCGGGCGCACTTACCGCGTTTCCACTAGACCCCGACCGGAAATATCAGATGTGATGTGGTTCGGAGTCTTCATAATGCTTTCCAATGGCAGGGTGTGACGAAAAGTACTATCAGATAGGATAGGCTGGCGTGGAGAGACGGAAGTTTAAGAATCAATAGTTTGAAAGAGATCGACCCGGGACTAGGGTTGGAAGGCAAGCTGCAAGCTGTACCTGGGGGAGATGACATCGGGACGGGCTATGAGGACTCCAAAAACATGGCAAGTGGGGGACATCAGGTACCCAGCAGACTTTTTTTGAATCGATAGTGCCGAATCGAGATCACACTCGATCTCGGCCTTGAGAGGTCGATGAGATGAGAATAATCAGCTCGGGTCAAATCTTTGCCCAAATGGGGGCGGAATCGACCCACCCACGACCACCCAGGACCACCCAGGACCACCTAGGACCACCTAGGACCACACAGTGGACGAACAGAGGAATCACAGTGGAATCACCGTGGACTCCCAGTGGAGCCCCACCAGGCTACCAGGATCGAGTCTTCTTACCTTGCCGGTGATGATCTACAGGGGCATCCATGGAAAGCGCCGTCGGCAGCCCAGTGGAAAGCGCAGCTAAACCAGATTAAGGTATTTGATTTCTTGAACCGGGCTCCATCGTGCCCTATCCAGCCCCGGCCTGCTGGCCCCCGATCTCTCGCGCTGTTGCTAATAAAGCCCAGGGCCCCGGACCCGACAACCTGGTCTTCTGATGCTATCCAACTACTATACACTCTTTTTAGTCCCTCTTTATATCCTCATCAATCATGGGATCTGAGCTCGGTCTTACCGCCGACTCAAAGTCGGAGCTGGATACCTCAGCTGTGAGTATCTTTTGGGTGGCTTTCGGTTGCATCTGGACCGCCATTATCGTGGCCGGTGCGAGTTATCTCATCGTCAACCGCAACACCCCGACGATCCGGATCCGTGGTCTCTGGCTATCGCTCTCTGCCGTCGCATTTCTTCATCTCTATGCCTGGAGTGTCCAATTCGGTCTTTTGATTGGTGCCCTCATGCCCGGAGATATCGAATTCTGGATCATGGGTACCTATCTACCTTGCGGAATTGCTTTGTTCCACGCTTCCAACAGTCGCTTCCTTCACGTCGCCAAGCTTCAGAAGAAGTTTATTCACCACGATGGCCATAATGTCGCCGTCCCGCCGGTCCAGGCCAAGCGTGGCCTGCTCGCCAAGTTCCGCCGTCTCGACTATACCGCCAAGACCGTGTGGCTCGTCAGCATCGCCATGGTCGTTCAGATCTTCCTCACCGTTCTGATGTACCTGATTTCTCGCAAGTGGCACAGTTCCTGGGGGATTCCGGGCACGGAGGTCACCGGTACTATTATGGAGCAGAGAGCCGAGCAGGGTCGAGGCTGGGAGTGGTGGCCTAGTGTGGCCTGGCAGTTCTTTTGGTCTTGGGTCTTCGCCCCCTACATTCTCTGGCAGTCTCGTAACATCCACGACACCCAGGGTTGGCGTACCCAGACCATTGGCTGCGCTATTGTCATGCTCCCCGCCACCCCCATGTGGCTTATTGGTCTCTACGTTGATGGTATGGCTCCTGTCAACGCTGTCTGGCTGCCTCCTCAGTGGATCGTCCTTTCGATCTTCTTCATCGAAATCTTCACCGTTCTCCTTCCCTGCTGGGAGGTGTTGCGCGCCAGCACTCTCCGCCAGGAGACCCTCGATGCCATCGCTCAGTGGGAGCGCAGGAACAAGGTCGCTCCCCCTCGAGTCCAAGTCTATGGCCTCCGGCTCTACCTTCATCGGATCTATCATGTCTGGCTGGAAGTCAATGAACGGCTCTGTCAAGACCAACAGTTCCAGCGACAGTATCCTCACCATGAGTGCCTTGGAGCACGTCCTCGAGCGCAACCCTATCCCACTTCTGGAATTCTCTGCTCTCCGCGAATTCTCCGGTGAGAACATTGCCTTCCTCATCAGCATTGCGCAATGGAAGAGCAGCATCCCCGCCGCTGTTCGGGACGGCTCTGTTGACGGCAACACCAAGGATAGCGTTCGCGATTGCTTCAACAATGCCCTGCACATCTATGCCGAGTTCATCAGTGTCCGTCACGCCGAGTTCCCCGTCAACATCTCCCACCAAGACCTCCGTAAGCTCGAGAACATCTTTGAGAAGCCTACGCGCATCCTGTACGGTGAGAAGCGTGACTCCGACGTAATCACTCCCTTCGAGGGAGCCGACTACAACATGGAGCCTGCTTCCCCCACCTACTCCTCAGGATCTGAGAAGGCCATGAACGTCTCGGCCTCTGCCATCAAGGAGCGCGTCCACTACTGGGGTGAGATCCCCGCGGACTTCGGTGCCGCCGTCTTCGATGAGTCAGAAGAGAGCATCAAGTACCTCGTCCTCACCAACACATGGCCCAAGTTCATCAGGAACCACCGGACCTCCATCGGCTCGGTCGAGACTCTCGAGGCTGGCAACGGCATCGTCGAGATGGCTGACCTCCACAACGAGAAATGAGCATGGCCTACGAAGTAGCCGTGTCCGGCAGCGATGTGTTTTACCGTCTATTAGCGTTGAATTATTTTCACCTTCTTTGTATATACCTTTGCACCCAGAACTGCGACTCCAGTTCCTTTCACCCCACGATACCAGATGTTCATACTAATCGATTACGATCGCTTCTTACAAGACTTTTGAGTTTCTCAAATCACTACTTTCCTTCTTCATGTGTACCATTCTGCAATTCATGTCTACAATATACTTTCACTTATATTTGCTACCATTCTTGAAAAAAAAAATGAAAAAAATGAAATCCACCTAGTGGTTAATCGATGTTCGCGGATTAAAAGTCTCAAAATTCAGCAAAATAACCTCATCTCTAGTTCACACTTTGTGATTAATTATTAGGTACTTTTGAACCGTGAACAGGAGGGAAGCGGCCTACCACACGGGAGTAATCGATGGTATCACCCGGATCAAGGTAAGTACCTTCATTGAGAATGGCCGGGGTATAAGACGATCGTGCCATCGGGCACAAGGCAGGAGTCACGTCTCACCAAGCGCGTTCAAGCCTTCGACTCCAAAATTCTAATACTCCCTTTGTCTAGATTGAAAGCGCAAGTTCATTAGATTGAGCGTTTCAAACGCTCAAGCGTCTTCTCTCCATCTAACGAAGATCGCACGGAGTAATCGAGCCTACGTAGGAGAACTTTCGTGTCACTTATCCGCAAGGCTACGTTCTATGCATCTAATATCTAGGGAATTGCCCCAATAAACGCATCATTTGCTTTAAAGCGGGGGGTCGATGGCGGCACGGGCATTCTCCACATAGTCAACGCAGGATAAGAAGCGACCTAAGTACAGCGTCGCAATATTGTACCGCGCATGACATGTTGGTGCTCACGGGCGCTGTGGGGATTGATTCGCTTCTATCGGCCGTTTTAAACACATCGCTTTTTTTTCGCCTATTAAAAGGCGCTCAAATAGACGGTCGACCAGGAGTGGCGTTAGGCTCTGGCTTTCCAGTGTGGGCCAACACGGCCCGCTTGCGATACCCGCGCCAGGACCAATGAATCGGCATAGAAAGGGCGAAGAGAGTTTCTGTCGGGGTTTCGGGGCTGATACTATCCAGGCTAGTGCATGGAAATTTAATGCTTTGCGATCTTGGCCCCTCGTCTGCCACTATCTTTTCTTCATCTTCTTCATCCCTTGCTGAGCCCCCGCAGTGACTCCCCATGGAAGCCTCTGTCAAGAGTCCAAGGCCGCAGGCCGTGGACATGGACATCCCGCCCGTGGACCAAGGTAGCCATGCAAGCCATAGGCCGGGTACGGTGAAGGATAATCGTGACATGCAGCGAATGGGAAAGGTTCAGGAGTTCAAGGTGAGTATTCTCGGAGACCCTCGTTTTCATATCTCACATCCCCGATTAGAGAAACATGCGACCTATAGCGGCACTTAGTTTTGCTTCTGTCTTGCAAGCAACATGGGAGTATATTTTGATGTGAGTGAATTGAGTGTGCTGGAGTTTCCATTTCGCCACAACCTCTAATATGTTACTTGGGTTCAGTTCAAACTACGAGGGACTCGAGAATGGAGGACTGCCTGGCATGTTCTGGGGTTACATTTGGACCTTCATTGGATTCGGCTTCATCATCGCCTCGATCTCCGAAATGTCATCGATGGCGCCAACCTCTGGCGGGCAATATCATTGGGTGTCTGAGTTTTCCTCGCCTCGATACCAAAAGTTCCTTAGCTACATTACTGGTATCTCACGCACCCCCCGAGGTCTTGGAAGGAAAGGTCAATCACTAAATTTGCCGTCTGTGCAGGCTGGATGTCAGTTTTGGCCTGGCAAGCCGGGACAGCTTCTGGCTCCTATCTAACAGGAACCATCATCCAAGGACTGATCAGTGTTCGAAACCCAGACTATGAACCCCAAAATTGGCAAGGTACTCTACTGGTCTTTGCGATGGTTCTGGTGATCTACATCTTCAATGTCTACGCGTCTGACTCGATGGAGATCCTCAGTAACCTATTGATGATGCTTCACATTACATCCTGGGCGGTCATTTTAATCGTTCTTTGGGCTCTGGCCCCTCACCAATCTGCAGAGGCTGTGTTTGTTACACAATGGAAGAACTTCGGGGGCTGGTCTACCATGGGATTGAGCGTAATGATTGGCCAAATCTCTGCCATATATGGCTGTTTGAGTTCGTGTGCAACTTTCCTGATTGTTGAAAGATGCTAACCAGAAATACAGGCTCCGACGCGGCTGCACACATGTCCGAAGAAGTCAAGGATGCCGGCCGAAGCGTAGCTGTCGCCATCTTCTGGGGCTATCTTTTGAATGGCATCATGGCAGCTATCCTGCTAATTACTTATCTCTTTGCTACTCCATCCGTGGAAGACTCGCTAAACGACATCACTGGGTTCCCCTTCCTCTATGTCTTCAAACAGGCCACTTCAACAGCCGGCGTGAATGGGCTCACGGCGATCGTCCTACTGCCAGTCATATTCAGCAATGTTTTATTTAATGCCGCAACATCTCGTCAGACATTCGCCTTTGCCCGTGATAACGGTCTCCCATTCTCTCGATGGATAGGGAAGATCGACAAAAAACGGCAGATTCCGGTAAATGCCATTGCTCTTTCCTGTATAATCAGCTGTGCGCTTTCACTCATCAATATCGGGTCCGAGACTGCGTTCAATGCTATAATCTCGCTCAATGTGGCTGCACTGATGTACACTTACATTATCTCCATCGGGTGTGTTATTTACCGAAAGATCTGGCATCCTGAAACCCTTCCGCCCCGTCGTTGGGATATGGGACGATGGGGTTTGGCTGTCAACATCATCGGCCTTTTATACTGCTGTTTCGCACTGTTTTGGTCACTGTGGCCCAGCGATCTTCCAGTGACTCTGGAAAACTTCAACTGGAGTGTAGTCATCTTTGGAGGAGTTTTCATCATCAGCCTTGTAATGTATTTGATCAAGGGACGGAAAGAGTATTCTGGTCCGGCTGCGATTGTACAAAGATGATTGTTCGGTGGCCCGCGATATCACCAGATAGAGAATATATCAATAGAGCCCTGACTGCAAAAGGCACTTGTCAGAAAGCCCAAAATGATAGCACGTGCAAAGCTTTTGCAAGATGTAGCTTCGTGTAGGCTACCATCAACATGCCACGATGATGGACTGTGTCCATATCTCGGTTTCCGGGGTTCTGTCAAGCTGTCGATCGCACTCTACATTATACGTGAATGGTAGCTTGGTTTAGGACGAACCGGCGGTGACTATGATATCCAGTTCATATTACCCTGCCCGGCGCGTACATGCGTGAACTTGGCCTAAATTACGCGAAATAATCATCCTACTTCATATGTGGCTAGTATAAAAGCCAAGCACGCTCGATGCGCCTGTTTCAATTAGGAAGCCTAGCATCTGTCTCGTGGATATTAACCGAATGTCCACCTTCGGAACAGCAAAATAGGTTTGAATCAACCGATAAGAGATCGACGTCGCAATCAGCGGAACTCGCTGCGAGTCTCGACGTTCTCAACAGTGACGGAATCAGGCTTTTCTTGTGTCTCGTGAGTAACTTGAATTCCCTTCTGCTGTGCAAGAACCTCTTCGCCTTGCACAACGTGGTTGGCGCCACCGAACAGAGCATCAATCTCCTCGAGCGGAACCTGCTTAGTCTCCGGAATGAAGAAGAAGACGAACAGTGCCAACAAGAAGTTGATTCCGGCAAACATATAGAATGCGTAGAAGCCGTCGTTGTCGAGGAAAATAGGGAAGAATTGCTGGAAGATGGTGTTGGCGACGTTTTCTGGAACTTGGTCAGCATTGCGCGATGGAAATGTTTGGGATATGGGCACGAACGCGTTTGCGAGGCCATTCCGACTGCTTGCGCTCTCACATTCATGGAAAAGACCTCAGAGGTCCAAATCCAGACAGTTGCGCCCCATGATGGTTTGTCTATGTGGCTGTTAGTAACCATGTGGACTCATAATTTTGGCAGGAGAAGCTCACAGAAGAAGATGAATAGGAATAGAAGGAATACAATCGATATGCCAACCGGTGTTGATTTCGCTCCGTTGGCCAAATTTGGCGTTTCAGTTTCGACAGCGGAGACAATGATCATGCAAATACCCATTCCGATACCACCGGCAATCAGGAGGAATTTTCTTCCAAATCGATCGATAATCCAGACAGCGTTGAGGGTGAAGAGGATACCGAAAGTAGCATTGAGGGCGTTGATCAAGGCAATCTGGCTGTCGCTGGTGAACACTTTTTGGTAGATCTTGGTGGAGTACGAGTTAAGTGAGCCTTGTCCAGTAAGTTGCTGGCCAGCATTGATGACGAGTGCGAGGAGCATGCGTTTGCGGAGAGACTTGTCCTTCCACAGAGCGCTATAGTTGCCAGAGATGGCCTCTTTTTCGTACTCAATGGCCTCGCGGATCTGAAGAATTTCGTCCTCTACCCCCTCATCGGTGTCTCGAACTCTTCTCAGAGCGGACCGTGCCTTCTCGATGTTGTTTCCACGTTTGATGAACCTGGAGGCGGTTAGCTTCGTCTTCAAAATACGGTTGACGGTTCTTGAAAAGGGCTACTTACCAACGAGGGCTACCAGGCATGGTCGGGAGAAGCGCAAGAATCAAAATAGGGACCAAGAGCTGGAAAATGACGACCAGCTTCCAATCCCACTCACCCAGCTTCTCAACGTTCTTTGTGCAGGCATAGTTGATCCAGAAGCAGATGAATGACCCGACAGAGTAGAACATCTGCCAGAAGGTCATAATTTTTCCTCTGATCTCCGGCGGAGACAGCTCGCCAATGTAAATTGGTCCAGCGGCTAGTGAAAGATCCATGTTAGTCGTCAAGTCATGACGAGATAGATTTATAAACTGGCTAGACTTACTCAAGGCAATTCCCTGGCCAATACCGATGATACATCTGCCTGCCAGGAAACAAGCAAGACTATGGCGAGGAGCAAAAGTCTGCATAAATGTAGCAGCGATAACCAGGACACAGCCAGTGGCCATTCCAACTTTGCGACCAAAGTAGTCGGCCACCGGCCCTCCAACGAAGAACCCGCCAAAGATGGCGCCAACAGTGTACGCAGTATTGATTGAGCCGATTGTCGCTGCGTTCGGATTATTGAAATAGGCTAACCAGTTTTTTGAACCCTGAACCGAGTTGAAAACAGATGCATCGTAGCCGTAAAGCACCATGCATGCTGCTGCCACCATCGAGATGAACCTTGATCATGTCAGTCAGGTTTCTTGAAATAATCCCGCAATACTCCTTACCAATTGTAGGCCCGCTTGGGGCTCATGCCGAGCACCATTTTGACAGCAGGGATAGAGAACAGATGTTGGGAGCGGAAATTGCAGTGAATAGAGATGGATGAATCACTCTCCGCTCAAGAAAGGTCAATGCTTAGATGGTCGTCGAAAGACCCGCCTTAGGACAGCCCTGTGAAGAGACAGGAAGAGAAACAGCCCACAATTTTCCGGGGCAGAAGGAGAACAAGCGGAGTACCCCAGATATATAAGGGCCCGCCAGGCATGTCTGGGGGACCGGGGCAGCTCCAATCAGACCATGCTCGAGGACGACCCGGGGAAACGCCAAGCAAGCTTGCATGCTGATAACGACAGCCCTGTCAGTTGCGGATCTCTAAGTGGTGGTATTCGGAAAGTTCCACACATAACAAGAGGAAGCATGCGCCTTGCTGGCCGCTGATTCGCTTCTAGCCCTCGCGGGCACATGGCTGAGACCTGGGGTAGCTTTGATCTGGGGTTCGAGGGATATTTTGTCCGGAGGAATCTAGTCTGGATATCCACGAATCAACGGCACGCCCAATCGGGGACTGGGAGAAAGTTGACTCCACCAATCGCGGGAACGAGCCGATCATTTAGACATGAGTCGCCCCAGATTAGAAGTGTGGATGTCGTTCGGGCGATGTGAAGCGAGACCCTAAGTTTTTATTCTATTCTATTTTATTTTTGAAAGAGGATGAAATTCCCGGATGCATGTATCATGGGACGTGAGTGCTTTGGTCTCGACCATCTATCAGGAGACGTAAATTAAGTAGAAGGATGAGATAATAGGTCCACATTTAGCCAGAAGACCATCCTGCACGTCACGTGCATTGTCTACCCCCCCAATCGTACAGTCATCGCGATCCTAGGCTCACCCCTTGTGCCTCGGTTGGTACCTAACTCCATTCAGACCAATGGCCATGGTCGGACAGCAAGACCAAAAGGCTTCCTCTGCCTGTTCACCATGCAAGATCGGCAAAAGACACTGCGACAAGTCACTGCCCTCCTGCTCCAGATGTAAAAGGTGGGTGGCGTTGGGTAATCTAATAAGACAAGTACTGATCAACCGGCCCACGATTCAGAACAAGCCGAGTATGCGAGTATCCGTATATAGAATCAACCGCTTCACAGCCTCGCGAAGTTACAACGCTTTACGGAGGGCTGCAAGCTTCCGTTGTACCGGTTAGAGCCTCAACCCAAGCTTGCATGAGGTGCAGGTACGATGCTTATTAGCCAAGACAAGAAACCCAACTTTTGACTTTCCAGGCTCCACAAACGCAAATGTGATCGGCTTAAGCCTTGCTGCTCTCGTTGTGTCCGGTACGTTGCCCTCTTCCCTGGTACTAACCAGACAAAAGCCGATCTTCTGGGATCCGTTTTTTTAAATATTTCCCAGTGTAGAGAGACTAATTGTCTCTCGGTGTAGGGTGCGCTCGGATTGTGAATATGGGACTGCCAATGACGAGTTGCTCTCCATATTGCCAAACACTCCAGGGGCAGGCTCACACCTAGAGACTTCACCCTTGGACTTGGACTTGAGCTCTTTATTGGAGCCTGAGGCTTCATTGAATCCCCCTGTAAAATATCGCCCTTATATGCCAGTTTTGCTAGACTTTTGTAAGTCGCTCGGTCGCTTGCCTCGATTTATCTCAAAGGGCATCCTGGTGGGGTTAGGAATGCCCTTTCCCCTTCCCTTCGACACTAAGTTTTTTTTGGAAAAAAAAAAGCCGAGAGAACTAACTATACCTATGGGTGGGATAGTCTTGACCTCGATGGCCTTACCTTCTCATGTCGCCGCCAAAAACAGTTTGGCCTCGCACCTCCACTCTACATGGATTCAAGTTGCGATGTTGGACCCTTGTCTCTTTCACGCCACCATGTTTAGTGCATCGGCGACTATGGATCGCCTCAAAAACCGGGACGGCAGCTTAATCACGATATATCACCAGACATGGGCTATCCGTCTGCTTAATGAGCGCCTCAATCAGGAAACTCCTGTTTTGGATTATGGTACTTTGGGATCTGTAGTACCCTTGATACTTTACAATGTAAGGACCTCTTTCAAACCCGAAAGCAAACAATCCCTGGAGTTGTTCCACCCGCGAAATAAGCTACTAATGAGAAATCAGATCGCGGCGTTAGACAGGGCTTCGGCGATAGCTCACCAGAAGGGCCTCATAAAGATGCTGCTGTCGACACCGAAACAACTGAGAGATGAAATAGGACCGCTACTCGGCCTCATCAAATTGTAAGAACAAAGTCTGCTCAAGGTATATATTATGTTTTCGTCTAATTCTTTGTGCAGAGTAATGCTTGCCGTCGCCTGCGTGTTTGACACCCCCCCAGTCTGGGATTGTTTGCTCTCAGGGTCAGTTCGTCCCAACTCAATCCTTCGAAACCTCGTCACGGGTGGCATATTTTGCAAAAATGGATACATTCTTGAACAGGCCACTGTGGATGCGATTCTCGATGTGTATGAGGCGGTCTCTCAGCTAGACCATCTCACTCATGCCGATGCCGCTTCCATCGACAGGGAGATTGAGCGCGTGCTCTCTTTGAAGAAGCGGGATGATCAATCCGATCGCATCCAAGCCATGCCCGCGCCTTTGAATAAAGTCGACAGAGTTAATGCCTGCTGTCAATTCAGTTCATTGATTTTCTGGAAGCTGCTCAAAGGCCGGGCGCAAATTCAAGCTGGCACCCCTGCAACCGACATAAAAGAAATCAATCTACTATTAGAGCATTTGATGATAATCGATTCTCGGTACTGGATTCAAAATGCTCCAGAAGCCTTGACATGGATCGTGTTTACAGGAGTTGCGGCATCTACTGGTGAAAAGGAGAGAGAACTTTTTATTCAAATCGCGGGAAATTTGCTGGCAGCTGTTGATTCTGATAGTCTGGTGATGATCAGGCAAGGCTGGAGATTTTGCAGTCTTTTGAAAAGACTGGCCGGTTTCTCATTGCCTGTTGCGATTTCAGACGGAGCTTAATTAGATGAGATCAAATCTTTAAAGTCACACCCGAAAAGCGAACCAGGATGATGAATGTCAATGTTCTAGACTTTCTGTCTTTCTTTCGGTCCAATCCCACAGATCATGTGCCATTTTTGGATCTCTTGCAGCTTGACTAGCCACTGCAACTTTTCCAATCGGTAGGATATACGCTCCGTTGTCGCGTTCTATAGTGAGAGATGTCGATGTTGCGGCGTAAATGATGCTTCTTGCTCCTTCGCGCGGACCAGGAGCACCCAGCTCCACAAGGGGTTTGATAAAGCGATACAGCGGTGTTGAGGATAGTGGACCCTGTGACAGACCTCTATAGACAATCAGCACTTTCAAAGAAGCATGGGTTTATTTTGGCAAATAGCACATACGTTTTGACCGTTCCTGGATGCAGAGAAAGAGACATGATCTTGGAATATCTGGTCGCCAATTCTTTGGCGTGCAACACATTGGCAAGCTTTGAGTGGCCATACCGAGCCCAAACAGAGAAGTCTTTCTTCATATTCATGTCGGAAAAGATGATCCCTTGCTTGGGTGCGAGTTTCGCATGTCCGTCGCTCGATACGTTCACGATTCGAACTGTACCTTCGGGCACGGACTCGGTAGTATTCAGAAGGGTCGGGAGGAGCAACTTTGTGAGAAGGAAATGCCCTAGATAATTCACCTATTTGAACAAGTTCAGTGGGTCAAGTCTCTTCTGCGGCCAGATATGATGTCTTCTCACCGCCAGCTGCATCTCAGATCCGTCTTTTGTTTCTTCATAGGGCACACACATTACCTAAACCAAGTTTAGTACTCCTATACCGACAGTTGAAACTGCTGGAAAACTTGACCTACTCCGGCATTATTCACCAGTATGTGAAGGGCTGACTCATGCCTTCAGATCAGATTAGCGAGTCTCGCATCGTGTGTTGGGGATATTGTATTTGCGACTTACTGGGCAAACTTCTCAGCTGCTTGTCGGACACTATCCAAGTCCGCAAGATCAAGGGGAAGGAAATGGACATCTGCAGCTGGAAATTCCTGTCGGATCTCATTCTTGGATTCCTCGGTCTTTGACGCCGATCGACTAGCGATATAGACACGAGCACCTCGCTTAGCCAACTCGACACTTGTACCGAACCCTCTGTCAAGAGTTTAGCTTTCGTTCTCAGGCCCCAGAAGAAATTAATCAAGGCACAGTTGGTGTTGAGTGAGCTTTTTACTTACAAGCCCGTGTGTCCACCCGTCACTATAGCGACTTTACCGGAAAGGTCGCAGGTCGATGATTCCAAATTGGCTCCCATGGTCGATGCTCAGTGACGATCAAAAGAAAGCGTGGTTTTCAAGTAAGATTTTGATTGCGAACCACCCATTTAAAGGATACAGTGCCTGTCGGGCATTGGTAAATCCGTTCTATCTCCTTTGACCTGCATCGAGAGGTTCCTTTTTTCGGCGTTAAGGAGTGCGGCCTGCGGCCGCAGATGCGGCGTGGGACTACATATCTACATACCCAAACACCGGACTAATTCAGAGCCCACATCGAGAATATAATGATAGCAAACTAAGGAATACCAAAAGTGAAACAAGAGAAATTTAGGTAACTATAGCAATCTTTAGCTGAGGGAATGACGAACTCACTACGTAGTAGAGTTCTGGAGGTACCAAAAACGCATAGAAGAAAACGTTTCTACATCATTGCCCATTATTGTATTTTTGCTTTAAATCTTACGACACTGGCTTCAAACAACATGCATTTGTCTTAGAATCGATCAAAGCTGAGGAGACGTAACAAAGCAACTTACTACAACTAGAACTATGATAGGCTAAGGCCTGGTCAAAAGTCCTTTCGGTTTCGTCTCACTTGAAATTTGACTCTTACGATAACTTGACACAGTAAGATTCAAGGTCTCCCAGATTTCAACCGCCGCCATCCATGTACCTGCACCTCTTCACGGGGCAAGTCTAATTGATCAGGTCGGTTTCCAATATAATCACGTGTTCTCGCGCTCTATCGACGCGGTCCCGCGCGACTCCAAAAAAGTTCGGCCTTAAGCTGAAATTGTTCTTCCCTTCAAGATTTCATTTGCTCTGCTCTGGACCTTGGATCTTGGACTTTGGACTCTGTCATGACGGCCGCTTGCATCTATCTAACCACCTGATTTGCTCTCAACTCATTCGCGATGCCCCGCAAATCCGCAAAGAAGCAAACGCGACTTGCGTTCGCCCCAACGGTTGCGTCTCCGTCCCGCGATGGAGATGATGACAACAGCGACCGCTTCGCAAGGCTCTCATACGGACACCCCAGCATGGCCTCAGTTCGAGCGGAAATTTCTCAGAAGAGCAAGGCTTCGGGGTCCAAGAAGAAGAGCTCGTCCAAATTCAAAGAGAGAACACCCGATCTGCTCGAAGAATCTCCAGGAAAACAAATCGGCAAAGGTGAGGCAAGACCTGCGCCTTGTTACTTCACATTCATGTCGCTAATCCTTGTTCTTTGTTCAAAGCCCAAGCTGCAACACAAAATGAAGAGGAATCATCAGATGACGACCTCATTATTCCCAGCTCCCAGAGAAAACGACGAGTGGTCCCCGATCTTAGCACGATTGCCATGAGTCCTCCGAAATCCAAACCAAAGAAGAGCCGGCAGGCTTCAAAGCTTGCGAATAATGAGATTGTGGAGGAAATTTCTCGGCCGCGCCGGAGACTGAAACGCAAAGCAGAGAGTTCACCCGCGATTGTACTGAGCGACAGTGATGAGTCGGAAGACCCTGTGATATCCTCACCTGTCAAGAGAAGGAGACATCTCCCGGACCCAGAGACGCCCCAGACACCCCGGTCGAGTGAAGACCAAGACGATCTGGACATTCAGGAAGATCTTAGAGATCTACAGGACTCAGGTATGTCCAGAGATACTTATTAGATGATCGACTCGTTGACCTCATAATCTCTCAGTTGTCAAGAAAACCCGCACTCGCGGCCGCGTTGCTGAATCGGCGAGAGATAAGCGGTTCAAACACCTGGAAGCTCTCCGTCGTCGGCGTCTCGGACTTCCAGAGGAAAGTGAATCCGAGACAGCTTCAGCAAACGACGAAGATGAAAGTGAAGACGAACTTGAAGATGGAGCCGATGCAAGCCCAACTCGGCGGGTTGAATCGCGAGACCAGCTTGATAGCGACGTTGAGTCTGCCATCGACCCTAACGAGGACCTGGACAAGTACGAGGACGACTTTGTTCTAGAGGATGACACCACAGAACTGGGTGTCCCCATGGAAGAAATGCCCTTCGAATTCACTCGCCACGCCTACAAACAGCCAAAAGAATACTTCCGCGACGTCGTTGGGTGGATGGTGCACAACCGACTCGACCCAGCATTTCCACGCGACGACGACATGTATAAAGTGGCCTTTATGAAACTGGAAGACGAAGTCAAGGCACGCGCCGGATCTCAACTTATCTCTTCAGTGTGGAACTCTGAATTCGTCCGGGCCCTTCGGGCCAGACCACATATGGATCTGTCTGCATTTCCCACTGATCTTGGTCACTCTTGTGATGCGTGCAAGCGATCTGGACACCCGGCATCTTCTGATATCAGGCTATACGGCAAAGCATATTCTCTCGCGACGCTTGAGCCTCTTAACGATGAAAGCTCTGAAGACTCAGATAATTCTGACTCCAGTGAAGCATCTGGCGTTGAGCGAGACCGGGATGGTCATGAGTTGCCAGGTGAAGAGAAACGGTTCTATCTAGGAAGGTCAGTCTCCCTTGCTATATTGAGTCCCCTTTCGCCCTTCTGTCTAACTTCTCAATAGACACTGCAAGGATAAGGCACAGTTAGCTCATACTCTGATGCACTGGCGTTATCAACTCAACGAGTGGGTCGTTGATCATCTTGATCGCATGGGTCAAATGAAGGATTCTGAAATCCTGCGACGGAATAACCTGAGCCAGAAGCGCAAGACGCGAAACGCCATCGAAATCATCAAGCAAATGGCTGAAGCCGGGGAGATTGAGAAGCTTTGGCGGGATTTCCATATCGCTCTGAAATCTGCTCGAGAGAAAATGGTATGTCATGCATCGAAAATGAACTTTGGGTATGTGACTAATTTTATTGTTTTCATTTTAGTCTATCTTGGGATGAGCACAGATCTACTGCATCCTCTATCCGATAGCAGTAGTTGCCATTCTTTCTACTTTTACGATGATACCCCATTTCTTGAATTCAACAGTGGTTGCTCCTTTGTATATATATTTATCGACCCTTTCCGTCCTTAGGCAGTGGAATCGAGCTGGATGTGTCTTAAAGCATATGGCTTGAATTAGGCCGAAAACTCAAGTTTCATCATGTAGACATACAGATCACGAAGAGAAGAGAAGAGAGAACATAGAAGACATATGTAGAGGAAGGACATGGAGAGAAAAAGGATGATTGTGGTTGTACAAATACATGCATGCACGAGCTGCCGGAGCCAATATTTCTGGAAGAACACATGAAGGAAGCAAGAAAAGAGAGAGCAAGGACGCAAACAAAGACATTGGCGAGTGACTCGAGTGTCCGCGGCGCAGAGCTGATTCTCGAATCATGGTGTTCGAAGTTCGTCGTGCTGGGCAGGACTGGACTCGGGTGAGGCCGAGTATGATCCATCCGTTCGCGGTCGCTCGAGGAATACCGAGGTATTCGTCGATTTTGATACCTCTATATACTGTATCGATCGGCTTTCAGGACTCTTGGTTCTTCGTCGCATCCTTGCGTTCGGGGGGTCGTATTAATTTACAGGGTGGCCTGGGCCTCCTGCTTCTCGGGCTCAGCGCCGGGAGTGAGCATCTATTGGTAAAATGCAAGGTTAGTATTCTGTTCGAAAGTTCTGCCCAAAATATCGTGATCGAGTCGTGCTGGCCACGTTGCTATTGAGCCATGAAAGATTTTCAAGCCACCCGAGGTCAAGGACACCAGAGGCGATAATTGAAAGCAATCAAAGCACAACGCCAATGCAAACGCGACCTATCCGATAACTTGGAGCGAAGAGTCCAATGGAATCCCAAGAGGATCAAAACATACCTCGTTGGCACCCTTGATCATGCCCTGCTCGCGCTCCATCTGGATGTACTGCTCCTCCTCAGCGTAGGCCAGAGCCCACGGAACACCGATCAGGAAAGCGCTGGTGCTGATAATCCAAAGAGCGCGACCGCTGAAGGAGATGCCGGCCTTGGTGAAGGATGTGACGTTGGAGACGGTGCTGGTGATGGTGCGGCGCGCCGAGGGGGGAAGCATGTCTTTCAAGGCGGAGACACGCTCGTAAAGGGACTCCTCATCAAGGACTTCCTCATCTTCGTTGGAAATTTCGGACTCTGAATTAATCGCGAGATGATGTCAGTTGTTGTTTTGATGATTTTGACGAAAAATGGCTCTTGGGTCGCTGGTGCAGTGTCGGGAGGGTGAAATTCAGGCTCGGGTGGATTGGGATCATTCAGGGGGTGATTGACACGCATTGATGGATGTATCGAAGTAGTCGATGGATTCGAGGCATAATGCGAGTTGTGTGTCTGGGGCGCAAGAACAGGAGTTCACTTACCGGTGTCACTGTAGTCCTCGTCCTCATCGTCAGAGACCAAGAGGGCCTCGTTCTTGGTGGCAGTGGGCTTCTCATAAGAGAAGTGCTCGTCCTCGACTTCGGTAAGCTTGACCATTTTCGCGGTGGAGTATAGGGGGATGGGATAGGTTAAGATGAGGTCGGTGATGGTTGGAAGAACGGAGCGCGTGGTCCGGCTCCGACTTTTTTGCCGGGCAAAAGCGGCGAGGAGCTTGGACCCGTCGGGAACCACGACATCATCGTTTACTCTTCTACAGACTCAGTAGAAGAGTATCTAGGTCTAGGTACTCTTGAAGGAAGTGTAAATATTATACAGGTTTCTAATATATTATACACGACCTCCCGATGCAGATGTTCCACACGGATCTCATCTAAAGACGCCTAGACACGTGAGCACATACCAATATGGCCTTCGACATCAGGGCGTTTGCCGGTAGTTAGGCATGATTTACCTCCGGCCAAGCTTCCATCGAGCAATACGCTCCTGAATCTCCTCCCAGGGGAATGAACGGAGCTTGAACCCCTCGAGCTCACCCTCCTGCAACACGACAGTAGGCTTGCCGGTTCCCTTGCCATTGTTCTGGACGTGGCCGCCAAAGACCTGGCTAGCTACGCGACGAAGATCATGAACGGTCAGGGCATCGATCTGATCGCACATCTCCTTCACGCCGACCTTGCGACCGTGAACCTGCACCTGACGACCAAGATCCTCGAGTTCCACCATGCGCGACTCAAGGTTCATGAGCAGCGAAGAGCGGAGCTGATTCTTGGCGCGGTTTACCTCCTGTGTCTGCAGAGAAGTGTAACCGGTATCTAGGGTCAACGACTGCAACTCACGGCACATGACTTCAAGCATCTCCGTGGTGCGGGTTGGGCTGCATGAGGCGGAGATTCCGAAGATACCACTGTCGGTGTAGCTGTGGTTGAAAGCAATGCAGCTCTCGACCCAGCCGTGCTGGTTGAGGACATTGGTGTAGAGGCGCGAGTACATGCCCTTGCCGGGGCCACCAGCGGAGAAGGAGCCACCGCCACCAAGAAGAGTCTGGAGAGTGGCCAGGGCATAGATATCAGGAGAGGAAATGGGGAGAGCCTCAAATGCGAGGTGGATGTGACTCAAACGAGGCAGCATCGGGTTCGCCGGCGGTGGGATCGGAGGAAGAGCAACGAACCCACCAGTGTAGTGAGCGGGTCGTCGGAGATCCAGAGCAGAGGGCTCGATCAAGGACGGGTGAAGGGGCTCAACTGTGGCATTGTTTGGTGAGGAAGTGGAGAGTTTCTTGAGGAATGGAAGTTTCGACAGGATTGACGAGTTTGTGCTTTGGGAAGCGGCCGGGCTGCTCACAGTTGAAGAGGGTGTGAATGAAGGCACGGTCGGGATCTGGCCCTCGTTGGCGGCATTGGTCGAGCCCGAGAGGGTAGTGTCAATGCCACTTCCCGATAGAACGGGTCCCTTGCTCTGTTCACTGGCCTTCATGTCGCCGAAGTACTGCTCGGTAAGCTTTATGGCCTCAGCGTGGGATACACCGGCAAAAGCGACCACCATCCGGTCCGGGTTGAAGAAGACATCCCGGTAACGCTCTACCACCGACTTGTTGATCTCGCCAAGTCGCTCGCTAGGACACAACAGAGGGTTACCGAGTGTGTTGTCCCTATAGGCGGTCATGTGCACCAGCTCTGGCAAGATGAGCTCCGGCTTCGCCCAGATCTCACCAATCTCATACTCCGCGACCGCAAGCTGCTGGAGGACCTCCTCCTCGGTGATAAGAGGATCCCGGATAGTCTCTGCGAGCAGGCCAAGTGTGGTAGGGACGGCCGAGTTGAAACTGGCTGACTGGTACATCAACGATTCACGCGATGACGCGCATTGAATGTTGCCGCCTAGTGACTCGAGAACCTCCAACATCTCATCTCCAGTGTGTGACTTGGTTGACTTGAAGGCCAATCGGTCCATAATGTGACTGACACCACGCAGGCTGGCATCCTCGTAACGTGAACCCGCGTCGACATAAACTCCGACACCAGCGAAAGGACCGGGTAATGACTCCGTAGCGACGCGAATTCCGTTCGGAAGAGTTGTGATCTGGTCAAGTTCGGCGGGATCCTGCAGAAAAGAAACGTATCAGTATCAGCGACGAGGGGACAGACTCCGGGGTTCAAGGCGTACCTTGGACTCGTTGAGAGTAGCAAAGCTTCTTGACACTGAGCGAGGAGCTCGTTTCAAAGGCTTTGCGGACTCAATAGCCCGCAAGGCAGAGCGGCGCATATTGCCTGACATCTGGATATGTGCAGTGTTGGCGATTCAAGAATGCGTGATACACTCTTGCGGCTCCAAATCTGGTAGAGTCGGGACTTGGCCGCGGCGAAGATTCGATTCCGGAGGACTGCGCTGGGTGCTTACGTAAGTGCTTGCACGATCTAGTTAGTTAAATCGAAATCTTACGAAGTGAAGGGAAGTTTGATCTTTCCATTGATTGAACGTAATTTAACTGTTTGACTCATTTGGTGTTTCCACTTTTTGCTTATTTGTTGGCGAATATCCAGCGCTGGGATTTGCTGACGAAATATCAAAGTCTAGAACTACGATGACATATCGCTAGGGTTTCAGCCTTACAGGTAGAATCTTGGTTGGAACCTTTCAAGAGTAGAAACATCTGCGCATGTGTCCATATGATTGCCTGTTGCCTATCTCATCTTTACATTAAAATCTTTATACACGGGTTTTCAAAAGCATAACTAAGCGAATCAAGGGTGCTCCGAAGCCCAGTTGCGATACCAATCAAGACAGGAGGCATTGGCAACACTTGCACCAATCTTAATGTTGAGTCCACACAAGATTTGCTTGACCGCATTCTCGACCTTCTTGCCATTGGAAGTCACAGGGATTTCCGGGCAGGCATCAATGATACCAGGAACATGGCGGGGACTCAGCTCCTTGCGGATGATAGCTTGAATGCGCTTCGAGAGGTCAGACACACTGGCAGAAATGCCCGGCACAAGCTTCATAAAGAGCACGACCGTTTCATCTGTATCGATGCCCTCCCTTCTCCGACCAACACACAAAGAGTCCTCAATTTCATCAGCAAAGTGCTTCAACAGGACGTTGTAAATCTCGGCACTTCCAAAGCGCACACCGGAGGGCTTGAGCACGCCGTCACTACGACCCAGCATGACCACGCCGCCAGTCTCCGGGTTCAAACGCACAAAGTCTCCGTGGTGCCAGATGGAAGGGCCGAACACGTCGAAATAGCTCTTTCGGTACTTCTCTAGGCCAGTGGGGCCGGGTGGCCAGAACATGACCGGCTGTGCTGGGAAGGGAACCGTGCAAACGAGGTCTCCTGGTTCGCCGGAGGCACTAACATCATTGCCAGCGTAGTCGAATACAGATACAGCCATTCCCAAAGAACGACATTGAATCTCACCCTTATAGACGGGAAGAATTGGGCAGCCTGAGCAGAACAGAGACAGGATGTCTGTGCCACCGGTAATGGAGCCCAACATAATATCAGAGTGAATTGAGGAATAAATGTACTCAAAAGTCGAAGGAGCCAAAGGTGACCCAGTGCTGAAAATGGCCCTCAAGGTCTTGAGAGACACCGGGCCGTGAGCATGCGTGCGAGGGTTGAGTCCCGCTTGCTCCAACATCGAGAGATATTTGGCGGATGTGCCGAAGTGGGTGATCTGAAGTTCATCGATGAGTCGGGGCATGGCCATCTCTCCATTGCCCCCTTCCGCATCGAAAGGTCGGAATGGTGAACCATCATACAAAACAATGGTAGCACCACTGGCCAAACCGGACACCAACCAGTGCCACATCATCCAAGTTGTCGTGGTGAAATAGAACAGCCGATCGCCAGGCCGAATATCGCAGTGAAGAAGATGTTCTTTTTTATGCTGCAACAGCGTACCCAACGATCCGTGAACGATTGGTTTGGGTGCTCCAGTGGTGCCCGAGGAGTACAAGATATAAACTGGATGTTCAGGTTCCAAGCTGGCAAACTTCAGAGGTGCATCTTGGTCCGAAACACTATTCTGGAAGTCTGCGTAGGTAGTAACCTTTCCATTCAAAGGACGGAGCTCCTCAATGTCAACGTCGAAGGACTTGGCAGTCTCAAAGACAACCAAGATCTCCAAGTCAGGCAGCTCACTCACAATTTCGCGCACCTTAGCATGCGAGCCATGAACCTTGCCATTGTACAGCGAAGCATTGTCTGCAAAGAGAACTTTGGGCTCAATCTGCTTGAGACGCTCAAGCACGGCATGAACACCAGTATCTGGCGACACTCCAGTCCAGAAAGCGCCAATAGACGCCGCGGCAAGCATAGCCACGACGGCCTTAGCATGGTTGCCGACGAAGCCCGCCACGCGATCACCGGTCTCGACACCACTTTCTTTTAGGGCATTAGCACATTTACGAACAAGTTCACGCAGCTTCTTCCAAGAGATAAACTCGCGATCTGCCTCTGTAGCGCCAATCACGGCAATAGAATTCTCATCCGGCGCGCACGCCGGGTAAAGGAGGTTCTCGGCAAAGTTCAGAGTGCTCCCCTCGAAGAATGCAGGACGAGGGAACATGGGCTTGTCTGATCCAAGGACCTAGTTCTACATTAGAGAACTTGCTCAGCATTTATCGGCCGCGGCAGAACTCACCTGCGTATATGGCTCATGGGCTACGATGTGCGTATAGTGCCATATCTCTTCCCAGAACTTGGCGGGCTCTGAAACACTCCATTTCCAGAGGGAGTTGTAATCCTTCATGGATAAACCATGTTTCTTGTTCACTTTGGTCATGAAATTGTAGATCAGGGTTTTCTCGGGAGATGAGGGGCGCCACAGCTCCTTCACCTCCGTCGAGACAGCCTCATCGATGTGTGGCATAGTATATTGCGTCCAATTGGTGCAATTAAACTTAAGTGAACCAGTTGTATCGCACACAGACCGAGACAGGAATATCGAATTGAAAGGTTGAAAGAAATTCCCGTCAGGGGCAGGTCTTCAACTTGGATGGGTGGTATGCTCTCCACAGTATCACCGCAGGATAAGAAAACTTTTCCCAACAGTCTATATGTCGAGTGCGTATGCCAGGGAGATCGAGCAAGGGTGGGACTCAATGGCAAATGAAAAAAGGTCAAGTCACACAGCCAATTGTCCCAACAAGAGATTCGCGGGGCGGGTTGCGGGAATATCTGCTCTACCCGATCCGCGGCTGCGGGTATAAGATGCACGGTATAGGGCTGGGTGACTCTTCGACCGGGGTGTTAAAGAGGGGAGATCTGTAAGAAGTCCACAGGCAGACCCCAGCGAACCTCTCTACCTTTTTGCCTCATCCCCGCCCGCCTCTAGCACATGCTTAGGCCTACCGATCCCAGTATCGGCGGATCAAATGCGGAACGCGGAAGGTGACACCTTCTGCCTCAGGCATGCACGGGGAACCTTGCAAGGTCGAGACCGTTTTCATCTTGCATTCGGTACCTCCTACTCAAAGATGGCACCTTACGTCGTATGATGGTCTATATTTCCTCGGAGAGCGCTGCCATCGACATCATCATCTTGTTTCAACCTGATCATGACCCCCAACGCGGTGTGAACTTCCCCCCTATTGCAACTTGGACCAATTTGAGTTTGACAGCCGTGATTGGGCATGGCTATGATTATTGAAATAAAGAACGCCACCGCATACCTGTCAATTGATCTACGTGCGCCTCAGGGGGCTCACAGGGTACCTCATTCTACAGCATCTCCTGACTACAGCATTCTAAGGAATCCGTACCTGAGCAGCGGACGCTAGGGAGCTTACCGAGCGCCCAGTGACGGAAAGGTGGATAAAAAACTGGATAATTCAAGGATCCAGATCGAGAGCAATTTGACCGACACTGGGGCCCGAAAATTTTAGTCGTCTCGGCCGTGTAAATTACATCCAATTACCTGAAATATTACCCCACCCACCCAATCAGGCCGGGGTAATTCTGTACTAGCCATGTTCGCACAGCAATACCAGGCCCATTCGGCCTGCATGATGATTATACAGCAGGTACCACTTGTTATTTACCTCTCTTCCTCCCTTCCCTTCTTTTCGACCTCATCGAATCTGTGAGGGAGAATTGCTCGACATAATTGAACAATTGGGTTCGCCCCTTGTTCTTACTTCAACCCCCCGCCCCATTCCACGTGCCGCACTCTAAGCCCTGTCGGAGGTCTGCGGATAGGAGGTCCGTCTCCCTCACCCTTACCCTCACCCCATAATCACGACTTCATCTCTCCATCTTGTCGATTTGCGCACTCGTCTAGCCTACATTTGAACGTCACCCCAACAATCAGCTAACATCGTCGCGCCTCAGATCCCTTTTCTTTACAAAAGGGCGGAAAAATTCGGACTCGTGAATCTTCGCGCGCCGAATAATCTTGCGTCTTACTCTACCCGTTATTTTGGGTAGTCCCTACTTCAATCGTCGGTTTGGACGCGTAGAGAAACTATCGCGCCCTCCTTCTATCCGACGGTCCGAGCCAAATCTCATTGCCCCCCATCCGCCTCGCCGCTTCCCTCTGCGATGCCTCGTCGGTTTAGCAACAACTCCTCCAACGACACCTCTTCCAACTCTCCGTCCTTTACACCCTCTTCGGGAAAGGGCGGTTTCTCCATAAAGGCACCATCGGTCAAATCCCATCGACTGTCCCAGTTCTTCTCGACATCACCCAAGTCCTCCAGGGTCGAGCCTCAACCTTCCCAGGCCGCACCGCAGTCCACGGGGGCCAACCCTTCCAACGTCACGCCGATCAGCTCGGCATCACTGTCCTTACCGACAATCTCTTTGTCTACTGCCACGGCTGATAATCCGAATATGGACGAGATGCCAACCACCTTATTCCAGCCTCCGACTCCTGAGGAGGCCCGTCGGCTGGCGAAGCAACATGCCCAATTCGGTCCTATCGGTCACCCCAGCCACCGGTACTCCAGTCGGCACCCTGGCGGTGTCTTCCCGGAGCCGGTGATGGATGAGCCGCCGTATTATTACTTGCTTACTACCTACATCAGCTACCTAATTCTAATTGCTTTCGGACACGTCCGTGATTTCTTTGGCAAACGTTTCCGCGAAGAAAACTACCGCCACCTCAAGCCTCGCAACGGCTACGGCGCACTCAACAGTGATTTCGACAACTTCTACGTCCGTCGTCTCAAGCTGCGTATTAACGACTGCTTCGAGCGTCCCACTACTGGTGTCCCCGGACGAAATATCACTTTGATCGACCGTGCTACCGATGACCACAATCACCATTTCTACGAGACCGGTACTACCACCGACACATTGAACCTGAGCTCCTACAACTATCTCGGTTTCGCTCAGTCTGAAGGACCCTGTGCCGACCAGGCCGAAGAGTCTGTCCGCAAGTACGGCATTGCCACTCCCAGCACTCGCGCGGAGGCCGGAACTCAAGATCTTCATGTTGAGGTTGAGGAGCTGATTGCCCGCTTCGTGGGCAAAGAGTCGTCCATGATCTTCTCGATGGGTTTCGGTACCAACGCCAATGTTTTCCCTGCTCTGGTTGGAAAGGGCGACCTGCTTATTTCTGATGAACTGAACCACGCCTCCATTCGTTTCGGCGCTCGTCTTTCTGGCGCTTCTATTGCCATGTTCAAGCACAATGACATGAAGGATCTGGAGCTCAAGCTCCGTGAGGCTATTTCTCAAGGCCAACCCCGCACCCACCGCCCTTGGAAGAAGATTCTCGTGGTTGTTGAAGGTCTCTATTCCATGGAAGGTTCCATGTGTAATCTTCCCGGTCTTGTGGCACTGAAGCACCGATACAAGTTCAACCTGTTCGTCGACGAGGCTCACTCCATCGGTGCCATTGGTCCCAAGGGTCGAGGTGTGTGCGATTACTTCAGCATTGACACCCAGGAGGTAGACGTTCTCATGGGTACTCTGACCAAGTCATTTGGTGCCAACGGTGGTTACATTGCTGCGGACAAGGCCATGATCGACAAACTCCGAGCTACCAACTCTGGTATGCTCTACGGCGAGGCCCCTGCCCCTGCAATTCTCACGCAGATTTCCTGCGCCCTTCGGATTATCAACGGCGAGCTCGTGCCCGGTCAGGGTGAGGACCGTCTTCAGCGCCTGGCCTTCAATTCCCGATACCTTCGTCTCGGCTTGAAGCGTCTCGGCTTTATAGTATACGGTCATGACGATTCACCAATCATTCCTCTGCTTCTTTTCAACCCGGCCAAGATGCCTGCATTCTCTCACGAGATGCTTCGGCGCAAGATCTCCGTTGTGGTTGTTGGTTATCCCGCTACCCCCTTGGTTTCGTCTCGCGCTCGTTTCTGTGTGTCAGCCGCCCATACCAAGGATGATCTCGACCGGGTTCTGGCTGCCTGTGACGAAATCGGCAATGTCCTGCAACTGAAGTTCTCTACGGGCATTGCTGGCGGCGCTCTGCCCCCAACCGAAGAGATGGCCCCTCCGCCGGAGATGGAGAAGGAATGGCACCGAAAGCGCTCCGAGAATCTCACCCCACCCCGGTGGCGGATCGAGGATGTCATCCGACGCGGAGTCCAGGATGTCAAATCTCCTTTGTACTAGACTGACACTCTCCTTCGTTGCGTGATGCTGCGTTGGAACTTCTTGCATATTGAGTTTGAGCCCTTTCTTTCGGAGTTTATTCCACGAGCCCGGTTGGTGCTGGTCACGCCGTGTCGCGGTTTTTGACTTCCATGTTCCTCCCTTTTTTTGGTCTATACTCGGTCCCATCTTCCTGCTATGGCGTGGTCAAGCAGGGAAGCCTTGATATCCGGGCCCGAATAAAGGAAGGGGGTTTCAGAAAAGAAAAATTCCGGTCATGAGTTATTCGAACAAGCAACGAATGAATATGTCCCTGTTTTCCTACGAACCGGCCCTGGTCTTGGAGATGTCTTGTTTCTTTTGCCTTACCTGCAGCCCTTTCCTAGTTTTCTTACTTTCTGTGTCACTTTTACATTTCTAGAATATTGCCTAATAATGCTGCACCTGTGTTTCTACTTGGGCACACGGCTGGCTCTTTCTCACTTTCATATCACTAAACCATGGTGTTCATCCTTGTCTTGTACAAGGGGTTGGCAGCATGGTTCGCTTGGGATGCTCCGTTGGGTTTGATTCCGGTGATATTGGACACATTACTTTCACCTTTTCCAATTTTGGAAGGAGCTGCTTCAGATTGGCAGGTTAATACCTGTCGTCTTTCTGAGATACTTTGTTCATAATTAAATGATTCGTTCAATGTCAATAGCCTACAGCTTCTATACATATTCGCGTCTTGGATATCCTAGGGCACAGCCAAATCAGGGAGATAGTTCGAGGTTGGCATCAAGACTTTGTTGGCTCGAAAATTCCCCCGAGGTTCTTGGACATCAGTAGCTTATGAATTCTCTATATCTATTTCTAAGTCATATACTAACCTTAGCTGACGTCCCTCTATAAGTCTCTTTATCCCTCGTCCCTCAGCTTCAGCCTCTCTGCATAGGCGAGAGCCTAAGTGTAGCGAAAGCTTCAAAGTTCGTCAGGTCAAAATTAGAATACGTACAAACGCATATATCTGAATATGAACGGGTGCCTTATACTAGATCTAACCCTATAATGAACGCTCAAAGATGGGAACAATGGAGACCCAAAATGCATGAAATGAGCTCTAAGCCCAAGTGCCATGATAAACGAAAAGAAAGAATGCCCATGCAAAGTGAATCGAGTTTGCCAACTCGCAGTCATCAAAGTCATAATGTGTCATACCTGCCTGGGCGTAAAACCAGTCCCGGCTAGGAAATCAGAAAACAAAGGGTATATATGCACAATCCCATTAGACAGTCCCATACCGCCCATGCTCCTGGCCAAGGAGAGCCGATCCCTCTAGCGGAGTCGAACGACGCTCATACTCGCAGGGAGGAGGCGAAGTCGAGGGAATCCAGCCACGCATCCATCCGCGCACACGCTTCCACTTGCTGCGACCGCGCTTCGAGTCATCGTCGTCTCCAATGAAACTCTCGTCATCTTCTTCATCAGATCCGTACATGAGAAACTGCACGCCCATGAACCCATCGAGTCCTAGGACTCCAAACGCACCGAGGAAGAACGGCATAGACCGTCCGATCCACTCCCAGCGATCATTGCCGTGAGAATCGGCCCAACCACCGCCACCGTATGGCGCAAAATCGCTCCAGGCGTTGGGGTTCGTGAGCAAGGAAGATGAATAGAAGAAGTTTCCACAGAAAGCAGCGAAGAACAGCAAAGGGGAGAGTCCCTCGGTGCTCTTGCGCTGGTAGTTCTTGTAGAGCTGGGGCGGGCGCGAGCCGAGATACAGCAGCGTAGACATCCAGGAGACGACCCGGCCGATGACCTCGACTATAGCTTCGCGCGGTGCGTCAGAGATAGGCGGGTGAGGTGATGGTTTGGGGTCTATGGGACTGCCATTGGCCAGGACGGCGCAGACGAGAGTGGCGATCAACATGGTGCGGGGAAGAGCGAAGGGCGCGCTGCTTGCGCTGCTTCCCATTCGAACGGTTCGTCGCGGAGAGCTCAGCTTCTCATTTGTATATGAGGTTCCAGGGGCGGATGAGTTGAGTGTGGTCCCAGTTTGAACGCCGGTATCGTTGAGTTCGGCCTTCTTTGTCATGTCGACTGGGGCAGGTGTCCGGTGGGTCACATTGTCGGCTGGCACAGCCACGCCTTGTAGGATATCGCCGTGAGCGTCGGAGTCGCGTGAGTGGGATAAATCATTGTAGCCCTCGTATAGGCGGGCTTTGTAGTGTGTGTACCAGAAGAACTGGATCACGAGTGCGACATCCACGCAGACATAGTAGCCTGCGACCACGACCTGCCACCCTGCCTGTCGGGTGAATAAAGCTCCCACTAAATTACTTGCGTCACCTGCACACCAAATGACCAAGAAAAAGATTGATAATCCCGATGTTGATTGTAGTTGGTAGTTCTTGTATATCTGTGGCATCTGGGCGAAGAGCCATGAGACGATACTGAGGGTTCCGAGAACGGAGGAGATCAGCGCGAGAGGTGTGGGGAGGCAGATGTGGAGATGTGATGAGATAGCGGTCAAGAAGGGCGATGTCGGTTCGCAGTGATCTGGGAGCGACCCATGTATGAGATGTTGTAAAACAAACGCCATGATGTGTTCTAACGGGGTCCGAGAGAGACAGTGGAGAGGCGCGTCTTTGAGGTGCAAGTCCTCGAGGGGTTTGGCGGGAGCTGATCCGGGGAAGGCGATCAAGTCCGGGCCCGGTAAGAGAAATCGAAGTGAATGAATAGTCTAAGAGCGGAAGACAAGGGAAGGTAGAAGGTAGAAGGTAGAAGAGAGTCTAAAAGGAAAGTCGTAGCTGAAGACAAGTGACCCCTCGCATCACGAGAGCTGAACTACACCGATCATGACCGAATTGGGGCTTATCAGGCGTGACTCAAAGATAAGTGGTTTCCTCTAGTGGGCCTATCACCCACCTTCTTTATCACCGATCCAGTCCGATGTAGTCCGATTTCGTCCGATTGCATTCCTCACTCTATCAGGTAACATCCTATATCTGATCTACCCCGGGTTTGTAGCACCGGTTTCCCCGGACTTATGTGACCAGGCGATATGACTACAGAGACGTGGATCAGGGCTTCTGTTCTCCACGTGACTCTTATCTATACCATCGCCACCCCGCTGCGGCTCGCATCAACCCACAGGGATTAGCTGGATTAGCTCGTACAATTATGTCCTTTATATTTGGGATCGCTAATGGCGCCAAAATCTTGACTGGGGCTGGGGCTGAGATAATAGCTACAGTAGTCCAGGATCTGCCACTGATTTCCATCGGCATCTCAGCCGTACATGGATTCAAGACCCACTTCTTGACACTCACCGGGAACGCGCTTCTCAACATACTTGCCCTTATCATCCCATATAGTGCCCGAGGACGGATTCAGTCTCCTGCAGACAGTTGTAGTCACTAATCAGACTGCCATGGCAAATAGTCCTTGCAACCCTCGTCGGAGCTACCGTCGGAGCTACGGCCCTTATCGTGACCACCGTAACCAGACAACTCTTTCAGCGTGTAGTTGTAACCCCGGTTAAGTGAATTTGAGATTGTAATTCAAGCTCCAAAGTTATATAAGCGCATGTGAAGTACCTATGGTGGCCAGCTGAGCATGGGCCACGAGTACAACGTGGCGGGATGCCACGGGGCACAGGCACGCGGTATCTATTGCGCACATGTGTATGTAGGTCGACAAAGTACTACGCGACCAGATGACATTCTAGATATTCGTAGATATAGGTGTCCCTTTACTTTCTCAGCAGATCTGCTTGAGGACCGAAACGTACCTTGCCAGTCTTCGATGTTACATAGTTAGCAGGGCATATATGTGAGCCGCTTTTCCACGTGGCTTAATAAACACGAAAAATACTATATTCCCACTTAACAGTCTTCTAACAGCGCTGGAAATTAGGGGGTTGCAGCACAAATCCCCCTGAATCTAAGGATCTCTCGTACCTATTATTCGGAAATCGTTACGTCAAGCGCCACAAATGCACGTCACATCTGTTCAAACCTTGAACTTCAGAGAAATTCAAATGAACCTTAGCAATCAAAAACAATATATCAAGCAAGACCAGGAAAGTCGTGACTTCATAATCCATTACATGAGACCGTGAAGTAGTGACAATTTCTCAAATGATTAATTTTGAATCCAAATCCCGTCTAAGCTGAGCTGAGCCTGTACATTACCAGGCCACCAATGCTTACCCAGGCCGGCAGCAACGATCAGTGCATCCACACAAATGGGCATTATTTCAAACCCACCCTCAATCAGTTAAGATTCGCGCCCCTCTCAATACTCATCATCTTCCCGATGGCTCGACCGACTCCGACTATGATGATGGTGATGGTGATGATGTCCCCCATGACTACTACCATGACTACTCCCATGACTACTCCCATGACTACTCCCATGACTACTCCCATGGCTACTCCCATGGCTACTCCCATGCCTCCGCCCATGTTCATGTTCATGTCCATGTCCATGTCCGTGCTCCCGTTCAGGCTTCTCATGACCCTTAACCTTATGCTCCATAATATTTCCAATAATCGCCCCACCCAGAGCCCCCAAAAGCCCATGATCCTTCTTATGACCAAAGTAATACCCCGCCGCACCACCAGCCAGCGAACTTCCAATCCCACGCTCGCCCTCGGGATCGTCATCAACTGTTCGCATTTCCCCGCTACTGTCCCGCGGGTTTGCGGAATCTGACACATAGACCGAGGGCGTATGCGGATTGGACGACGGTGTGTAACGTGGCTGGGAGGCGGGATCTGGATGGCCGCTGGCTGGTGTCAGCACGGGTCTGTGCTCTTGAGGTTAGCGGACTTACTAGTAGCTTGCGTTCTCTGGGATCTTTCCATTTGGGTTCTGGGGCGCTGGGCTGATAGGGCCGCGATGGTCTGGTTGCCCTACTGGGGTGTAAGTTCTATCGGCGGTAGGTTGGTAGGATTCGGGCGCCAGCTGATATGGGTTCTGTTGTGGGGGATAGGGGTAGTTCGGATCATGCTGAGGCTCTGTGTTGTTGTAGGGCTGCTGTGGGTATTGGTGGGCATATTGTTCCTGGTGACTCTGCTCTGGGGGATAGTAGCCGACCCCGCCCGGGGTGGGCGTAGAGTATGAAGTATAAGGATTGTATAGATCCGCCATGGTGTTGCAATAATGGAAAGAAAAAAGACAAGAGAGGGAGAGATGGTCTTATAAATACGGGGGCTTTACTTCTGGTGACCGGGGCTCATACATCATGGCGCGGGTGACTTGCGCGCACGACCCGCAGCGCAAGAACTCTAGAATGCGCGCGCCGCCAATCATCGCTGCAGGGTCCTGCAAAAAAAAAAAAAAAAAAAAAAAAACCTTGCCGAAAGGTTGTCGTGCTAGAGGGCTGTAATCTACAGGGAAGAAGGTGTATGCTTGAAGTCTGATATTGCCATGCGTCATGTATTCACGATAAACGCGCTATCAAGTTAAACGAAAAAAAACCAGGCATGACTCGGGGTATTCCGGCAGAAAATCAGAAAGGAAAGAGCAAAGGAGAAGGGCCGATGCAACACAGTGCTAGCTGTTGATCGGATCAGAACCACGGATCTGGCGAGGGAGGTAAAGGAAAAGGCAATCAAATGCATCGGGGCGGGCATGAACGCGAAAGGTTGGTGTGAGAAGACAAAAAGAATGAGAAGGGCCGGCCGGAAGTAACGTGCTCAGCACAGTAGATGCCCTTGCGCTATCATTCCTAAGGTGGACTGACAGGCCCATGCATATATGCATAGATACACTGGCAGATTAACAGGGACGCCAGGTGACTAAGAGGTCGGACTCTGCACGCTTCGCAGGGAATTGCGGCGTGCCCGCTGGGCCATCCATTTCACAAGCATATCGTCGAGTTGGTTGTTCATTTCTTTGAGCCTCTTGCTCTCCTCCTTAAACAGACGTCCTGTGACAGGATGCTCGGGACCGGCCGGGGGAATATTGGATTTGTCGTGGACAATAATGAAAAGGTCGCGAATATCGTTTTCTTCGTCCATGTATGATCGTAGACTGGCATCACTCCAGGTGGGGGTATCCACTGAAAGTGTATCAAGTGAACCCTGGGTTGCGTCGGTACCCTTGAGGTCGTGGGAATCGGCCTCAGGGGACGACGGAGGGGAAGGCGGCGACACAGAATAGCCTCGCTGCGTAGTATCTGGGGTCAAACCAGGGGCACTAATTGGAATATGGCCTTCGGCCGGGAAGATATTGACGGGGGATTCCGATCCACTGCTATGATAGCTTGTGCCCATTGTCGGTACAAACCTCTGGGGTGGGGATACCACAGAATGCTGAATAGTCGCTGTGCGGTCGGAACTGTAAGGTTCCCTCCAGTGCGCTTCGCTGGATGATCGATCCTCTGGAGACGCGAACGGATCCCGAGACTCCATAGGGGTTGCAAAGGAATCCTTCGAGGGGCTTGATTGACCGGCAGGAGAGGCCACCGCTTTACGGTCTTCTTCCTCGAAGCTTTCCACCTCCTGGGTTGTTGTGACCTGTCGGATTGAAGGAGCCGCCTGGCTTGCGAGAGCGGACTCAATGTCCTGGGTCTGATCGGCGGGAGAGGTGGGAGAGGTGGGAGACATGGCCGCTGGAGGCTGCTTCTGCAACTTGTTGCTAGCCTGCCTCGTGGGTCTGGTTCGAGATTCCTGGGACATTGTGGACTCCATAGATGTCTTCGGAGATGTGCGGAATGAAGAATCAGCAGGGGACAAGGGCTCATCCATGTCTTCGTCTGTCGACTTATTCTTCTTGCCACGCTTGAAGAGCCCACTAAGCATCCCGGGTTTCTTGTCCTTGCGTTTCTTGTCATCCTTGCTGAGTTTTTCTTGCGACGAGGATGCTTTTTCGATGCTTTCAAAGCTTCCGCGGCCATCCTTCCATTCATTGAGTAGGCTGTTATTGCTATTGTTATTGCTGTTGGACTCGTCGCGTAGCAGATTCGGGGTTAAGGAAATCTTCTTTGGCTCGGCAGTGTCATCCTTGAAGAAAGAATCGGTATTCCGCACAGTGCCATTTCTGGATCTACTGACGGCGGGTTCCACTTGAGAGAAAATGTTAGAGTTTGTTGTGTGTTGTCCAGGGAAATGATCTCTCTTCATACCTTCTGGGTCAAAGAACTCCTCGCTCGACCGACGAGGGTCCGAGATTGACTGCTCAGGTTCAGCCCTGTCTTCAGCCTCAGCGCCTTCGGTCTTTTCTGAAGATTTTTCTCTCTGTCCCTTGGGCCGGAGAGGCTCCACAACGATGTCCTCATTCTGCTCCTGGCCTTCATCTTCGGATTCCACGGTTTCGTCATCGTTGAAAAAATCACCGTGCTCGTCATCCTCGTCGGTAGAATATTCGACATCGGACGCTTCGATGTAAGTTGGTGGGGCGAAGTTGACAGTCTTTGCATTTCGCCGACGCATAGCTTTCTTCAGAGGATTCTTGGACTTCTCCGAGTTATCGCCTAACATCGTTGCAGATAGCTAGAAAAGTCAGTATATTCCCAGAAAACAAAAACCGGCAATTACATACATCGACGTTCCTGTGTTTATTCAATCTGGCAAGTCTCTCGGTGGGCGTTTCGATGTGTTCTGCCGGTAGGTACCCGATGCTTCCATCCTTCACCACACGGACAAGCCACCAATAGCTGTTGCTGTCATCTAGCAGCACCATAGTATCTCCTTTGGCGGCGTTTGCCTGTCCATCAACGGTTGCGACGAAATTGTGGAGCGCGTAAACGAATTCGAAATCAATATCCTCTGGTCATCATTAGACTGAAGGGCCAATCGCGATATAGCGTGAGAACGTACCATCGTCAATTGACGGAGAACTCGATATTTTGTCCATGAGATCATCGTCCATGAGATCGTCACTTTCACCATCCGCCAGGTCGCTATCATCATGATCGTAGTCGGCATTTCCAGCCACGTCCGCCTCGATGTCGTCATCATCGTACACGCTGGCGCTGTCGGTCCCAGGACCGTTCGTGATCTCCGACTTCAGGTCCTCTTCGGCATGACGAATAGAGGAGGACTGATGGGGGGCAGGCCGGCCGCCACCAAGGGGATCTGGATGTTGAGGTTGCTTCGAGTGGTCTTGCGCCGACGGGGCATCATGGTCTTGAAGGTCCAAGGTATCTGGGCGATTTGTCAGTTTTCTCTACAATTTACGACACAGCCGGATCGATCGTATAAAATACCAGCGCGAATCATCTGAGGCCTCGACATGTTGCAGGTTTAATGAACGTGGGACCGGCGGTGAGGAGTAGCACAAGTCGCCGAGGTGAAGAGTGTTTGTTGGAGCAGAACTGTCGGACAAAAACAAACAATCAAGGGCGTACAAACTGTGGCGGGGAGCCCCGACACTCGACAATTGCCCCGGGGTCTCCAGGAACTGAACCGGGGGGGGTGTCTTAAAGAAAGGATGCGCCTTGACGACCTAAGGTGAGGGGCTGGACTGCAGTCGCAGGATGGCACGTCAAGCGGGCGCACGAAAGGAATTACTGCCAGAGCGACATTTATAAAGAAAAGAAGGGGTTCATTCGAGATTGGGACAATGACAACCCCAGACGACGCAAAAGGAGGTGTTTCCAAACAAGCGCTCCTTGCGCGCGGCTAATCGGGATTAAGGAGAGAACCCCTGAAACAGATTACCGCATGCAGCAAGTAGGGCTAGGGTTACCGCGAGGTGTGAGAGGCCAGTGACGTCATGTCAGGTGATGAAGCTGACTCGCACATGACCATCCGCACTTTCCCGAACATTGACAGCTCCAAACTGCTCAACTCCGGAGACTCCCGACTGCCCCATTTTCTCCATCGTCCTCCCTGGTTCCAACTGACCAATCCCTCTCTGCTCATTCATGCTCTGACCTCACTTTGCTTGTACCTCTTTATTTTTATTTTTTTCTCTTCCACAAATCTTTCACAATCTGAATACAACCTTCCCCTATACCACATCCCCCGCGATTTCGAGGCCTTTAGGTCTCCACTCTAATACGCTTATCGCCCCACGTCTCCTCTAGCTCAAAATCGTCAGCAAAACGGCTTTCAAAGTTATTCACAGGCAGCGGGTTCTTGTAACCCGACTGCTAGCCTACCACGGGCTCACTTTCACCACGTCGTCCTATACCGCGCTCTCGCCGGGGGCATGGCTCACTCGGAAAGGCCTAGTTTCGCAGGCTTGAGGATTGAAACTTCATTTCACCCGCAAAGATCGGAATGGACGGAGGAGAATGATGGGGGGAGGAGGAGATCGGCATCAGGTGGCGATGGTATCGAGAGCGACCGCACCAACAGATCTCATGATTACGCGCGCCGCCGCGATACTAATGAAGACCGCAGTGCGTTAAGTGATTTGCACTCAGCCACGCCTCCCATCTTCGTTCCTCGCCTCGACAGTCATCCAGTCGTAGAGACCGATGATAACGGCTTCCCACACAAGCCGGACGATGTACAGGGATCGCCGCTCGACAACTATCTGACATCGCGCCGCCCCTCCATTACCTTCAACCCAAAGGTGTTCCTCGACTCCGGCCTGCAACAACCTCTGGAGGAGCCTCTCGACAAAGGCGACTTGAAGAATCGCCCTCCGTTAAAATTCGAGTCCCGGACATCTGGCCTCCGAAACGCCCTCTCCCAAGATGACGATCCCGCTGACCGGAAGGCCGAATGGGGCGATGACTCCAAGCACTCCGAATCGCGGGAACCGCGGGGTATTCCGGCCGGAGGTTTCCGAGCCCAATCCGTTGTGAGTCCTGGAGATGAGTCAACGGGCAACGACGGCGATCATCCGACATCGCTCACATCACTTTCGACGGCATCTCCAGGTGATGAAGTGCAGACCCCACCCGGAAGCTCCAAAGATGCGCTTTTGTCCCCTCTTTACATCACGTCGCCCAATCAGCAATTCCCGTCCCCAGAAGACCGCAGTTCCTCCTGGTCCACGGATTTGGTGACTCCTTTCGGGAGTAAAACTCGTGCTTCCCCATTTAGCCGCCATGGCAGTTTGCGACAAAGCTCTCGACGGTCGACTACCTCGAGCGGCAAGTCTCCAGCGAGCGCATTCCTCTCTATGTGGTCTACCGCTGGGGAGGAGCCTGCCTCACAACCCGATGATGAAGGTCAGATGATTGGCACTGACTATGTTCTTGGAAAGCAAATCGGCTTTGGAGGTTTCAGTACTGTGAAAGAAGCTTTCAAGGTCGAGGAGCACGGCTCGACTAAACGACTTGCCGTCAAAATCGTTAAGAAGCAGATTAAGGGCCACAGTGAAAAGGAAAATGAAGAAGTTCAAGCGGAGTTCGATCATGAGGTTCGAGTCTGGCGGTATCTCAGCCATCCTAATGTCTTGACACTCGACTCCGTCTACGAGACAGATTATGCCACCTTTTGCTTCACCAAACTTCACATCGGCGGAACTCTGTTCGATCTGGTCCGCCAAAACCGGCAGGGTTTATCATCGCACCTCGCGAAGAAATACTCCTACGAACTTGCCCGCGCCATTCGCTACTTGCACGAAGATGCGCGAGTCGTTCATCGCGACATCAAACTAGAAAATTGCCTCCTCGACCCCATCCAGGCTCCTGATGGTTCTCAGTCTTCGACTCTGGTCCTCTGTGATTTCGGAATGGCAGAGTGGATGGCCACGGACCATGGAGGCGACAGCCCCGACCCCTACGATGAGGTCGCTGATCGACCTCCACCCAAACAGATTGGCCCCGCGGGTTCCAGTACCAGTGTTGCTGGCAGCTTAGAGTATGCCTCTCCTGAACTACTGAAGTCAACAAACGGTGTCATTCACCCATCGGTCGACATCTGGGCCTTTGGTGTGATCGTGTTCACCGTTGTTACTGGATCCCGGCCATTCCAAGACTCATTTGCTCCTCGTATCCAGGCCAACATTCTCAGCGGCACTTGGAATCATGATGCCGTTCTCGGCCAGATCATTGATGAACATTTGCTCAAAGACCGCCAGGATGCCCTCGACCTTGTCAGGGGATGTCTCGAAATGGATATTCACAAGCGATGGACTATCCGAGACATTTTGGACTGTGCCTGGCTCCGCGAAATCGCTGAAACCGTCAATGAGATTTCTCCGGAGTCTGCCTGGAAGCTATGAACAATTCTGATGTTTCTTTGGCAGAAACCAGCCCAATCTCTCATTTTCGATTTACCTCGAGAATGACACGACACGACATGAAATTTTCCAATGTTTACTTTTTCTTTTATTCTACTGGCGCTGCTGCTCAAGCGCTGGTGTTTTTCGGGATTTTTTGACCATGATACCCATCCGTTTCAACAAGTGAACTCAACGCCTTGTCATCTCTTTCATCTATTTTGGATTCCCCATGCGCTGCATTTGGTTACGGGTTAATATTGCGATTGGATAATGATTTGGCAAGCATGGCGTTTTATCTACTTCTGGCATGTGTTTTCTTGGTTCCTTGCTTTGTCTTTTTCTTGCTGTATTTCTTGCGGATCTGGGCTTCCTTGCTGATATCCTTTTCGATTTTTTTCCGGCTCATCTGCTCACCTCTCTTCTCTGCCTGACTTCTTCCTGACTTCTTCTTTCTACCTGGGTGGCTGGCTCCGTCCTAGAATACAAATCACAAAATTTGATTTCAATAGCTGTGTCCTAACATACTATGTTTAATGTCTTCTCCAGTTCATTCAATCTACTAAACCCCATGTATACTTTCACATCTACACCATACGCAATATAGAAAGGATAGTTTTATATGACCGACATATCCAAAAGAAACGGCTATTGATACATGTACAAACTAAAATCTCCAACCCACAACAAACTACCAGAGTCTGTTCTCCGGCAAGACCTTCTCCTTCTTAGTACCAGCGGCCGACTTCCGCTCCTCAGGCGAGCGGAAGAACAAACTAGGACCCTCCATCGGCTTAAGCAAATGGCTCAAGTACCCCCTATGCGCAGGATCACGATAATACTCGATATCCCGACGACGTGTAGGATCAGGCAATCTGTACCGGAACCCACGGGCCTTCATCACATTCGCCTCGGAAAGTTCCTCAGGGGCTTCATCCGCCTTCAACAGGTCAGCAGATCCAGACTCGGCAGACCACGCCATCGAGATGAAAGGGTGGGACTCCTTCGCCATGACGTGTCGGATGGCGGAGCGCGTGTAGAACCGCGTTGCGACGGATCCACCCGCTGCTTCGATGGTTGTGATTGCTGAGGCGGAGATGCGGGAAACGACGAGGTGAATTGGTTGTTTGAGGATTCCTTCGCCGCCGCCTAGGACTTTGACGCCGTCTTTGTGCTGGTTAATGCAGCGGGATTGGGTCAATTCGCGGATGGTGATGGGACGGGTTGGGTCGATGCGGCCTTGGTCGATCCAGTCTTGGATGCGCTCAAGGTTGACGGGGGCCCATTCGAGAGCGAATCTAGGAGGGCGTTAGTGGTTGGTTGCTTTCGTCGAGGGGTTGGGGTGGGGATTTTGATGGGCAAGGAAAAACTTACAGGTTCTTTCCTCCTCGCTCGCCTGAGACGACGATATCGGGCGTCTGGCCACCATTGAAGCCGGCAGGGACCTTTCCGTGCTGGCCCTGACCCTTGTGACCACGACCGGACGTCTTACCCTTGCCAGAAGCGGGACCACGACCGCGGCGGATGCGCTTGTTGTAGGCGGAAGGATTATCGGAGAGGGAGGAGAGGATGTGCGCGCCACGCTGCTGGAATTGCGGGACGAGGAAGGCCAGTGGTGAGGTTTGGAATGGCCTTGCGATGAATTGTTGAAGCTGCGTAGGCAGCCCCATGAGTCGAGGAGCCATGGTGATGATAGGCTTGTGGTGTTGAACCCGTGTTGCAGACGCTGGAGATCTTTGATGCCGGGCGGAGCGGAAAATAGTCGGGCCGAGGGCCGAGAGAGGTCAGAGCGCATGAACTAAATTACCATTTTGGCTTTCTAGAAATCATTTTCGCTAAATTCTAGTATGTTTGCTAATAATATTGCCTTTCATTATTTTCTCTACCATAGTATCTCACAATTGAACACTCGTGAACTCCAATTGGACATAGGGGTATGATGGTTGGTAGAAAATCTAGTTTGTTCATGCTGTGAGACTTGTGTCTCCTAAAGTTAACGCCATATAATGTAGATGCAGCGGCAGCAATGACCGTGTTGTCCTTGACAACGAATAGCAAAAAAAAAATAAAAAATAAAAAACGCCTCAAAAGGCCATCCCGAACCTCGGGGGTCTTTTTGGGAGGCGAACACCTGCGATCCTTCTAGTTTGGAGCGCCGAGTAAATGCAAAAACCGTGAGTAATCCTGTACAGGAAAGAAAAAGGACAAGCAAGAAGAGTAAGAATGGATGTACAGCGAATGGGATGTTTTCGTGAGTCGGTCATAACGCGGTCACATCGTCAAAGAGGAGAGTGTAGCAAGTTTTAGTTGGAGAATGTTTGCGAGGGAGGGTAGTAGGGTTGGTAGCTTCCCTGGCTCCATACATCTGGTTGGATATAGGGAAGCAAACCCGTCTTGCGATCACAAGTACCCTTGCCCAGCGGCTGGTAATGCATGTGATCGAACGGGACACTGCGCTGCTGCTGCAGGGAAGAAGAGGGAGGTGGAATCAGCAAGGTTGAAACCGAGCGCACCGGTCGGTAAGGGGAGTTGCGGTTGGCGAGGAAGAAGGATGGGGATAGGTGAGTTTGGGGAGTGTGAACCGAGTAGGCAGACACAGCCGGCGAGACGGTGCCAGAAGAGACACCGAAGGGGCTGTGGTGTCGGCCGAGTTCCGGAAGAGAAGGCGCGTTGTACATGCCAGCTGAAGACGCAGGAATAGGAACGTTGGAAATGTGCTGACCCCAGTTGGAAGACCGGTTATAGATTGGGTGCATGGGAGCTGGGACAGGGAGTTGAGAAACCGCGGTAGAAGAAAGTTGAGAGCTGGAGGGAGTTGGAAGACAATGAGAAATGGGGTTTGAGGTTGTCAGGTTGGGAGGTGGTAGTGAGAGACCCTGAGACACCGGAGCAGATGTTGGTGTGAGGACGGGCGGAAGAGTGGGCATTGCATTCATAGTCGTGGAGGGGACGGTAATAGGAGCCGGAGTATGTTGTCCTATTCCCCGAGCAGCTCGTTTCATGGGCTGCAACTCGGCATCGTCATCTCGGCTACGCTTGCGAGGTCCAGCCGCAAGCTGGCAAGCTGGCGAAGGAACAGGGTAGGGCAGACCGGGAGCCGGCATGTACCAATTTGGCTGTGATTGCGGTCGAAGCGCATCCGAAGGAGGCGATGGCAACTTCGACAAGGGCGAAGGAGGCTGCAATCGAGGAGGAGAGACACGCATAAGCGGGGTGTCCGTCTCAGCAGGGAGGGCGGATGCCCTGTTGAAATAGTCGGCGAAGAGGCCGAGCTTGGTGTGCCATTGGGCCCACTTAGCCTCGGAGGAAAACAGATCGTATCGGATGTTGCTGAGGAACTCAACCTCCATAATATGAATTTCTTGCACCGCAATGCCCGAAACCTCCGCCCAAGTCTTGTTGGTGTAGGTGTTGTCGTCCAGGACTAGCTGAGTCAGCACGATATCAAGGCGGTGAAACGATAAGCCGGATACTCACATTTATTGCCCAGCATCAGAGCCACCGTCATCAGTCGAAATTCGCTGCCCTTCTTTCCTTTTACGCCAGAATTGAACTTCTTTAGTCGGTAGATAAATAGCAGAGCCAACAAAATCACATTCTGGCTGACTTGTGTAGTCGAGAGAATTGTAGCCACCCATTTTTGGAATCCAACAGTCGGAATCGCCTCGGGGACCAGAGAAGGAACGAGGTGCAGTCGGTCTTCGATAGCTTGAAGTTTGGAAGTCTTTTCGAACCAGAAGAGGCAGGTCATCTGGTAAAATTAAAGAGAGTCAGCGTCCGCGCATAATTTCGTACCCGAGTACTTCGGTGAACTCACCTGCGCTGCGAATTCGGCCAGGTTGCCCTTGCTATTATTGATTGACGAGGGAATTCGCAGTTGCGAACCGCCCGATGTGCTAGTGGACTTCTTTTGCACGGGTTCGGTAGCTGGGACTTCTTTCACAGGTGCCGGGTGGGTTTGCGGATTCGTGCTATATGAAGCTACCGAGGAAGAGGGGATCGAATCGAAGTGAGAGCGCAAGCCATAGATGTGAGATGGCATGCCGTGAGTCTTCACTCCATATGGCATGGCCGGAATGGCATTGTAGGCCAGTCCAGTCATATCGCTGGGAGGAGTGGGCAGACCGTCCCGGAAGGGAGCAGTCCAACTGGGGCCGTTGTGAAAGGCAGGCTTGAATGATCGGTGCTCTCGGGTCGTCGGGTCGATGGCTGGAGTGAAGGTGCCGAGAATCGAGGAGGATTGAGAGCCCAGCGTTGGGAGAGACATAGGGACAGAGTGATCGGATTATGAGAGACGGGTCGACCCATGTGGGATGGTCGAACTGCTACAAGGAAGAACGACAGGAAAACGAGCCGAGCCTGGATCAGTGCTCCATGTCCCTAAATGGACGTGAGAGCGTGCTGGGTTGAGCCTGCCGTTGTATGCTTGAATGGATGCGTGAAATGGTCTTTCTCAATTGGACCAAGGAACGCGAGTGGGGACTTCGAGGAGGAGGCGTAATACTCGTGATCAAAAGCCAGAGTGTAATGAAACGGTAGTCGAGAAGAAAGTAAGAAGTATCTCTTTCACTTTGTAGAGGGGCAAAGAATGATGTATATGGAAACGGCCAAGACAAGGCCCATATAAGGATAGTAAGGTGAACCAGCCTTTCGAGGGACGGACCTAAGAGAGCGCCACTAGTAAGATTAAAAAAGGGAATGGAAATGAAAAAAAATAGAAAAAAAAAAAAATAATGGAAAAAAAAAAAAAAAGGTGTGAGCCCAAAAGAAAACGTTCACGGCTAAGAGGCGGGAATGACCAAAAGGATAATTGGGGAAAATAATAATCGAAGGATGAAGTCAAGGCATCATCTCCATCCTTTTACCGCAGGAAAACCAAGCCCACTAAAGGGAGAGGAGCCAGGGTAGATTGACCCATCCGGAGAAAGCATGAGCGTCCGTACGGCACAGAGTTTGACCCGGACGCAGGTCCAGAGGGTTGATCCTCCTTTCTGGGCTCGTTTGGGTTCCGGTTTGGTCAATCTAGATTGGATTGTCTCTAAGTTGAGAAAAAATAATTATAAAATTAAATGAAGTAAAATAAAATAAAATAAAAATTGGAATGGAATGGAAATACCGGTTGATGTCAGAGCCACCGAGGGGACGGGGGAAAAGTCACAAGTGGATGCGGGCCTAGAAAGGGTAGGTCGCAGAGTAATGTTTACGGAGGGCACTGGTCCCGGACTTGAGCAGCCCTAAGCTAGCCTAGGCGGAGCAGGGCGGAAGGATACTGTGTACGGCGTAGCGCGGGCCAGTGGAAGGGGGGAAGAAGGAGGATGGGAAAATTGGGTGAGGAAAAAAAGAAAGAAAAAAGACTAGGCAGAAAAAAAAAAAAAAGTTTTTTTATTTAATAATTGGAAAATTGGAAAGACAGGATCAGAACAGTCTGAGGACAGATCCAAGACCTGCTGGGGGGTTCAAGGAGGGCTAGTGCAGTGTAGGACCCATATCAGATCCAATAATAAGAGAGGTTTAGCGTGGTTGCAACCGTCGGGCCAATGCCTGGCGACCAGGCCGAATGCCGTAAAAGTGGTAAAATATGGAAACATGGTAACGGTGGTGTAAAATACCGATGATTGCAACTCCGTGTATGCGTGAGGGTGCGCAAGCATGTACGCCTCCGCCTGCACCAGAGGGAAATGATGGCTCCAGGGGGGCAATGGGCAACCGGGAAGCGCGGGGGGGCTCTTACAGGCTTACTTCGTGCTTCTTACATCCCCGGTCTAACTTCCGAGTTCTGGGCACGGTGGCTGATCGCTAGCTTTGGAGTTCCGGAAAGGAATGAGAGAAAGCAAAGCAAAAAAAGAGGGCTGGTGACGGGGTGAGAAGATCACCTTCCGGGTTTGGGGAGTTGACCGCAAATAATGAAGGGCAGGGATGGAGTATGGAGGGCGTTTCTTTGATCGGCAGTTACGTTGGTATTGGTAATGTAAGGGAAGACATTCTGGCTTAGCTAACGGTGGAGAGTGAAGTTGAAGGCTGTGGCCAGGGAGGGATCACTCTCGGATCCCGTCCTTTGCCCATTTGGCGGAATTCCAGGATGCGAGGCTCCACCAAGTCTCAGTCTTCCGTGTACAGTCCGAGGAAGGGAAACGACGGGCCATGACTGGTCCGTGGGATCCATCCAAGAGAAGAGGCCTAGCTGGACGACCGAATCATGATTCCATGGTTAGCGATTGCGCATCACCAAGAAGGCCGAGAAACGGTCCCAGTTGCTGTATGATGCGGCCATGACACGGTTACTACAGGTGACTAATCATGTACGCCCCGACTTTTCTTAGCCGCTCACTATTCTGATTGGGTGATCTGCTCGGTCTGGTATCTGGTATTGTTCCCTCGGCTCTCTGACTTCCTCTCTCCCTAACCTTCTGGAGCCGTCGGTCGGATCGTCACTTTTTGGAAGGAATCTCAGCCCGTGTGCGTATTGGGCCCCCTCTTTGAACTTTGCCCATCTACAGTAATCCATCCAGCGCGATCTTCTCCTAATTTGCTTTTTGGGCCTGGTCAGCTTTCAGGCAGATGGACTGATTTGATATTTCAGGTCAAGCCTCATGGGGGCCATGGCACCCGGACATAGACGCGTTTGATTCGTCCGTCATGCAACCCATCTTGAATGTACAGTATATGCTTCTCTAGCAAAACCGAAAACGAGCATTTCTCTTTTTCAGACAGGTTTGAATAAAGGTTCCCCCGAAGATTCCCCCGATTCAAGGGTAGCCTCACGTCGGGTGCATGGATGCTGTACAGGTGCTATGTACTATATCGGTAGTAGTATATAGAGATGGAGGTCTATGTTCCAGATCGATTCCCGATTGGGTATATTAATTGCCCCAAGGACGCGCAACGCGCGCGATTTGGGAGCACGCGCCTCAGGGTGATAGGCAACCCAGTACCATGTCACGAACCTCTCCGGTACAAGTGGACTCAACTGCACTCCGTAGGGGGAAAAAAGATGCTGCAGGACGAGTTTCGGTATCACGCCACCAGTTCACTTGCTGTACTTTCTGATGGGGCTGGGGGGGATGATCCAAAGTCTGAACCTTGGCTTTGGCTTCAACGTTTTCGTTTAGCAGCTGAAAAAGTCCAAGGTCGGTTATAGTGGACTTTGGTGGACACGAATAGGATGTAGGGAAACCAGAATTCCCCGTGCCCACTTTTTTTTTCTCACTTCTCTTCCTGTCGGGATCCTGAGCCACCGCCACGATGTGGGTTCGTTTCGTTGTTCCAGAACCCCAGACCTGTGTCATCCTCAAGACGATCTCATTGATGATCTCGCCCGATTGCCCATTTCGCGGCTCGGAGTTAACGTGACTCGTCACAGTCATACAGGCCTCGCTTGGTCTGCATGGGGCGCCTTTCTCTTTGCCCCCTTGCCATCACACTGTGGGCTACAGCTTACGGGACATTTCCCTTCGCCTTTCCCCGATCTACAGACTGACTTCCACCCCCGTGGACCGCTCGCACGTCCTCGCTTTCGGTCTCTTGTGGGGGCAAGACCTGGGTCTAGCTGGGATAACCAGACCACTGTTCGATGGGACCCCCTCGCACGTTGCCACCGATACGACGACTAGTGATCCCGGTTGCGGTTGGCACGACGGGGCTCTCGAGTCACCGGCGGTGCATGGAGTAATCTACCGTCCCGAGCACATTAATTTGGGTGTGGTCCACAAAGTACGAAGTTACGACGAAAGCAAATAGTCAACTTACCGCGCCCGGTGCCACCTGCATTTAATCCATGGATAATAATAATAAAACTTCGCTGTCACAAGGACGCATTCTGGATGATATCGGTCTTCTGTATATCCCACCGATCACCGGTCACGGACAGGTTCTACACTCGACTCATACCTCTCATGCAGGCTGACGGTGAAACCCTGGGCCCATGGTGATACTCCGGTCGGCGGCTTCGTCGCCTATCATGGGAGTTATCCGAGCTTTTTCTAGCCTCTCTTTCATTTCCGTACCTGTTACCCAGCGCGTAGAGTTAGCAGCCGTGATTGGCGCCGCGTTCGAATCTGCTATAGAGTTTCAGGTCATTGGTAGCATGTACAGTATTGGATCCAACTCAGCAAAGCTGAAGCCGATCACCACCTTCATGTCCACCATCTTTTAATTTTACTTCCAGAACCGGGTTATTCCGACTATAGCTCGCCTGTTTACCTTTGTGTGTAAATTATGGATATTTTCATCATCACACGGCCAGCATTCGGGCGGGGCTCGATCCCGTCTGTCATCCCCGGTATCGAGTTCCTTGAGAAGGGGAGGGGGTAAAACCTATCTCATGCGTCAACTCTCGTGAGATTGTCGAGTCGCCCACCATGTTGCAAACGAACGTGATTGCCGTGATTTCCAGCCTTGCTCTGCTTTCCTGCTCGGGCTCCTTGCGTCTTCTCTCGTCCTTGCTGGTTGCCGGGAGAACCGCTACGTGTGATGTAGATGATGCCGATATTTCGACATCACATCTTGAAACCCGGTAAATGACCAGCACACAAATTTCTCAATGTAATTAATCATCGCTGCGTTAGGTGTGGTTAAACTGCGCCGGTCAAAGTTACTGTAGACGAATGCTTCCTAGCGTCATCCAGAGCATCCCATTGCCCCATCTACAAACCCCTGGGTCTTGGATGGGCGCCCCTTCAGCAGGGGGTCAAATGACATGGATTGGTGCGAGACGATCTTGAAGGCAAAGCTCCGCACACATTCACTCGGTCTGTTTGTGATAACTTGGCAGACCGAGGTGGGCTTGTCTTTTGTCTCTTGTGACCGATCGAGGCGCACAGTTGCCTGCTACCCTGACTGAGACCGATCGAGGCGCACAGTTGCCTGTTACCTACCCTGACTGAGATGCACTTCGAAAACCAAGGTTCTACGCAGATCGCAGGCAACAAAGGTCCAAAGACCCGAATTAGATCATTTGAAGGAGTCCAGAACTCAGCCCAGGGTGCAGGGGCCAAACGGCCCATTCGCGTCAAAGAGCATACTGTAGGTTTTTGATTGATATAATCGATTAGGCTTTTGGGGTCTGGGGGTGTTTTTTTTCTTTTCTTTTTTTCTTGTTCTGGAGGGGTTATGCCCCAAGCACTTAGCACCTAACCTAGCAGCAACCAATGTATGTCTGACACCGTCACGATGTCGAGTGTTTGCTTTGATTTGACTTTTGTGCCAGAGTTTCCGAGGGCCCCGTGAAAGCGTCTTTCGCCCCCCCTCCCCCCGTATGGATGATCAATTGTCCTCCGTACCGTATAGTTGTATAGTTGTGGAGAAGCCCTCATTACGTAGCCGTGTCTCAGGCGTTTTCCTAAGATTAGAGCCTTTTATTGCCGGTCTAGAGCTCGTCAATAGAATCTCACAGCGTGGCGGTCACGGAGACGACCCCAGTTCCCGGAGACATTGCAATCCCGGCATCCGGATTAAACCTGAAATTAAATTATTTCTTCTGCCCACCATCAAGGGGAGGTTCGGTGGAGTCCGCCAACGCGTAACAAGTCCAGTTGGGCCGATGGACGTGCGAGTTGCTAACAGGACCACATTCCCGTCCCCATCCGGTATCGCCGTCCACGTCCACCACCTCCACTCCTCTCTATGCGTGCTGATGGAGTCACGCCCTAAACCTCACCGAAGCCGATCTGTTCCGCCTGGAAACACCCTTTGTCCTCGGCTTCGACAGGTTGCAATGCCAGGTACAATCCCGCGAGCCACCGGCCTCATTTCCAACCGAGCGCCAGGAGTCACCACATTCCTTGAGATTCAAACTCAAATCCTAGCTCCAGTGCTCTGAAAGGAATGGACGGTCCGAGATGAGTTGTAACGCGTTGAGTCGACTCCACGCAGGGATCGTGATCTCCAGGTCATTCAAAAGCAAATGCCCCTATTCGGCGTCATGACCCCATTCTCCCGGGAACGTAGATCTGGATCGCGAGTAACGGTGGAACATGTCACCAGCGCTTTCGATATCTCAGATCGTTGAACCCCAGAAGAAACGAGATTTCCCGATCTCACCAGGGGGGGGGGCACTTACTCCCGAGGTCAGTTGTTCATTTTCACGGAACCGGACGCGGACGGCCAGATTATCTCTTATTGCCGGATTGTGCAATACGTCTGGAGGCCCTTCCCATCTGGACAACCCATGGACCGCCTCCAGTTCTGGAATCTTGGCGGTGGCTGACCACCCCCCAATATCCTACCTGAGCTGAGCACCTCGATCCCCTACTAACTGCAGGATCTTGTTCCATGGCAATATTGACGCCCCCGGCCTGACTACTATAGCCCCGGCACAGCTGCGGCAAGCGCGCATTTCTTTCATTACTTGTCTCTTTGCCATGCCGGATTGACTGGGTCTTTGGTCATTCGCCCGGGCGATTTTGCCCGCGCCGTTATCAGCGAACGGATCTAGAACCGTTGTGACTGCGTTGCCTTGGTCTCAAGGTCTGCGCCCGATTGCCTCGGCCTTGCTATGTATTGTTGTACAACGGTGCGAGACCGTCTTCAAGTGAGTAGATTTGAGGTTGAATGAGATGCTCCTCGTCCTGGGCTGGTCGCAACAGCGCCCTGGTCATGGCTGTCTCGTGACGCGGCGTGGAAGATATTTATGCCATATCGTCGATTTTATCATCAAAGCCGATCGGATGGCAAGAGACTGATGAACTTTGAGCTCATAAACCTAGCCTCCCATAAACCACCTCGACCGAACGAAATTCAAAGCAGGCTCCCTCTGTTGGTGGGGTGTATTTATCTATGCCGTCAAAGACAAAGCGGCTACCTGATACTCGAGTGTTACTCTTCCGCCAAGGCCAACTGCATATGTTATTCCAAATATCGTAGCGCCACGACAGCGTGATGAATATCCCATCTTATTATCCCCGGGGTCCTTTCAAATATGATAGATATCACTCAAGAATTCGCACGATTTAGATTCACAGTTTCAACCCAATAGCTTTCTTTGAATCTAGACTCCGTAACGTCTGGACCCTGAGTCGACTCGCATTTCACCAAGCCGCCATCGCAGAGGCAAATGTATCATGATCCCGATACAAAGAAGTCCAGAACGAAAGCCACCCTTGCCATCTACAGTTTCAACGACATCTGTCCTCCCCGGAGTCGCCGACATTTTGAAGAGCGCTCTCATGCACAATGCATAGTCGCTCGGTATAAGAGCGACACAGGACGCAATCACCTTGAGGCGTCCAGCTTAAAAATGAGGCTATGGTCCTAGCCTTGCTTACCAGCCTGCACATGGATGAGCTTTGATTCCTTTCGGTTGGTAATCGAGCTAGCCTGCAGCTCGGAGATATTTGATGCATCACATTCTAACATTCCTGCCCGAGAGATATTTGGCTTACGTGCATGTACCTTTTGCCAATGATCTTCGTCGATTCTTCATTACTTGTGCACATGTGCTGCAGATGTGATATTCCCCCTTTGAAACCCGTCAGGTTCACAAACGCAGGGAGGCTCTTTCCTAGGAATGAGCAGCTTACAGGTATTTCTGCACATGAGAATGGGAAACGCTCGACATCATTCATACTGAGTCAGGTCCGCAAGTGCCCCTACATTGTGTAGCAAAAGCAAGGGTTCATTCCCCTTATCCCTCCCCGAGGTAGTGTGAAGGTCATGTCTGGGAGCAACGCATCCAAGTTTTGGCTCTACTAAACATACCGGATCCTTCAACCAACTTCTCAATCAGATGAAACCATGTTGTTCATGTGAAGCAAGGGCACGGTATTACAGCAACCATTCCGAAAAGTCAAAAGCCGATTCATAGCTGGCAGTATTTGCAGCCGCATCCTTCAAAGCATCCCAGTTGACACCACCAATACCAATCTCATAATCCCAATCTGAATGAGGATCCTCATTGGGTAGAACCTGCCAATAGAACCAAGGAATACCAGCTGCACTGATACTATCAGCCCATGACTTGATATTGTTATCACGAGTCCCCGAAGAAAGTGGATCGGAGATGCTGCAGCGATTGTTCTCAGAGTCGAAATAGCAAGCACCCCATTCCTCCATGATAAGCTTCTGGCCACTTTTCTGTGCCTTGGAAACGTATGGTGTCAATGCATCAGTAGCGAAGTCACCAGTTCCGTAGGCGTGGATGGCTAGGACATCCAAGGCCTTGCAAGAAAAGTAGGAGTCTAACAGTGAAGTAGCCAGATAGGCACCGCCGCCGGTCGTTACGAGAATGCCAGTACTTCCGTTCAGATTATTTTTGATCGCTTCGGCCATTGAACACTGCCAAGTTGCCAAAGCAGTGGGGTTTCCCTGAAGTTCTTCATCAGCCTTCAAAGGTATCGCGGAGGTGATATATTTGCCATGAAAATGGACACTCACGTTGTCGTGCATTGCCTCATTCTGAGCCTCGAAACCAAAAATATATTCCGAACTCTCCGCCCATGTCTTCCCATTATGAGGATTCACATGAGCCATAACATGAGCAATTCGGTTTTTAAAGTACTGCATCGCGTCGCCGTTGGTATAGAAGTCGCCAGTACCATACCACTTTCCGTAGAAATCGGCGTCGGAGGACAGTGCATTGTAACTGTGAATCGAAACAAGCAACTTTATTCCATGCTTATGGGCATTGTACATCACATCATCCAGGCGATTGAGGACGGTGTCATCCCAATCACCAGGCGAGTCGGATTCCAGACCCGGGAAGGTGTTGATCTTGGTACCTTTCTGCTCATTGGACTGGCCTGAGAGACGATAGGTTCAATGTTAAAAACGGTCTTTGATCATATGGCTGGGAAATATGAGCTACCATCGAGCCAAACTCGGAGTGCTTTAACGCCTGCGCTTTCTAGGCCATTAAATAGTGTATCTTGTTGCTCCGATGTCAAGCCAGCAGCGAAGTAGAGATTTGACCCAGCGAAGGACTGAGCTCCGAGCACAGAATGGGCGATTGCCAAGGAGGCAAAGAGAGGTTTAAAGAGTCTCATTACAGTGGACCTTGTAGTTATGGGAGAGTGTAAGTTGGTGGAGGACTAAAAGTTCAATTATGTCTGACTCTCGCAGCTTTTATTTTAATATTGCTGGTCTCAAAATCTTCGAAACGATGCCCAAAGGCTATTTCTGAGGACTTTTGATCATCCGAGACATTTCAACAACTTTCATATCCACTTTTCTCTAAGATCTGAAGACCAGTGGATTGGGTTGGCGCTCTATTTCTCTTTGAAGTAGTTGGCATTCCGGCGACCCCGAGCAGGGGAAGGCTATTGATTGAACGTTTAGCATAAAAAAAGGTCTTCCGCGGGCTATCGCTCCTATCACTCGCAAGCTTGGACTTTGATCGACCAAAATGATCCTTTTGGTGAAACATTTAAAACAACTTCAGTTTCAGGTCCTTCCTAATCGAGAAAATGGTCTATTCGCATGCAATAACACATGTTGAGCAATCTAGTAAGCACTAATAGACTGATCACCTGCAACTTTGAACAACTCATAATCAATATTGCAAATTAGGAACATGTTCATTATTCTTAATAATCCAAGGAAGATTCGACATAGTAAACCGGAAAAACGGATTCTTGAGATCCGTGATATCAGCCTCTCCTAGTTCAGGACCCCTGAGCTCCTGTGCTTCTTGCGAAGGGCCACTCTCTGCGGCAAGGCAGTCTCAACGTATATTTTCTCACATATACCAGAACTTACAAAGCATTATAACGATTGCTCCAGGGGCAAAACAAACCAAGCAAGCGACCGCACCGAAACACACCGCAGAACATCTTAGTTATACAGACTTGAGCTCCTACCATATTGCCTACAGAGTAAGCAATTATGGTCGTTGCGGCGACGTCGGAGGGGCCTAGAAGCTGTAAGTCGTTAGATATGAAGAAATGATAGAAAATTGTATCACCGATGTACCCATCCATATTCCAATCAAGAAAGCCTCCCAGAGAGAAAACGAGGGTCATGAAAAACGTGTTCACTTCACCACTTATTTTGCGGCGCGTTTAGCAGCAAAGACATAACGAGAAGTGCAACAAGTGACAGGATGCAACTCGCTAGCATCACCCACATTCGTTCTTTACCTTAAAGCAGATGGTTATTGCGGGATATGGAATGCTCTTGATCCTTCTATATGCCTGGGCAATCAACGTTATTTGCCCGTCGCTTGTCCCCAACTTGAGATTGTATAGCTTCATAAAATGCGTCATAAAGAATATGTGTTCCTCACTATACTAGACTAAGTGTCATTTAGTTCAGACAAACAACATCGAATACAACATGCTTATTCTGGGTTGCCTTAGTCTGATGTTCGAGGACTTAAAAGTGATATCTAGGATGGTTTGCTCATACGAATGAAGATAACTCGTTCCTATAGCAATTCACTACAGTCGGGGATTTTTATCTATCGGGAACATGTGAAGAGATGTATAAATTGGCGGGCAAAGTTGAGGGTCGCTCAGAACAGAGATGCTCTCGTAATGGCACAAACATCCGATCTTCTCGAAAGGAAAAAAAAGTGGCTTAAACAGAGCTATAGGGAGATAGTCAAAAAAAAGGTCAAGAAGGAACCGAAAACACACACACACACACACACGTATTTAAAAGAAGCAGCATTGAAGAATGGGTGAAGAGCATCAGTGAGCGCCTAACAATGTGGTTCCAGCAAGCTCAAAGCTATTCAAAATGCACCATGTTAGAATTCAAGCATGTTCAGTGCTACCATCCCTTTGCCGGGTTCTACTGACTTACGCCCCAGCTGAGAAAAAGGATTCCAGAAGACGTACAGACTGTGCTCAGTGCAGCCCGGGTATTGTTTGATGATGATTTCAGCCAGAGAAGCGCACCTGTACGAGCACGTCAATATCCTTGGACGTCGATTTTACTAGGGTTAGGGGGTCAGTACGGAGTATGAATTCGATTTCTTTATTGCTCCATAGCACATTCTTTACGGCGGCAATCTTTACTAGTCATCCTTTGGCATGCTGTAAAGCCCTATCGCGAAAGATAGCGGTATTCCGAACACCGATCAAGCTACAATAGCGAGAGTTTAAGCACGACTACGTCATTATCGTTCCGACTAGCTAAGACCACCGACTCTCGCCGAAGGCTTAACCCTAGCCCGTGGAAGACTGAGGCGCCAGGAAGGAATCGGACTGGCCTTGCTTGGAGTGGATCAGATTTCCCCCCCCCAGATTATACGGAGAGGGAAAGTCCAGGCCACAATAGAGCCGAAAGGTAAAGCGAAGTTGGACTTCTCTGTTGAATGTGTCGTGCATGACGGGTAAATTCGGAAAATGCAGGGAGAAGTCGGGATGATATGAAAAGGAAGTTTGAAGAGTGACTAGTTGAATAGACGCTGGAAGGGATGCGCTAGAATGCTTTTTGTATTGATCTACGTACTATAGCTTTATGCGCGCATACAAAGGTCGGTAGAATTGGAGTCGGGACGGTTCCCCGTTTAGAATCTACTCCTCAGCGGTTAATTTCTCCTCACCGGGGTGGCTTTATGGGTCCTATGGAGCTCCCCTCACGTCTCCAATTTTCCCTTTTTTTTTTTTTTTTTTTTTTTGGTGCTTTTTCGCTAGCCTCTGTGCCGCTTAGAATAAAAAAAAATTGGGGCCCTGTGAGCTCGTCGTCGGCGATAATGACCGGAGTCATTGCGAAAATATGTCAATTGATTCTATCCGATCATAGCAATCGGTATAGCGTAAGAAGAATATCAAAACAGATAAATAATGACAGATTAGAAAAGGTATAGGATACTTATGCCGTCATAGAGAACAGTATAGGAAAGTAAGTACCGGGGACTTGGAAAGTGTCCGGGAGCCGGCGACACACCGATTCGCCCAAAACAGCTTCCCCGAAGGTGCTTACACGGGACTCCCTTATCACAGATTTTTATGATCGGCTCGGCTTCTCCCTTCTTTCCTTCACACCACCTTTCATCTGGTTCTTTCTCCATTATGGCTGGCAGTACGCTAGCAATGCGTTCGATGATGCAGCTGTCCTCGGTGTCACGCCGTACTGTCTCCACGGCGTCCCAGGCTCTCCGCTCGAAACCTTTCCAGCCTAGTCTCAGCATCTCGCGCGTCGCTCGTCGTGGCTACGCCGATGCCGCTCCCACCCCTTCGCCTGCCCCCAAGCCCAAAAAGCGTTTCCGATTCCTGCGCTGGTCCTGGCGGTTGACCTGGCTCTCCAGTCTCGGTGTGACCGGTGCCTTGGCCTATAGCATCTACTCTCTGCGTCACCCCGTCGAGCAGCTCGAAGCCGACCCTTCTAAGAAGACTCTTGTCATTCTCGGTATGACGCCATCGCGATCGTTATTCCCATAGTAAGCATTGCTAATGCGGTCCCCACTATAGGAACCGGCTGGGGCGCTGTCTCTCTGCTGAAGAAGCTCGATACCGAGAACTACAATGTCGTCGTCGTCTCCCCCCGTAACTACTTCCTGTTCACTCCCCTGCTGCCGTCATGCACTACCGGTTTGATCGAGCACCGCTCGATCATGGAGCCTATCCGTAACATCCTGCGCCAGAAAAAGGCCACCGTCAAGTTCTACGAAGCCGAAGCCACCAAGATCGACTACGAGAAGCGCGTTGTTTACATTAGCGATGACTCTGAGATCAAGGGTGACGTTGCTCACACTGAGGTTCCTTTCGATATGCTCGTTATCGGCGTTGGTGCCGAGAACGCGACTTTTGGTAAGTGCTCCCTCACGCGCGACAATGAGGTTGAGATGGACAAAACTGACCTGTTCCAGGTATTCCGGGTGTCCGCGAGAACTCGTGCTTCCTGAAGGAGGTTAACGATGCTCAGAACATTCGTAAGCGCATTATGGATTGTGTCGAAACTGCTATGTTCAAGGACCAGACCGATGATGAGGTTAAGCGCCTGCTGCACATGGTTGTGGTTGGTGGTGGCCCCACTGGTGTCGAGTTTGCCGGTGAAATCCAGGATTTCTTCAATGAGGACCTTAAGAAGTGGATTCCTGAGATTAAGGACAACTTCCACGTTACCCTTGTCGAGGCTCTGCCCAACGTTCTGCCCATGTTCTCTAAACAACTGATTGACTACACCGAATCAACCTTCAAGGAGGAGGAGATCACCATCCGCACCAAGACCATGGTCAAGAACGTCACCGAGAAGTTCATCCAGGCCGAGGTCACCAACCCCGACGGAACCAAGACCCTTGAGACTATCCCCTACGGTCTGCTCGTCTGGGCCACCGGTAACGCTGTGCGTCCCGTTGTACGCGATCTGATGAGCCAGATTCCCGCTCAGAAGGACTCCCGCCGTGGTCTTGCCGTCAACGAGTACCTGGTTGTCAACGGTGCCGAGAACATCTGGGCCGTCGGCGACTGCGCTATCACCAACTACGCCCCTACCGCCCAGGTTGCCGGCCAGGAGGGTGCCTTCCTGGCCCGCCTGTTCAACACCATGGCTAAGACTGACACCATCGAGAAAGAGCTTCAGACCCTCTCTGAGCAGCAGGCTCACGCCAAGTCCAACGACGAGCGCAACGCTGTCCTCGAGGAGATCCGTGAGCGTCAGAAGCAGCTTCGGAGAACCAAGCAAATTGGTCCCTTCCAGTACTCTCACCAGGGTTCCCTTGCCTACATTGGCAAGGAGCGTGCCGTCGCCGATATCAGCTGGCTGAGCGGCAACATCGCCAGTGGTGGTACCCTGACCTATCTTTTCTGGCGCAGTGCCTACCTGAGCATGTGCTTCAGCTGTAAGTTGACCTTGCGTGCCTTGAAGCCTTGTTTATACATTGATACTAACCTTTACTAGCTCGCAACCGTGTTCTGGTCGCCGTTGACTGGATCAAGGCCCGCCTGTTCGGCCGTGACGTCTCTCGGGAGTAAAAACATTACCTGTCAATGTCATTATCCCAAGTGACTGTACTATACAGCCGTTTCTATTTCCTTTTATCATTTTCCCAACACGACAAATGTGTCATTGGACACTTGTAACGCCACGCCACCTTCATACCTGCCATTGGGCTTTTCTTGCTCTCGTGAAAAAAAACATATTCAATATCCATTCTCGATGACCCGCCGTTACTGATAGCGGGCTCATCCATCTCCTTATAACATGATGTACACTTTAGGCCGTGACCGTTCTGACAGAATTCTCGTACTGAGATTTGGAGAGGAAAAGCATTAATTCGCTTCTTTTTTATTCATTTCAGCTTTTGCTTGGGTTGTACGCTACGGGAATAGATAGACTGGGTTTGGGGTCGTTGTCTAGAGCCTACCTTCACAATGAATTTCGTTTCTAACTGCATTCTGCCTTCTACGTAACCCGTTTAAGACTAAACCACAAATAACTCTCGAGGGAGGGAATTCTTAGTTATACATATCCGGTCAAATTTGAGTCTCTATACAAGGACTGGGTCGTTTGAGACATGGCCATTCCAACGAGAGAGGAGTAGACCCAAACAAGGATGAAATTATGGAAACGGGGCTGAAAGGTATCAAAAATTACAAGCCGGGAATAGGCAGAGGTATCGAACGAACAATGGCAGGGGAAGGAGGCAAGCAAAATCAAACAGTAAATGGAAGATTTTAGCTTAGAAAATGGACCAGCGGCCACGGGTCTCCTTGGCAGCCTGCTGACGATCGGTCTTTCGCTGCGAGCTGCGGCCGTCTAGCTGTCGGATGCCCTCGATCTTCTGCAGTGCCAGCTCCAGTAGTTCCTTTTTGCGGATGATGTCGAGGTGACGACGGACGCGAGGATCTTCGCGCGCGAAGCGCTCAACCTCGGCATCGGAGAGGTGTCGGCCAAGTCTAGAATCCAACTCGCGGGGGAAGTTGTAGTAAAACTCAGAAAGGAGTTCCACATTCAGGAACAGCACGGCCGTTGAGGTGAGCTTGTCTGCTACTACATCGAGGAAGACCTCTGGGCAGTAGTATTTGTTCTTTTGGGTGGCGCACTGCTTGGATCGGACGGCCATGAGTCGTAGCTTGATGATATCGGCTCGGTCACGGAGGAAAATTCCCTCTCGGCCTGTAAAGCAAATCAGTTTGGATGTAAAAGAAGTAGGGTCGGCGGATCAAAGCTTACCACGTTCCAAAAGAGCAGCACTGAATCCACCTGCGCCACTGGAGCTGTTGCCCTCGATTAAGACATCGCCCTTCCTGACTTTGTCGATGAAAGCCATCACGTCTTTGAGCTTGCGTTTCCCAATTGTGTCCTCAACGTGCTTGGTGGCTGACTCGCATGCTCGGAGTTCCTCCTTCAATACCTTGCCCACATTATCCCTTCCTTTTGACCATTCTGAATCCTCAACTTCGATTTCGAACTTGTATGGCTTGATGCAGTTTTCCACCTGATCACTAGTGCTGAAGAACCGGTCATTGAGAATTCCGGTACAAGCATCAATGATCTGCTTGTGTGCTCCAGGGTGGGCAGCGAATGTAGAGTTCGCCAGGAGGGAGTCCACATGGTTCTGAAGAGCATTCGCAACCACGGTGGTAGCAAGTCGGCCAATGCCGAGTTTGGTCAGCATGGAAGAGGAAGCATCGAGTTTCCGATGCCAGTATAAAGACTCTGGATCGGCCTTGGGCAATTCTCTAAGGGGGTCCAGCTCCAACATCGGTGGGTTCAAGTCCTCGACGGGCTTATTCCAGTAGCGCTGTGCCAAGATATCCATGACTCGCTGATCCAGCTCAGCCTTGAGCAATTCTCGAACCTGAGGCCGACCGAAACTCTCAGCAAATGCCTTAAAGGAATGCTTGAAGCTGTCCAAACTTTCCGCCATGTATGACTCAGCGCTGAGAGGACGATCATTATATTGCACTTTAAACTCATATGACGCCTCTTCCAGCTCCTGGCTGATGGCATCTTTGGTTCCGGACAGGCTAGCAGCCATGGTCTGTTCGAGAATGTGCATGAGTTTCTTGCGCAGAGTTGATACGCCGACGGAGGTTTCTGAGTGAGGTCCGAATTCACCAGGATGGGCAGAGAAGTACGCATTCTCATTCTTCAGAATGGCGCTGGTAATGTTGCCAGAGCCTCGAGAGAAGAGAGCTGTTGTTTGAGGAGCCCGGCTCACAACACCCACATAGCCCAACCGAAGAGGGTACTTCTTGTCGCAGAGAATGTCGTGTCCCCGCTCAGGGTCAACAAGATCCATCTTCGTGATCACACCGATAGTGCGCTCTCCTCGGGGATCCACACGACGGCTAGCTCTGAGCGCTGTCGAGTTTGCCAAATCGACATCGGCTGCTGAGATAGCCAGGATGACATTCGGGGGCTGGATGTATTTGTCGCAAAGATCAGAAATCTTCTGCTTCAGCTCCGGAGGCTGATCATGGCCAGCCACCTGAATATAGCCCGGTAGATCAATCATGGAGAGATCCGGAACGTTGGGAGAATAGATTGTCAGTTGAATAGGGTCGTCTGAAACACAGTCTGTGTCCGGGACAGCAAGGTTCAGGTCGGTCAGGGTGCGCTGGATCGAGGAGAAGTCCGTGATCTTGCCGAGACCCAAAGCCGGGAATTCACCGTATTCCGCTTGAGCGTTTGGGGTGTTGACCAGGGTCAGCTCAATCGGTCGTCGGGTGACCATGTTGGAGCCTTTGGGCAAGAACTCATGTCCAACGATGGCTTCGAGAACTGAGCTTTTGCCCGAAGACTGAGAGCCAATGACGACGATAGACGGAAGGGTCAACGAGCCGGACTGGCCGACAGTCTGGAGGATGTTTCGAATTTCGATCATTTTGCGAGTGAGAACCATCATTTGGTCGTCGTCGGCAACTTGTTTATCGTCCCGTGAATCTTCCTCGTCCGACTGCTCGTAGCCAAAAGCTGTACCAGTTGCAGCCGCGGCACCCGCTACTGCAGCTCTTCCCTCCTTGGGTTCCTTTCCACCGCCGCTGTCCTTTCGAGACTTGGAGTCCTCATCGAGTCGAAGGATCTTCTGTAGCCATTCAGGAAGCTCAACATCCCCTGTTGTGTTCTCCCATCCGCGTTGTGTTTGGTCCGCCACGTCCTGAATACTTTGGAATATGCCCGATGCAGTATTCCCCGCAGTCTCTCCGAATTGTTTGAAAACGTCTATCGCGTAGTTCCCGGCCTCTGTATATGTTCATTAGCAGCTGCGGCTTGAGGCCGAGCTCGGTATGACGTACGATTTGCTTGATATTGAATGTAAGCCAGGCCCGCGATGGTTGCACCCCCGAACATGGCGGGAATGCGGGCAAGTTTAAGCGCCAGTCGTGGCAGCATCCGTCCGAAAGAAAATTCCCTCACAGCAGGCACGTTGTGGATGCCATTTGAGCCTATCGGCCATGCGCGTCCCCTCAGAGCGGCGCCACCATCGGCGCGAAGTAGGCCTCCTGTTCTGAAGCCAGCATTATGGAAATGGCGCGCCCGGCTAGTTCGCACTAGCGGGGCAAGTCGATGGGAGAGAATCCTCCCACTCATGGCTATTGCGATATCTCATTCAAAATAGTTTGTAAAGTTGAAAGATCACGGGTGACATCAACGTGACTACGCGAGTGGCCGCTTCGTCTCCCGTAATTTGTCATGTGATCAAAATGACGTGCTGTGCAAGGGAACTGGGGAAGTGGTGTTGGGAGGAATTTTTGTTCCTGAAAGATATTCTGCCTCTTAGCGGGCTTCTGCTGTGTGTGTTTTACCCCCTGTCAGGCTCAGAGTTGTGGTTGGCTCGAAGTGGTCTAGTTGCGACTTCCGAATAGTCGGTGACTCTTCATCTGCCAATACCCAACGGCCAAGTCGACTCAAGTCACCGCCAGGAGAGAACAATCAAGGAGCTCGAACATCACGCTACAACCTGCAACATTAATATCTGGAGCACAATTACCTTGAAGCCATTCAAGTTCAGTCCTCAATCGTGTCCGATTGGATCGAATCAAGACCAAACATGTGTCGATTCTTGGTGAGCTGCTCTGCTCCACTCGTTTGGTATTATTCTGTCTGACTTTGACCACAACAGATCTACAAGGGTCTCAATGAAATTCGTCTCAGCAAACTGGTTACCGAACCCAGTCATTCCATCCTGACTCAGTCCTATGACTCCCGGTTAAGATTGGTATGTTCCTGAGTCTCAATGCCCCGCCTTCTGAGAGCTGCCATGTATAGATAGGCGCTAACATTGACTTACAGGATAATCGGCGCCCTGTCAATGGAGATGGCTTTGGGGTGGGCTTCTATACCGACCCTAAACTTGGACCAGAACCCTGCATCTTCACATCAACATTGCCCGCCTGGAACTGCGAGAACCTGGAGCGTCTGGCTTCGAAAACTTGCTCTAACCTTATCTTTGCCCATGTCCGCGCCACCACCGAGGGTGCTCTCGCGGAGAATAACTGCCACCCTTTCCAGCACCAGACTCTGATGTGGATGCACAATGGCAGTATCGGCGGCTGGAACCACATCAAGCGGGCATTGGGTAGCTCTCTCGCCGATAAGTGGTATCTTGGTGTCAAGGGTGGCACAGATAGCGAGTGGTCCTTTGCACTGTTCCTCGATTTGCTAGAGAAAGAAGGTGTAGATCCAAGTTCGGATCCGGGCCCGGAAGGATTTGAACAGGCTCTGTTGCGTCGTGTCATGATGAAGACCATTGCCAAGATCAATGAGTTCATCCGAGAGATCCCTAACAAGCACAATCTCACCGATCTTGAGACGCGAAGCCTGCTGAATTTTGCGGTTACGGATGGCCACACCGTTGTCTGCACTCGGTATGTCAGCAGCAAAACCGACGAGCCTGCGAGCTTGTACTTTTCGTCTGGCACCAAATGGAAGGAGGGGAAGACCAAGGGTCATTTTAAGATGGAACGTCATGACAAGGGTGCTGATATTGTACTTGTGGCTAGTGAGCCCATCACCTTTGAACGACGTCAGCAATCCTCCCCTTTTATCGATGATGACAAGCGCTGATTGAATTTATAGACAACTGGGTATCTGTTCCCACAAACTCAGTTGTGACCATTCACAAACAGACAGTTTTGCTTCACCCGATTCTGGATGAATTCTACAGCGAGGATCTCAACCACGACCGCTCGACCTGTTTCGCCGTATCCAAGGGCCTTGTCAGTACAGCGCCTGGTACTACTGTACCTCCACCAAACCAGGATACGTGTGCCTCTTCTGCAACCCACGCAGCAAATAAGAGCGATGTCGCGGCTCCGGGTGGGCCTCGCATTCCTCAGCATACAGCAGCGGTATAACATGGAGCTGCGAAACACTATCAGTGCAAGCTTTTTTTATGTTTTTATGTTTTATATTTTTTTTCGGGTTCGGGTTTGTGCGAGATCTTTAAATTGGAAGGATAAATGATACCTACCCTGCATTTGGAGTCATCGGGTTTGGGTTTTTGGTTGGAAGTTATTCACATGAGCATTTCAGTCCCGTTGAGGGTATTAGCATTGAGATTAGCCACCTCTACACATGCAGTCACAGATCAGCTCGGATGAAGAGCATACACTAAATTTAGAAAAGACCGCTTTGGATGTTTATTTACATGGAATTTCTCATCAATCCTATATGCCCCTATATACACAGATAATGTCCGCCGGATGAGGCTTCCTCTCTTGGTTGCCGCCGCCTTGATGAGGGCGATCAGGCTCAGGCTCACTGTGTAAATGTCAGGACGGGCTCATGCTCAGTGATCTGGTCAGTGCAGTCATCTGATCACTCGGTCACTGCTTACAGTGCAGTCAGTACTCACCAGACTCATTGTCCAGTCAGCTGTACCTCTTTCCCAGCCTATCAGCGAAGTACGCAGTAACTGAGCAGAAGCGAATAGGGAAAGCGGTGAGAAGTGACTTTAAGCCTGGCTCCCCGCCCCACCCAACTGTCCTTCAACCAATCGCACTCATTCATCGTCTCCTTACCAGGCTTCAACTAATTGTACTCATCTATCTATCCCCTTCTCAACTGTCACAGCTGATTCGGCCGCCTTGCTTTTACTAGAACTGCCATACCCTTTAGACTGGCCCCAAGCGCACCACAACCTGGGTAATCGGCATGATGTCATCATCTTCAAAGACGGTAAGTCCTTCTGTGTCTTCTAGTCTTCTAGTCTTTTCGATACTCATAATCAAGCTAGAAGCTGGATCGAAAGCTGAATATTTACGCACCACTTGAACCCACGGACAAAAAAATCTGGAGGGGGACGTTTCAGGGTGTGCAAATGATGAGAGGCTTCGGCAACTGGTCCAAAGCATCAGAAACGGTTTATTGATTCCTATGAAAGCACAGGGTGGCAAGACACCCACTGAAATCACACCGTCTCCGCGTTCTGGCGTTGAAGATTCAATCGAGACTCTCAAGAGCCTAAGCATCGAGCCCATTAGTAGAAGCTCTCAGTCGCAACTCTGGCACCGCTGTTTAGAAAGAGATGGCAACAAATGTCTTGCAACGGGGCAGTACAGTCACAGCCACGCCCATCCACGGAACGCAATAACGACCCATCTTGAAGCTGCCCATATTATTCTATTTGCACTTGGATCCTTTCAGGCCAATGACGGCGAGGTAGTGAACAGACATGCAAAGATTTGGGTCAACCTAAGGCGCTACTTTTCAATTCTTCGCAATATATCCTTTACCTCAGAACAGATCAATTCGGAAAAGAATGTCCTGATGCTAGACTCCCCACTTCACACGGAATTCGGTCAATTCAGACTCGTTTTTGAAGCAACCGGAGTTGCTCACCAATATTGAATCAAGACCTTTCCAGATACCGCCACAGGGCCAATACGAAATTTACCTAAAAATCGGCTTGTCAAGTTCAGAGTTCACAAAGGAAGTTGGGAACTTCCAGATCCTGAACTTCTCGAAATCCACGCTTGTATTGGAAACTTTCTATATATAAGTGGCCAGGCGAAGATAGTCGACAAGGTCCTGAAAGAATTTGAAGACTGTGGTGGGCTTGCCCCAAGTGGAAGCACTAATATCGAAGACCTTCTTGCAGTGAGCGGCCTCTCACTACTACCCTCGAATACCAACGAAACGCCCGATTCCCAAAAGTCTACAGAGAAGCAACATCCTCCGGAGAAACAAGATGCAGTAAGCGGCCTCTCGCTGCTACCCTCGAATGTCGACGAAAAGTCCGATTCTCAAAAGTCTACAGAGAAGCAACGTCCTACGGATAAGCAAGGACGCCTACGGGCGAAAATTTCTGACGCTGAGAATAAACCACGGGCATACTAAACTGCATAATAGGGAAAGCGGTTGGCACGGTCACATTAACAGGTTAGGCCAGGTGATGGACCGGTCCACTATTTTTAGCTTCTTAGTTCTGAACTCATCAACAGAGAGATCCAGTGTTATTGATTCGGCTGTCCTCGTTTTCCGTAATAGTCGCATGGCCTTTAGAATAAGCCATGATCAGCTTTGGCTTTCCGGGTCTCTGTTTGTTATTGGAATCAAATATCACTACACTATCATGTTAAATTCGTTCAACTTTTCAGTCACAATCTAGTGAGTGGATAAGATTGATAATATAATGATCACTGACCAGCTCAGGCCGATCAAGGCGTGCTCAATTCTACCCAGTGAGCAAAAGCGGCGAGAGAGTGAGCACTAGAACGGAAGGGCCCACCAAGAGTTGCCGGACGTTATCCGGTATATATGCTGCTCCTCAAATGTTTCCAAGAACATTGAAGCTGCAGAGTAGTACATATTCACCCTGCTAACCGGACCGGATCGACCAAACCATTTCCCTTTTTAGAGGTTTTAGAGGCTTCGTCGTGAGCCAAGCTTTCAGCTGTAAAGACTTCTATATTTCACCATTTCGCTTCTTCGCTGTATTTTACGATAAGATGGCAATTGGGGCCAAAACGGCCGGGCTTGGCGCCTTTTTCTAGGCAGCATACATGGGCCCAGCCCCTATCTTCATTACTGCTCTGACAGCAAAGGTGATCGTCGAATCTACAACGAACATGTCACAGCCAACAACCTTTCTGAGGTTCGCAAGTAAGTGACCCCTCTTTAGCCTAGATAGTCTCAGCGGATCAGCGCTGACTGGAATACAGGTCCTAATGAACGCCGCACCATCAGCCGAGAAGATGTCGGCTATTACAACGCCCTTATCATAGCAGCAGTCTACGAGATTGCAGGTGAAGACGTAGACGTTACTTCAACTCAGTCTTTCATTTCTCCCTTGAAGTACTGCATCCAGGAGCACCCATTCCTGAGTGTGATCGTCAAGGACAAACATACAGAAAACCCCGCTTTCGAAGGAGCTTCAAGCATGAACCTCGAAGACCATATCTTGATAGTCCATGACGAGACCAGTGACGAGATAACTGCTTTTCAAAACATCCTCCCGCCGATCCTTGACCGGCCTTGGACCGCTGATGTGCCCCCATGGCGAATTGTTGTCCTTCCTCTAGCTTCGCATGACTCCAAAGTGAAGCGTTGCTTTATAGTCTTTTCGTTCTCCCATACCCTCGGAGATGGCATGGTTGGATTGACATTCCATCGTACTTTCTTAAACGCATGGCAGAAGAACACCATCGCAGATGAGAAAGAGTCCTTCTTAGTGACACCACCAGCGCAAGTGCTCACGGCGCCCTTCGACACGCCTGAAAAACTCCCCATATCCTGGAAGTTCCTCCTGGCACCCCTGCTAGCAGTGTATCTACCAGATTTCCTGAACAACCTCTTCGGTCTCCGCCCAGCCGTCAGCCCAGTCGATGATGGCACATGGACAGGCGCGCCCATTTTCGTCAACCCGAACACAACAACCAGACTCAGAATCCTCGAGATTGAAGCCCCGCTAGTCAAGAACGCTCTACAAGCAGCAAGATCCCACGATGCCAAGCTCACCGCAACTATGCACCTACTAATCGCCCGGGCCTTGAGCCAGGCTTTTACCGACCCCAAGATCACCAATTTCGTCTCCGGGACGGCGGTCGATATGCGCTCATCCGTCGGAATCCCAGCTTACACGTGGGGCCTCTACGTAAATGGTCATTACGAGGCCCATTCACGTATACATGAGATCGGGCCCGAATTCTCAGATGAAATGTGGGCTTCTGCAAGCTCCATTACGAAGAGATTAGCCGAATGCCATGTGAGACTACATGATCAAGCCATCGGTCTTTTGAGATACGTTCCCAGCATAAGAAAATGGATACAAGGGAAAGTTGGGCATGCAAGAGATTGCTCGTTTGAATTCAGCAATCTGCTTGCCTTTGATGGTGGTCGGAATCCGGATTGCAATATTAGCAAGATGGTTTTTTCGAGGCCTGCTAATCCCATTAGCGCGCCTATGGACTTTAACGTTATTAGTTGTAAGGGGAGTAGCTTGATCTGTACGATTAGTTGGCAAGCTGGAGCTTGGGGTGTGCCTGTCGAGGAGGAGAGGGTGTTGGTTGATGGCATATGCTCATCGCTTCGACAAGGGTTCGAGGCCTTCTGACGGTGGCTCTGAGTAATAGAGCGATGCCACGTACATAGGACGCGGATGTTCTAGCAGGATATGTATGCTATTGGTAGAGCGGTCTCTCTTTACATTCTAATTTTTAATTGCCCCAGGTTGAGTTGGCATCTAAGGGTCAGGATTCATAGGAATGACTACCTAGATATAATAACATTGAAAGCGCCCATTTGGGAAATAAATTAACATAATGTACATTGAAAGAGCAACGAGGCTCAACTATCATCGCCCGATATATTAGCATGTTTGAAGTACTTCATCCCCACCCAAGCAACAACCACCCAAACCCAGGCCATAACAGCCGTGAGAATAATCAGCGCCGGATAATACCCCACGATAGGAAGTGTAGGATCATCCTCCAGTTCCGGCGGCGCATATGGCGTCTCGCCGACATCCCAAGCCCAGCTCCAAACCTCGAAGCAGCTGCCAATGCCGACAACGAAGACAAGCCAGGTGACCATTAGAATGATCCATCCCCACCACTCGGTCTCGGAGTAATCCCATGTTATTTCTGCGTTGCTTTTTATCTCGACGGGGTGTGTAGCGAGCGGGGAGGATTTGCGGTGGATGGATCTGTAGGCTGCGTCGGAGGTAAGAGGGTAGTAGGGGTCCGAGCTGGAGGAGGGGGTCGAGATGTGGAGGGCTGTGGTGGGTGCATTTTTCGCGGCGTTGGTGCCGGTGGCGGAGGTGGTTGTGCTGTTGATGCGTGGGAAGGAGACGAGTTCTTCGTCGTCGGTGCCCGTCTCGTCACCGAGGAGGTTTTGTTGCACGAGGCCTTGCCGCCGGCGCGTAAGCGAGGGGCGGAGGATCTTTTGCGCTGTACTTGCGCGGAACCAGCTAGGTTGTGTCTGGGTTGGGGTATCTTCGGCATCGTCGTCGAAGCCTCCGCGGGTCGTGAACTCGTCTGGGAGCGATGTTTGGTCTTTTGGAGAACGTGGCGCGTCGCCCTGGTATCGAGGGACGGAGTCGGCTGATTTGCTCCCTGATCGTTTCTCACGCGATTCAAGCCGAGTGCCTAGGAGCGCGGTCTTCCGTAATGAGCCGCGTCGCCGTCGTGTTCGGCGCTGCTGTTGTAGAACTGCTGACATTGCCCTACCGCTGACTGGGGCATCTTTAGGGGCCTGTGGTCTGTTGGACCCGATGTCCTCGCTGTCCCCGTCCTGTTCCATGGCCTCAGATTGTGTAGCTTGGCTCAGACGAAGGAAGGAGAGTCTTGAGAGTAAAGAGCCGGAGAGGCTTCGTTTGTGGCCGCTGCTTGCGCTGCCGGATCGCGTGCGATTGGAGGGTCTGTCGACTGCGAATTCCGCATTGTTACTTTGGCCATCGTCCATTGGCGCGAGTAAACACCAAGAGCTGGGACATCAGCTCGGCATTCAGTTCCCCAGCATGGGAATTCCGGCCCGGATAGGAATTTGTTATACTCGGGTTTGCTTTCGCTCACATTGTGGAGATAGAGTCCTGGTTTGGGGGATCAACAGGAGGTGGCGTTTCAGCCTGACTTTTCAGGCGCCGAGAGTCAATGGGACACCCGACTAAGAAAAAGTATATAAATACAGACTAAAGAAAGGAGGTATCCTCGTGGGACTTGCACGGTAGTAAAGCTGATCGTAGAATTCTCCTATGTAGACTGCGAGAGAGCTGGTTACCGATAGACAAGGTAGCACCGTACACGAAAGCAAATATAGGTAGGACAAGAGGCGAATTGACCGCAGTCTAGGTAAACCTAAGGGCAAACAAAAGGCAACTGGTATATCGGCGAAAACGCCAGCAGGCAGAAGAAAGATCAAACCCGGATGGGTATCAAGCTGAAGGAAATTCATCACGGCATATACGGATACTTGGGGGAAAGAAAAAGGTCTTAATCAAGACCGAAGAACCAAATTGTCAACCGAGAAATCCAGGGCAAAAATACCCATGAAAGCATATGTTAGTGGAGAAAAATGAGTAATATCAAACAAAAAAGGTATGGGCCTAAGAAAACAGGGATAAAGAGACAACGAAGCAGATTTGATACAGCACAATACATGTACTGGAATGCAATAGTAGCTAGCAGAAAGAATTGACAATGAAACCAAAACAGAGAGAGAGAGTAGGGAGGTCGCTTTTATTTTGGAGCACAAGAATCAGAAGTCCAAGTTGTTCCGCAAGAACCAGAGCTTGGACTCTTCGAAAGGGGCAGAAAAAGAAAGAATCGAGCCAACAAAGTGGACTTGGGGTATTCGGTGCACAACACACAAATTCCATTTCAGAACAAAGCAGTTTGATCGCTTAGAAATCCACTTGCAAGGCAATTTCAAAAGAAAATACGACATAAAGAGAAATTGAGGACGGTACAAAGGGTACTCGGGTAGGAAATTTGTCAGGGAGGGGAGAGGGAGTCGACAAGGACGAATTAGTAAGAGTTAACGTAGCAGCCAGCTCTCAAGAACAGCCCGGGAAGAACTACGCCTGGTAGCCTCCGTTGAAGTTGGTGTTGGACTGGTCCCAATTACCGGTAGGGGACATAGGCTGGCCACGACCATAACCACCGGCGTTACCCTGGGGGAAGCCTTGACCGAGCATGCCAGGCCCGCCAAAGTTGTTTGCTTGCTGATCCCAGCCTCGGCCAGCAGGGGCAGGACCTGTCCAGTTAGAAACAGGGCTTCAGAATTGAAGCTCAGAATACTCACCTTGATTCATGGGGGCTGCCGGGCCGCCATACTGTGGGAAGAAACCGGGGCTGTTGTTGAAAGCAGCAGCATTGCCCTGAGGGGAGAAGTTGTCGAATTGACCCGTCGGGGGACGATCCTTACCCCACTGTTACTGTTAGTGAATGACCTGTATGAGTAAAGCTGGGAAAGAACGACTAACGCTGCACTTGAGTGGGCGACCGTTGACGTTGTACGCGTTCAACTGACAGATTGCCATGGCAGCATTCTCGTGTGAATCCATCTTGACGAACGCGAACCCGCGGTCAGCCTGAAGGCGAGTCTCGAGAACGTAGCCAAAGTTCTGGAACAAAGGCACCAAGTCGTTCTGAGAAGTGTACGGGGTCAGGTTGCCGACGTAGCAGGTGGTCTGCCACTGAGGGGTCTGCTGGACGACCATGTCGTAACTCTGCATGCCCTGAGTGGGGAAGTGGTGGTGTCCGAAAGGAGTGGTGGGGGTCATGCCCATGGCAGCCATGGCCTGCTGCTGAGAGATGGATGGCTGACCCTTCTGGTTGGCCCAGTTGCAGCGGATGGCGCGAGATCCAAGCCACTCGCCGTCCATAGCGTTGAGAGCCTTATCAGCATCAGCGCGGTCCCGGAAAGCAACAAATCCGTATCCACGCGAGCGTCCAGTCTTCATATCCCACATCACACGAGCTTCGGAAACCGAACCAAAGGCGGAGAATGCTTGAGTCAAGATCTCGTCGTTCACTTCGTTGCTCAGGTCACCAACAAAGATGTGGAAGTGGTTCGATGTATCCTCCTTGTTTGTGCTGTTGGACTGGTATGCCCAGTTGACGCGAATTTCCTATAAACGTTGTCAGATGAGAATGGGGGTAACAGATCAGATGCATGAAAGAAACCTACCGACTGGTGAATACGGCGACCGTTCAGAGTTTGCATGGCGCGCTCAGCGGCACCAGGGTCATCAAACTCGACGAAGCCGTAGTTGTAGCCTTTGCTGTTAAACTGCTGGGAAAATCAGTCCTGACACGTAAACAGAATCGGAGAAAAGATCACTTCTTCGAGCTTATCTGAGAAAGGGGGTTGCTGTTCCCCCTGCCCACCGAAACTCACATTCTTGTCTGGGATTATCTTGACGCTAACCACGTGGCCGGTGGTCTCGAAGATCTGCTTGAGGATGTCCTCCGTGACACGGGGGTCCAGACCACCGACGTAGAGGGCTCTCTTGTTGGGCTCAGGTGCAGCACGACGAACGTAGCCACCAGCGCTAGTGGGAGACATCATACCACCAGACATAGGAGAGGTGATTGCAGTGGGGATCGGGTTCGTGTTCTGGGGGATGATCACGGGCGGCCGTGGGGGAGGAGGCATATGGGATGGGTTGGCCTGGCCATTGCCCTGAGAACCATCGTACTGCTGGTTCTGAGCACCAGCAGCCGGCTGGGGAGCCGAAGGCAGAGAGGAGGGGGTCGAAGCCGGAGCGTTTTCAGCCATCGTGTATAGGCCTAGGAAAGGGAAATGCGGTTGGGAGGAACGAGTGTTGTAAAGGTCACAACGGGTATATATGCCTGATAATCGGTGTTGGAGGAACGGCAGCGATCAAAGGGAGCCGAGACAATGCAAAAGGCGCGTGGTGAGAGCGACGAAGTATGCGTAAAGTATAAGGGGGGCGCGGGGAGATCGCGAGTCCAAACGGCCTAGCTAGCTCGTTCCAAACAAAGACAGCAGAGGAATCACTAGGAAAGCGGAGACACTTCCAAGGTAAGCTCTCTTTGAAGAAAATACCAAGAATAGATCGAAAGGATCGATATGGAAAAAGGACGGTCTGAGGAGGAAAAGTCGAGGAGAAGCGCCGGAGATCAACAAAAGGCCTATGAAAACAACGCAAGTCCCGATGCCAGCGGAGCCGCTCACAGCAGGCAAAAGCAGGAAGAGGAAAAGGAAAAAAAATGGAGAAACAAGTAGAGAGATAGGTTAGGGAGAGAAGAAGAGAGAGGAAGAGAGAGAGTTAGCCGCTAGGGGTGGGGGGGGCCACCATGCCCCGTTGGGCTTAGACCCGTGTTCGTGTGTACAACTTCGTACCACCGCGACTCATCTCGTCTCGCTCTTCTCTGTGTCGCCTGTGCAGGTTCGCTTCATTTCGCCTGATACTTCTCGCCATGGCTTCCAACTACGCCAATCCCGACTCCCTCACGGAGCTCTCCGCCCTGGTGGAGCGAACGGTAGCTTGCTACCCAGAGATTTACTTGGAACTATCGCTGACCTTCCATAGCTGTTGGATACCGGCCGACTGTTCAGAAAGAATGGTTCAATGCCCGTGAGCACTCATCTGCAGCGCTCCATCCCCTCGTATTACGACAGCTTCCAGGATGCGCTGGACAATCTTTCAGAACAGATTGTGCGTCTGATTGGATCATCGGAGAGAATACGCCCGTTGCGATGATGACTGACATCTCTCGTGACGTCTGCCGATGGCTCCTTCCTCTGGCCCCTTCCTCTTCATCAACTCACTGACATCACCCAGTTCATCGCCAAAGCCTTTCTGGAAAAGGACTACGATGCTATCAAGGCACGGGAGGCGGCCCCGGAGCCCGAAGACGTGGTCATGAGCGACGCGGATGAGAAAGGCGCGGGATCGCAACCACCGTCTGCCGAGCAGCCTGTTCCGATCGAAGAAACCGCCAAGGCCGAACCCAAGGTGGAAGAGGACGCCTTAGCTGAAGTAGCTCAGCCTGTGGAAGTCGTGCCTGAGGCTCAATCGGGCAATGATGCGACCGTCAAACAGGAGAAGGATTCAGGGAATGATGCTTCTGCCGACCAAGGATTTCCAAAAGCTCACGAAGGGATCAATTTCGACTCCGTCCTCGGCGGAGATGGTGCCAACTCCTTCGACCTCAATCTCGACTTTGGCAACGACGACATGGGCGACCAAGCCTTTCTCTCGGGGACGTTTGGCAACGCGACTGAAACGAATGCCGACAAACCGGCCACGTCAATGCCGGAAGAGGACTCAACCAACGCTCCTGCTGGCGGGGACGCTTTCGATCTCGAGCTACAGAACACCGGGATGGACTCGAATCCATTCCCTGATCAAGGCACTGGTGACGATATTATGGGACCGGGTGAGTCTAGCTTCGACGACCTTTTTATGGAGACGGAGAATCTCGGCGAGGACGGCACGGGCGACCTTAATCAGTTGGAGGGGGGTAGTCTGATGAATCTCAACGAGCTGGATGACAACTGGTTCAATTGATTGGAGTTATGCAAGTGAAGCCGGACTTCCACAAAATGTACTTGTACGAATGAACGGGAGATAGTATCCCATGATCTACATGCATTTCCCTCCCCTGCACCAGTAATCAATGATAGATAATCAGAAGATCGACCGATTCGATGATGGTGTCATCTTCAAAACCTGATGCACGCTGGTACAACCATGACTTAAGCGTGCTCGTGGTCCTGTCAAGCCATTCGTACATGAACTATGATAGACCGCGGGATTCAGTCCCAAGTGCCGGTTCCGTCGGACCTTGATCGGGCTCTACTGTAGTTGCTGGTGCTCACCGGAGATTAGTCGGCGTTGTTCCCTTTCTTCAAGAACCCCGCAGCGGTGCCCTGCACAGCCCCAGCGCCCCATTCTCGGGTTCGACTGTCTAGACCCAAAGCTAGGTTTCGGTTTCGAGACCAATTACCAACTCAGTCAACAGGGATACAGACCTGACTGTACGACATAGCGTGACTTTTTACAAAGTGCCCGAGCGGCAAAAAGAAACGACCTACGATCGTGACGTAGGGGGATCCTCAGGGTCAACTATAAATAATTCTGGACTCTTCCGCACGGATGGGGATTCCGAGGTGAAAGATTGCCTAGATTTGGTAGATTTGGTAGATCCGCCCTATGAGGCCCGGGGACGCGTCGCCTCCAACCTTAGCTTCGATGAGGTCATCGCCAACTGTCACTGGCACGGACCTATAAAGAAGGCTGAAAGGGAAGTACAGTATGCTCCGTACGTACAACACATGCACTCCATGCACTCCGTGGCCTCCATGTGCAGACCTAGGCAGTGAGCGTGACCATCGAGGGGATCAGTGCATGTCGATCTCTGCCAAGTGCAACTCCGCGGGGGGACTTTTAGGTTGGCAAACTTTGAAAATCAGGGCGACAGGGATGAGGACTACTTTTCTTTCCAACTAAACCTAAGTAGTCTTCTCTAGGGAATTTAGTGGCATGATGGCTCACATGCGACACCAAGCTTGATGGAAATGCGCCCCCGATGTCCCGTAATGCCGATAGTATTACTCGAAAAGTGTATAGCGTTCGCAAGAGAGGCTCCAATGCATCAAGACAGGGGGGGGGGGGGGGGGTTCCGATGCCGGGCTATCCGTGCCGATGTCTTGAAAATGTGGTTGTCTGACACGGTGATGCACTCTAGAGATGCATCGACAGATCATAGAGCATAGACAGTGCAGACAGTTGCAGACAGAGCAGAACCGGCGCATAGACAGTGCAGAAACAGAGTCTTGGGTTCAGAATTAGAGTTGAATAGACCTTGCACATGGAACCAAAATGCCGAGCCAGGGAGTGGGAAAGAGTTAGTCAGTCGCCTCTGGACCGGATCGCCGGATGCTGTAGTTGGGGAAGCAGTTACCAATCTGCCGTCGTGTTCATGTCATCATCGATCGGGTTCGTTCCCGTTTTATCCGTGGGGCGTTTCTGACTGAAGCCCATATAGTCCTTCTCATCTGCCCGAGTTTCATCTCTAGGGGAGAAAAAAAAAGGCTACAGCCTCTAGTCTCTAGATAGGAAGGCGCCACATCGCTCACTCAAGTCACAACCGGGAAATCAAAGGAACCACTTGGAGGTCCCGCAGCCAATCCGACTCGCCGTCCAAGGGATCTGCACGGTGATGATCAGTGGGTGGAGGTGCCGTGTGCAATGAAGTCAGCGCCTGTTTTTTTTCTCTTCCTGCAAAGACGCAAAGACCGGTGTGAGCTCCTTGCAGTTCAAAGGGGTCAGGCTGAAAAAGCAGAACCCAAGTCTCACAAAGATTAAAAGGTATGTGTGGTGATTTGCCCTGTCCCAAGAGCTTTCTGTCCTTTTTTTTCTTCTCCGGTTTCTTTGCTACATTCTTGAACTGGAGTTGGCATTCTTGTCCCCCTTCTCCCCCGCGTTCTGGAGCCCTATCCCAGATCCCCGATCTCAGGATTTTTTGCCTCCATACCCAACCTTGGAGTTTGAGGTTCTAGAATCTCTAGAGATCCTTCCCTATACTCGTCTCTCGCGATCATGCCGCCCACGATATCAAAATAATGGCTCACATTATCCCCGCGCAGGTATCGCGGTCGGGATCTCTTAGTACTTCCCCACCCGAAATCGCCCTCCCCGTCCCTCTACTCTCCAACCTCATTCGTGCTCGTTCCGCTCGTCGTCAGACTCTGTGTCTAGACTCGGTTGAGGAGACATTTCCGAAAGTCAGTCGCCGCGGCTCGATCCTCAAAAAGCTGGCGGGCCCACGTGAGAACGCGAAGCGATTCCTTCGCTTACGGTCGTCCGGAATACAATCGCCCATTTCCCCGCAGCAACTACCCCCGCGGACGATCCGGCCCAGGCCCGTTTCTGAGATCATTCTCTCACCGGGAGATCTGAGATACACTCTTCCGGATAGTGACATGCGTTCGGATTCCGATATGGCTACCGACGTTCTTCCCCGAGCGGTCCAGGACCATGCGTCCGGCACTGCGACCCCCGAATTGACTACACCCTTCCAACCTCTTCGCAACGAAAAAATCGTCGCCACTGGTAGCGGCTTGACAGTCGGCATCGCCCTGACCGAACCTGTACTTTATCTACAGGGCTATGACCAGAATGACCCCAGTTCTAAGAAATCTGCCATTCTGCGAGGCCAAATTCATTTGAAGGTCACCAAGTGTGTCAAAATTAAGAAGATCTCGATCTGCTTCCGCGGTCATGCGCAGACAGATTGGCCAGATGGTGCGACATCTACTCTACCTCCCCCCTTCTCCGATACCGGCGTTTGTGAACTGACATTCTATCAATAGGTATTCCCCCGAAAAAGATCCATTTCCACGACAAGAAAGACCTCGTCACTCACGGCGTTGTCTACTTCAACCACGGAGATACAGCGTTGATGCAAAATGACTACGGAGCGCATTACTATCAGCACGCCAAACCCGCATCGCCTGTTCCAGGTAGCAAGGACGCAGTCTCTTTAACGACTCGGGAACTGTTTTCCAAGAGCAGCTCCGTCAGCTCTCTCGGCGCGACTACCGTAAGAGACGCCAAACGGCTCTCCGTTCAGAGCGCACGTGGCCATTCGCGCAGTTTCAGCAGGAATGAGCCCCCCGTCACTACGCAAACCCAGCCGCAGCGCAACTACCGCATGTTCCCCGTGGGAGACTATTTGTATAGTTTCGAGTTCCCAATTGACGGATCATTGCCCGAAACGATCAAAACGGACCTGGGATCCGTGAAATATGACTTAGAGGCTATTGTGGAGCGATCGGGCGCATTCCGACCCAACCTGTTGGGCACCATGGAGATCCCTGTTATTCGGACCCCGGCTGAGGGTTCATTGGAGCAGGTTGAACCTATCGCCATCTCACGAAACTGGGAGGATCAGCTCCATTATGATATTGTCATTTCTGGCAAATCGTTCCCACTGGGCTCTCAGATTCCGATTGCGTTCAAGTTAACGCCACTGGCCAAGGTAGAATGTCACCGAATCAAGGTCTACGTCACGGAGAACATCCAGCATTGGACCGCCGATAAGAGCGTCCATCGATTGCAGCCGGCAAAGAAAGTTCTGTTGTTCGAAAAGCGTGCGGAATCTGCTAGTACTAGCACGTACCCAGGCAGCTCTATGCGAGTCATGGCTGGAGGTGGTATCGATTGGGACCACCGCGCCGCGGCTGCCAGAGGAGAGGAGATCGTGGATCGAACTCGCACGAATTTGTTGGGTAATCTGTCCAGCGAGTCCTCTGGTGTGGGCCCAACAGAAATGGAGTTCAACGTGCAATTACCCAGCTGTTATGAAATGAAGGGTCGCGATGAAGCTCAGCGCCTGCATTTCGACACAACTTACGAGAACATCCAAATCAACCACTGGATCAAGGTAAGGCCACATCACCCTCGCTCAATGCGGTCACTAGATGCTAACCTTATTATAGATTGTGCTCCGCCTTTCCAAGGTTGATGAACGAGATACAGGCAAGCGCAGACATTTCGAGATTTCCATCGACTCGCCCTTCCACATCCTGTCCTGCAAGGCTACGCAGGCAAATATCTACCTCCCGGCTTATTCGAGACCGGACACTGATCCGGAGCCGCCAGCGCAGGAGTTCGAGTGCGGTTGTCCTGGTGCGCCGGTGGCAGCACGCGAGTACTCGATGGCTCAGTCTAGCTCTGACCGTGAAGATTCCTCCATTAATCTCAGTCGCCGGGCCTCGATCGCAGGGGCCTCGGTGGGGGGCCGGCCAATCGCTCGAAGCTTCACAAATGGATCTGCTGGCCTTGCCCGGCCGCCACAGGCCCATCTAGCTCACGAAGAGAGCGGGCGGGATGTGCAGCGGGATCTTCCCACTCAACCAGGAGCGCCGCGCGTCCCTCGTCCGATGCATCTCCTCCGCACGCCCTCATTCGCACCTCCCGCCTTTGAGGATGTCCCTCCACCGCCTCCCTTGGTCACTCCTCCACCGGAGTATACATCGATCGTGGGCGACAACGATCGCGAGACAGTATTGGAGGACTACTTCTCCAGACTTTCGTTTTACGAAGACCAGGACGAGGACGATCGAGGCCGAGGCCGCGTCGATGTCCCCCTCACTCCGGGCGGCCGTATCAACCGCAGTATGGACGTTCCGCGAGAGTGGGTGCGTCTTGACGACTTCACTTCCACATGATCTTCTCTGGTGCGACACTGTACAGTCGATGCGCATCACGAGATCCGAGCCATGAAGTTACGATATTGTTCATACTGGAACTGGTGTAGAGGGCCAATATGCTAATTTCTTTCTTTCCAAGCGGTATAGAATCTGTCTTTTTCTGTGATTTACGTGGGATTTTGGGTTTTATAGGCATATGAGCCTGGTGTGGATTCAGGTTCTCCGTCCATGGTCATGTTCATGTTCATAGGGATTTCCGCATGGGCAACGGGCAAAAGGCGCGAGGGTGTTTCACTGGAGGGGTTCCCCCATGGGTTCTGCATAAACTTTCAATGGATCTATACCAGATATGGTAATTGCACGTCTATAATTTCTCAAAGTCTAGGATCTAGTCAGGTCAGAGGTCGAGGCAGTATCATGATAAGAGATAACGGGTCCAACTGCCTTCCCCGGTTTAGACTCATCTCCATAGCCCAGACCCCGGCTCCTGCCATTTTGCACCTTCAACCTCCTAAAGACCCTGGTCTCCGAACTTTGTCACCTGTAACACCCTTTTGGACCTGATTGCTCACCCTGTCTGTCTGGCTACGACACCGCCCCTCTATCCAAGCCACAAGGTAAGTGGACTGGACCTGGACCTATAATTTGACAGCGGGGTCTCCAACTCAAACTTTGACAGCTACTGTCCCATTTGCGCAAAGCGACCATTGACTTGAGCTTCACTCAGTGAACTGAAGCTCACGAGTTTACAACGTGACAAGACGGCATCCGCCTTGTCATTCTAATCTACCCGCTGCAACCTCGGGAGCTCACACCATCCACCATGGCGATTGAAGTCGTCGACTTGACCGAGGCCGATATCCCCGGCGCCATCCAAGTAATTCAACAAGCCTTCGCCGACGACCCATATTATAGATGGGTCTTCGACACCTCCACAGTATGCAATCAACCCCTTGCTACCAATGCCTTCCTGGAAACACTAACATCCCTCTCCCAGTAACGCGGTCGGGCCAATCCGAACCCCGTTACATCAAACGGGAGAGTACGCCTAGTTCAATAAGCAAAGAAACTATGCCTCACTTTCCGCCCGATGCCACTGGGGTATCAGGAACGCGCTATTCCAAGTAGCAAAGGAAACGTCCATACCTGGCTCCTCGGTCCTAGGCGTCTCCTGTTGGCTTGCGCCTCAGCCAGCTTCCCAGCCGGAAAGCTGGTACTCATGGACTCAGTCGTGGATTCTCTCATTCAGCCAGTTGTATAACAACATTCGATATTTGGGCCATGGCGGCCTGCGCACGAACCGATATTGGACCTGGAAACAGAACCAGCAGGATGCGCAAGCGCAGATTTGGGATGATCCGCGTGGTTATTACTTTTGTAATATTGTTGCTGTCAGTCCGGAGGCGCAGGGGAAGGGCATTGGAGGGTTACTTGTTAAGAAGGTCTTGAAGATGGCGGACGAGGAGGGGATCAAGTGTTATCTTGAGAGCTCGAAGAACGTGCCGAATGTGCAGATTTATGAGCGTATGGGCTTTAAGATGAGCAAGGAGATGGAGTGTCGCGATGGGGATGATGTTTGCATGGTATGTTCCTATCTTCTTGGATATAGCTTTTGCTAATGATCTCCAGCTATATTGCATGGTGCGGAATCCCAGGACGCAGTAATCTCACCCCAACTCGACCCTTGAGCAACGCTTCTCCCAGTTCTTCGCAACTTCGTTTACTTTATCAAGGCACTCTTCTTTTCACGCCGAAATTACTCCATAGCGAAGCAACTCGGACTTTTACCTGATTCTCTCTTCCACACTTAATCTCCGATCGCAAGTCTCCATCGCGTAGCGCAAAGCCCCAGCCAACGGATTTCCCATCTCCAAACCAGCCTGATTCCAAATCAGCCCAAAAGCCTGCTCCATCTCCATCCCCATTCACCAATATCATGACCCGCAAACGGGCTCAGCAGCGCAAACTCCACCCCCTGAGCGCGGCTAGAGAGCCATCCAGAGACGGCAGCGCGTTTGCAGAGACTGATGAAACGATAGATCGAAAAGTTTAATCTTTGCGCCAATCAGGCCGGGAAGGCGCATATGCAGTCAGCTGTGGGTAGGTCGGCTATTTCCACTTTTCCAGGTTGGGAGGTAGGTTGCCGGCTGGATCTAACGGTTTGATTAGGTTGCTGAGATTAACGAGCGTGAATTTTTGGGTTCCCCGCTGTTTCAGGTTGGTTCAATTGGAATGTTTGGGCATAGGTGAGGATTGGGCCTGGGTGTAAGGCTTTGGTTGGATCGGATATTGAGGCACCTTTCAAGATGAGTATGTATTGGAAAGGGAGTGGCTTATAAGTCAGGTCTGAACCGCTTCCACGGCCTCATTGATTTCCAATATTCCAGGATTTTGATTTCTTCTCCAGTGCTTATTCAATTGTCGAGACACGCCCTGGACAGTCAATCTTGAAAACAGCACAGATATCGTTAGATGATCTGTCTTGTGAGTCCAGAACTTATCCTATCTGAGATATCGCCCAGCTACAACATCCGAGCACTATTACTTCTCTGGGTAAGCGTGACTGGGTAAGCGTGAACATTTTCTGATACACTTCCTGAATAGAACCTCCGCTCATCGTCACTATGTTCATCATTCTCTTTCGAAAGCCTCGTGGGCGGTGGTTTACTCTGCGATCAATGATAGCCCGGTGCCAACGATCCAACGAAACGCTCAGACCGCAGCATGTCCAGCAAAGCAAACCGAAACACGGGCTCCAGAATCCAATGAAGTCGACATCCATGACGAAGCGACCATCCAAGACCCCAACCTTTACACCACCCGTATAACAAGAAGAGATATTCCATGTTGCAGCGACACGGAACTGATTATCAGCCAGTCAGCCGGGCTGGCTGCCACTATCAGTCGATCACTCTCAGGGGATGCGGCACAAAGCCAGAGATCATCGTGTTCTTCGGTCATGCGCACGGTTAACACGCAACCCCGTGGCAACAACAAGGAGGAGTTGGACGAGGAAAACTTCCACTATCTGCGTAGTCTGATCACGATCTCCTATCTGTCACCCCATTCATCTAGGCTGAGTTTGAGTCCCTCGGTTAGCGAAGAAAAAGAAATTCAGCCTACAAGCCGCAAACGAGCCTCTTCGAGACTTAGCCGGCGCCTTGGAGATTTACCGAGCGTTCCTTTCGTGTCCAAAGTAATTCGAAAGCCATGTCCTCGCTACACCTGTTTGCCACCCGCGTGGACGCCCAACCCAGTTGCCATGCGACCGGAAGTCCGCTTCTGAAGATCCTTCCCGTTCGTTCGAAGGAGAGAAATCCTTGACATAAAAGCAAGATGTTTGTACATACTATAAAACCAATATTGAACACACGGCGTGAAACGCAGTCCATTAGCCCAGCAGAGCCCACTTCACTTACATTGCTATGACAAGAGCCCTGCATGATCCAACCCCACTATCCGGGAGGTGAAACACCAAGTGGAGAGTGATCGTCGGGTTGCGTCTCGGGTCGGAACTTGCGTCCCTACATACACTTGAATGACATTCGGTCTATCCACCCATAACGTGCATCGGCTATTTCAAGTTCAGACAATCCCTGCGTGGGGCAGAAGCATTCTTCCGGCCAATATGACAGGTTACGAAGCGAAGAGGGACCCTACTCTAGCTGCCGCGGAGTAGGTGCGAGTCTTTTGTGTTGGACGAGCCTTGGAAAGAAAGCAGTCCGCCTCACTTCGACTTGAATGATAATTTTGAAGGCGAAAAAAACTCGCCTCAGATATTGCGAGGTGCATTTGGCTATTGAGTATGGTGAGGATCATTCCCGCGCTATTTACGGTGTTAAATCCGTATCGTCATGCACAGACGGGAGATATTGCAAACCACACTGCCGCGTTAGTCTCATTACGAGATTAGATAAGACCGCGCAGTGTTGCAGTTGGACACACTTCGAAAGTCAACTTGTCGATCTTCCTTCCACACCTACACCGTGCAGTACTAATGGAGCTGGGAGTTACAAGTTGGGAGTTACGTATGTCGGGAAGGTGGATAACGGCTGTGGCTTCGGTACTCCACCCGAAATCTCAAATTCCGCACAGACCGCGTGATGGAGCTAGGAGATGGTTCCTGATTAGGTTGGGAGGCCCTCCATCACGTCCGGCGTCTTGCGGAGTGGAACATTGGGGTTCGTCGATGTCTGTGCATTGGGTTCAAGAGCTTCACACAATCATACGACTGGGCCTATGGTGAATGGCAGGCAATGGATTGTCGAGCCACTGACGGCACAGGTGCAGAGACTAAGTACATCCTGAGTAGGAGTCTAAGTAAATGCCGTGGGTTGGTAGCGGGTGAACCCACTTAAATCACGACAAAGGTACCTATTTGGGAATTACGCCGCAACCGAAACCACGGGATCAACAATGCTGCCTGACAAGGGTATTCTGGGCGAATCAAAGAGTCCGATTTCCTCAGTGAAAGGATCTGAATAAGTGAACACAGCTAAGACGGTATTGACGCGCTGTTTCATTTTCCGGCTCAAAACCCTCCAGTAGAACGTCGGCAACAGATGAAGCTAGGTTGAATCTGGAATGGACACGTCTCTAAACAAGGATGTTGTCTACTTATCTTTGATGCGGAATCGGCTTAACCCCTGGAAGCCGAAGGCGGGTCTAGACTGACAAATCTATGGAGTACTAGTACTCCAGGGTGATACCCCTGTCGGTGGCTCAGTCGTGAAATGACGAGGGGCTCACTGTTAGATAGCTGCCTAGAGACTTGAGTTCAGCCCCCTTCTGCTACACTTTGCGATGGCCTGCGCCACTACCCCCGTTGGCTCGAGTGCACGAGGTAGGAACGCTCGAGGCATGTGAAAGAGCACGTCAAATATTATTGAGGAGCATTGACTCATGGCTGGCCTGCAAGAACGTGCTGACAATGCTACCCCCATTTCCCTAGCAAACCGCAGGAACTTATACCTTGCAATCCTACTGGGACGTGGAAATAAACCATTGCAGGAGCTATACCCAGGGTACGAGTATTGCTACTCGCTTGAAAGCAATGCGAATGGGCCGCGCCCTTGTCAATTACAGATCCATCTGCGTCTCTGTTGATTTCCCGATATAGACTCCGGCATATTCCTGATAATCTTCAGGCAATTATGTACCGGTTGAGTTTCTTGATGAAACAGGCCTAGCCCTGGGGATATGATACCCATATCACAACCTAACATTTATTCCAAATATCGAACCCAATGAGCTCCTAACACGGCATGTAAATTGATTTTCTATTGGCCATCAACCGCAGGCCCGTTGACAATTAAAAGACTCATTCTCATCGCAAAATGGGAGCCCACTGGTCGGCGCAATGGCCCGGCATTGAATGCAGTCCCATGTCGACAGATGGAGCATCTGCATGGTCCTAGCGTAGAATAAGAACCATGATAGTCTTTTTGACACTCCGAAAAATACTCGAACGCTCGGTGGAGAAAGGCGGCGCTGGCGCTGGCATGTGTGAGACGGACTGAGCGCATCCATGGCCGACTGTGCATTCGTGGCTAGTGCAATCGAGAAGGATTTAGTGTTCCAAACATTGTAGTGCCCTATCCGGCACTTGAACGCTCCAGACCTCTGAGCAGCTCAGACCGAGTACAGGCCCAGATTTTGCAATTCCGATTACAAACTGCCCTTCCATTTTCCAAACTATCATCTACTATCCGCTTGCCGGATGCCTCGGGTGGCAAAGCCCTAAACCCCCTCCCGGTGCGCCTAAGCTCACCCCAGTCTGGGCCCATTGTGTGAGATTGCACCCTTTAGCCCATTTGTTTACTGCATTTGATAGAGGGTACTGCCTGAGTGCTAGATCGGAGAATCAAGCTATGCCGCCCTCTGATTGATTTCAAACATGTTTTACCGGTCTACCCATTTACCCGATCAGCCAAGAAAAGACACGGCTAGTGGAATGCTACAGCAATTCTGATAAGTAGATGAAGGATTGCTTGGCCAAAGGCAATCCAGGACCAAATAGCTAATTAGACGAGACGACAAGGCCGGTCGTATGAATTTCCTGTAGGAGACGCGCAAGCGCGAAGCTTCTAAGTCGGTACCCCAACGCCCTCGGAGATTGCGTGGAGTTGCAGAAAGTCTCGATAAGTGGTGTTGGAGGTACCTTTGGCTTTGTCAACGTCCAAAACAGACATGCATGCACCTTACCCTGTCGCTCCGGCCGCGCAGCTGCAATGCGCCATTGAACCGAAGCACGGACACGATCACGAATACAGCCCCCGGAAGCAACCAAAAAGAGATACCTTTAAGATGTATACCTAGTGCAAGCATCTTTCGCTTTTCTTGACCACAGACCGTTGCGATGGATTGTATTGTCGTCAGGCTACTGGGCTGGGACCCCCTTCCCCCTGGCCTCTGCGCAGGAATTGATAGGAAATAGTAGAACCACGTTGCCCGTGCGGGACCCCCAGAAACCCCCCTCCAGGACCCAGACCTTGATCGACGGCTTCCCTTTATTAATGGGTTCGGGTCCGAGCCCGGAATCAATAAAAGAAAAAAGTTCCTTATTTTTGATGGCTTCAATAACATGTGATGAGAGAAAAAGAAAAAAAAAAAAGTACAGGGATCGCGCCCAACTTTTCGAGTCCAATACAGTCATAATCATACAG